AAAGCAGCTTCGATTTCCAGCGCCCTGACCAGTGCTTCGCTGCTGGTAGAAAATCGGGATATTTGCAGCGCCCTCTGTAATTCGTTGTTCCTCAGTCCGCTGATAAAGCACTGAGCAGCGAGTTCCTCCTAAATCCTTCCGGTGCTTCAGGATACGCTAGGTGTACCAGCCGACGTAAGTCTGCTTCAAATTCCTGCAGACTCTCTCCGGACCTCTGCAGGCGTGTCTTGATCTGAGCCTGGTAAAGTTGGCGTCGATGTTGGTCGCCATATCTTCTGTCCAGTGCAGCGACCAAAGTTTGGTATTCCTGCTGTTGGGCTGCAGGAATAGTTTGCAACAGTTCCAGGGCCACGCAGCGCGATGACAAGTGCCGCTGCTTTCTCCTGGTCAGTCCATCCGTTGGCAGCGGCGGCTGCTTCAAACTGACGGTGGTACATTGTCCATGTCGTTTGTCCATCGTAGGTCGGGGCCTTAAGGTTCGCTGTTCCTTGAACGCCAGGTGTCTTTACTTGTACCTTGGTCTTCTGTAGGTCCATCTCCAATCTTTCTATCTTCTGCTGAAGGCGTTTCTCAAGATCTTCTACGGTTTCTTGAAGTTGATTTTCCTGCCGTTTTTCCAGGTCTTCAAAATTCTTCTGTAGTCGAAATTCCTGATTTTCCAAAGTTTTCTTAAGACGGTCCTGATCTTCAAATTTTTCTTTCTGGCGACGCACTTCTAAATCTTCAACAATTTTCTCCAACCGTTCTTGTCTAATTCCTTGATTTTCTAAAATTTTCTGAATACGGTCCTGTTCTTCTTGTCTTTCTTTTGACGTCGCTCCTCCAAACGAATTTCCAAATTACCCAGTATTTTCTCAAGCCGGTCCTGTTCTTCTTGTTTCTCTTGTTGTCGTTGAACTTTCAAATCTTCGAAAATGTTCTCAAGCCGGTCCTGTTCTTGTTGACGTCGTAGTTTTTCCTCTTCCTTTTCTCTTTCTAATCGGGCCTCGCTCTTCTTCTCGTTCTTTACGGAGTCTTTCTTGATCTTCTGCCTTCTCTCTTCTCATATTCTCCATAAAATCGCCCAATAATTTGCTTACTTCCTCCATTTTCTTCGCTTGTTCCCTTGTACCAACCATAAAAATACTCTAATTCGGTCTAAAAATCTTCCAATCCACTTAATTTCTGCTTAAAATCCTCTTGAATCCCACTTCTGACACCAATTGTTACGGATTCCGTGGGTCCACTATTTAAACTCACGATAAAATACTTAACGAATTTATTTGTTTCACTCTGTACACACAACTTATACTATTTACAACACAACTTATGCAACTACTATTACTCTAACGGTATTTCGCGGTATTTTCAAACTTCAGAATATCTTCAGACTTGACTTCAAACTTTAAACTTGTCCAACTGTCAAAGCGCGGGCCTTATATACCCCCTGGCGGTTGTTTCTAGATTTTTCTAAAGAATTCTATAATTTTCTTTACTTTCTGGCGAATGCGCCAGGTTCCTCAATGCATGTTGCGATTTTTTAGCAGTATGCAGTTATGCAACCAGTAATACACCTTGACAATATTTAAAATAAGTAAAATAAAAAAATAATATACAGGGTATCCGATTTAAAAAAAAACATAAGTTTGGGTCATCTTTCAAGAATATCAGCTCCAAGCGAAAATCCAGTTATGCCACTAAATTCTAAGTGAAAAACTCTATGACACTCACCTTTTCAATAAGTTATAAGAACCGAAAGACGAAGGGGATCGAAAAAATGCAACATTTTCAAATTCGCCTTGTACTTCAGGAAGTAAAAGGGCTAGGACAAATCTGTGTGTAGCATCCTTAGTGTGCGAACACAGTGCAAGCAGGTTTGCCGCTTTCTGGTAGCCAGCGCCAATCTGGGCACCTATTCTTGACATCGTTCGCAATTTTGCGTATACGCATCACGTGTATTGTTATAAACAGGGTATCCCAGAAATAAGTGCAAGTATTTTAAAGGCTGGTAGATCTCGATAAAAGAAACATATTTTCTCTTTATCGTTTTTCAAATAAGTCCAAAATAACGGAGTTATTTTACTTTGAAAATTTCCAAAAAAAATATTTTTCTAAAATTTTGAGAACCACTAGATCTTTTCTGGATTTTCTTTCTTGTAACTTTAATCTACTACCTATGTTGCCATATTATCAAGAAATTATTTTCTTTAAATAAAAACTAAAAAAATTCCAAAAAATTTTCAAAAATTCCGAATTTTCAGAAAAAATATTTAGAAAAAACCTCATTGGCGTGTTTCTGGGGTTGAACTATACTACCAGTTAAGTATAAAATACTTGCACTTATTTCTGGGACACCCTGTATATGGGTACATCGTAGCGCCGCGCCGCGCCGCCTCGCGGTTATAACCTTGAAAAATTAAAGCGTGTTATCAAATCGGCTAGTTCACAGTGAAAGCAGGCAGATGGCAGGCAGGCACCGTCAACCAGCGTTCATCGGCGTTCTCGCTTTTACCGGAACGAAAATTTATTTATTTCTGCTTTTGCACGCGCCGACGGCACACAGAGGGTATTAAGAACTAAAAGTTGGCCAAAATTATGTTTTATGATTTTTTTGCTTTTTTGCTTGTAATATTAATTATTAATTAGAGGAGAGGTTGCTAATATGGAACCCCATTTTGTTTTTCCTACACAATATTTTTTCCTCTACTCTGAAACCCTTTCCACCGATCAAATAGGGCCATTCTGTGCAAAATCAAGCAATTGGATGAGGATGCTAGAACAAGAAAGTAATTTGTATATTATAGACGATATTTGAGCGAGGATGGGTGTTATAGGGTAAAGACTATTTCCTTTAAGAATCTATTTAAATCAATGTTTTTTTGGCAGTGGCAAATATTGGCAAGATTTTTGTACATATTCCAAAGCTGGAGACTTTAAGCATTGAACGGATACTAATTTCCATGCGGAATATTGCCGAATAGTCTTACACCTTATAAAAATGCCTCTGATTTTTTAAATATAAAACATTATAAAGAAATAGAATAGAAGAAAACGTTATTTGATAGTCAACTTACGACTTAAAAAAAGCTAATAAACGCGCTTACATTTAGTATTTATAGATTTGTATTCAGTTAAGATAAAAAATGAAAATAAAAATATTTCACTTTTGGCCAGTTTATAGACCAAATACCCCTATGTGCGGCGCTGGCGCGGCGGGAGCGGCGTTTGAATATAGTTAGGTTAGGTTACTTAATCAGGTAAATTTCCTCTTAATTAACTACTTCCGAACCCTGCTCGCATCTCCGAAAAAGCCATATAACAATGCACGGCATATACGCAAAATTACGCATCACGTGTATTGTTATATGGCTTTTTCGGAGATGCGAGATGTGAGCGATATTTGAAGATGCGAGTGGTCAAGAATAGGTCCCCAGAGACGGCGCTGGTTGCCGGAAAGCAGAAACCTGCCTCCACTATGTTCGTACCCTTAGTTTCATAATACAATACCCTATGTGTAAAAACCGCATCTTTGTACCTGTACGCATAAGCGAGAAATCCTGGAAAATACACGAAAATGGGACACCCTGTACAGCGATAGAATATATTATGACAATTTTCCATCATTTTCATTCAAAATATTGTTTTTGCTGTCATTTTTTTAAGTAGTTTTTATCATATATATAAACCATAGAAATAAAAATACACTCAGATGCAAAAAAACGCAAAGGAGAAAGCTGTGGTCAAATTTAAAGTGTTATATTTTTGTCATTTTTAGCCCTATTTTCATGAATTTTTTAGCAAACTGTATATAATTATATCAACTTTAATTCGTAAACTCATTTTTTTATAACCTTTAGTATTTGGCATATTACACAGCGTTAATCGGGGGGTTGTTTTTTACCTTAACTTTAAAACACCCTGTGCAATAATTTCGTGTGTAAATTTTTCTAAAATATAATTTTACGGTCAGAACCATGACTCCTAAACATTTTGTTTGTTGATTCATGTCAATACATGCTTTGGTTAATTTTTAAGAGCGAAATGAACTGATCTCGATCAATTTGCAATTTTTTCAATTATCATTACTTTTTGATGTAATTTTTTAAAATGACGGGATGGTTTTGATTACTATTGTCGTAACATCATATTACACTGCATTGGATACTCTATACTAAATAAAAAAAAAACGTTAAAGACTAACGATACAGTCCTGGTTTCAATAAACATTAATAGCGATAACAGAACTAACGATATTAAAGAAAACATCTGTAATACTGAAGTATACAAACAGAAAAAAATTTGTAAAGAATACCCTAATAATTTGTATTGCCCTCTTTTGGCTGCTATAACTGCCTGTATACGTCCGTGCATACTGTCATTGAGACTGCATATACCATATTGCGTTATGCTTTCCCATTCTTCTTGAAAACCCAAGCGAAGTTCATTTAATGAAGCTGGTACTGCTTCGCGACCTCTAACCCTCCTGCCATGCATTTCCCTAACATCGAACATGATGGGCAGTTCATACTAATATATATTTCACGAATCACCAAAACCGCCTTGTCACAATGAAAAATAACTTCAAAACAGAAATGATAATTGAAAAAATTGCAAATTGTTGATGGGAAGTTCATTTCGCTCATAAAATTAACCAAGGCATGTATTGACATGATCCAAAAAAATGCTCAGGAGGCTTGATTCTGACCGCAAAATTATATTTTAGGAAAATTTACACACGAAACTATTGCATAGGGTGTTTTAAAGTTAAGGTAAAAAAACAACCCCTCGATTGACCCTGTATAATATGCCAAATACTAAAGATTATAAAAAACTGAGTTTACGAATTAAAGTTGATATAATTATATACAATTTGCTAAAAAATTCATGAAAATAAGAATAAAAATAACAAAAATATAACATTTTAAATTTGATTATTTTTAATATTGATTAGGTGGTAGACTGACTTTACATCTGACTGTATATTCTTCTGTTAGACTGATTGTGGTAGTGTTGAGTCTTACCTGTTCGTCGTCCGAGCCGTGGAACGCCCCCCGGTCGTCGAAGGAGCCACCGCTCTCCAACGGGTTCTCGTTGGCCCACTCCGGCAGGTGGTCCTCGTTGTCCCAGGACTTGCGGGACGAGGGCGGCGCACCCCGGCCGCTCTCGCTCCAGTTCTGGCGGCCACCTCTTTCGGGCGGGCCCGACCTCTCCTCGCCTTCCGCCTCGCCCCTCCAACTCGTAGAACGACCTGCAAGAATGATTGGTGGAGTGTTAAAAGAGGAACAACCCCAGTACCCACAACAGTTTATGTAAAAAATAGGTTTAATCTCATGACACATTTACACTATTATTGATCAATGTCAAATAAAGAATAAACCTTGGGATAAAGCTTCATTCAGAACCTCGCAATTAGTGGAATAAATTAGTGGTTTCAATTAGCGTAGAAGTTTGTCAAAATTACTGATAGTCATTTGCAATTAGTAGAAAAAGTTAACAAACTTTTGACTTTTCATTTGTCATTTTGGTCTTTGATTATCATCCGTCAAGAGAAATTGTGGTTAGAAATCAAAAGTTGATAAGCTAAATATTAGGCTTGAACTTTGATAAGAAGACTAAGGAAGGAGCATATCAAAAATCTTAGGTCCACCGCGATGGGCCTCAAATATGGCCGACTTAAATTCCGGTTTATCAGTGCCGTTCTAATTTTATTTAAAAAATGTAAAACTATGATGTAGGGTAGACGTGGGGTAGACTCAATAATTTTTTAGTTTATTTTACGTTGTGAATAAATGTTGGTAGTTATTAAAATTGTTATAAAAATATAAAATTTTAATAAAAATAGATAAGTTATAATAATTATTTATAACCATAAACATCCGATACGCTACTGAAGCACGTAAGTCAAATTTACGTATCTAAATCTTTGACATCTAATCTTTGACAAGTAGTAAATAAAAGCAAAAATGCAAGAAAAAATATATAATTAGTTACTTTAAGTGAATTTCATAAATGATCGGTTTACTACACGTATGTATAATATATAGTTACTTACTAGCGAAAAGTTGTTCCATTATTTCACTCGATTTTTGCCGAGATCTACCGCACGCTACACAACCAACTATTTTAGAGTCTTTTTCGATAAATCGCAATAGTGTCACTGTTAATTTAAGTTCTGCCACAATTTCCATCTAGATTTACTACCTTTATACAACTATCAGTAGTAGAATAAATAATAAATAACATAAAATAAGCTCCGTAAAGACTGACAAATCCACAAAATTTCAAATCAAATTGAAATGTGTCAAATGAATCGTCAAACAGAACTGTCAAGGATCCCCACCCTAGAGTGCTTTTTCCGCCCAGCATGCATGAATACATGGATAGCATTATGCTCCTTCTTTAGTCTTCTTATTCAAAGGGCTTGAAGCTTAAAGCTTCATTCAGAACCTCGCAATTGGTGGAATAAATTAGCCTCTAATGGTTTCAATTACTCTTTATACTTAGTTTACGATCATTCACAATTTCTAAAAAACACAATTAAAATTAATAGAATAGGTATCCTATTTTATGGGTATATGTGGGAAGGCAATGTGCATAATTTAAAATTTTTTTGAAATGTACAGGGTGTGTCTAAGTGTAAGTAAGATCCATACCAGAGTTATATTTTTTCTTATAAAACACCCTGTATTTTATTTCATTTTTGGATTCTTGGACATAAAATAAGGCATTTATTATAAGGGTTTAATGTTTACAAGCTTTGGTTTTTGAAATATTTAAATATATTTAAATATGCATGTTATAATAAAAACGTTTGTCAACACCCTGTACATTACTTTTCAGAGTTAATTCTTGTGTTGACTTTGAAGCCAGAGAAATAAACTTTACTAAAAAAATGCGTTGCATCCTTAAATGTATATAGGAGTATCAAAAATTGCTTGTCCATTTTATATGTATATTTATTTTACATAAAAACTTCGTTATTTCAAATGCAACACCCTGTATTTCTTAAAATTTATCGAATCAAATTTAAATGCTCTTTCAAACTACTACGTTTATTTTATGCAGAAACGGTTTTATAGGGTTTAATACTATAAAATTACGTATACTAATAAAATTACTTTTTTTAGTCTATGTTATAGGCTAAAAAAGTAATTTTTCAGCATTCCATCCTTTCAAATTATGCAGTGTTTCATCACATTAGTTCTAAATAGTCTACTAGAGATGCTTTTTGGTAATGCAGACTAGAATGGATAAGCTGCTGGTTTCAGAACTCTGTATAGAGGTGAATAATTCCACACAAAACGTTTACTTATTAGTAGGATATTCGAGTAATTCATATTAAAGCACAATTCTGTTAAATTTATAAAACTAACATCTAACATTTCGTTCATTGCTTAGGCATAAAAATACAAAGGCGATTTTTCAGCCGTCCGGGAAATCCCTTTCGTGATTTGATCAGATCGTTTATGGATCAGATATCAGATATAATCCATTCTTTTTTTTTACTTCGAACGGGCATTCATTCATCCACGCATCGATAGGTGGAGCGATACGGTCAAAAATAAGCTAATTTGACGATCGAAGGCAGTCTCGGTCGTGGCCGATAATCTCGGCCTTTTTATGCCGAGAATGAGGCTGAGATCTCGGCCTGATTTTTAGCCGAGAATGACTGTAACCGAGACCGAACCGAGATCTCGGTCGGACCTTACTAAAAAGTCAAATAATTTAGCTACAAACTGCATAAAAATCATCAAAATCTGTCCAGTAGAACACAATACATAAAATACGTGCTCGGACGTGCACGTAGCAAAAAACAAACAAATGGTATCTACGCAGGCGGTTACATTGCATCGGAGTTTGCGCGTCCGTGCACGTACGCCAATTTCCGTTGGTCGGATGAAAACAAACTGGTTTGTTTTTTTAATACGTGCACGTCCAAGCGTTCGAATTTTTATATTCTAGGCCAAATACATTCCCGAAAAATTTGAATATTTTTGAATACCAGGTTTATTTTTATTTTAGATATATTAATGTTGCTGGAAACATTCTAAAATATTCAAAAAATTTGACCGGTTGCTGTTTTAATTCACCAAATATTTTACATATTCATTTTCTTCGCCTTTTCTTGCATATATGTAAATCATTTACCTAACATTTTCTTCTGTTCATAAGTAGTTATTTTAACATTAAATCCTCAAACAGCATCAAAGTAGTGACGTCCGTTTTGACGAACTCGACACAAAGGACACCATGAACGCGCATCTAATGTAACCACTAAAATAAAATAGTAGCGCGAGTAAATTCCGTCAGAGCTCGCACGTTTAAAAAAACGCACGCACCCGCGTCCAATGTAACCGCGGGCAAATTTTATGCGCTCGGAAGTGTATATCTATCTATCTATTCACAAATAAAAAATTTCACTTGCCCCACTTGTCGTGCCCTCCTCTGCCTCCCGTTGGCCGCCACCTCTCGTCCTCCTCATTATTCCTCGCCCTCCTCCAATTGTCCATCGAGGTTGCCCGCGCGCTATACTCTTTCCTAGGGCTCCAGTCGGAGGGCTCACCGTTTCCCCAGCCGTCATAGTTAGCCGGTCTGGTGTAAGACTGGTAGGTCCCACGACCCCTGCCTCCGCGCGCGCCTCTCTCTAGGGAACCCCCCCTCCCCCGAGGCACGCCGCCTAGATTTGTCGGTCTCGGCTGCCACCCGCCTCTCTAAAAAAGAGACACAGTTAGCTGGTTCAAAATTTAGATTTTATTAATAATAATATAATTAAAAGAAGGAGTCACATCCTCTATTTTTATTGGTACAATGTCGCTTAAGGGAGCGTTTTTTTCCAGCAAACACTCATTAGCCCCCCATACACCAGAAGGCCCGGCCTTCGGATCCGGCCTGCGGACTTGCCTGTCGATTAGATCTGTCGACGTTTTGTCGTCGCAGTTTTAGCCTGGCCCGCGATCTTTTAAAATTTCTGTAAGTTTTAATCTCTCATATTTAATAGATCCGGCCGTACGTCTGTATTTTTTAAGAATTAACTACAACCGAAAACTAATATTGGGGGATAGATATAATAAACAACTTGTAAGACATTTATTGCTTTGTGGGACAAACTATAACAAAATAAGAGTTGATTTTTTATTCATTGAATAATTATTTACTAAATAGACTAAAGATAAATTATTAAATGTTTCACAACTATTATTGTCTCTGTAGGCAAGTACAATTTTCAAGTACAAGCAGTTTTTTAAATTTATTTCTCCGAAATTGTTGTATTCCATCTTAAATTCAAGATATTTAAGAATGTAAATAGTTCTTATCCTACAGCCGGCAGTTCATCAGCCGACCACTTTTAATAAAATACCGTATGATCGAAAAAAACGGCGTCCAGTTGGCATGGAAATAAACATTGAGGGCATTCCCTTTATTTTTAACTCTATGACATTTCTCATATAATTTTACATATAAAATGACAGCGATCTTCATTTCATAGCCAACGCTGACGCCGTTTTTTTTTCGATCATACGGTAGATAAATGTTTATCGGAATAAAAACTGCTGTATTTTCGGTCAGAGAGAAAAGGTGTACTTGGTACCATGCTAGTCCACAAATTTGTTTCCGCAATTGGTTTACACAAATTTCTTTTATTTTCAACCATTATTCTCTATCACATGCCATATTTAGCTACAAATTGAATTAAAGTAAAAAAAAATATTTTTACTGATTTAGGGGTACTTGTCCCTGCAACCTTGGTTGCACAACCCTGTATATCAAAGAAATATTTAGATTGAATATGTTTATTCCATTGTAATAACCTGCAACACTCTATCAAAAGTTTAAAAACATAAATAGAAATACACTAAACATGGTTTCTTTTTTCTCTTTGTCCAATATCTGATTTAAGTTACATAAGAGGTCCCTTATGGTTTGTCCAACAAGCCAGAAAAGATTTTGACAGATACAAAAAAGTCAAAAAATATCATTATCCTGTTTAGTAAAATAACAAACTGTCACTGTCAGGTATACTGTCTCTTGTTGGATAGACTATCATTCAAAAAGCATATTCTTAAATGTCCTAAAACACCTATCTTATCATGTGATACATAAAAATATTGTCTTTTCCTACTTTTTAACCCAATTTTAAGACTTTATTTGTAATTATATCTAAAAAAACTAAGTACTTCACTAAAACTCACTTCTTCATCAGTTGTTGGTAACAGAGCTAAAGGTGATAGAGTTGTTTCTGAATAAAGACTTTTAAAATTAGTTAAACATGCTGGGGGTTTTATGTTTCGATCAAATAATGCCAACATCTCCTCTCTTCCATAGCTAAAATAACAAAAAACCGTGGTGTATCTTACTTAATATCACCATCTAATTTACCGATAGTCGGCTAACTGGTATCTCGTGCCACCACTGGTTCCTCCTCCAGTATTTCCGTCCGAAGAAAGGTTACGAATCCAATCAGGACCAAAATTCATCGAGTCAGTCATACTAAAAATAAATCGAATACTTTAAGAAATTCAACTCTTTCCTACCAAATTAATAATGTTATTAAGCGTACCAGACCAAACCAGGTATTTAATATGGCAAGACAAAAAGTCTCAATATGGAGTCAACTATTAATAGATTAAAGGCACCAAAACCAAACTATTTATCATGTTATCTAGAAACATTCTTGACTACTTTATCTTACAACTACGAATAAAAAACGTAACAAAAACAAAGGGTTCTCCTAAATGGAAAGAAGTATAAGCCCCAGGCGAGCCTAGGTGGCAAATTTTTAATGAAAAAAATTCTTCCGAAACATTTAAAACAACGTTTATCCAGTATTGGCATGTGGTTTATTAAATCTTCGTCGTTTTGAACATAATCCTTGGTAAATGACTGAGAATTACCTGAAAATATTATAGTTTCTTACACTATAGAATGCGATCAACATAAATGGCTGAAGCCAAAATTGTAGGTTATCGCGCATGTGCCCCTTGTCAAATATTATAAAATATCAGTGTGACCATTTAAAAACGAAATATTCCCAAACTTATTTTTAGGAGAGTATAAAAAATTATATAAATCAAAGAAGTTCAATAAAACAATAGTCAATAAATTATATAGTAGAAATATCACTAATGGAATTAAAAATTATTCATATTAATTTTCTTGTGTTAAAAATACAATAAAATGATGTATTAACGTATGTATGGTTGCATACCATATAAACATATTTATATGGATATAAATAAAGAAATATATAATTTTAATAAATTTAATTTATTACTGGTTTTTCTCTTTATAAGTGATATTGTAAATCTAAATTACGTCCCAATCACAATAACAATTTCTATTCCCCAAAATAAGTTACTGCAGTAGTGGAAAAATATAAAATAATTATCCTTTTCTTATACAATTTAATAGTAGGTAAAACAGTTTGCCTAGCCTAAATTATCTGGATCTATATTTTTTTATATAATACTAATACAGAATAAATACAATTTAATATAAGAATAAGAAAAATATACGTTGACTGAAAAATTTCTATACAAAATATGAATATAGGTAATTTTCATTGCAATATGTTTTAGGTTGGCAATGGTACATACAGAACCGGATTCAAACAATTTCAAATAGGGAAAGTAATAGGGTAATGAAAAAAAATCTAGATCGAGAGATTCTTTTTCTTATTTGAAAATACGCTTGATTTGATATTTTCGCTATATTTTTTTATAATACTACAATTAATAATCTTTAAAAATAATAAGCATGGACATTTCAAGATGATAATTATAAACAATATGAAACTTCTTAATCAACATAGAGTAGAAATTTTCAAAAAGTTTTTAAATTTTATAGTAGCAAAACTCCATAACACGGGTTTATTGTGTTGCACTTGGCAATAAACCTATGTTAGTTAATCGTTTGGAGGCTTCTCTGTGTACTTATTTTCTAAGATCAAAATAAAAATGTGTAATCTAAGTAAATATATATATATTTTTTAATTCTTGAATGTCCACTATGATATTAATAATAACAGATCATTTATGCAGTACAAATATATTTCTAACGTTATATTAAAAATCTACAACCTATTAACTTAAGGGAATAAACATCATTAAAACATGATATATAAACAAATTTTAAATAAATATTTTCGGAATTAACGTAACATATAATAGTATAACTCGCCATGTTTAAAAATATAATAACTAACTTGTGTACTATGAGATAAATCCACTACAAGTTTTAATTTTAAATATATATCTAGGATAGTATTTCTGCTTCAAAATGCAACCATCTCAATTTTTGCCATGTTTAAAAATATAATAACTAACTTGTGTACTATGAGATAAATCCACTACAAGTTTTAATTTTAAATATATATCTAGGATAGTATTTCTGCTTCAAAATGCAACCATCTCAATTTTGGAGGATCTAATATAATTTAAAATATTTTACCGTGATATATTTGATATTACTCTAAAGTTGCAATTTAACAGAAACACCCTGTACAGTTGTCCATTCATTTCATAATGCCATAGTAGTTTTTTTACGTATTTTCTTTAGTATTACTATACCATAACAATTGACTGAAATTGGTTCAGAAAACAAATATTATAGCATAATTCATTAGCATATACAAAATATATGTGACCAATAGGCATGCCTTATACATTTATTTAGCGTTTCTCAGGTAACTTTTTCCAATATGGCGCTGCACGATTCCAAATCTGGACTTAATTCAAATTATTAGGTACTGTGATTTCAATTATTTGAACAATTTATAATAATCTAATGTCTTGGCATATTTTCATTATTCTGAATAAAGCTGGATTTATAAACTCGGGAGTTGACATTCACTTGCAGTTGGATGTTCGCGGCAGTTGAGATTCAACATTTTTTGCATCAAACTGTCAGTTTCGGTTTAGGTTAAGTTTGGAATTGTAAAAATTTCGAACGTTTTCCTTTCGATTTAAAAATACTTTTGATATTTTTCAAAGGTTCAAACATAATAATCCAATATTGCGCAAAATATAAACAGAAATAATGAAACAATAAGGATCATAATCCAATGCATCTCTTTTCTGTGCTTCACGTGTTCGACAGGCGCTAACTCATTGGCTGCCGTTCCAACTGCCGAACGTCGCAAACTGCCGACTTAAATATTGACCATCTCTGAACTCCCCTGAACGTAAAACGAACTGCCAACTTTTCGATCGACTGACTTAATAAATGCATGCATTCATTTCATAGTGTTGAACATTTTCAACGTCAACTGAACCTCAACTAAACTTCAACTGCCGAATTTATAAATCCAGCTTTATAAGTCTTCATACAATTTTATTATATTACTTTGTTCATACAATTTTATATTATTCTATTGGTCGAATGGCGTTGAGGTCAGTTATAAATTAATTTTTGTTTTATTTGGAGTTATGGAGATGGTTACCCAATCGATATCTCTGAATTTGTTTGAACGTCTTTAACCTCAATTTCAAAGATATCATTTGGAACTGTCCAATCAAAGTGCTAACAGCATCGAGCAAGCGCAGAATACTTCTGGCAACCCAAGGATAGACTTATATAGGAAATGCATTTATTTACATTTTATATATATCCGCAATATTGGGACTAAAATTCAAGCGGTAGCCGCAGTATATTCTTTTAAATGTATATGGTCATATGGTATGCAAAACAAAAATAAGCTAAGTGGAGAATAACCTAACCTAACCTAACCTTTAGATATTACATTATTAAATTTACTTTTAAAGGTGCTCGGTAGCGTAGAAGTACAGGCTCTCGTCTACCAATCTCAAGGTAATGGGTTCGATCCCACACCCGGCATTTCATCAGCCGACTATTTTTATTAAAATAAAAATAGTTTGGGTACCTAGGTCGACTCAGCCTTAAATGAGTACTTGGGATTCACAATCCTGAGGTAATAATCGGCGGTTGAAGCGTAAGCTAGCCACATTACCTTCCTTGTATACCGAACGGCTCTAGTATGGCAAGCTGTACCTTGCTACTCCCATGGCGTTAAACGCTATATACGGGAGCTATTATTATTAGTAATTTACATTTAACAAGAAAAAATATTAAAAAAGGTTATGTTCGCAGGTGCTACAAAGCTTTAAACGGCATAGTAAATTAACACATTTTAACAAAAATTACCATAGCAACTGCACACTTGCGCTTTTGCATGCTTCTTGTTATATTCTAGATATATTTTGATTACTTGGATTTGAAGGGCCCAGGAAAATAACTTGATAAGCGCCAATATCTTAATTTTAGGATTTTACAATATTATAGTAGGTCTAACTGGTCTCTACAAAATGTATAAACACTGCAGGGCAATAAGTTATTAAATCCTATGATATATGCCTAGTAAACATATAGAATACACGGACAGAACCTGATAACCACCAGCCGTCAGTCACGTGTACGTCAGTAAAATTAACTAAACAATAAAATATTAATATGAAAATTTTAAAAACGTTTAATATAGACCGTAACTGAGCCGCTATCACAGAGCACATTCGCATCTACTACAAGGTACATTTTGTTTCATTCAAAACATTAGTATACACCAAAGGTATACACGATGTTAAATGTCCATAAAAGGAAAAGTTACCTGAGAAAAAAATTAGCATTATTATACATGACACTTTAACGCCATTCATAACAATTTTTATGTCATTTTAGATATTTTTTCGTATCCCATATGTTTAAATTCTAATTGTTTACTGTTAAAATCTCTGAAAAATCTCAAAGTCTAAAATTAAGCGATATATAATTTATGAACCAATCCATTCATCATATGGAATTCACATCATAGGAAACTCATGTTACCGATTTATATTACAGAAAACGTCTCAAAAGCAAAATTATTTACAAATAATGTTTTCATGCATGAGAAAATTTTTATATTAATATTTAATATATATTAAATTAATTTTAACATCAAAATGACTTGAAGTTACTTTATTTACAGCATCAAAGCAAAATTATATTTCTATGCTTAAGAAAATTTTGATATCTAAAATATAGATATATGTGTATCTAAAATTTTCTTTAAGACTAAAACGAACGCTATTTTATTTACAGCATCAAAGCATTTTTAACTTAAATGGTGTGCCTATATAAATGTAGTGTGGAATTACAATATATAAAAATAGAGGCTATGGAAACCAGTAACTTGCATATTGCATAAGTTTACTGAAGCAGTGTAAAAAGTCTGGTTAATGCATCAGATATTAACCTTAATCTTAACCTCGACAAGACTGTGGGCTACTTGTCAAATAGAAACTGTCACAATAGAAAAAAAAAAGATTTTAAAGAAGCTTTACTAATTCGAAAAATTAGTTTTTTAGTTTTTCATTAAATGTTTTTATACCTAAACAAAGTTTTTTACGCTGCAATCTTTTATACGTTCATCCCTGATATTTACCATCAACTAATCAAAATTTGACGAGCTGCATCAAATTATACGTCTAAAAAACGTATTACAAATAAACTAAAGCTTAAATTTTGGTCCTCAAAAAATCGCCTCGAAACTGCGTGGTCGGCATTTTAACGGTAAGACAGTGATGTAGGCAGCTTAAATGAAAAATGAAATGTATTAAAGAGATAAAAGTTAGGTTAACACATTTCCTATGCAGTATTGCCGGATTTCGCATCAACATTTCAAACCGCACAAGTAGGTATTTACGAAAAGTGTTGCATCTAGGATTGGAACTTTATTTTTCACAATTAGTTTGTTTTGGTCACTTTACTACAGCTGTAATAGATTCTTAAACAACTAACAGAAATGAGCATTATTGTATAACTTAGATATATTATCTTTGTTTATTATTTTAATTTGTGGTAAGAACCGGCAACACTGTATGCCGCTTTTTATTTTGTCTCTCTATCTGTCAACTGGTCGTATATATATATATTTATCTCTGTCGTATGCATTAAAGTACAGACCACGGAAATAAAGTGACCAGGACTAGTATATGGTCAGATAATTCAGTGCTAGAGATGCCCGACGCACTGTTGGAGGCCCCTGTATAGAGTTGAACTATTAAAGTATTAAGATTAATAACAGATATATTATAAACCAGACCATAAAGCACCCATAAAAACCACTAGGTTGCTGTCCACTTTCTGCAACCGAAACTTGGAATTTTTGTATTTTTTGAACAAAAGCATTGAAGTTTTTCATTTCCAATTATTCTTTTCGCCAGAATAATCGTTACAGGGAGAAATAAACCGTGTTATTTGCCCCGTGGACTATTTGTCAGTCGGTTATTATCCGCCGATACTTCTTGCTAGGAGGTTGGATGTCATCCTCATCGGAGAATGTCTGATAGGCATATTCTGGCAGGAATTTTTCCAATTGCTCGTCAAAGAACTTCTCCAAAGACTTGCCGTCGATATAAACTTGAGAATCCTCCTGAAATAATAACAATTCGGAAACTTTCTTATAATATCAAGTATAGAATGTTCAGCCATCGTTCAACGTCTATATTGTCGAATTCTTTTTCGTAAATTACTGCATATTGTTTTTAGTAAATATCATTGCCCTTTTGATTTGGGATTATAATTTTATTGACGAATATCGATCCACGTCAAAATTAAAATTTAGTTGCGCCATAGATAAAAGAAATAAATTTAGATTGGAATGCTCGGCTTACCGCTAAAACGTATAATTGTTTTGGGTCGCATACGTTGTCCGGGATCTGGCGTTGCTATAGCGGTTGCTAAGAACAACCGCAAACAAGAACAGAAGGAATTTTCTCTTGTCAAAGTCAGAATCTTCAAAAATTATAAAATCTTTCAAAATTTAAACCGCCCGCATTGAAAAAATACCGAAAAATGTTTAAAGCATCCATTTTCAAAGTAATTATTGCTATCTTGTAAGTTTAATTTAAATTTTATTTACTCAAACCGCTGATAATTGTGAAAAAGTGACATTAAAAAAACTTAAGCTGTGTGAACTGTGAAATGCCAAAAACCATCGTGGTATAACGTCGGTTTCCAATGTTCCATAGGTATTTCATACATGACCTCATACAAAATAAAGTTTCTTATATGCAACGCACTGTGTTTTATTTATCAAATTAAAAGAAAATAATAATAAATTCGAATAAATAATATATTTGGTCACATAATTCCGGAAAAAGCCGACCCGCTCCGAAATTATCAAAAGCTTTGGGTCGCGGCCGTTGCAAGAATAGCGCCAAATAGTACTTACATTGTCCTTATGGGCACTTTCCAATACAAAGTTGTTTCATTTATCTATGAATTGCCCTGTCAAACAATTTTTATTTCTGACTTTTTGATTTTTAATTTGAAATTCAATTTTTTTGTTACTAAAATGCGTTGCCCATTTAGCGAGAATGAACGAGTTCTCATCGCAAAGATTATTACTTATTTTACGCGAAAAAAGACACTAGTAAATCACTTTTGCTCGTTGATGTCGTATATGAAGTAAGTACAATACAAACATGTGTAATATCTATTGTAAACACAAATTAACTGCATTTTTAAATAATACAGTTTAAGAAGTAAAACTATATTTAATTATTTTAGGCATCTTGAGCTTCTAGAGTATCAAAGTGAATTTTATTGTACAAAATATCAAGTTTTTAATAAGTTTACTTTTAAAATAGGTAATAGGTACTGGCACAGATTAAGTATACTATACTCTGTTTTTTTTTCTCAGGTAAGATTTCGACAGACGATGACAGAAGAAAAGCAGATGACATCCCATACCAATCTATTTATTTTACTAAAAAAAGTTTCTAATAATTTTTAAGTTAACTATGGATGGGTTTAAATATAAATTCGTCATGCGTTGTCACTTGTTGTTTTTAACCAGTTTTATTGGTTTATTTCAAAAATGACAGATCGTATTTCAATTTTATTGGTTTAACGGAACGATGAACGACAAACGGACGCCGATACGTATGAACTCGCCTTTAGATTTTTGACGTTTTGTCAAAGTCTTGCCAAATTATAGGTTATAAGTTTGTGACAACTTTTGACAAATACCCTGCGTTTTAGAAGATGATGCATTTTGATTCGTGTTATTACGTGTTTTGTGTCTTTTGAAGTCAAGTGGAGGAAAAATCGAGTCAAAATTAACTGTAGAACCCCGAGCACTGTTTATGGTTAATACTAGCTGCCCAGGCAGAAAGTCTTATACAGATACACCAATAAAGTTACTATCAATAAAGTTCGTATACCATCTCGTCGTAGATAAGTGCATCTCGAATATGGTAGAAGGACCATACTAAAAACTGGAGTAGCTGTAAAATATCGACATCACACGATAGGTAAATAATGGATTTTAGTACTGCAGAAAAATAATGTCAAAAGGTACTGGTTTAAAAAAATTAAGATTAAAGTTAATTAATCAACCTGTGAGGTATAAAATTTGGCAAGTGTTATTATTAATAAAATAGTTTATTTTAATTATGTTGTTTTACTTATTCCTGCGGAATATTACAAATTTGTATTTGTACATACATAAGTTATATTGATAAATATAATGATAAATGCGGAAAGTTTCATAAAGCTTGAAAGAAAGAAATAGTTCTTTTTTATATTTTTTGGTATGTGGTGTCTTGTTTTTGTTTGTTTTGTATTAACACATACCGTTTTTTATTAAATAAAATAACTCGATTACATTTTTTCAGTTTTATACAGTTTTTATCACAATATTTTGAAGTTACTTGTCAGTCAAATTTTAAATACATATATTAATTTCCTGCTATGCGTTCCAGTTGTACCAACTTTTTTCTTTGTAAATTAAAGTAAACTACTTTGAAATTAAAATGACAGACACATCTATCACTGTCAAGGATCTTCTCGTTGGACAGACTATATATGTATACAGATAAAAATCTTATCCCTAAAGCCGGAGTCTCATGCATCCGAAATCCGATGACACGACGATCCGACGGTGCTCCTATTGGTCGAAATATTTTGACACCAATTTTTATCTGATAATTTTAACTAATCGTCCGACGTCGTATAAAGTTAAATTTTGTTTAAAATTGACTCGCGCATATCGTAACAATGATAAGGTACGCGTAAATCCTGGATGACGCTATTCAGTTTTCCGACATCTCTCTAATAACTGTGCCGGTCAGGCGCTGTGCACAATTTTAGAGGCCATAAGTGGGCGTGCTATGTGCGCAAACTACTAACCTAACTAGTGCCCGATTCCGAAAATTGGAACCACGAAAAACAATAAAGAAAAAACAAAGATTATAATCTGTATAATCTGTGGTACTGGTAAATAGGTATGATCTCAGACACCCTAAAACTGATATTTGACAAATAATGATGACGTAACGTTGAACAATATCATTTGATAATATCATGGCTAATTACAGGCGTTGAATTATTTTAATAAGTTAAAATATACAGTAAAGTTCACTCAATAAATATATGCTTTTGTTTTTTTAACAGTCAATAAATGATATAAATAATTAATCATTCCATATTTGGTTTTACTATTGTCTATACTTACAGGATTATAGGTATAGGCATTCTTAAACATCAAACGCACGTCTCGTATCAAAGATTCTATGTTCTTGTAGTGATTTTCATTGTTCCAATTCAGTTTCTGTCTAATAACATCCAAAGCAATTGGATTCTTGATAATCTGATGGTATTCCACATTCTAAAATCACATATACCTAATTAATAAAGCAAATGAGGGTATAAAATTAGACATTCCAAGACGTACATCGGTTGTAATTATTTCTCTAAAATGCAAACTATGTTCATATTGGCAGTACAATTCTAACACGAGGCGTTCAGCTATTTTTCTCTCTTTGAGACTCAATTCTCCTTCTTTCTTCTCACTCAAAATGTTCTGTGGTATGTCGGCGAAGTTCATACATAGCAAACATTGCCAGGTATCGTTTTCCCTACAAAGAAAGCATTTTTAATAAATAAGTAAAAAGGAGATGTAGAAGTAAGACTTTTATAAACGTTTTATTATTTTGATCTTTTATAAAAGAAAAAAGAATTTTGATCTATATATAAACGAAAATTTTCTTGAATTGTATTATTTGTATTGTGTATTTTTTGTTGTTTGTATTTTTTTGTGATTTTGTTGTTTGTGAGTGCTTTGTCGATGAAGCTGTTTTGGCTTTTTGCACAATAAAGCGTTGTTTGTTTGTTGTTTGTTATAAAAGTCTACTATTAAAATACAAGGATGGTCTGAAAAGTTTTGGCGCCAATGTAAAAAATAAAAACAGCTTTTAAAAAAATGTTTTTGTATAATTGTAAATTGTAAGTTTAGAAACATTTTAGAGTAGGCTTATATTTATAACCATAATGATTAAGTCAGTTTTATCATTATGGTTACTATTTAAATTTTTATTTAATAATTATTTAAAAAAGACCTTTTACAACTTACTCAACGCTAAGGTTAGGTATATGGCAATACTGATGGAATACTTTAGGGCACTTATCGCAGCATACCAGCTCCCCACCATCCATACAAACAGCGCACCAATCTTCGTTAGGATCATCTTTGCTAGTATCCATAAGCTCAGATTTGATCTTATGGGCTGGCTGAGTATCACCAGTTGAGCTGTCTACGTGAGGAGATCCACCTAATTTTAGAAATTTATGAAAATATTTTTTTATAAAGTGACCCATCCACCACAAAAATATCTTGCGCCTACCTTTTTGTCTTCCTTCAGCCAAGACTTGTACCCCATTAGAATCCAATTTAGCTATAGTTGCCATCAAATCCTTGACAGACTCTTCGCAGAACTTATCCAAACTCCTCTCAGTCTCCTGATGACCTTGGATATGATTGGGACTCGGAGTTTTGGGTATGGTAGAGGTTACCGTTGCCGGCGTGTTCTTGTTTTGTTCCGGCTGGTGTCTCAGGGTAATTTTGAAATTGTCGTTGATAGTCGGCATTGTGGATAAAGATCTGTTTGAACTCGAACCACCAGCGCCATCTGAAAAGAAATAAAACCATTGCAACACCTGTTTAAGAGCTCAAACACACTGACGACCAGGTCGCAGCTGCAAATGACTACATCTTTTTATTTTTAAATAGTACCCTCAGTATTTGTTTACCTAATTCAATAGAAAATGATAAATGATACTCTGAATAGAATGATATATCATATGTCAGTTTTTGACATTTTTGCATATGGTTTATTTGAAATTGTAAAATGAGGTTCATAACGACAATTTGACTCGAAATACCATGTATGTGATACCAAGTTATTTGTAAAAAACATAATTTTTCCAAATATGCTAATTAGTCACACTTGTTTCATTTGAAAAAATTGAGATATGATTAAAAATACGATGTAGGCATATTTTTATCGACCAGGACAAGACACGAAAAACATAAGACAATCAAATCTATTTTCCATGGTTTCTTGATTAAAAATTGATGTTTTTAACACAGCCATAGCATTTTAGATTGAAATTTAAAATACGATTTTTTAAACAAAAATGTCAGAAGTTGACATGTTATATGTTATTCTATCCAAAGTGGTAATTTTCTATCAAATAAAGTAAAAATATACCGAGTGTGCCATTTAAAAATCGAAAGTAAAAATTTTCGGTGAAACAGGAAGTGACCAAAACAATTGAATACGTCAATCAATCCTAATTTAGGCCATATACTACCATACCAATCAGTTTTTTTTATATAAAAAAAAAGTTATAGAGGTGAACCACTTTTAAGACGCACCCAGTATACCTCCTTTTATTTTCAACTGAAGATAATCATATTGCTATGACACAAAATATTTTAAGCATCACTGTCCAATATTGTCTTAGTAATAAGTAATCCTTATTGCAAAGTTTATTAGAGATTCACAACAAACAACAGAGTTTTATTAGTCTTCGACGAGTAAATGTTCATATGTTCATAAATGTTCTGACCAAAATGAGATAGTGTGTGGTGGTTGCTTGTCTATGCTTTCTATCTCGCAGTTTTAATAATAATTCGCCGTATTCCTCGTACATACCAAAATCGACACACAAGGCCAGAAATGCCGATCACTGTCAGCCAGATTGGCCAGATCTGTCATACTTACTTATACTTTGTTGTGGCGTATGCCATTTGGCACCACCAGACATTGACGAATATTGCGATTGTGGTCTTTGTTGAGGCATAATCATCCTATTAGAATTTTGCTGGCTGTTCATCAACATTCTTACTTGCTGTTGTTGTTGCTGCTGCTGCTGCTGTTGTTGTTGTTGCTGAGCACCAAACCTGCAAACAGATAATCATCAAAGATTAAATAACTTCCAACGAAATCTTCTACAAATATTTTTACCGAATGGACTGGTTTCCGGGAAAGCGGTTATGGAACTGATGGGGCTGTATAGCCTGGTACTGAGATGGACCAGTTTGAATGTAAATAGGGCTGTTATTATTTGGTTGAAGCAAGTGACGAAGATTGCTCCTGTCTTGCATCATACCATGGGGATGAGTGGAAGAAGAAACCTGAAAATAAATGTATTTTCTACAACTGACATTATACAAGGTTCACCAAAAAAATGTTTTTACAATTTATTGTGAGAGAGTAAAAACTTTCTAATAACTAAATAAGAAATTTCCTATCTGTTATAAAGTTTTTTGATACACCCTGTATAGTTAATACAGCGTGTTAAAAATACTGACTAAAACTATGAAAATTAAGAAGTGCTTTTGGCTGAATAGTGTAAAAGCAAGTAACCATATTTCAGAAGAAAATATTAAAAAATTATAAAAGCATTATATTTCTTATAATTTCTTAACTACCTTCCTACCTTGGTCATTAGTAAATATAAAAAAACATGAAAATTACAGAATAAATATAGTTTTTTTAAATGTACCTGTTGTTGTTGCTGGTTCATACCCATAGAACTACCAATTCTAGGCATCAAAGCTCTTTGCATTGTGGGCCTTTGCATTCTGTTAATATTTATCTGTTGAGCCAAAGTTAACGGAATATTTTTCGGTAAATTAAGCGGAGGGATACCCATATTTGACATCCTGTTTGACAAACTTTGATTTGGTTGTCCTAAATAAAAAAACAAATGACAATTTTCAATTTATTTTTAATAAATATATAATCCATCCATCAAAAGAAATTAGTTCTTATTGCCTAACTATTCCAGGTCCCAATGTTTTACATCTTATATGGTAACACTATGGATCAAATAAAAGATGCATAGATGGTAGATACAAATGTGGTCTGTGATAGCAGACGCTGCGTTAGTTTGGTTTAGTCGGTATCAAAATTCAAGCTCAAATATGGCTCAAATGTATCAAATAAAACGTCAAAACTGACAAAAAATTGTATGTTTATGACGTCGATGCAGATTTTTATTCATAAATATAAAAATTTTGTAAGTAATCAACTCCTTTCTTAGTCAATTTTACATCAAAACATTAAAAACTATTCTGGTGGAATGTGTCGATCTGTCATCCTAATTCAAATATACATATATTTGATACCACGGGCCCGATTCTGTAAACATATTTCCTGTCTAGTGACTCATCAATTGTATACAAATAGCTAGGCTAGACTTGACGGGAAATTTCTTGGTACGGAGCTTACAGAATCCCACTGCAGTTACACTTTTAGTTATGTAATCGAGAGTGTCATTGTTAGATTCATTGTTGCCAATCATGGCAACATATTCGTCGCCGGGCTGACTAACTGAAATTTAAATTTCCCACTGGGGATTCAGGTGGCAGCTCTGCTGTAAAATGTCAAGTTGTCACATTTATTTCCTGACATTGTTATTCGTTTTTACACTTTAGTGTTGTATTACGAGTTTTTGGTTTCAATGAATTGTGTTGCGATATTTTAAGCTTAAACATTTTTACTAGCAGACCTTGCAGTCAAACATTGTTCTTTTTAGAACTTATTTTAGTGCGAAATGTACAAGATAGCTTAATAGCCGTAAAAAACTCATTGCAACTTTATTAGAATATTAAGAACGGGAAAGCGGTAGTAATGTCCCTTTATGTCCGTTAAGTGCTGTTAAGGTGCGTTAAGTGCTGTTGATATACATAATAACTGTTTATTACATTAATTATATATTTATAGTTAATATGGGCAACACTGTGCCGGCCAAGCTTAATAATGTGACTAAAAGTTTATTTGATATGAACTATATATTGTTTTTTTTATGTATTGTGTGTGAAAATCACATACTCCCTTGCTGGACAGACTATACAAAAATACTACTGGACTAAACAACTTACCAAATTGCTGGGACATAGCGTTATGACCTAGAGACTGTCCAAGATGAGACATGTTGGATTGTTGAGAGAATTGTTGATTGTGGTTGTTATTTTGATATTGAGAGTAGGGTGGAGGATTCCCTAATCTCATTCCCATCTATGAATAAAAAACTAATGTAAATAATGTTGTAAAAGTGTGAAGTTTAGTTGATATTGAGAATTTTGAGATAAAACAACTGAATTGAAAGTTATGTTACAAAACTCAACTAAATGACTAGCGATATCCCTCAATAATGTACTAATCGTAAAAAAAGTAAAATGTGTTTAAATATAAGAGGCCACAGATTCCATAATACTATTTCATATACAGGGTGAGTCTTAAATAAGTGCAAATATTTTCGCTAAAAAAAATTGAAAATTTGGAATTTTTGGAAAAAAATTTTGGAATTTATTTTAGTTTTTAGTTAAAAAACATAACTTCTTGATAACATAGCAACATAGGTAGTAGATTAAATTTACAAGAAAAAAAAAACAGAAAAGATCCAGTTGTTCTCAAAATTTAAGCAAAATATTTTTTCTTTGGAAATTTTCAAAGTAAAATAACAGGTTATTTTGAAGTTGAAAAACAGTGAAGAGAAAATATGTTTCTTTTATTGAGATCTACCAGCCCTGAAAATATTTGCACTTATTTAAGACTCACCCTGTATAAAGTAGAAAGCATACTATACATAAAGTATTTTACCTGTTGTTGCTGTTGTTGACTTTGTGGAAATCCTGAGGAAGCAGGTTGTTGCAATAGTGGACTAATGGGTGATTGTTGTTGAGGTGGTCGCATCTGCCCAGGGCTGGGAGACTGATTTGGGGGGTAAGGAGCTGCCCCAGGAGATGCTGTTTGAGATGGATATACTCGGCCATCAACCACGATTTGACCAATTGTCTGCATTACTATATTTATAAAATATAGATCATTGCATTTTAAATATTCCAAAGTTTTTCATTTGTTAATACTTTAATACAATTTAATATATCTTTACCTGAAGATAAGCCTTATAGGTGAAGCACAGAGTGTAAGAATAGTATTTATTAAAATTCTTAACCAAAGTAATTCACAGAAAAGAAACATTAAAAAATTCAGTGACACAAATCACTAACAATAAACATAAAATATATGAAGAAAATGCACAAAAATGTGTTAATAAAAAAAAATTCATAGTGTATTTCACTGAAGTTTTTAGTGAGTATAATCATTTAAAACAAAATAAACCGTTTTATTACTCACCTCTAACCAATTCCGGTACTTTATCTAATGCCAAATGAATTCTTACAGGTATCTCAGGATTAGGAATGTCGGCCCTCTTACATTTGATCCTTTTCAAATGTTCAGTAACCTGCTTTTTGCTATACAGCAAAGCATTATCACTACCATTGTCCAGCGCGTATTGTGTAAATTCTATACAATGATCAGTCATTTTGGAGAGTTGTTCTAGTGCTAGTTTCTTTTCTTGAAGAGTTTTTTGTTTTGAGTCACACACTTCAGTTAGTTTTCCAACTAACTGTTTACCACGAGTACTAATTGTCTGAGTTAACCTATTGAAAAGATGCATGAAGAATAAATAAATAAGACAATAAATAAAAAATTTACTTTACTACAAGTTGAGTGATTTCTTTCACCAATGCTTGTTTCTTTTCTGTAATTAAATTTTGTCTGTCGTCAATAACCTTCATTGCACTAGTCAAAAGTGCTCTTTTGTATCTACAAATATATATTTAGTATTAAATTATATCTTCAACCAAAGGAAATTTTCTGCACTTACCCTACATCTTTAAGCATATCTGCAATATACTTCTTTGCTTCTGAAGCAATCTCATGAGTAAATTTGTATTTATGTTCTCTATGTTCGATTAATTGGCAATCTCTGCAAGTTAGTTTATCACATGTCTCACAAAAAAGAGACAACTTCTCATGTGGGTGATTTACACAATATAAGTTTGTTGTGCCGCCATTTGATACAGAGTTCAGCTCGTTCAAACCCTCTTCTTTTGATTTAATTGTATGGTCTTTTGTTATTTTTAATCTAGAGATATATTAATTAGTATACCACCCACATAAAATAGTTTTACAAAAGGCAAAAATTACTGTATGCTATATAAAGTTGTAAATTATCATATAAATTAGAAACATAAAAGGTAACTTTTAGTCTGCAGAACAAACCAGAAGCAAAGTTTCCAGAAGTGACATCTGTGGGTAATAAGCATTGAAATTCAAGATGAAGAAATCAATTGGAAGTGAATTTGTGGTTTAATTAATTAGTATATTGTAATTCTTAGTTTTTTGATCAAATACATAAATAATTTGTTATGTGTTATTCTGTGTGTAAAGGAATCTTTCACAATATAATTATTTTAAACATAATAGTTTGTCCATTATCAATAAATCATTTCTTATTCTTTACCTTTGATGAGCCTGAACACAGTTGTCACATATAAATTCAGAACAATCTGCACAATAACTTGAAGCGGCTGCTTCATCACTGCAGCTACTGCATTTTAAGTCGTTTTTAGATACAGCATTATTAGAGCCACCATCTTCAGCATTCAACTGCTCAATCAAAAACTGATTCTCTATTATATGGCTCGCATCACAATTTATATTACATACTGGGCAAGTTACTTGATGAGCTAAAACACAATTTAATGACACTTCATCTAACTACAGGGTGAGTGTGATACAAAATTCCATATTAAGTTTACTATCTGAAATTTCCACTACAATTCCTATAAAATGTGTCCCATAAATTTTTGCTGAAGCAATAGTTACTAGTGAGTCAAAGAGTTTAAAATATAGCAAAATGTAAGTTAATAGGTAACTCTCATATTCCAAAAACCATTAGGTATAGATTATAATATATTTTTGGAAGAATTTTATGACAAATTCAATAACAAAAATTATAGTTTATTAAATATTAGAACTTCAATTAAATATTAGAACTTATAAAAAATTAGAACTTCAATCTAAAACCATACCTAATTAGTGCTCTGTATATTTACAAAAAAAATTGGAGTGAAAATCTCAAAGAGAAAGTCTACTATTGAACTTTTTGGAGCAGTTTCACCCTACATAATTGATTACTTACTAGCAGAACCAGAAGATTCATTATTTTCAAAGAACTTATTATTAATACAACTAGCACAGGCATTGTGTAGACACTCCAAAAGCTTAGGATTATCGTTAGGTCCTAAATTACGGTCACAATAAATGCATTTAAAAGCAAACGCTTCGCCAGTTGCCGTAGGGCTTTCGACGTGCTGCTCTTCACTGGTATTCGAGTAGCAACCATCCTTATTAATGTCCTTCTGATGACCACTTTCATTTTGGTTCAGAGAGTTTACAGAGAGATCATCTGATACAGGATCAGAAGCAGTAGCATCCGCATTTAAATAACTATCTAACATTTGTAAATGTTCGCTATCCGAGGGGAACAAATTTTCTCCTAGACTTGGAACAGTTGAATTTAGGTCGGTCATCAAATTGGGGTCGTTCAAAAACAATTTTGACTCGGCCATGGTCACTACACTTTCTTCCTTGATCAAATCACTTCAGAAACAAAAATACCGATTAAAAAACATGTTATTAGAACACGTATTGCTGCTAATAACTATAAAACTCGTCAAAATGTACTCTTTTTTTCATAATATTATGTTTTGAACGAAAATATTATAATTACTTCATTACTTTATGACAGTTTCACCAGACGCCTTTTGAGAATCTGTGCAGGCAGGCATAATAAAAAGCAAAAATATCCCAATGTCAAAAATTGATGTTATATTAAAATAAAAAAAAAGTTGCTAAAATCGAGAAAAAACAACCAGAAAGTAAAATTAAATAACAAGACAACCGAACCAGTAAAATATCAATTTAGAGTCTGAGATATGACTATGTATTTAATACATATTTAATAAAAATATTATTTAAATTTTTTGTTTTTCTCAAGGTCAAGTGGATAGTGACAAAATAACTGTTGGGTTGGTAGACATAAAAGACAGGATCGTACTTGAAAGTAGGAATGTAAATAAAAAAAATATCGATATGCATAAATCGATTAGGTATTTTATAGGCTTGATGCATGATTTCAACAAATTCCGACCGCAGCGCTTCAACGGCTGAAGTCAGAAATTATCATTATGTACTTCATACTTCAGGCCGCCGTCATGTCGATCGCATTAAAATAATACTGAAATCGTGGTTTTGTCATAATATTTTAAGTATTTTAGTTTTTTGCTAGTGCTGTTATTGAGACTATAAAACACTCAGGTACACGAGGTTTGTGTGATGTAACGCTATTTCGGTATAGTAAAAAAATAATGAAAAAGAATTCGAACTAGGCGTCGTGTTGTAACAATTTCAAATATTAATATAATTACCGAAAAAATGTTCACGCGTAAAGGAGAGCGTAATTAGGGCGTTGTTAAGTGCAATATAATTCAATAATTCAACTTTCCCGGATATTCAACTCTCCTGAAACAACATTTTATAGCTTCATAGTTTCTCACACCGATTTGATCATAAGCAAAAATGGATACAGCAGTTCGATGAAACAAGCGAGTAAACAAAGTGCCCGTTATATAATCAAAAAATTAAATAGACGTATACTATGAGAGGATGAAATATAATTTTCAATATTAACTTTACTTAATCTTAATTACTTTTTTACTCAACTAGTGATTCAATGTTTTATGAACATCTTCTAAAATTATAATTATGTACCTTTAAAAAAATTCGTTATAGCCCAAATAGCCCCACTAGCAAAACCGGTGATTAAAACTATGCTTGCTACCGTAGTTGAACTCATCTAAATTGTTTTTAACTGGAATAATAAATTATAATACAAGTTAGACCTTCTGCAGATATGAAAACATTTATTTTTATATTTTTATTTTTAGAATTTTCACCAATTATACTCCCAAACACTTTTAGAATAATTAAATATTAAATTTTTCGTATACTCGCTTTTGAAACCTGTGATATATTTGTATATATCGATTGTTTACGATATTCTCTGATGGCAAATAACGCACGGTAAAAATATTTTATTCACTCCTGATTCACAGGAGTGCTCACTTACGGCGGAGTACCCCTTGTACCTAAAATTCTTTCTTATTTAATTCTTTTTTGTAGCTTTTTTATTCGTTTATTTTTATTTTAGATTTGTCAGCGCTGTATTGATTGGTTCAAGTTTCGGAAATTAGAAGAGGAAAACATCTTGGACTGCCGACTGAGCCGCCGTAATTGTATAAGGCTGTTATTGACAAATCTGTCATCAGAGCAGACTAATCAAAGATAAAGAATAAAATGGTTGATACCAAAGGTTGATACCATAGACTTAAAATAAAATATAAACTGAGCATCTCATTCATAAATAGCTGGAACATGCGGTCAGACACTGTCTTGTTATTGTTTTAGGTTATAACGAGTGCGACACGAGCGATAGATAGGTTGTCTCTGTCGTAACGGTCGTTCCCTGACGACTCTGCCGAGAAACACAACACTGTCTTTCGTTTCTCAAGTACACCTGAACTCTCCGTATCATAGCCGGGTATTTTTTATTTTAATGAAGCTATAATTAAATTAAAATATATCGTATTTAAACTTTTTATATTTTATTAAGATTTAGGACAGGTTTTTAAATAAAAGTTTAGAAAAAACAATTTAGAGTCCAAAAAGGATAAAAATAATAAAATACACGTTATAGAAGAAATTTTATAATCGAAATTACGTAATTTTTGAAATTAATAATAAATTATTAATTTTAGTCAAACATTTACATAATAATAATCAAAACAGGATCTATTCCACAGATATAATAGAATCGGCGACAGGGAGAGAAAAAAATAATATATGATTGTTGTAATTTTTTTTCTGGTTAAGTGATGTCTTATGTAAATTAGAGAAAACATAAATCTGTTCCATTAAAGCAAGGAAGGTGATAGGAAGTGGATAAAATGAAAACTACATTTATTTAACTCGGTACTGTCTTTATTATATCGGGTGCGTCCCAAAAGTGGCTCATCCCCATAATTTTTTTATATTTTCAAATAAAAAACTAAGATTTAGTATGTTAGTATATGACATAAATTAGGATTGATTGACGCATTCAATTGTTTTTGGTCACTTCCTGTTTCATCGGAAATGACTATAACTTTTAATTTTTAAACGGCACCCTTGGTATATTTCTACTTTATTCGATAGAAAATGACACTCTGAATAGAATGACATATGATATGTCAACTTTTGATATTTTCGCATATGGTTTAATTGTAATTGTAACACGCGGTTCATAACGACAATTTGACTCGAAATACCAAGTGTGTGGTATAAATATATTCATAAAAAAATGCTTTTTCCAAATATGCTAACGAGTCACCCTTGTTCCATTTGAAAAAATTGACATATGCATGATTAAAAATACGATATGTACATCTTTTAACCGGCCTAGACAAGACACGAAACCCATTAGACGATCAAAACTATTTTTCCAAGGCTCCTTGATTAAAACTTAGTGTTTTTAACAACACCATGGCACCCTGGATTGGAATTTAAAATAGGATTTGTTTTTAAGCGACAATGTCAAAAGTTGACATATAATATGTCATTCTATTCAGAGTGTCATTTTTTATCGAATAAAGTAGCAATATACCGAGGGTGCCTTTAAAAATCAAAAGATGTAATCATTTCGGTGAAACAGGAAGAGACCAAAAACAATTGAATGCGTCAATAAATCCTAATTTATGTCATATACCTACTAACATACAAATCTGTTTTTTTTATCTGAAAAAATAAAAAAGTTATAGGGGTGAGCCACTTTTGAGACGACCCGGTATATTAAAAAATATTGTTTCATAATGTAATATCATTTTAAAATTCTTGTATGTTATTTTAGATTCTGAAGATAATTTTAGAATAAACCGGAATATATTTTTAATAAAAAACATTATTAATTATTAACAGGGTTATAATTATGATTTTGTTACAATCTAAGTAAGTAAATAATGTAATGTAAGAGAAAAAATTCAGATTTTACATTTTACTAAAATATTATCTAAATAAGCGCCTTTCTACAACAACGCCACTGACTCCCAATGGGTAAATTGAGAGTTGCCTACCGGTCAAAAGTCGTTTCAAGACTTAAATGGATTATTTAAGTCAAATTTCTTGCAAATTTGGCACTGGCAAACCATATTTTATAGTTCTTGAACAGAAAAAGTCAATAAAATAAACACTTAAGGACTACAGGCTAAGAAAATGCGTTAATACAGCCGGGGAGATAGCGGCAACAAAGCTTTACCGCACACGTGCGACACGTACTACAAGGTAATAAATGAGTGAATAGGCTCCCTCGCCTCTAATCGGTGTTGTCATATTGTCAAGAACTTATCCATTTTAAACAGTATCCGACTTATAATTTAGTAGTATAAGGACTATTTAATACATCTATGGAATATTAAAACCTACTTTAAAAAAAAATTAAAAAAACTATTTTAAACTGTACTATTAATATCTCAATATATGTGTATAACAAGAAAAAAATTATTGATAATATTAAAGACGTGACAACATAGGCTGGATGAGGAAGGCTCGGTCGACTGTGCCCAGAAGTAAACATGTGTACAAAAAATATTGTTTGTCCGCGTTGAGATGTAAATAGTGTAGTCTATATTTTATTTTAAGTCTATGGTTGATACGTTGATACCAATGATCTGCGATCTAAATAGATTTTTTGAACCATCGATAGCTTCATCCATTCCTATGGACAGGGCCGTACTTGCAAAAATTGATATATGATTAAAAAAAGTACATTAATTTATGCATACATTTATTAAAGAAAAACACTGCGGGAATGAACAGAAGCCACATTTAATGTTACGTAAAGTTAGAATGTTGAAGTACTACATATCCTTGAATTCTCCACTGCTATTGAGAAGCAAAATGTTTGGATTTTCCTTTTCAAATTCGCCAGGCTCTCGTTCTCTGTCTTCTTTACCCCATTCTCCCACACAACTCATTACGTTTGGCTGTTTCTCCTTTTCGAATTCCTCCCGCTTTCACATAAAAAATATTCACTTATTTATTCTAATCTAGTACCCATAATGAATTTCTTAATTTATTCATTGCGTGCATATAAAAATCTAACCTATAAACTTAATTCTGATTCACCTGGGTATCCATTTTGGCAAACTTATCGAACATGTTCGCGTAAATCTTTTTCTCTTTTTGCAACTGTTCTCTTAAAATTTTGCCGCAGAGTGCCTGTTGCGATTTGACAGCTGTGTTGTTTGGTTCGAGTTTGAGACATTGGGAGAAGTCTTCTGCTGCAGATTGGGCTTCGCCTAGTTGTAACAGGGCTTGACCTCTTCTGAATAGAGCTTTTACGTTTAGAGGGTCTATATCTAGAGCCTTTGTAGCGGCATTTTTGGCTTTGAAATAATTTTTCAGTTTCAATTCGCACAAGGCAATATTCAAATATGAAGCTAATAGCAGAGCTAATCTTTCTTTTTCTAAATTTTCTTCAATATCTACAAAAAAATATATCAAAGTTTATATCTAAATCTTTCTATAACAATATTATGGCATATAATAATTGTTAAAAAACTCCATATTAAGTTTTCTGTTTGATATTCTAAATCTCTAAATTGATTTTTTGAAAATATTGATACGCGCATTCTTCAAATTTAAAAAATGTTGTCGACACTTATTTTTACAGTAAAGTTATAGTTCTTGAAATAAAGATGCAACATTTTTTTTCCAATGCAACAGTTTTTGGACTTTCCATGAATATCACAATAATTATCATACCGGGCGCGTCTCAAAAATGGCTCACCCCTATAACTTTTTTTATTTTTTCAGATAAAAAAATATGTTTCCTTTATCGAGATCTACGACCCATTAAAATAAGTGCACTTATTTCTGAGACACCCTGTATAGAGACAAATATGACTTCTACTATGAGATAATTAGGATTGATTGACGTATTTAATTGTTTTGGGTCACTTGTCACTTCCTGTTTTACCGGAAATTATTACAACTTTTGAATTTTAAATGACATCCTAGGTATTTTGTTTACTTTATTAGATAGAAATTGATACTCTCAATAGAATGACATATCATATGTCTTTGACATTTTCGCATGTGGTTTATTTGAAATTGTCACATGCTGTTCATAACGACAGTTTGACTCAAAATACCAAGTGAGTGGTACCAAATTATCTGCAAAAAATGCTTTTTCCAAATATGCTAATGAGCCACCGTTGTTCCATTTGGAAAAATTGAGATATGATTAAAAATACGATTTGGGCATCTTTTAACTGGCCCGGACAAGACACGAAAAATATTAAAGCGATCAAATCTATTTTTCCAAGGCTCCTTGATTAAAATTAGTGTTTGTAACACAGCCATGGCATTCTAGATTGAAATTTAAAATACGATTTTTTTAAGCGAAAATGTCAAAAGTAATTCTCGTTTTTTTATCTAAAAAATAAAAAAGTTATAGGGGTGAGCCACTTTTGAGACGCACCCGATATATCACATCAAGGAATAATCAGAATATTATCTTATAGCGTTAGAGTAAAAGTCTGGCGCCCAGCTGTCAAATTTGACAGCTGTTTGAAATTGACAGAACGTAGTTCTGAGAACAAAGGTTGAGTTTTGTGACTTTTATGGCAGTTCCCCGCGTTGTCCTTAACGATATTTAATTCGTACTTTTTCAAACACATAAAATTGTACTTCTTGTGTAAGATAAAGATATTATAAATGATGATAATTATTCTTTAATTATTGGCTGAGGCTAATATTTTTTTATTTTACTAACCAGTGATTAAGCATTCCAATTTAAATGAAAAACATAAAATTGGTAAAATGTTTCCAAATGAATAATTGTCCAATACTTTGGACAATTTGTGCACTGCACAACACTTGATTTTTGATTACAGTGGAAATACGTTCGATTTTTAAAGCGCTTGCGCAAAATAAGGTCCTCGGACAAATCTATTGTAGTGATGGGCAAAACTGTTATTTTTAGATAACAGTTGAAACTGTTATAGTTATTTATAAAAAACAGCTTAAAATAACAGCTTAAAAATAACAGGTTTCTTTATTTTACTGCTAAATATCTGAAAGAGTATGAGAAGGTCACCGCCAGGCGTATTAACGCAGTTGCAAGTTGCAACAACGACGTGCTCGGTGATAGTATTTCCAGGGTGTCAAAACATTTCTAAATATCGATTGTTATCTAAAATACCTCTCTAAAAACGGTGGTTGTTTACAAATAAGCGCTGTTTACAAATTGCGGCATAAAATATGTATACCTATACATTCCGATCCGATAAATATATATACCTATACATTCCGATCAACCTACGCCCTGCCCCTCGATCCGGATAGATCCTGAATTGCGTAGCAGTGTACAGGGTGCATCTCACTCGACGGCCGAGAAGCTCTTAGTTATGATTTTACCATTTGCGGTCAAAAAATAGCAATATAAGAAAATGTGTAGTATATTCTTCATAAGTAAACCAACTACACACTAGAGTTCGAATTAATTTTACACTTAAACTAGCGTGTACCCGCGACTTCGTTCGCGTCGAATTAATAATTTCTAATGGTAATGATAAAGCAAAATAAGAATTTCCATTAACATACAAACTGGATAAAATTTTCTCACATTTGCCAAAAATAAGCTTTAAACGTCGAGCAGTTTAAGCAGAATCGTGGTTAATCAATTACTCAACTTTTTGGAACAACGTGTACGATTTTTTAAAAAATTTCAAAATATGTAAAAAAACAAAATAAATTATGCGTGTCTAGGCGTTTTCCCGAAAGACTAACCGTTTTTTAAATAACAAATATTGTAATATTTGAGGGGCGTTTTCACCCTGTTGGAATTTGAGATTCGAGAAACTCCGCCTTATCGAACCTCAACCCCACAGTCAATCTGTTTGCCAAAAATCAGCTTTAAACGTCAAGCAGTTTAAGCAGAATAGTGATAACTCAATGGTCATATTTTATGAAGCACCCTGTATATATTTTTAAAAAATCTTAAAATATGTAAAACAACATAATAAAATATACGTGTTTTAAGAGTTTTCCCGAAAAACTCACCGGCTTTTAAATAAAAAATATTCTAATATTTGAGGGTAGTTTCACCCCCTTAAAATTCGAGTTTTGAAAAATCCCTTCTTATCGAACCTCTACACCCTAAAGTAAATCCGTTTTCCAAAAATCGGCTTTTTACGTCAAGGGCTTTAAGCAGGATCGTGATTAATCAATGACCAGATTTTTCAAAACACCCTGTATACATTTTTAAAAAAACTGAAAATATTATTCTGAAAATTTTTCAGAATAAATAAATACCTAAATATTGAAACTTAATAACGTACTGAAACATACAGCGCCATAATATCTCGACCTCCGCCCGTTATGCTCGTAAGAGGTTGAAAAACAATGTATCTAAAACAACTGATGCGTTATTCTCCAACCTGTTTCGAACTTCCATCGACAATCGACCGATGCGGCAGCGTTCCTTTCCCACTCCGATTATCTCGACCGCCACCCTGTTATGCTCGTAACAGATTGAAAAACAACGTATCTAAAATGACTGCTTCTCCAACCCGTTGCGAGCCTCCATCGACAATCGACCGATGCAGCAGCGTTCCTTTCCTACTCCTGTTATCTCGACCGCCAGGCGTTATGCCCGCAACTGTTTCAAAAAAACTGCTTCTTTTATATCCTATTATTTTTAAGCTGTTATAAGCCCAATATCGACGGCATCGACCGAAGCAGCTACGTTCGCCGTAGCGCATTCCCCACTCCGTTGTCCGTTGTCTCGCCGCCTGTATCGATGGTTGACGAAATAACATGTTTTCCATCCATACTAGTTGTTTTTTGGAATTGCTTCGAGCAGCATAGAATTTCGTGGCGGTGCAGAGCGCCGACTTCGTTTTTCCTTTCACGAGCGGCTGATCTCTACGTGTTGTTATTTTATATCTGTTATTTTTTAGAAGTAGTAACGGTTGCGTTATGTTATTTATAAATAATTGTTATAAAATAACAGATAGTTAAATAACAACCCATCACTAATCTATTGAACGATTTATAAGTGCAATAAAGAAGGTACGAAAATAGCATGTTGTGATGCTGACCCTTTCTAATACTAATCTTATGGCGTTGATATATCCATTTATATGTATATATGATCTAGGTTTCCAGAAAACCTAATAACGGAGCTTTCTTTTAAGAGTTACCTTGTATAGATATAAAAATTCTTACCTTTTTCACTTGCTAAATAATTCTGTATTCTCTTATAATACCAAATGGCCGTAGAACAGTCTCCCTCCTTAAAGTTTGCAGTTCCTCGGTCTTTGAATATTCTGCACTGTTCGAGCTTTTCCTCTGTCGATAAAGACCAGCTTTCCTTGGCTTTTTCAAAATTTCTTAGTGTAACTGTGTATTCAACAGTGGCATCGGAAGGTATATTAAACGTATTGGTAAAAGCTTTGTCGCCAAACGCATATTTCGGTTTAATTAACAATTTAGAACATTCGTTCTTCTTGAATTTTACAAGGGCTCGGTCGATACCCTTTACCACATTCGCTGATCTATATTCGCAAAGAGTATATGTAACGTCACGATCGTCAAATATCTTATCCTCATATTTTCCAGTAACGTGAACTAAAATTTAAAAAAAATAAGGGTAAAATTTTAGTAATCAAGGTTGGAACAATTTCATAATTTTAATAAAGTTTAATCATTATTAATAATGGATGATCAAAGTGTCTAACAAGTTATAGTTAAAAAAATAACTGGTCTCTGATATTTGATACACATCTTCCAAGCATCAAAATGCTTAATTTCCTTCCAGCCAATGCAGAAATGATTTCCACGCAACAGTCACCGCATCATATTTTCAGCGAATTCATATAATTCAGCGACCCTGCAGTAAACTGTTTAGAAATGTTTAAATATTTTAAGAGAAGTCAGTGGTGTATCACTTTTTTCTCCAAAAATATTCAATGTAAAACCCGTCTGGTTGGCACTGGTTGAAATAAATAAAATTATACACCAAAACAAGTATTTTGATGCACAGAAGACGTTTATCAAGTTTTATAAAAATATCTATAATAAAATCAGAGTTATTATAAAAAAGGTTTTTTTTTAGAAAAATTTACCACCCTGTATCACAGAAATTAAGATGTTTAGCACATACATTCATATGAAGTTTTTCTCTTAGAATAAGTCCAAGAAGCACACCCGTAAATATATTAGCATGTCATTAAGGCACACTCTGTATAATCTTGTTTTACAATTCAAGGAAGATTTCGACAGACGATAATAAAAAAAGGCAGATGACGTCCATACCAATATATTTATTTCACGAAAAAAGTTTCTAATATTTTTAGCCGACCATACCAATAGGTATGGTAGGCTATTATCATAGTATAAGGAAACTAGTAGCTTTACTTCTTGTCAAATCCTTTGTTCTTTTTCTGCCACTTTATATGACCTTGTTCTCGCCTCCCGTGACTGACGTAGCTGTATAGTCGTGGTCTATTAACTAGGCAAAGTATAGTCGTGGCACTCGCCATAGTTTCACAGATATGTTTTAGGAAAATATGAGTTCACAATAAAATAAAATAAAAAAAATTGATCATCGAGTAAAAACTTGCTTGAAAACAGAATATTTTCACATTTCGTGTAGGTAACAATTCTTCTGTATCTGAAAATCTTCTGATGGGAAGAAATGCGGAAAAAAATATATGATGACATATTTTTATATTATTATCTATTTCAGAGATCTTCTACAACTTTTTTTTGATTTAAAACAAGTTTAATTTTCTGATTTTCTAGATAACTGGATTCGGCATAAAATTCTGCATATAGTACTCTGCCTTTATTTAAAGCACACTGCGGTGTTGCCATTCTATTTCTTATTTACTAAAACTTTGGTTAAAAACATTATATACAAAAAGTGGTAAAAAACTAGAGTGAATATAACTTTATTAATACTTAGCTATGTTTTCTTAAATATGAAGGATACCAGAATTAATTCGTGTAGAAAAATATACTTTTTCGTATACAGTGTATTTTTTATGGCGTCACCAAAATCGTAATATTTAAAATGTTGTATCTCATTTTTTTTTAAATGCCACACCTTGTATATTATTTTTCTTTCAGATGTAGAATTAAACGGTGAACATTTTTTGTATTTAAAGTGTTCTTAAATTTTTAGCCGTTTTGCAAATATTTTCTGTATTTCATTACATATGGGATTTTCAACGATAAAATATCAGACAAAGATCATATTAAGTGGCTTTGATAAAAATTTACTATTGAAAGAGAACGCGAATATCTGCGAAACCGTTAAAAATTTAGAAACAGTTTAAATAAAAAAAAGTTCACTTTCTAATTCTGCACCTGACAGAAAAATAATATATAGAATGTTGCTTTTAAAAAAATTGAGATATACCATTTTAAGTATTCCGCTTTTGGTGACGCCATAAAAAATATCCTATATAGAATAATGTAAATTTTTCTACGCGGATTTGTTATCATTGTTTAGGAAAATATAGCCTAACACTTGGCTATATTTTCTATTTTCTTTATTAACACTTGGCTATAATAAAGCCAAGTGTTAATAAAGTTATATTCACTCTAGTTTTTTACAATTTTTCGGATATAATGTTTTTAACCAAAATTTTAGTAAATAAATCATAGAATGGCAACACTGTAGAATGATTCAAATAAAAATAGTCTACAATATGCAGAATTTTATGCCGAATCCGATTATCTACAGAAAAATGGGAGGGGTGGTGTAGTTGGTTAGGCAGTTAAAAAAAAATAAAACTAACTTTACCATAACTTTTTGTGACACCCTGTATACATATAACAAAATATTTTAGGATACGCCGACGTATCCTACGTAGGACGAAGGATTCGACAACGACGATATTGGACCTAATAAATTCCTCGCACTAATGGGCCACCCTGTATATTTACGGTTGTTTAAAGCTAGGTGTGGCACTTTTCTTCCCTCAAATATAAACTCAATATTTTGTCTATAATATTTTGAATATTGTTATATTACGACCACTTATAATAAAAAATAAATAAAATAAAAAAAAACATAAAAAATACAGTCCACTAAATTTATAAGAGATTATGCTATTATAAAATTCTTTCAATTAAAAAATATGAATAATTTGCGGAGACTTTAGATGTACAAAATATTTACTCTAAAATTGTTTCAAAAAAATATTTTCATGTGCATATTTGAGACAACCTGTATATCTAAAAAACTATTTTTAAAATCTGCCCACATGCTAAAAAATATAATAACATTTAATTAATTACATAATATCTCAGCTTCTAAAATAAACAAATATAATTAAATGTGTATTGATAATTACTATCAGCTTGCCGATTTACATCCGATGGAAATCTAAAAAAACTCAAAGAACAATTTTTTGAATTATTACTACAATTAATAGCAGCACACAGTAAGGCACTCATTTTTTGTCAATCCGGCTCTGTGCTGGGACGCAACGCTCGAACCTTGCAGCTCGACGGACGGAATTCAACTGAAACGCTTTGCAATCTGCCGATATTCGACAGATTGCAAAAACTGGCAGAAAATATTTGCGAGAGTGCAACTACTCTTTTCCTTAAACTATGCTATTATTAAGATCGGAAAAAAAAAAGTTTTTTTAATTACACTCGAAAGTTAATAATAATGACCAAAATACAAAATACAGGGTGATTTTTAACATATACGCATAAACTTGGGAAATTATTGCTGATGACAAATAATGACTAATAATGAAAAAAAAAGTAAGTAAAATATTTTTATTTACGGAGATAACAAACTATTTGAAATAAAAACAAAAAACGTAAATTCCATTAAATTGAATGCGCACTAAATATTTTTATTTACGGAAATAACAAACTATTTGAAATAAAAACAAAAAACGTAAATTCCATTAAATTGAATGTGCGTTTACTGATCAAGTTGATAAATTTTTGTGAAAAAAAACTCAAATTATTTTAGAATCTAAAAATATTTTACTAACTTTTTTTTTCATTATTAGTCATCAGCAACAATTTCCCAAGTTTATGCGTACAGGTTAAAAATCACCCTGTATTTTCATGGTGTCTGTCTGTCTGTCCGTCTGTAACACGATAACACAGCTTAAGTAAAAAACAGCTCGGACAGTGTAGCGTGCCGCTTTGATCTTTTTAAGCTCGGATTTGCGATTCGAAAGAGGGAGAACACTAGAGCGGCGAGCTCTCTCGCCACAACCAATAGCCGCGTAAGCGGCAGTCAGCCCAGAGATGTATTAAAAAAAAGTTTACACGTGACGTAAAAAATTATTCGACTGGTGCTAGAACATAATTTAGATACATGTTTTTTAAATTGTTGACTTTAAATAAATATGCATTCTCAAAGAAAAACATTTAAAAAACAAATTAATTAATTTATTTCTAGAAATAACAGCAAAATGAAATAGGTACATTGATTACTTATAGTTATTTACGAATGTTTCCAAATTAGGAGCTTTCGGTTTTTGTTTACTACATTTAAGTTCTTATTAATATTCTTTAAGGTATTAATAAATTAACTTTTGCGTATAATTTTAACAAAAAATACATTATAGGAAAATTTTGACAAGGATGGTTGAATTTAATTGTCTGAAATAATTTAACGAATTTACATAATATATTTTCGTTTAAGGAAAGTTCTTCAAAATTGTTCTGATAAATTTTATAAAAAACTTTTTTAAAAATAAGTTTTTATTTAAATACACTAAAAAGAATAAAATAAACTTTTTCTTTAAAACTTTTATTATGAACTTATAACGTCATTACACAATTTTAATATTAATATATAAAAGCTTGCCGCGAGATTTGAGTGTACAGTTGCACTCATAAAAATCTGGTACGACAACTTTATCTTGTAATTCCTGGTCTAGTGGTCTATCATAACACAAACTTTGAAAATGAGACAGGGTAGACACAGGTTTTAGTTAATTTACTTGTTTATCGATGTAGAGAAATTTCGCGACAAGCTTTTATATAATATTAAAATTGTGTAATGGCGTTATAAGTTCATAATAAAAGTTTTAAAGAAAAAGTTTATTTTATTCTTTTAGTGTATTTAAATTTAAATAAAAGCTTGTTTTTAAAAAAGTTTTTTTGTAAAATTATTTTCTACTTTTTAGTTATGCTGGTTTCTCAGTGCCACACATTTAAACTCAATTTTTTCTTAAATAACTTTCTATGGGCATCCTAATAATATGTATATCGATTTTCATTAAAAAGGAGAACTTAAAAAAACGACAGCTGTCAAATTTGACAGTTCAAATGTGAGACAAATAAAATGAAAACCGACTATGGGGTAGGGGGCATCCAATATATCGATTTTTATCAAAATCGGACAAATTTGAAATTTTTTTGACAGCTGTCCAGTTTCACAGCTCAAAATTTTTTTCTTTCATTTTAGCCCATGGTCATCATCGATTTTTATCCAAATCGGACAACTTTGAAATTTTTTGACAGCTGTCAAATTTGACAGCTCAAAATTTTGTTCTTTCATTTTCGCCCATGGCCGTCCTATATATCAATTTTTATCATGCCTTGCAAAAAATGTATTGTCATCGGGTCTGAACCTACATGCCAAATTTCCTTTGAATAAGAAGACTAAGGAAGGAGCATATCAAAAATCTTAGGTACATCGCAATGGGCCTCAAATATGGCCGACTTAAATTCCGGTTTATCAGTGTCGTTCTAATTTTATTTAAAAAATGTAAAACTATGATGTAGGGTAGACGTGGGGTAGACTCAATAATTTGTTGTTTTATTTTACGTTGTGAATAAATGTTGGTAGTTAATAAAATTGTTATAAAAATATATAATTCTAATAAAAATAGATAAGTTATAATAAGTATTTATTAACACAAACATCCGATACGCTACTGAAGCAGGTAAGTCAAATTAACGTATCTAAATTCTTTGACATCTAATCTTTGACAAGTAATAAATAAAAGCTAAAATGGAAGAAAAATATATAATTTAGTTAATTTAAGTGAATTTCATAAATGATCGGTTTACTACACGTATGTATATTATATATTCACTTACTAGCGAAAAGTTGTTCAATTATTTCACTCAATTTTTGCTGAGATCTACCGCACGCTACACAACCAACTATTTTCGAGTCTTTTTCGATAAATCGCGATAGTGTCACTGTTAATTTAAGTTCTGCCACAATTTCCATCTAGATTTACTACATTTATACAACTATCAGTAGTAGAATAAATAATAAATAACATAAAATAAGCTCCGTAAAGACTGACAAATCCACAAAATTTCAAATCAAATTCAAATGTGTCAAATGAATCGTCAAACAGAACTGTCAAGGATCCCCACTCTAGAGAGCTTTTATGGTGGCTTTTCCGCCCACCATGCATGAATACATGGATAGCATTATGCTCCTTCCTTAGTCTTCTTATTCAAAGCAAATTTCAATCTCCTACAATAAAAGGAAGTGGTTCTAATTTAGCTTACAAGATTTGCCCCGCAAAAACATACATACATACATAGATAGTTACATACAAAGCTGATAAAAATATAGCCTCCAATGGACACTAAATAAATATATAGGACACTAAATAAAAAAATGGTCACTTGGCATTAGCAAGCCTCCAAATAAGTGGTCTTTATTGTTTTGAAAAGTCTCTAAAGTGTGAATACTTTTGAATTGAACATTAATTTTGAATTGAATTGAAAATTAAACAGACTATATTTTGAATTATTTCCATAATTATTTGTGTAACCAGCAGCCGCACATCCCGGAAAACCTTTTCCCATTCCAACAATAAAAATAAAATTGAAATAAAAGCACAAATACCTATGGTTAAATATAAGAAAAAATCGAATTAAAATCTTCCGTAATACGGCCCTACACGTCACCGGTGGAGGTTATGCATCGACTGAATGAGGCTGACTGTCGCACTTGTGTCTAGCCCTAGCAGGCAACCAAACCAAACCAATCACGTTAGAGTTTTTGACAAACACAAATTAATTAACACACTCCAAATAACCACGCTAACCAACCTGATTGGTCAAGCTTAATAGTTGACTGCTACGACTAGACACTTCTGACTGTCGCTCGCTTAATTCAGTTAAGCATCGTCGGAGTGGGGCGTTTTAAATTCGAGCGTGGGAAAAATTGGCGAGTGTCCAAGCTATATTATTCTGTAAGCTGTGACGATAACTCAAAAACCGCTAAACCGATTTTAACCAAATTCGGCACAAAAATACTGTGGCACCCGAGAATCTGGCCATTAGTTTTTGGTGGGGGTGGGGGGTTGGTAAGGGGTTATGGGAGGGGGTTAAAAGTTTTAAAAAATCATAACTCCAAAATTACAGTAGCTAGCGAAACGCGGTTTTCAATTTAAGATTAGGAATAATATTTGCAACAAAATTTGTAATAACATCAAAATCAGTCAAAGTCGCAGTTTTTGAGATAAAAAAAAATTGGAAAGATTCCTTTACTTTGAAACTAAAAGAACTGCCTACCAACTTTTTATTAACATATTTTAGTATGGGCGGCTATACGTGCCTTCCTGCGCCAATTTTTTAAGTTAACTATGGATAGGTTGTAGTCATTATTGAATCTGTTTACTTGATAGTAATTAGACTCAAATAATAAATATGGAATTTTTTGTGCCAAAGGTTCAACAGAAACTGTTTTATCATCATGTTTTCTCAAAAAAATGAGTTAAACTATCTAGTCAACATGTTTATATGTGTAAATATGTATAAATAAATAAAATTCCAAATATCTTGAGAACGGTTGGTTTGGCGATTTTTACCAAGAGACCTTTTTTACGTAAAAAACAGCGGAAATGTATATTTTTTTACTCACTAGCTTAATACCGTATGATCGAAAAAAACGGCGTCCATAGCTGGCTTGGAAATGACGATCGATGACATTTCCCATATAATTTTACATATAAAATGACAGCGATCTTCATTTCATAGCCATCGCTGACGCCGTTTTTATTCGATCATATGGTACTTCTACACCCTGTATCTCCGAAACTAAGCATTCTAGAACATAAAATTATACAAACTTATTTACATATTTTTATCTGCAGAATATACTACAGAATACATTTTAGATCACCTTGCATATCATATATTTTAAAAATTATTTTCCACCCCATATAATACAAGATTTCTTGGGGTATATATTGATGAATTTTTAAATTGGAAAGAACATATCACAAATATATGTTTCAAAATATAGAAAGTAAGTTAAAGTTATTATTTGATTTTCTTACTTTCAACTTGACTCAGTTCATTTGGGGTCTCATACCCTTCACCCGGGGTTATAATCTCCAATCGTTCAATACCACCATCATGTTTCGGACTCAAATCCTCACATTTCCAATCTAAAACTTCAACCTAAAACATTTCAATAAAACTAACCAGTAATACAAAAAATATTAATAAATATACATCAAATTTTAAAGTAGAACTTGGAGGTATTGTTGGTGGACTTCCAGCTTCTCCATAAGCATACTCTGGGGTACAAGTTAGAATAGCCCTTTCTCCTTTTTTCATAGTCGCTACACCAAAATCCCATCCTTTGATAACAGAACCTATTTAAAACATATTATTAATTAAAAATATACAAAAAATTACATTATTTTACCTTTTCCTAAATCAAACTCAAAGGGCTCATTTCTATCTCTACTTGAATCAAACTTTGTGCCATCTAAGAGTGTACCAGTGTAATGGACCTTTACTTTAGAACCCTTTGGTGCTACGCCTTCGCCAGTTCCTTCAGCAAGTATTTCTTTTAAAATTCCGCGGTCTTGTTCAGGTGAAACATCAATTTCTTGTTGCATTTTGACCACTGCTATTGCTTCAGTTATTTTGTGAAACTAAAATTATAAAGTTTGATAATAAAGCTTAAATAAGTAGGTTTTGTGGTAGATTTGCGGAATGCTGCCAGTAAACATAGATGATTATCAGTATATTATTGTTAAATATGAAAGATCTAGAATATTCCCGGTGTTTTGTCATGTCAGAAACTACAATATAATAAATATATATTTAAAACTCACTTAGATAAATTAGAGGAACTGGATTTTTTTAAAATAAATTGCGCGTGTCTTGCTGTTTGTCTTTTGAAATCAAAAGCAAAATCAGGCAAAATTGAATGGATCAATGATTTTTTGTTTATAACGTATATCAAGAAAAGGGTTATTTTTTCAGAACTGTCATCCAACATCCAACCAATCCAACTGTCTCTGTCATTTAATTTTTTTCAAAATAATGGCGTATGATTCAAATTATAATATTCTAAAATTGTTATTTCTGTTGCAAATATAAATATATTTACTTTGACATTTATTATAAGAATAACTTTTATAACATATTAAAGTTTTGTGACATTAAAATGAGAATTATCATGCTTATAATTAAAAAAAATAGAAGTTATATATTGCCAAGCTTTACTAGTTGCATACACCGTATCTCTGAACGTATTAAGAGGGTTGCATAACCATTGAAACTCTAACCCACTCTAACCTCAATATCAAGTTTTTTTAAATTTATTTGAAAAATATAATAAACATATAAATATACAAAAATACAATAAATTAATCCGCAAAGAATGTCTACAAGATGGTACCACTTTAATGTGTATAACTATATAAAACTGTTAATTTATTTTTTTAAGGTATCCAATTTACCAAAAAGGTGGTCCCCAGTTGCGAGTGTTTTTACCGAATTTTTGGATGAAATTAATTAAACCTCCGCACGAACAACCACCCAATATTGTACAATTTGCCTGTTCAATGGAAATGACCAAGTACGATATTAAAAATTACTTAGAAAAAATCTATAATGTAGATGTGGTCCATGTTCGGACTAGAATTGGACTTGGCAAGACTAAAAGGGATCCTGGATTAGGATATGTAGTCAAAGCCGATGATACGAAATATGCCTATGTAACACTGGTTAGTATAATAATATAAAGCAAATACTAGTTTTATTTCAATTCAAATGTGTTTTTATAGCCTAAAGACCAAGAATTTAAGTTTCCCGACTTGTTTCCAAAAGTATCAACTGTTGAGGAAGATTATGAGAAAACTATTAAACAGACTAAAGATGGTTTCAAGGATTATTTAGATAAAAATAAGGAAAGGCCTGGTATGCCAGGATGGTTTACTGTATAACGTAGCCTGAGAATGTAATTTAATATTATGGTAGATATGTACAGAAATAATTTTATATTTAATAATTATAAATACTATGAAAATTAAAGGTGTATAACTTCTTAATCCTAGTCCTTAAGACAGTATTGATGTTTATGATATAGTTTAAATAAACAAACTGTTGAGTGACACCTAGACAAAGTTTACAGAATAAATTTTATTCTGTAAACTTTGACCTAGAAAACTGTAAACACAAGATGCTCGTTCATAAAGAATATAAGATCTAAGTTACTAATACCATACATAATCAAGGACCATACGATCGAAAAAAAAAACGGCGTCAAAGACGGCTGACAATCGATTATATTTTTGGCGAGGTCAAGCCCTAGACGTCATTTACTTAGCCCGTACCATAGACAAACTAACAAAAGCTTTTGTTAGTTTGTCTATGGCCCGTACTCTTCTTTATTTTATTTTATTATAAATGGTTCTTACTGCCAGTTCGACTTAAGAAGGTTGTCATTATTCTGAATAAAATGATTCTTAAATGATGTAGGTACATAGTTTACATAGTTTAAAATTCCAGAAAAATAATTTTTTTGGAAATAGATTTAGTGTCTGAAAACGTTTCTATCCTTTTTTAATCTTTCTATAACTATTTTAATTTTTGACAAGTTTTATGTCAATTTTTAGTAAATAACGTCTAGAGATTGACATCGCCAAAATTAACACCATTGCTATTGCAAACCTCTTTGACGCCTTTTTTTTCAGTTATACGGTAACGGCAAAGTTTAGCAAATAGTTATTCTTAAGGCGGGCGGCCACTGCGAGCGAAACTAAACTAAGCGAAGATAAGATTTGTAAAAATCAGCTTCCATACTTTTTAATGCGTCAGCGGCTACTTGACCGAAACAAACGAAAATATATGAACGAAGATTCGACTCGTAGTTTAGTTTCGCTCGTTTTAGTTCGTGACAGGTTCCAGCGAATTTTTCGCAGCGATTAGTTCTATGATAGCAGAGATACAATACGAAAACTTAGCTGACTACTGAGCGAAAATCGTTCCTAGTGGAGTTCCCATTTATTAATTACCGTTTGTTTTCATATTCTTAGCTTAGTTTAGTTAGCTAAGCGAAACTAAACTAAGCCAAGCGAAGATAAGATTTGTAAAAATCAGCTCCCATACTTTTAAATGCATCAGCGCCCACTTGAGCGAAACTAAACGAAAATATATGGACGAAGATTCAAATCGTATAAATAGTTTAGTTTCGCTCGTTTTAGGTCTTGACAGGTTCCAGCGAATTTTTCGCAGCGATTTAATCCTATGATAGCAGAGACACAATACGAAAACACAGGTAACTTAGCTGACTAAGCAAAAATCGTTCCCAGTGGCCGATGAAACTTATTTTCGTTTAGTTACCGTTTCTTTATATATTCTTAGCTTAGTTTAGTTTCGCTCGCAGTGGCCGCCTGCCTTTCAAAACTTCAGCCCATCAACGGACCCGTTCATACTATAACGGACGTTTTGACACTTTTTTGACAAATTTGGAAACGAAAATATAAAATAACACCAACGTATATCCGATAAACGGAGGCATGAAAATGCAATAAATTTAAAAACTGCGTTATTTTCTAACCAATCAAAGTCTTTAAATTCTACCAATAAAATTAATATTAATATCGTATCAACGTATCGTCGGACAACGGATGCACGAAAATCAAGCTTTATACCGTATGATCGGAAGAAAACGGCGTCCAGTTGGCAACAATGGAACATCAAATAACATTTCCCACATAATTTTACATTCACATATAAAAAGTGACAGCGATCTTAATTTCATAGCCATCGTTGACGCCGTTTTTTCGATCATATGGTACTTAAGAGTCTATTACGCTGTACTTACGGGTCGCTCGCTGTCAGGGGTTCAGAGGTCGGGTAAAGCGGGTGTAGGGCCGAAGGAAATATATATTATATTTCAGAAATCTGCATAAGGGCTTAAGCTTGATTTTCATGCATCCGTTATCCGACGATACGATATTAATTTTATTGGTTGAATTTAAAGACTTCGATTGGTTAGAAACGGGGGAATTATTCTGTGGGCAAAATGGGGAAACACCAGAACACCTTATCACTGAGTGCACCGAGACGTCGAGCCATAAACTTATTAGTATGGCTGATATCGAGGATGGAGAGCTGGCCTCTGTTGAGCCGTCTCAGATACTGGCTTTTGTTAAAGCCCTGAGACTGTATGATGAGCTATAACTCGTTATAACTCAAGAAAGGGGAATACACAATAGATCTGTAAGGTCGCAGTGATTAACTCCCCTCCTAAACACTCTACATTCTACAAATACAATATGATCGAAAAAAAACGGTGTCAGCGATGGCTATGAAATGAAGATCGCTGTCATTTTATATATGTAAAATTATACAGGGTGTTGTGCAAAAACATGTGCCATCTCTCGTGGGGAGATTCCTTACGTAAAATAAGATTTATTTCTCTTATCCACATAGGTCCGATTTTGCTTTGTTTCCTAGCTACAAGGTGTTAAAGTCTTAATATTTTCTCGATTTCTTATAATTTTCTTCCAAATACTTTTAGCATTTCGAATGAAATTTTGAGGGTAAAAGTTACTATGAATGCGACATATTTTAAGGCTAAAAAAGTGTCGCCACATTCACCAGGGACGTACATATGGGTTTATCGCTGGAATATTTTTCTTAAAAAAGCATGTACGCCACTGACTTTTTTTCTCTTAGCGAAATAGTGTAAGCAGTTTAATACTGACTAAAAGTTGTCTCTTGATATTTTGGAGATTTCGGCCTCCTTGATGAGATAAACGTAGTTTTATTAATTTGCCTTGATCCAAGTCTAATAGCGATCTTTAAAAAAAAAATAATATCATTAATTTGCGAAAGTGTCAAATAAGTAGTACTTATTTATTCCTCATCAAAAAATATGAAAAAAAGTTTCTATAAATATGGGTATGGAAAAGCATAGCTTTAGAGTTACAGGATGTTAACACTGTTTAAAATTATTTTTTTTGTAATTATCTTAAATACCATTATTTTGCGGTATTTTGAACTAAAAGTAATAATAACTAATAGTAAAAATTGGCGCCGGGAAGCACGTATAGCCGCCCATACTAAAATATGTTAATATCTCGAAAACTGCGACTTTGACTGATTTTGATGTTATTACAAATTTTGTAGCAAATATTATTCCTAATCTTAATTTGAAACCCGCGTTTCGCTAGCTACTGTAATTTTGGAGTTACGATTTTTTAAAATTTTTAACCACCTCCCATACCCCCTTATCAACCCCCCATCCCCACCAAAGACGAATGGCCAGATTCTCGGGTGCCACAGTATTTTTGTGCCAAATTTGGTTAAAATCGGTTCAGCGGTTTTTGAGTTATCGTATTACAGACGGACAGACGGACAGACGGACGGACAGACAGACAGACAGACAGACAGACAGACAGACAGACAGACAGACAGACAGACAGACAGACAGACAGACAGACAGACAGACAGACAGACAGACAGACAGACAGACACCATGAAAATATTTTGTATTTAGGTCATTTATGACCCAAATAACTCATTTTGAGTGAAATTAAAAAAACTTTTTTTATTGCCGATCCTAATAGCCTACCATACCTAGTGGTACGGTCGGCTAAAAAGTCAGTGGCGCATATGTTTTTTTTTTGAAAAAAAACCCATATATGCACGTCCCTGATGAATTCATCGACACTTTTTTAGTATTAAAATATGTAACACTCATAGTAACTTTTACCCTCAAAATTTCATTCGAAACGATAAAAGTACTTGGAAAAATATTATAATAAATCGAAAAAATATTAAGAATTTATCACCCTGTAGCTACGAAACAAAGCAGAATCGGACCTATGTTCATATGAAAAATAAAACTTATTTTTACACTTTGAGGAAGGAGCATAATGCTATCCATGTATTCATGCATGGTGGGCGGAAAAAGCACTCTAGGGTGGGGATCCTTGACAGTTCTGTTTGACGATTCATTTGACACATTTGAATTTGATTTGAAATTTTGTTGATTTGTCAGTCTTTACGGAACTTATTTTACGTTATTTATTATTTATTCTACTACCGATAGTTGTATAAAGGTAGTAAATCTAGATGGAAATTGTGGCAGAACTTAAATTAACAGTGACACTATCGCGATTTATCGAAAAAGACTCTAAAATAGTTGGTTGTGTAGCGTGCGGTAGATCTCGGCAAAAATCGAGTGAAATAATGGAACAACGTTTCGCTAGTAAGTGACTATATAATATACATACGTGTAGTAAACCGATCATTTATGAAATTCACTTAAATTAACTAATTATATCTTTTTTCTTGCATTTTTACTTTTTTTTACTACTTGTCAAAGATTAGATGTCAAAGAATTTAGATACGTTAATTTGACTTACCTGCTTCAGTAGCGTATCGGATGTTTATGGTTATAAATAATTATTATAACTTATCTATTTTTATTAGAATTTTATATTTTTATAACAATTTTAATAACTACCAACATTTATTCACAATGTCAAATAAAAAAAAAAATATTGAGTCTACCCCAAGTCTACCCTACATCATATAGTTTTACATTTTTTAAATAAAATTAGAACGGCACCCAATGGGCCATATTTGAGGCCCATCGCGGTGGACCTAAGATTTTTGATAATATGCTCCTTCCTTAGTCTTCTTATTCAAAGTTTTTACATGAGGATTCTCCCCACGAGAAATGGCACATGTTTTTGAAAACACCCTGTATAGGAAAAGTCGTTGATTGTTCATTTCTAAGCCAACTGGACGCCGTTGTTTTCGCTCTATAAATGATTTTTCGATCATAATAAAACACCAGTTGCGACAACTCTGCTTGTTAACTGATTACTATAGCAACGGATTTGATTAAGTCGACATTTTAAGTCTTATATTTATTATTTTATGATTTTAAGGTTACATCAAAATTTCAAAGTGTTACACTAATAGGATGAGGGTGAGTTATTGTACGGATTTGGACAAAAGCGTCGTGGTAGCCAATTGCGAGAAGCGCGGTTGGGTTCAAGTAGGTCCAGAAGAAGACTGGAACATTTACTGGGCTGGAACTCAAACATGTCGCAGTCTATTCAGTGTAGACAGTGGATACAGGATGAACGATAATCAGTACGTATCGGAACAAAAATTAGAATATTTAAAAAGAAAAATTAAAGACACATTTTCTGTGTTTAGGTAAAATATTCACATAAAATTATACAGGGTTGTTCACCACATACAACACGGAGTATTGTAGCTAAACGATTAGATTTTTACAAATTGTAAGTTTTGGGTTCGTGGAAGGACTACTAGAGCTACAATTTAAAAATATTTTTACAAGATACAGAGTGTCCTAAATAAATAAAAAATGTCAAAGTTGTATTTTTTTAAATGGAACACCCTGTATATTATCACATTTTTAGTTTCTACGATTAAAATAAAGGTAAATTTGATTAAGATTTATCACAGTTAAACCAATGGTTAAACCTTACCGTTTTTGAAATATTTAGGTTTTTGTCAAAATACAGTAATAATTTTAATGCTTTATTTCTCTAAGCGTATTTAAGTTTTTAAAACCAAATATTGTACTGAAGTATTTCTATTTACTGAGTTTCGTGTTGCAATAATAAAAATTATGCTAACTTATACAGAGTGTCTGAAAATTTATTTTAAATAATTACTAGCTTTAAACGGCAATAACTTGTTTAATTTAAATTAAACACCCTGTATATTTTACGAGAATCAGATGCACAATTTAATTGTCTATCAAAATATATTATACCATTTTCTACCTATCTCTTCAAGTTTCCGTAGAAAATGCATTTTTTTCTGTAATTTAGAACTCATTTATCGATATACCCATATAATACTGACATTTTAGATTATTTTTAAAGATGTACCAAATTTTTAAAGATTACAGATACTAATATTGTCGATATAGTTCGATTATTTCATTAAAAAATAAAAAAAACTGTTTAAATATTTGTTAAAGAGGACCTATTAATATGATTCCAGTATTCAAACTACATTAATTGACTGTTTGCGTTGATTAATAATAATTGCTCCAAATACTAAAAAACTGAATTTTGTATATGTATTAGACAGTGTGGTAAAAAGTAACACCTTAATAATGATATTTCATTTTTTGACAAATGCTTATTTATAATAACAGAGACGTTCATTCAACATAGGTCCGATTCTGCTTTGTTTCGTAGCTACAGGATGTTAAAATCTTTATAATCTTTCGATTTATTCTAATTTTCTTCCAAGTATTTTTAGTGATTTGAATGAAATTTTGGGGGTAAAAGTTACTATAGGTGTTACATATTTTAATGCTAAAAAAGTGTCAATAAATTCATCAGGGACGTGCATATGGGTTATCACTGGAATATTTTTCAAGAAAAAAACATGTGCGCCAGTGACTTTTTTCTTTGGATATCAAAATTGTGTCGGCCGTTTAATGCCAATTAAAAGTTATCACTTGATCCCAATTCCAATTCGGCCTCCTTGATGAGATAAACGCAATTTTATTAATCACAATTAAGAAAATTATATACTTTACCTTATTTCTTATTAAATATTATTACTATTAGTTATTATTGCTATTAGTTCTACAGCCATTTAAAATAAAAAAATAATGGTATTTAAGATAATTAGAACAAAGCTAGCTAATTTTAAAAAGTTTTAACATCCTGTAACTCTTAAACTATGCATTTCCATACCCATGTTTATAGAAACTCTTTTTCATATTTTTTATGAGATCAATGAGTACTTATTAAGACTTTCGCAAGTTAATAATTTAAAATTTTTTTAAAGGTTTGTATTAAACTTGGATCAAGGCAAATTAATAAAATTGCGTTTATCTCACCAAGGAAGCTTAAATCGACAAACTATCAAGAGACAACTTTTAATCGGCATTAAACTGCTTACACTATTTTGCTAACAAAAGAAAAAAAGTCAGTGGCGTACATACTTTTGTTAGAAAAATATTACAGTGATAACCCATATGCACGTCCCTGGAGAATATGTCGACAACTTTTTAGCTTTAAAATATGTCGCATTTATAGTTACTTTTACTATCAAAATTTCATTCGAAATGCTAAAAGTACTTGGAAGAAAATTATAATAAATCAAAAAAATATTAAGACTTTAACACCCTGTAGCTACGAAACAAAGCAGATTCGAACCTATGTTGATATGAAAAATAAATCTTATTTTTACGTGATGAATCTCCCCACGAGAGATATGGCACATGTTTTTTGAGACATCCTGTATATGTTACGGCTAAAATTGGTGCTTGGCTAGTTTTCAAACTATATAGCCAGCTATTTTGCAAAAAGCGCTGTTATTTTGTTGGTTAGGTGTCAGTTTATGGTGTTGGTTTTGCTATTTGTTTGCAAAATAGCTGGCTAGTTTGAAAACCAGCAAAGTATCCTTTTTAGCCGTAACATATGTACTTAAATGCATACAAACTGAGTATTTTAATTTGACATAAATATTTTTGAACAAAATGGGCAATTATTACGTTTTTTATAACCACATACCGGATGACACAGTTTTCTAAAAAAGCTCTATATGAGATTTTCTACTTGAGTTTTTATTAATTTCTTTAGGCTTGGTGCATTTCAGTTGATTTAAAAAAAATCCGACCACAGCGCGCTATACAGGCATAAATCAGAAGTTTCGAATATGTATTTCATGCCGTCCCGGCTACAGTTCATGTTGATCGCATTGAAAAAATATTAAAATCGTTGCTTAGTCATAATATCTAAGTATTTTAGTTCTTAATAGTGCAGTTATTGAAACTATAAAACACTCAGGTACGAGGGTTGTGTGATGTAACGCTGTTTCGGGTAGTAAAAATTACGCGAAAAAAAAACTCGAACTGGGCATCGCGTTGTGTTCTGACAATTTCAAATGTTAGTAAAATTGCCGAAAAAATGTTAATACGTAAAGGAGAGCGTAATTACGTCGTGGTTGTTCGGTGCAATAACAATAAATATCTCAACTTTCCCGGATATTCAACTCTCCCGAATCAACATTTTAAGATACGTCCCCACTAGCAAAACCGGTGCGTATAACTATTCTTGCTAACGTAGTTGAATTCATCTAAAAAGTTTTATTAGCTTCGCAATAATAAATTGTAATACAAGTTAGATATTCTGAAGATATCAAAATATTTATTTTTTAGAATTTTTACAAATTATACTTCTTAACACTTTTAGAATAATTAATTAATTTTTTGTTATTCTATTAACAGACTTATAAACCACTTCCCAAATCATTATGAAATATCGCGGAAGGACCTACTTGTCAAGAACATCAAGCGTTATCGCAGAGATTTGGAAAAAGAAGGCAACATTATGGCGGAGAGAGGCGATTCCAAATATCTACACCTCGATTTCATACCTGTGACCTTTGTACTTCCAGCTGATTACAACATGTTCGTGGAAGAGTACCGCAAATCACCGCAGAGCACCTGGATTATGAAACCCTGCGGCAGAAGCCAAGGATCTGGAATATTCCTGATCAACAAGCTGTCGAAGCTGAAAAGATGGTCCAGGGAGTCGAAGACGCCTTTTCAGCAACAGCTGAACAAAGAAAGCTACGTCATATCCAAGTAAATTGTGCACGATATAAAATAGAGCCTCATTTTATCCTTATAGATACAGTAATTTCAACAAATGATATAAAAAGCTAGAACCTTTTTACGTAAGACAGGTGCTCTCCGTTTAGTTCGAAAAGGTGAACGGTTTTCAAGATATTTGCGTTTATAGATTACGATGCATCGATTTTAGCGAAATCAGAAGATTCATTTATTTAAAAATTTTTTACAGGTTATCATTTTTCATCAGAATTTTAAATAAATTTATCTCCTGATTTCGCTAATGCTAAAATCGATGCATGGGAACCTTTAAACGCAAATATCTTTAAAACCGTTCACAGTTTCGAACTAAACGAAGAGCTAATTCTTTAAATAAAAAAGTCCTAGCTTTAGTTTTCATTTATCGAAATTACTGTATCTATAAGGATAAAAGAAGTACCACCAATAGTACTCTTCACCCTAATGGAAAGTAGTGATGGGAATACCGGTTCCACATGATTCGCGTTACAGTAGAGACCGCTCCAGAAAAATACCGCGACAAAATAACGCTATTTTGTTATCGAGGTTCCGACTTCCACAGTTTCGCGGTCCTCGCTTATGCAGTATTTCTGGCATTAGTTACCTACTCCCAACTAGTGTTGTCAGGTTCTTACAATTGTATACCAGCTGTTACAGCCATTCGTGCCATGAACTTAGGTACAACTGATATTGGAGATGGAGAATTACCCTCTGTAAAACCGTCCCAGATACTGGCTTTTGTCAAAGCCCTCGGACTGTATAATAATATATATATATATATATATATATATATATATATATATATATATATATATATATATATATATATATATATATATATATATATATATATATATATATATATATATATATAATAATAGAATATGACAACAAAAATATTCAATATAAATACGATATGTATTGATATGTTTTTATTAAATGCCTTTTTGAAGGTTGAAAACGTAAAATTTTTATACCCATTTAAGAGTCATCTTAAAAAATAAATAAAAACTAAACCATCACGAACTTGTTTAGAAATAAATTTAAAGTACATACCTTGTTTAACAATATCCATAGTGGCTTTTAATTAAGTACGTACCGCATAACTCCATAATATACAGAACAACTATGAATGTTAACCTTTTCACTGATAAGATAATGATCGCAAAATTTATTTTTAGTGAAAATATTTGCTAACAAAAAACGCTGTTTATGAAAAATAATATATAGGATGGTTGAACATTGCTATAAGTATAAAATTACATATTCAGATATTAGTAAATTTTAACTTCTTTTTTCCATTTTTGTCCATGGGACGAAGCACTGTGCGACGCGACGTTACAAAAAAATACCGCTCCAAAATCACGTTACTCAAATACCGACACATCGCTAATGGAAAGTACCCTTTCAGGGCTGTTACAGAATTTTACACGATCGCCATTCGTTTTGGCATTAAAATGTGTGTAAATCCAAATTTAAAAAAAAAAAAAAAACGTTTTACCAATGTTCTTAAAAATAAACAAAATATATTATTTTTATTTAACCTTTCGAGAGCTGTAATTTCTTCGAGAAGCATTTTAGGGCATATGTTGATAGGAATTTTTTGTTTTATTTTTATCTGTAGAATCGCCCACTGAAGGGCTTTTTGACACCCTGTTTACAGTAAGTCACCACGTAAATAAAATTAATTTTATATTTTTTTAGGTACATTGATAATCCATTGCTCATAGGAGGTAAGAAGTTCGATCTTAGGCTGTATGTTTTAGTGACCTCATTTAGACCGTTGAAAGCCTATCAGTTCAAGCTGGGGTTTTGCCGATTTTGCACTGTGAAATACGATTCCAGTGTTGCCGAATTGGACAACATGTACGTTCATTTGACGAATGTGTCAGTTCAAAAACATGGTGTAAGTTTATATTTTGATTTTATGAGATGTATTGGTCTATACCACTGCAGCCTTTTCAGATTAATTGTGACTTTCTGATTTCTTGATTCCATTCCCCACTATATTCTTTTCACAACACACAGAACATTTCATAGAACTCTTTGTCAACGGTTCATTATCGTCTAGTATAGTCCAGGTATGCAGTGTCTAAAATAGTGTATCGGTGGGTGATTCTGCAGATAAAAATAAAACAAAAAGTTCCTTATAAACCTATGTCCTAAAATACTTCCTGAAGAAGTTACAGTCCTTGAAAGGTAAATAATAATAATATATTTTGTTTAATTTTAAGAAAATTGGTAAACCGTTTTTTTCTAAAGTTTGGTACTCTTACACAAATTTTAATGCCAAAGCGAAGAGCGACCGTGTAAAATTCCGTAACACCCCTGAAAGGGTACTCTCCACTGATACTACTGGTGGTACTTCTTTTATTATTATAGATATAGTAACTTCAACAAATTACATAAAAAGCTAGGATTTTTTTTTATGTAAAAAAGGTGCTCTTCGTTTAGTTCGAAACGGTGAACAGTTTTCAAGATAGTTGCGTTTAAAGGTTACGACGAATCCATTTTAGTATTAGTGAAATGATAAAATGTAAAGAAATTTTAAATACATAAATTAATCTCCTGATTTCGCTATTACTAAACTAAAATTTAAACACAAATATCTTGAAAACCGTTCACTGTCTTGAACTAAATGAAGAGCACCTTATTACATAATATAAAAAAGTCCTATCCCCATAATTTCCATTTGTTTAAGTCACTGTATCTACAAAGATAAAAGAAGTACCACCAGGGCTGTTACGGAATTTTACACTGTGTAAGAGTACTTTTACACTGTGTAAGAGTACTAAATTTCAAGAAAAACAGTTTGCCAATGTTCTTAAAAATAAACAAAATATATTATTTTTATTTACCTACTCAAAGACATCTAAATAAAGGGAGACAAAACAATTTACATTTTATCGCGATCACGAACCGTGTTCCGCAAAAATCAATAATGACAGATTTACGCGGTATGTGATAGAATACTCCAGTTCCAAATGTTATTATTGTTATATATAGATACCAGTTCCAAATGTTATTATTGTTATTAATGATTTTTGGGTACCTATAGAAACGTTAAACTAAATATTTGTATAGGTATATAACTTTAATATACATAGATTGTGCCAGGATTACACCTTTGAAATTATTTTTACATAGTTCTTATTACATTACATAGTTCTCTAATTAAATTATATTAGGGAAATTAGAATGAGAACTAGCGCGGCATCGCTGCGGATTCATCTTTACTACGAAATTGTCGAAATCTGTCGAAATTACCCTGACATTTGACGTTTTCATTCAACTTATATTTGACAGCGCGAGGTTGTGAGTTTTCTGCGGTAGTTGAAAGTTCTTGTAGCTTTTGAACAACTTTCTAATAATTATTAGTATTTATTACAAAGAAAACTATTTAAAGTAGTTTTTAACTATCTAGGATGGTTCGCCAGTGCATAGTTTGTAAAAAGGAATTGATATTTCGACGGTAAGTGTCATTACGTTTTTTTACCATTAGTCATGCTTACACTATCGTATCTATATACTTTTAGTTAGTAGATTATTACAAAAATACGTATATTTTCTTATTTGTTGGCGCTTTCGATTGTGAAATTAGAGTTACCCTCAGTTAGACCTCAGCAAAACTAGTTATAATGAAAAGTTGGTCTGAGGCAATCCCAATCAATTTTTGATAAAATTCATCAATTTTTGATAAAATTCATCAATTTTTGATAAAATTAATCAATTTTTGATAAAAAAACATCACGTCACCGTCACGATAGAGCCAAATGACAGAAAGATAGACGAAACTCAACCGTGTTGTCATATTTATGTACCCATCTCTTTTTAACTCTCATAAAAGTGTCAAACCATGTATGATTCTAAAAAATTGAGTTTTATGAATGGAGTGTTTTGTCTACCCATTTAGAATGTCTTTGTATACCTACCCTTTCGAGGACTGTAACTTCTTTAGGAATCATTTTAGGGCTTATGTTTATAGGAACTTTTTGTTTTATTTTTATCTGTATCGCCCACCGAAGTTACATACGCTATTTTTTAGCACCCTGTCTTTGTATAGAGTTAGACCCAACAAAATTTATTATCGAGAATCCTTCCAAGAGCTACGTTGACGCATTTTTCTTTTCGATGACCAGGTATCTGAAAGTTAAAACATATGTCCTTCTGATTTTTGTGATTTCAGGGTGAATATAATTCACTACACGGGGGCAAACTGAGTGTTCAAAACTTACGTTTATATTTAGAAGGTACCAGAGGCAAAAAAGTGACAGAAACTTTGTTCGACCAAATAAGCTGGCTGATAATACACTGTCTGAAAGCCATCGCTCCCGTAATAGCCACTGATCGGCACTGTTTCGAATGTTATGGCTACGACATCATCATCGATAATAAGCTAAAACCATGGCTCATCGAGGTAAGATCAGTGGCATTTTACATAATGTTTGCGACGACTTCTTAGCATATTTTTAATAATATTACAATGAATGTAATATAATATTACAATGAATATAAAGACTAAGGAAGTAAAAGCAATACAGGGTGATTCACGGCCATGGTACGTTAGACGCGAGGGGAAAATCACTGCCAAAATTTGTACAGGGTGCGCCAAATTACACCCTTTTCTATAGAAGACAGACGAAAACTAATATCGGTGTCTGGAGCTTAATTTTTATCAAAAACATGATGGTAGAAAGCGCACATCGATATCTGTTTCCTTTTCGCAGTTACGGGGGGGCGTTTTTAAAAAATGTGCATTTTTAACAAATCGCATTAACTTTTTTGCTATGGAAAATTTTGTATTTTTATGAAAACATTTCTAAAGCATCGTTTTACGTAGACTTTAATGGTTTAAGTATACTTTTTTTTAAATTAATAATTTATCAATAGAAAAAATATGTTTTTTTTATTTTGAGAAAACTCTGTATATTTTTAATTAATTAAAAAAACTTAAAATTACCTCTCCTAAAATATAGCATACTTAATATTTCGCTCGATTCCTTTTTGAAATATAGAGATTTTTAAAATTCGCCCACTCTGACTTTCATAATATTTTTTGTCTAGGCATGTTGATAGCACGTTTAACAAGTAAGAATTTTTGAGGTCTCTTTCGATGATTCACGATAATATTCTTGAATTCAAGCCCTCACACAATGTCGTTCCAGATCTATAGATTTTGTATGAAAAACATGATTAAAAAAACAAGAAATAATACAAAATAAACACAGAAAATAAAACAACACACTTATTTTGAACATACGCAAAAGAACTATGATGTAGCTTCCTCTCTAAATGAATATAAAATTAGTATGCACCCTACTCCTTCCTTAGTTTTTATTCAATAATTATCGCTCACGTTTTGAGTTTTCAAGTGATCACCCGTTCAAACTCCCACCTCGTCGTTTAACTTTGTTGATGGTACTAGTCGCTGATCCATAACTTTATGTACAATATGATTGAAAAAAAAACGGCGTCAGCGATGGTATGAAATGAAGATCGCTGTTATTTAATATGTAAAATTATATGAAGAATCCCATCGATTGTCATTTCCAAGACAAGTGGACGCTGTTTTTTTCGATCATACGGTTATTTTAAGCGTTTTATTTTTATTTTAGGTTAATGCTTCGCCTTCATTGACATCTACCACAGCAAATGATCGAATTTTAAAACATAAACTATTGGATAATATTTTTAATATAGTAGTCCCACCTTCAGGAATGCCAGAGTAAATATATTATAAAATACTTAACATGTTCAAATGATATTAATACTGAAACAAAATATTTAAAAATATTTTCTTTTTCAAACGTTACAAAACTATAAAAAACCTGAAAAAGAGACTTGGGTTGTCGAAACGTTGTCATATAGAAATAAATTCATAAACATTATTAACATTACTTAGCAAAATAACTTTAACTTCACAAAAAATAACGACTTAAAGCCAAGAAAAATCTCTAAAAAATATATATAATATACAGGTCGAAGAAAACTCAAATTACAAAAAATACTTTTTTAGCGTTAGGTGGAATAAAATTCCATCTTCTGAAGCTCTGGGAGACTTCGAACTACTGATAGACGAAGATTTAGTAAACGCCAGTGAAAATGGGGAAAATTCATCTGCAAGAAATAATTCCAAATGGAAATAAAACAAAACATAAGTCACACATTAAATTAAGCACCATCAGCATTTTTCATATCATAATTTAAGATGTAAACTGGCAAAAATAAAATCCTTTTTAATCGCAGCATATGTCTTTATTTTGTTTTCTGTTAATATTTAGAAAAAGATCTTGGTTAAAAAAGAATGAAAAATGGAAATAAAACAAAAGATAAGTCATACATTACATTAAGCACCATCAGCATTTTTTATACCATAGTTTAAGATGTAACGATAGTCATTTCATTTGTGTTGTTAAACTGGCAAAAATAAAAACTTTTAAATTGTAGCATATGTTTTAATTTTGCTTGTTGTTAATATTTAGAAAAAGAAATCTTGGTTAAAAAAGAATGAAAAATGGAAATAAAACAAAACATGAGTCATACATTAAATTAAGCACCATCAGTATTTCTCATATCATAATTTAAGATGTCACGGTAGTCATTTCTTTTTTGTTGTTAAACTGACAAAAATACATTTTTTTAATTGTAACAAATGTCTTTATTTTGCTTGTTGTTAATATTTAGAAAAAACTTGGTTAAAAAAAATTAAAAATGGAAATAAAACAAGGCATAAGTCATACATTATATTAAGAGTCCATTTCATTAGTCCGAAAAAGTAACAAAATTCGAAAAGCGTTCGGCATTTAACGTTTTGTGTAAAACTGGCTAGGTATTTTTACACAAATGAAGAAGGAAATTAAAGATAAAGGATTATACTATATCCGTATTGTAGCACATTTTCAGACTTCTTTTTTAAACTTCTTTATTTTTAAGATTTTGATGGTCAAACATCAACAAAATATTCCTTATGTTTGGACTAAATTCTCTCCAAAATAAAGACAATTTAAAATTCCGTTACAATACGGAAATAGATTAAAGTTTTGTGATTACAGTGATATATAATTTATATAGTTTTGTAACAAATTGCTCGCTATTTTATGGCAAATGCTAAAGCTCTGCAAACCTTAATCAAGCCTTCATCAAAGCACGTGTGTTTTATAACACGACAGGATCGGGCTAAGCCTTAGGCAGATTTCTGAAATATAATATACAGGGTGGTTCCAACTGTATTCCCCAGACTTCGGCAGTATATTCTGCAGATAAAAATAAGTAAAAAGTTCGTATAAATGTATGTCCTATTGTGATGGGTTGTTATTTAACTATCTGTTATTTTATAACAATTATTTAGAAATAACATAACGCAACCGTTACTACTTTTAAAAAATAACAGATATAAAATAATGAAACGCAGAGATCGACCGTTCGTGAAACGAAGTCGGCGCTCTGCACCGCCACGAAATTCGATGCTGATCGAAGCAATTCCAAAAAACAACTAGTATGGATTATGGATGGAAAACATGTTATTTTGACAACCATCGATACAGGCGGCGAGATACAACGGACAACGGAGTGTGGAATGCGCTACGGCGCGGCGCGGCGAACGTAGCTGCATCGGTCGATGGTCGTGTGGGGCTTTCAACAGCTTAAAAATAATAGGATATAAAAGAAGCAGCTTTTTTGAAACAGTTGCGGGCATAACGCCTGGCGGTCGAGATAACAGGAGTGGGAAAGGAACGCTGCTGCATCGGTCGATTGTCGATGGAGGTTCAAAACAGGTTGGAGAATAACGCATCAGTTGTTTTAGATACATTGTTTTTCAACCTGTTACGAGCATAACGGGCGGAGGTCGAGATATTATGACGCTGTATGTTTCAGTACTTACTTATTAAGTTTCAATATTTAGGTATTTATTTATTCTGAAAAATTTTCAGAATAATATTTCAAGATTTTTTAAAAATGTATACAGGGTGCTTTGAAAAATCTGGTCATTGATTAATCACGATCCTGCTTAAAGCCCTTGACATAAAAAGTTGATTTTTGGAAAACGGATTGACTTTAGGGTGTAGAGGTTCGATAAGAAGGGATTTTTCGAAACTTGAATTCTAAGGGGGTGAAACCACCCTCAAATATTACAGTTGAGGGTTGGAACCTTTGGTGTTACACAGCAAAATAAAAACACTAAATTACCACAATACACCAAAACACTTTTACTTTTACACTGGACGCGCGTTTCGCTAACCATGTTAGCATCATCAGCAGATGATTATAAACTAAAGAGTTATTATAAACTAAAGAGTTTAGTTTATAAACTAAAGAGTTATTATAAACTAAAGAGTTTAGTTTATAATCATCTGCTGATGATGCTAACATGGTTAGCGAAACGCGCGTCCAGTGTAAAAGTAAAAGTGTTTTGGTGTATTGTTGTGATTTAGCGTTTTTATTTCACCCTCAAATATTAGAATATTTTTTATTTAAAAACCGGTGAGTTTTTCGGAAAAACTCTTAAACACGTATATTTGATTTTGTTGTTTTACATATTTTAAGATTTTTTAAAAATATATACAGGGTGTTCCATAAAATATGACCATTGAGTAATCACTATTCTGCTTCAACTCCTTGACGTTTAAAGCTGATTTTTGGCAAACGGATTGACTGTGGGGTTGAGGTTTGATAAGGAGGGGTTTCTCGAATCTCAAATTCCAAGAGGGTGAAAACGCCCCTCAAATATTACAATATTTGTTGTTTAAAAAACGGTTAGTCTTTCGGGAAAACGCTTGGACATGCATAATTTATTTTTTTTTACATATTTTGAAATTTTTTAAAAAATCATACAGGGTGTTCCAAAAAGTTGAGTAATTGATTAACCACGATTCTGCTTAAACTGCTCGACGTTTAAATTTGGCAAATGTGAGAAAATTTTATCCAGTTTGTATGTTAATGGAAATTCTTGCATTGCTTTATCATCACCATTACAAATTATTAATTCGACGCGAACGAAGTCGCGGGTACACGCTAGTTTAAGTGTAAAATTAATTCGAACCCTAGTGTGTAGTTGATTTACTTATGAAGAATATACTACACATTTTCTTATATTGCTATTTTTTGACCGCAAATGGTAAAATCATAACTAAGAGCTTCTCGCCCGTCGAGTGAGATGCACCCTGTACACTGCTACGCAATTCAGGATCTACGCGGATCGAGGGGCAGGGCGTAGGTAGATCGGAATGTATAGGTACAGACGAGTGGCGGAATTTTGGCTTTTTTTATATCGCAATTTGTAAACAGCGCTTATTTGTAAACAACCACCGTTTTTAGAGAGGTATTGATAATTTCGATTCCAAATATCTCGAGAACCATTACTCTTAGCGATTTTTCACAAGAGATCTTTTTTAAGTGAAAAATGTCGTAAATTTATACTGTTTTACTCAGTAGTTTTATACAGATACAGACAAAAAGTTATTACTCAAACCGGTTAAAAAATATGTAGGTGGCGTCCTCTACAAGTAGGAGTCATATTGACATCAAAATCAAATTTCTCATGTCAAAAAACTCTCAGACACCAATTTTTATCCAAATATTTACGGTACTTCATAAATTATTTGAAAAAATCAAAATAAAAATGAAACTTCTACACCCTGTATCTCCGAAACTAAGCCCATTTTAGGACATACATTTATATGGACTTTTTCACTTATTTTTATCTGCAGAATATGCTGCCGAAGTTTCCGAAATACAGTTCGGACCACCCTGTATATTTTCATCGGCCAAACACCCGCTTTACCCGACCACTGAGAGCGACCCGAAAGTACAGCGTAATAGACTCTTAAGCACCATCAGCATTTTTTACATCATAATTTAAGATATAAGGATAGTCACTTCTTTTGTGTTGTTGAACGGGCAAAAATAAAATCATTTTTAATTGCAGCATATGTCTTTATTTTATTTTCTGTTAATATTTGACAAAAAGAATGAACAATGGAAATAAAACAGATCATATAGGTATTACATTAGCAGCATTTTTCACATCATAATTTAGGATGTAACTATAGTCACTTCTTTTGTGTTGTTGAACGGGCAAAAATAAAATCTTTCTTAATTGCAGCATATGTCTTTATTTTATTTTCTGTTAATATTTGACAAAAAGAATGAACAATGGAAATAAAACAGATCATAAGTCATATAGGTATTACATTAGCAGCATTTTTCACATCATAATTTAGGATGTAACTATAGTCACTTCTTTTGTGTTGTTGAACGGGCAAAAATAAAATCTTTTTTAATTGCAGCATATGTCTTTATTTTATTTTCTGTTAATATTTGACAAAAAGAATGAACAATGGAAATAAAACAGATCATAAGTCATATAGGTATTACATTAGCAGCATTTTTCACATCATAATTTAGGATGTAACTATAGTCACTTCTTTTGTGTTGTTGAACTGGCAAAAATAAAATCTTTTTTTTTTCAAATTCAACGAGCGTAATTTTACTCCTAATAAAATAATATACTATTGTAATTGCAGCATATGTCTTTATTTTGGTTTCTGTTAATATTTAGAAAAAAATCTTGGTTCAAAAAGAATGAAATACGGAAATAAAACCAAACATATGTCATACATTACATTAAGCACCATCAGCATTTTTCATATCATAATTTAAGATGTAACGATAGTCATTTATTTTGCGTCGTTAAACTGGCAAAAATAAAATATTTTTTAATTGTAGCATATGTCTTTATTTGGTTTTGTGTTAATATTTAGAAAGAAAACTTTGTAAAAAAAATATGAATTTTCTTACAAAACTAATTGAAAATGTATTATTTTCAATTAATAAGATATACATTTTTTATAAGCATTATTAAAACTACATCAATTTTTAAATATGATTTATTCCGTTAATTTTCATAATAGATCCTGGTTTTTCTTCGTGATGCTTTGTATAGTTTTCTGCATCACAATTTTCTTCTTTTCCAAATTTGTTCTTCCGAAGTAAAGATTCTAGTTGAATTATAGGCGATTCAAAAAAGACTGTTAGGAAGAATCCTATGTAATATGATGCCATTATATCACCCAAAGCATATAACAACTAAAAAATACATTTTCAGATAATTTTAGTTTTGCAATGATTTTTAAAAATGATTGGTTTAAACCAACGAATAAAAAAACTAAGAAAAGCGTCTATCAAAAATATTGGTAACGGTGTCACTAAGAAAGGAGTATACAGGGTGAGTCTTAAATATGTGCAAATATTTTCAGGGGTGGTATATTTTGGCCCCAGGAACACTCATGTGAGGTTTTTTTACAAAAAAATTCGAAAGAGAAAATCGTGCATTTTATTTTAAATTTTCCCGTATATTTTAGAAAACTTTTTAGAACTGTCTGTTAACCCAAAATTTTGCTAAAATATAATTTGTTAATCTCTGATATTACCATGGTTGAGGCACTAAAAGGAATTTAAAAATAGATCAATTTAAAAAAAATCAATCATGAATAACTCGGTCATTTTGGATTTATTTGAAAATCGGTAAAGAGAAAATATGTTTCTTTTATCGAGATCTCTCACGCCATTAAAACTCATCCTGTAAAAAACAAGATTAGCGCGGACAGTTTAAAAATTTAATATAAAAAAGTCAACACAATTATTAGAAAACACTATAATACAATAAATATTTATTATATATATAAATCGATGGCTTCAGAATAAGGAGAAAAAAATTAATACAATATATACAGGGTGATTCCTGTAAGTCGGTCATGCTTTCGAGGAATGATAGAGGACGTCGAAATATTAATTTTGATATAGCACACTATGGGTCGGTAATGCCTCTTACGCAAGATACAGGGTGTTAAAGTTTTTGAAAAATTAAAGATATTCTTTAATAGTTTTTTAACAGTTGAAGGTATCGTTATAAAATTTCACTATAGGAATCTACCTAACAGAGACACTTTAAATGTAAAAAGAAGAGGTTTTAGTTTCAACCAGTGGCGTAGATGTGATACGCATCGGGTAATTTTTTCAAAAAAAAATAGTACGCCACTGATAAAAATAAAAATTTCGGAGTTTTTTTATTTACTCTGTTTATTTCCAAGAAAAAATGTCTCTTGCAACTTTCTCCTATCTAACACCATTTTGTCACAATTTAAAAATAAATAAATTTTTTAATGAGAATCTTAAATACAACGAATAATTATAATTAGAGGGCAGAAACACATGTGCATCGTTAGCTCTCTTCATCTTGGGTAACTTTTGTACTTTTTACTATTAGCTCTAAATAATTTTTTAAAAAATTATAAATTTGAACTAGAATTTTTTTTATTGTTAATAATAAAATTCGTAGTTTAAGGTAGTTATAATAATTCGCAACATTAAAAAAATAGTTATTTTTAAATGGTTTTATTTAGTTCGATCCGTACGGTATTTATTTATTTGTTTGTTTATTTGGGTCAAAATTAGAAATTGAAATTTAAGTACCTTCCTGTTGTCAGATTGATCTGAAATTTGGTACACACCTTTAGTTCCGATGACAATACAATATAGTAATATCAATAACATTGTAAATCTAAGATGGCCGCCGGTACAAAATGGCGGATTTCATATTTTTCCACAATATGGGTATCAAATGAAAGGGCTACACTAGTAGAATACTGTGATTATGACAAAATTTAAAATCCAAGATGGACGTCGTTACAAAATGGCGTATTAGGTGAGGGCATGAGTAGTCGTGTCCAGAACAGTTGTGTCCAAGATTGTGTGACGTTAGAAGGACAGATAAAAAAAATAGGTGATTATATGTACCTACGTAGTTAGCGGTAGCTTTACCACCCAAGTTAAGGTAATAGGTTAAAACGTGCTGATGGCATTAGGGTGGCTAAAAATGTAATGTCGCAAGCGTTTTCCCCTCAAGATTGGGCGCCTCTTGTTGTATATTATAGCCTTGCCCCTCTACTGAACCTCTGGGGGGGTCGACCATTAAAATGTCCATTACTCGTGGGAACAACATGGAAACAATGAATAAAAAAACAAACAAAAATAAAAACGAAACTGCTACACAACGAAAAAGAAGGCTCGAAAAGGCGAAAGAAAAGTATGGAACGAAACGTGCAAAAGAAAGTGAAAATGAAACCTATAGTCGACTACAGAAGCGAAGAGAACGGTTAGCAACAGAAACACCTGAGCAACATGATGCCACGTTAATAGCACAACGTGAGAGACAAAGGCAGCTGGTAGAGTCAGAAACACCTGAGCGTCATGAGTCCAGGCTAGCAGTACAACGTGACAGACAGAGAGAGTTGTTAGCGTCAGAAACACCTGAGCGTCAGATTGTAATAAATTATCAGGTAAAAAACCATGTAATAATGATGCACTAAATGAATTAATTAGAATGAGGAATATTCGGTAGGCATTTCCGTTAAATACTAAAAATTAGAAAATAAAAAATCGGTAAAAAAACTTTTAAGTTAAACGGTTTTATCTTATGTGCACTGAAAACTAGAAAATAATAATAACAATTAGGTATTTTGAACTTCTAGTTCAGAAATATTTTAGTACTAGGCAGAATAGCTTTTAGGCATATTAGACTAAAATAAAAACGTGGGGCCCATTAACTATTGCTGTAATACTTTTTTCTATACTAAGTGTGGATTGTATCGACTTACTATAATCGTAACTGGAGATTTTGACAATCAATAACCAGCCGTGGCGGCTTCACCAGCGAACGCCGAGCTCATGATCTACCAAAGTATAAAGATATGCTTTGCCATAGGTAGGATTTCAGAGGGGCCCCACGTTTTTATTTTAGTCTAATATGCCTAAAAGCTATTCTGCCTAGTACTAAAATATTTCTGAACTAGAAGTTCAAAATACCTAATTGTTATTATTATTTTCTAGTTTTCAGTGCACATAAGATAAAACCGTTTAACTTAAAAGTTTTTTACCGATTTTTTATTAAATTGTGACAAAATAGTGTTAGATAGAAGAAAGTTGCAAGAGACATTTTTTCTTGGAAATAAACCGAGTAAATAAAAAAACTCCGAACTCCCAAAACAATTTTTATTTTTATCAGTGGCGTACTATTTTTTTTAAATATTACCCGATGCGTATCACAGCTACGTCACTGGTTGAAACTAAAACCTCTTCTTTTTACATTTAAAGTGTCTCTGTTAGGCAGACCCCTATAATAAAATTTTATAACGATACCTTCAACTGTTAAAAAACTATTAAAGAATATCTTTAATTTTTCAAAAACTTTAACACCCTGTATCTTGCGTAAGAGACATTTCCGACCCATAGTGTGATATATCAAAATTAATATTTCGACGTCCCCTATCATTCCTCGAAAGCATGACCGACTTACAGGAATCATCCTGTATATACACACAGAAAAATATAACGAACCCATCTTAATTTGGCGGATAATCAGAATAAAAGTCAAACATTTACAAAAAAATCTTACCATATTAAAAACACTAATGTACACTGGAGATCTAAGGGTTCCTACAGAATACAACTGTATAGTTCCGTGAAGTATGTATGCAGAATAATTAATTCTGTTAAGAAAAAATCCTGGTTTCCATGAAGTAAGGGGTTTGATGATGCCTGAAATAGATATAAATCCAGTATAGCAGTGATAGTTGTCTGTCATGTCATTTTAATTTAATGGTAGATGGTTTTTTCTGTCATAACAAAAAAAAGATGGATTTCATAACGCGACGCATTATGCTATACAAATTATAATTATTGTTACCAACAACATTTACACAATTTAACTATTAGACGCTAAAATTTCACACACTATTGCTGTCCTCCATTCGCGAATTTCAAGTTCCAGGGCTTTACGCCCTGCGCTACTCGAGAACGGCTCTGAAAGGAGATGCGCGATAGCCTGGTGCCTCCATATGGCGCAGAACAGTCTAAACTTTATGACTCAATTGAATGGAGGGAGAGTATCGCGTTCTTGAACTGTTCAGAGATGCACAACTGCGTGAATGGAGGACAGTATATATCAGCAAATATCAGTCATATACGTACCTGAATGTCCTTCAGTGATGGCTATTATCATCCAACCAATAGATGCTCCCCAAATCAAGTGATGCATCGAAGCAAACAAAGATGACACCACCTTACTAATATGAATTTCTGGCACATAAAATATGAAGGAACCGTAAACTACAGCCAGTAACATGAAAGTACTTCCAATCCAACCGGCATACACTGCTTTAGGCTTCAATTTGTAGCCCCTTGTTTTGATTTCGTGTTTAATGAAAGCTACAAGTATTCCAACAAGATATGGACTAGCTCTTAAATGAGATGGAATATAGATGTGTTTATACTGATCGTTTCCTGTTGGATCTGTTAAAATGCTAAAATAATAATATAAAATAATACTTTGCATGCATTACAATTATAATATCAAATATGGAAATGTTAAACATATACCACGTCAAATATAAAGAAAACATATCAAAACGTAGAAAACATTTCTTATTTGATTTACCTGTTGTATATTAACAAAAATGGGTTGTAATTGTTTACGTAATGGACTATCGATGCGATTGAGATACTTGAGACTATCAGCAATGAAATTGATATATAGCCTAGTCTTGAGTTCTTTCTGTACATCCAAACTAAACAAGGTGCTATGAGAAAGTATTGAAATTCACAAGCCAAATACCATGTTTGAAACATACACTAAAATAGGAAGAAATAAAGTTATTTACTTAAAAGAATAAATGGTGTTTTATGTTTATATCTTTGTTCATTTCTTGAAAAGAACGCCTGGGTATTTCCCCACTGAAAAGCAAATCTAAAATGAAAAAATTGGCGCCGGGAGGCACATATAACCGCCCATACTAAAATATGTTAATAAAAAGTTGGTAGGCACTTCTTTTAGTTTCAAAGTAAAGGAATTTTTCCAATTTTTTTTATCTCAAAATCTGCGACTTTGACTGATTTTGATGTTATTATAAATTTTGTTGCAAATATTATTCCTAATCTTAAATTGAAAACCGCGTTTCGCTAGCTACTGTAATTTTGGAGTTACGATTTTTTAAAATTTTAAACCCCTTGCCATACCCCCTTCCCAACCCTCCACCCCCACCAAAAACTAATGGCCAGATTCTCGGGTGCCACAGTATTTTTGTGCCAAATTTGGTTAAAATCGGTTTAGCGGTTTTTGAGTTATCGTGTTACAGACAGACGGACAGACAGACAGACACCATGAAAATATTTTGTATTTAGGTCATTTATGACCCAAGTAACTCATTTTGAGTGAATTTAAAAAAACTTTTTTTTGCCGATCTTAATAGCTTACCGGCTAAAAACTATTTAGAATTTCTAAATACCGTATCATCGAAAAAAATGACATCCTGTTGGCTTGAAAATGATGATCAATGACATTGCCCATATAATTTCGCATATAAAATGACAGCGATCTTCATTTCATAGCCATCGCTGATGCCGTTTTTTTTTTATCATATTGTATAACTGTTCAGAGAGACGGTTTATAATAGACCTCTCTGTTAATAGCTAAAAAGTTCTTAGTGGTAAAATACCCAGGCTATTTTTGAGAAATACATGTTTTTATTATACAGGGTGAGCCGTGACTGCAACCCCTGAAAATATTTGCACTTATTTAAGACTCACCCTGTATAGTTGTTAAATTAACACTACAATTTAACGTGTTAAGTAAAGAAATATAGTTTTGGTTATTTAATAATTAATAAGTTAAGTGTTTTATGTGTTTGGTTTTTATTTATAGGGTCCATAATAATGATAATAGGAATCAGTAACAATACTTACAACTTGATTAGTGTTGACGTAGTTATTAATAAATAAAATGTTTGTCCACCAGGACGCCCTACAACTTTCCATTTCCTTCTCTACACGTCTCTTCCAAAGAGGTCCAGAACCCAGTTTAGAAAGCAGTGTATTATGGAAGACTAGGATAACTACGTACATAAAAAGTAGCCTAGAAATAAACACACTTATTCGTTATTATTATGGTGGATTAAATAGAATAAAAAATCAAAAAAATTTTCTAATATCTACTGAGATATAAAAAAAACATCATCAGTAATTTTTACGTGAATTCGCTAAAGAAAATAAAAATAAAAAAAAAACATTGTTTTTTTAAACACATACAACAACATACTTAATTTTTTGTTATTAAAATGAATTAAATATTAATGAATTAATTTTAAATTTACATTTAATTTAACAAAAAAATAATTAATTAATTTTATTTAATTAATTAAATCATTAAATTCCTAATTAATTAATTAATTAAATTCCACCTATGACAAAATTTGACAGTTTGGATAATTTTTTATTATTAAAATTAATTAATTAATTTTGAATTTACATTTAAAATAATAAAAAAAATTATTAATTAATTTTTATTAATTAATTTAATTAATTTATTCATAACAAAAACAATTTTTTTATTAATTAATTACTTTTTATTAATTAATTAAATTTTAATGAATTAATTATAAATAATTTTTAAGTTAATTAATTTTTTAAATATTTACGGAGATCACTATTGGCTAAAATTTATATAAAAATCTTAAGTGTACATCTAAAGTTTTCTTTTTTTTTTAATGCCTATAGTGTTATAAAGATAAATTTTCTATAAAATATTAAAAACATACCTTAAATATCTGTGTAAATATACCCAAAAGAAATTTACAGTTTTATGTTTTATGGCTTGTTGCAGAATCAAGTAAGTAGCTAAGAATCCTGATGTAACAAAGAATGTGTCTACTACAATCGGTCCATTTAGAAGAACTGAAGCTTCTACTTTTTTGTATAACTAAAAATATGATGCTTATTATTTTTTACAGTCAAAATGTTGGTTTTGCGATTTTTCAACTTAATTAGCATTTATGTATATTCGATACCAATTAAATTTTTAGTTACGTAATCGAGGGCGCGATTTTTAAATTCATTGTTGCCAACCATGAACATATTCGGCGCCGGGCTGACTAACTGCAAGCTCTGCTGTAGAAAATGTCGAGTTGCCACATTTATTTATTTCCTGACATTGTCATTCGTTTTGACATTTTAGTTTTGTATTACGAGTTTTTGGTTTAATTGAATTGTGTTGTAATATTTTATATTTTTACTAGCAGATCTTGCACTCAAACATTGTGTTTTTTAGAACCTTTTTTAGTGCGAAGTGGTAAAAGATACCTTAATAGCTTTAAAAAATTCATCGCAATTTTATTAGAATATTTTGAACGGGACAGCGGTAGTAATGGCCCTTTATGTCCCTTAAGTGCTGTTAAGGAAGTGAGTTTTGTTGACGTAAATAATAACTGTTTATATATTTATAATTAATTTATTTTTGTTTTCTAAAATATTTTGATTAAAAGAAAATATGTGAAAGAGGGCAACACTGTGCCGGTCAAGCTTAATCAAGTTAGTAAAAGTTTGTTTGATATAAACAATATAAACTATACAAATGAATAGCTGCCGTATCATAATATGCGAAGTTATGATTGACATTTTTTTATTAATTAAGATCTAATACTGCATGTCTAATGATCCTATTGCTATTTATTGATGTAAATGTTTCATATCATATAAATATTTAAAGATACTTACTTCTTCAACAAAAACGGGATTTTCAATAGGCGAACTGAAGAAAAACATTAATCTATGGGCAAATATTATCAGAAACATTGTTATAACCTTGATTGCAGATATATATTGCAAGCCATCTATATTTTCTTGATTAACGTTCAAGAGTTTCTTAGTATTAGATGCCAACGCTAAGCATTTTACTATTTTATAGCGTACACCTTAAACAGAATCAATATAAATTTTATATATTTTTTAATAAAAATACTTACCATTTTTGTTGGAGTTTCGGTTGACAGTTATTTTGTAATATATCGATACCATTAAAATAATGAATATATATGTTAAAAAAAATAATCTGAAATAAAAGCAAACAATAAAAAAAATAGATGAACATATTATATTATAACTATTATTATTTTTTTTATAAAATGGGGAGGTTGAAACCTAATTAATAAACGAAAAAAAAAAATAGCGTCGAAAAATGGGTAATGACAATCGATGATAATTTTGGTGAGGCCAACCTCTAAACGTCATTTGCTAAAAATTGACATAAATCTTGTCAAAAGTTAACGCTAAGGCCTTCTTAAGTAAGTGTCATTAAAAATAAAGAAGAGTGCGTATGAAGTAACGATGTCTAAGGATTGACCTCGCCAAAATTGCCATCGATTTTCATTCCTTAGCCGACTTTGACGCCGTTTTTTATCGTATGGTATTCATCAAGAACAGTTATTTTTGATTTTTTATCCAATAAAATTCAACATATTTGGATTTTGACTACTGATAAATTTAGTTATACGGTTGATTGAAGAAATATGAAGATGCGCAACATTATGGGCGATTTCGTGGCACAAAACATGTCCGAGATGTAGCTGGCGTTACCGTTAGCCTGTCCGAGAGTTATGTTTAGCTCTGCACCCCTGCGCGCTGATAGTCGTTTATTAGAATACTGCGCCGTATTTCTGCTTTCAGTGATTGAGTGAGTGTTTGCCGGAGACAGTGTTGCCACAGCTACGGATTAGTCCGTAGATTTATGGATTTTGGGTAAAATACGTTAATAATACGAATTTTCAATCATTAAAGAATTTAATATAATATTATATGATTAAACAAAGAACGGCGTCAGAGTTGGCTTGGAAATGAAGATCGCTATTGTTTCATATGTAAAATATTACGGTAAATGTCAATAATTATCATTCCCAATCCAACTAAATGACTTTTTTCGATCATACGAAATATTCAGTACCTATAAAAGAATTTTTATTTTTGTTGTTTATTCTATGTTTAACAAAAATACATTTTTCAATACATAAACGCGGATTTTTAATCCAAAAATGTTTGCGTCAAATGTATTGCAGATATTACACATTTTAATATGGCAACACTGTCGCTTTCAGCACTTGAGACGTAAGGGGAAATCAAATCAGCCTCACGAATTCGCCCATTAGGTGCGTATCTTCCCAATTTTTTCAATCAACGGTGATGCTTATCCCTATTAATTTCTAAAATTCTGCCTTTACCTTTGAGTAAATTGAAATTTAATTTTTATATAAAAAAAGTCTCTAAAATAATGATGTAACGTTTATTGATTTATTTCAAGACCTGTACACTGATCTTTTAACATTTCCCAAGGATCACTTAGCATCCTAGCCAATTTATTTATTTTTTCTTCCTCGCCTTCATCAATCACTTCAATAAGTTGAGTAGACTCCCATGATTCTTTTGGATTCAATAATATGTCCTCTCGTAGATACCCATTACCTACTCCCAAAAAATAGTCGAATTCACCAGGGTTGTGTATCGAATCTTCAGGAACATCCTTGTTCGTTTCGTCCCACGGGTTATAAATCAGAGCATCGTTTGAGGCTGTGCAAGTTATTCTAAGTTTTAATCCACTTTTTGATATGTTCTCTACTTCAATCACTTCCGGAACATCAACAAACGCGTCATTGTATTCTCTGTTTATTTTTATTTCGTCTTTGGTCAAGTCCGGATCAATAAGGGTTCGATTTTTACAAATTCGCATATATTTGCACTTGGACAAGCCTTTGATACGACATATTCGAATATCTTCCACTCTAAATATGGAATGTCGTAATAGATTGAATGAAAATGGGAAATAGTTGCAGGTATTTACGACTTTGACTGTTATTTTTAAACTACTCATCCCTAATACTATGGAAAAAAACATTTTGAATCTGTAATTCCACATAGATTTTGTATATTCGGTTTCTTTTAACGATAGTACAACCTCAATGTCTCCATTTTCTAGTTTTGTTGGATACTTCTCAATAGACCACGGAACATATCTGGCGAATCCGTGTTTGGGTCCATTGATTCTTCTGCCATAGTAAGGAAAAGTGCACTTGATACCACCTCTAATTGGTGTGATATGGTTGAAGGCGGTTTTCATCTTGATGTAGAGCATTTCTATATTATTTACTCTCCATGACAGTAGAGTTCCTCCATGAAGGTGGATAGTCATTGTAGTGTAATGTCCTCTATTTACAAATAAAACGTCCTCTTGCAATGTGTACATCTTTATCTTGGTTTTAATGTGTTGTGGCAAATGTCACTAATAAATGTCACTGTTTTTTACAAGCTTTTTTAAAATTTCCAAACCATCCTTTAACTACCCTTCTACTACAGCTTCTATATTTGAATAAAAATATTAAGGAAGGTATGTATCAAAAATCTTATAGTGTGACCAACGGATCTGTAGCTACGGGGTATCGGCAGGGGAACGCAGTTGTAAACAAAACACGCCCAATTTCATTCATAAAATAGGCATGGGCGTACGGTGTTATATGAAAATAATGTGTATCATAAATATAATACTCAGATTAATAATTTTTTTCAAAAAACTTTATGCTGTTTGAATCGTTACTGTTGAGTTAGCAGATAAACACTAAAAGCTTTTATTAAAGCTCCCTTAAATATTTTGAATCATTTTATTATTGTGTTGTTAATATAATAGAAGAAATAATTACAGCTGAGTGTTGGAACCTTTGGTGTTAAACAGCAAAATAAAACACTAAATCAGTACAATACACCAAACCACTTTTAATTTTACACTGAATGCACATTTCGCTAACCATGTCTGTCATCAGCAGATGATCAAGACTGAGTCTTGAGGTATATTTATTTATATATCTGTACTAACTATATTTTTTTCTATAATACATAATTTTAGATATAACTATTTCCAGCAAAAAAATCTTGAAAATAGTTAACTTTGGAAGCGCAAACAAAACATAATTTTACTCACCAGTAGATCCAATATTGCCTATTACACCAGATATGGTATCGCTCCGCCAGCAGTTTTTAAAGGTTAGGTCATTGTCTACCCATGTGTTTCATCCAAATACTTGGCTATATTTTCGGCAATATAATGGGCCGCTCCATTAATATTTATCTGTTATTTTGACATTTACGCCAAAAAAAATAATTTGATTAATAACCCCCTAAGCGTTTCCTTGCAAAAGGAAAATTCGATTCATCCTGCAATTTTTGAAAAAGCTTTCTAATTGTGGGGACGAGTTTGAATTCGAGATAAAATCTATTTATCAAATTCCTGACCACTTCGAAAACGTCGTCGAGCTTTTCGACAGCAGTCTCACGTGGTCGTTTCTTTCCAGAGCTGGATATCATTTTATCGGGGTTAGTTTTCAGCCTTTTTTTTATCTTCTGTTTGAATTTTTTTTATAGCCGATACGCTAACTCCGGTATAAAGAAATATCCGCTCAAGTTTACGTTTAAGCGGCAACTTAAGCGAACTCTCTGTAGCTTCTTCATCGCAAACCCTATTATGAACACAAGGAAATAAACCAAATGAGATTTCATCCACGTTATTATTAACTTACCTATATAAATTAGCTATTATTTCTCTTGTCTGACTATGTAGTGTCTTACCCTTAACAAATTTATTCATTTTAAAACACAAATATACGATCAAACTTGATATTATTAATAATTAAAAACTACGAACCAAAAACATTATAACAAGATAACAAAACAATAAAACACAACTTAGCTATTAAATATACGAAAAATATAGGAATAAAGTTTAGGATAACCGGTATAAAATAATGAAATAAAGTAATAATGATCAAAAAAATGACACCGCCACTGGATATTTCAATAGTATTCAATATTTCTACTCTTTTCAGAAGAGACCGTGAAGTTGGGGATAAAGATAGCGAATAGGAAACGTGTAAAAGCCATGGCAACCGCGTGGTAACAAATCCTGTGACGTACTCTCGCCAATCATGTTCAATGAATAGGCGGCCATGCGCGGCGATGCCGGTTTGCCAATGATATCGTTGAAAAATCTTCAACTTTCATAATAAGCAGATTATACAGAATGAAAGAAATAAGTTATTAAATAAAACATATCGAACAATATGAACTACGTTAAAATTCCTTAGTAATATACGTCAGAATATATGCTAAACACATTATATATAATAAAAATATATGAACCTAGTTCATGTCTGGCAATTTTACAATTTTATAGATAAACGTGGCAATATCGATTTTTTTTTCTCGCATTCCTTCCGTAGCTTCAGATCCGCTGGTCAAACAGTAGTTACCATCCTCCTCCGAAACGGCTTAACCGGTTTTGATGAAATTTTATATGTATATTCAGTAGGTCTGAGAATATGTTGTTATCTATTTTTTATACCCCTAAATGAAGGGTGGTCCATCCCATTTTTTTTAAATTTTTTGGACAAAATTTTTTATTTTTATTTTTTAATAATACAACCCTAAATTTTCACCTTTCCACCATCAACTCTTATTTTATAATAGCGATATTAGTAATGCAATAATTTTCAACCCCGGTTGATAAATGATCTTTAACTGATCAATTATCACTTGATCAGTTAACAAACAGTCAGTCACCCAGTCAGACCTCTGACCCAGTCAACAGCACGGAGTGAGGATGAGATCTCGCTCACACAATAAGCCGTTTCTCACGGAATAATCCTAGGAAAAATTCATATAGCAAAACAACGTCCCGGGTCCAGCTAGTACTTACATAAAAATATAATCTCCTAGACTCAAGTTATACAGGTCGTCTTGAGTTTGACAGTCTTGTTCTTTTATACTAACTTCTAACTTAAATGGATCAGTTTTTTCTCTTAAAATAATACTATTTATGGCACTGTTTATATCATTATATGTACAGGAAGAAGGTAGACAAAGGGCAACATTATAATCATTTCTTTTGAATCGGCTTAAAGTATTAGCATACGCCTGAAAAAGAGCAATAATATGTAATGAGGCATAATCTGGTAAAAGTTTCTATTAAATGTATTAACTATTAATTACAGTGTATTTAAGATATATGGACATACATATACCGGGTGCGTCTCAAAAGTGGCTCACCCCCTATAACTTTTTTATTTTTTCAGATAAAAAAAACAAATTTAGTTTTTTAGTATATGACATAAATTAGGATTGATTGACGTATCTATTCAATTGTTTTTGGTCACTTCCTGTTTCACCGGAAATGACTACAACTTTTGATTTTTAAATGGCACCCTCGGTATATTTCTACTTTATTTGACAGAAAATGACACTCTGAATCTAATGACATATCATATGACAACTTTTGACATATTCGCTTAAAAACAAATTATATTTTAAATATCAATCTACAGTGCCATGGCTGTGTTAAAAATACTAATTTTTAATTAAGGAGCATTGGAAAAATAGATTTTATCGTCTAATGTTTTTAGTGTCTTTTCCTGGCCTGTTAAAAAATGCCCAAATCGTAATTTTAATCATATTCCAATTTTTTCAAAAACGAGGGTGGCGCATATTTGGAAAAAGCATTTTTTTACGAATAATTTGATACCACACACTTGGTATTTCTAGTGAAATTGTCGTTACGAAATGCATGTTATAATTTCAAATAAATCATAATGCAAAAATGTCAAAAGTTGACATATGATATGTCATTCTATTCATTGTCAGTGTCATTTTCTATTGAATTAAGTAAAAAAATAGAGAGGGTGCCATTTAAAAAAAAGTTGTTGTCATTTCCGGTGAAACCGGAAGCAACCGAAAACAATTGAATATGTCAATGAATCCTAATTTATGTCATATACTAACATACCAAATCTCGTTGTTTTTATCTGAAAAACTAAAAAAGTTATAGGGGTGAGCCACTTTTGAGACGCACCCGGTATATACATATATAAGCGATACCAATTAAACTTTTAGTTACGTAATCGAGAGCGCGATTTTTAAATTAATTGTTGCCAACAATGGATATATTCGGCGTCGGGTTGACAAACTGGAATTTAAGTTTCCCGCTGGGGATTCAGGTGGTACTTATTTCCTGACATTGTCATTATTTGTTTTGACATTTTAGTTTTGTATTACGAGTTTTTGGTTTAAATGAATTATGTTGTGATATTTTAAGCTTAAAAAATTTTACTAGCTGACCTTGCAGTCGAACATTGTTCTTTTTAGAACCTCTTTTAGTGCGAAATGTACAAGATAGCTTAATAGCTGTAAAAACTCATCGCAACTTTTTCAGAATATTTTGAACGGGAAAGCGGTAATAATGACCCTTTATGCTCCCTAAGTGCTATATAACTGTTTATATATTTAAAATTAATTTATTTTTTTCCTAAAATATTTTGATTAGAAGAAAATATGTAAAAGGGGACAACGCTGTGCCAGACAAGCTTAATCACGTGACTAAAAATTTATTTGATATGAACTATACATACCTAGTTTATTGCAAATTTTCTAAAAAACCTAACATAAATGATATGCGTCCAAATTTCTTGAACACACTGTATTTGCTGAATTGGAAAACAAAGAGAATTCATCTAAAACTTACTGATAGTTTGTCATTAGTAGATACGTTAAAATATTTGATATAATCATCACGTTCCCAGTCTACTTCAGTTAAATTGTGGGGTGTTTCTAGTTTGATTTTCCAATTGACCAAACAATATTTTCCTATAAATCCTTCATTATTATGAAGTACCTTAATTTTTAGGCATTCATCGTAGCTTCCCAAGTCGTATGACGAACCATAGAGCAAACCACTCGGAAACTTGGCAGATGCATCAAACACTGAGAAAGAAATCGACTATAATATTAAAGTCCGGTTGTTCATATCATGTTTATACTCGATGTCAGTTTAGACTTGAACCAAGTTTAAAATTTTAATAGGCTATTCAATGACTTATTATCTATAAATAATTTTTTTATACAGTATGTCTCCGGATTGTCTTTACAAGAGAAAAATCTTTTACTTTTTGAGAAAAATGCATTCCTCATAAAAACTTTTGGTTGTTCTAAAATGGTCAATCCCAATTATACTTCCAAAATTTTCATACGGTTTTCGAGAAAATTAAATAAAACCATAAAATGCAGCTTAAATTTTTCCTAAAAGAAGTCCTAAAAATTAAAATGCGTTTCTATGGTAATACAATTTTGATTTTATTCTTTGACAGATCGTTATAATTAATTTTGAATAACGTCATATTTTTTGATGTTGTCATAGATTGGAAAGTGCCCATAAGGACAATGTAAACACTATTTGGCGCTATTCTTCCAACGGTCGCTACCTAAAACTTTTGAAAATTTCGGAGCGGTTCGGCTTTTTCCGGAATTATATCGCCAAATAATTGTTTATTCAAATTTATTATTATTTTCGTTTAATTTTATAAATAAAATACAGTGTGTTTTATACAAGAAACTTTATTTTATACTAAGATTGTATATAAGGACGCATGTATGAAATACCTATGAAACATTGGAAACCGACGTTATGCCACGATCCACTATGGTTTTTGCAGTTCACAGTTCACAGCACAGCTTTTTAAGTTTTTAATGCCACTTTTTCACAATTATCACCGGTTGGAGTAAATAAAACTTGAATTAAACTCACAAGATAGCAATTATTACTTTGAAAATGGACGCTATAAACACTTTTAGGAATTTCTTTAATGAGAGCGGTTTAGATTTTGAAATATTATTATGATTTTTGAAGATTCTGACTTTGACAAGAGAAAATTATTTCTGTTTTGGTTTGCCGTTGTTCTTAGCGACCGCTATAGCAGCGCCAGATCCATTGCCTGGAAACTTATATGGTGAAATTTTGATAAAATAATTTAGTACTCACTAAGAACACGGTATGTCGCTAGTGGAAGGAAAAATAATTTTTAGAGGTTACTAGTTTATTTGGTTGCTTGTGATATGCATATATAGGGTGTTTCCTAATTAATCTAAAAAATAAAAAATCGTTAGAAAACGGCTTAAGGCGGGCTCTTAATAAGTATATTTATTTTTTTCTCGGCAAACGTTTGATGAACAAGAAAAACTCAAAAGATTAATTTTGTTGAAAAAGGATGGCCAGTCAAGAAAAAAAATATATTTTCTTTAAAAAAGCAGTAGTGTACCATTTATTTTAAGCAAAATATCGATTTTTTTTAATTTTTAACACCCTGTAGATCAGAAAGGAAGTACTTTAGACCTAATGGTTATATAAAATTTGTTTTAAGAACACATGAGGAATCACACCACAATTTTTTAGACTAATTAGAAAACACCCTGTATATTGTCAACTTGACAATGATTGTTGATAAATCAAAAACATAAACATCAAAAAATACCTTTTCTGTGAAAGAAAACCCGACTTTCGCAGGAAAAATTTTGGTTTTTATTGAATTTGGGCCTGCGTCTGCAAATACCGGTATGTTTTTTAATATTCTATCTATCTAAATTTTAAATATCATAGTCAGAAATAGTTTTATTATTTATTAACTGCAGAAATGGTATACTTATAAGTTTTATCAAATATTGTGATTTACTTTCTACCTTGTAGTCAAAATTTATATTTAATAAACTGTAAAATATATTATTCTTGTTTTATTAAAGTTTTTCTGATATACTAATATATCAGTGTAACTTTAAAACTAAATCCTTTGAAATCAAATATAAACATAAAAAATATTTACAGCAGAAAAGGCGAAGGCGCTGGGTTAAACGTAGTCTCTACTAAGAACACGGAGGGGCGCTTTGACCCAAAATTTTACTATTAACTTTCATATCTATCTTAATAGAAGATTATTTTTCTTTATCTATGCGCCAGATCGCGTATAACCGACCCAAAATAATTTCGCGACCCAAAATTTTTACGGGCTTTCCAATCTAAACTTGATGTTGTTAAAGTATCACATTTTCCGATAACTATTATTACCCTTTCCGTATCATGCTAATTAAAATTCTGTCAATAACAATCTATCAAAGAATGAAAACGAAAATATAAAAATTCAACTACATTTTTATGTTTTTAGCCGACCATACCAATAGGTATGGTAGGCTATTAAGATCGGCAAAGCGGTTTTCAATTTAAGATTAGGAATAATATTTGCAACAAAATTTGTAATAACATCAAAATCAGTCAAAGTCGCAGTTTTTGAGATAAAAAAAATTGAAAAAATTCCTTTACTTTGAAACTAAAAGAACTGCCTACCAACTTTTTATTAACATATTTTAGTATGGTGCCTCCCGGCGCCCGATTTTTTTTTTAATTTTCTCTAAAACGGTATGGAAATTTCAAAAAGTATAAACAGTTTAACCATTTTAGAACAAGCAAAAAGTTGTTATAAAGAATGCATTTTTCTCAAAATGTCAATGGTACCAAAAAAGGTTTTCCTGTTGTAAAGGCAATCCGGGGACATGCTGAGAGTGTTTGATATCTAAAATTATGAAATTTTGCAGAAAATTTCACACCTCTACTTTTCAACCAATAACATGCTTTAATGTTGACTAGTTACCATGGCAACTGAAAAAATTTCCGGAAATTTCTTCGAGGCGCCACGAAACTTTAGTGGAAATTTTTTGACAGTTGAAAAGGTAAACATAAGATCTACAATCATAATGTGAATGAACTACAATGTCTATATATTGAAATATTACCCATTTGAGTTTTAGCATTTGATGTAACTAAGGTTGGTAATATTTTTTATTTAAGGAAATATGTTAGATATACCTACATATGAACTTCTTCGAAATTGCCATGTTCTAAAAAATATAGTTCTGCCGCCTTTATTTAACTAAAGCTGGTATTTTTCTATTTAACGAAATATGATACCTTGGCCAACTTAACAAATTGAAATTATTTTAAAATGCCATGTTGGATTAATATTTTTTTTTTTCAAATTTAGGTGTGAAATTTTCTTACCGAATACCACGCAAGCTTAAATTATTCCTGGAAATTTTCTTTCGGGCACGAATATTTTAGGAAAATTATCCCTCGTCTTCGACTCGGGATAATTTTCAAAATATTCGTGCCCTCAGAAAAATTTCCGAAAATAATTTAAGCTCTTGTGATATTATAAGTGAGAATTTAAAAACATAAGAAAAAATGGGGATATCAAATAAAATAAAAAAGTTTTTATTAGTTTTCTGACCAAATAAATATTCGGATTTTTATTTAAAAAAAAATAAATAAACTTTTTATATTAAGAAAAATAAAATGTTAAACTCGATTTAACTTTTTATAATTATTGATAATTGGATATAAAAAACTCACTTTCTGTAGCCCATAATGTCAGTTTCTTCAACTCTTCCAGATAAAATACACTATGTTCCCTGCACTTTTCATTTTCTGAATAAACTGTGGGCACGTATAACTGAAAAATATTATTCAAGTTTCCCCCTTTCAAAAAACTATCGTTGTTCTTGTATTTCGTTTCCAACGCGGCGCATATTCCAAAAACTATTATTAAAGCAAAAAATACGCCTTTGCAATATCTTGGTGTCATCTTTGATCGTAGATATCTTCACCTATGGTCACCCTTCAAATAACTACTTGAAAAATATGTTTCATTCTATTATATTAGTATTAGCAACAACATAAGGGATCAGAGATCACGCATGGTATTATTTATGCACCTGATATTTACTCGTTTAGATATTTAACTGTATTAATGAGAATTTTTTCTGTTAAAATTATTGCGTACTATTGTGGTAAAAAAGATCATTAATCAGCCAATACTGTGAATGAACAACTAAAAAGTATATTTTTTCTGCATTTTTGCAGACATCATAAACTTATATCTTGCAGATAATATACCCAGCGTTCCAAAAAAGCATTTATTTTATAGCATTTATTAAATTTTCATTTATACAGGGTCCGGCAATGGTGCGTCGAGCATTTGTAGCTCCTAGAAAGGAAACTTGAGAATTCTGTTTAAGTGCAAACCTAAAGTATGCACGAGGATGTATTTCGGGAAAACATTTTAACTTCTATAGGGTGGCTCAATAAAGTGTGGGTGGATCGGGATGCTTTTTTTAAACGGAACACCCTGTAGGTATATTATTGTATTTTTGGCTTCCTTTCCTTTCTTTTATTTAGTCCTAAGATATGAGTAAATATATTTCGATAGTTTCAGAGATATTAACTTTAGATGGTCTGTACTTACTTTGCTATAAATATCGTAATCTTAAATCACACAGGGTGTTTAAAATTCTACGCCAAACTTTCTAAAATATTAAATAAATTTTCTTTTTTAAATGGAACTCACATTTTTTGAGATAGAGATTTAAAAAAATTAACATTTTTTTGTATTTAAAGTATTTCAATAATTTTAATGGTTTCGCAGATACACGTAGTATTATTTCTCTCAGCGGTAAAATACGAGAGAAAAATCATTGGGTGGCTTTGATAAAAACTTACTGTGGAAAATGCCATATTAGATATAAAACCGCGATTATCTGCGAAACGGGTAACAATTTTGAATTACTCTAAATACAAAAAAAAATTATTTTTTAATTCTCCATCTAATAAAAAATAATATACACGGTGTTCCATTAAAAAAACCAAGAAAAATTATTTTATATTTTAGAAAGTTTGGCGTAGAATTTTGAACATCCTGTATAATTTACGATTACCATATTTATAGCAAAGTAACTACAGACTATCTAAAGTAACTACCTAATATAGTTTTGATTTTAGTTTTTGTATTTTTAATAATTTTTTTAAGAAAGGCTGAAAAATATATTTTTTTATTTATTTATGAATATCTCTGAAACTATCGAAATATATTTACTCATATCTTAGGAGTAAATAAAAGAAAGTGTTCCATTTAAAAAAGTCATCCCGATTAGGGTTCCCAACTTGAGCATCGGCGATTCCGGGACAATTATTTTTAAGCTTTTAAATAATTGAAACAAAACAGTAAATATTAGAAATTAAAATATATTATGTGTGTAGTATACCCTTTATTAGTGTCCAGGTCCCGGCCAAGGCAAAACTTTCGCCGGGACAAACTTTCTGATTCCTGGTTAATCCCGGCCAAACCGGGACGGTTGGGAACCCTAATCCCGATCCACTCACACCTTTTCGAACCACTCCACTAAGGGGTATTTAACCCAAAAAGTTGGCTAATATCAACCAACCGATACCAGGAATTATTTGTATAAACATGAATGTATTCGAGGGTGGGTGGTAGGGGTCAATGTCCCCCCGTGTTACAATCCGCGCCAATCACAAATGGTCCTTCGAATAGGGCTGTGTATCGCTGTGCTTTTACAAAATTTACTTAACAATAATTATCTTAGTTTTTCTTACTAATCGCGATCTTCTATTGATCTTATATTAGTTTGGAGTATAATACCGAGTATTACTCTTTAGTATAACCCTTGTATAACTGTTATTTTGTAGTTAATACAATATTAATCTGCTAGTTCAATAATAGACATATTATTTCATTTATAACAGAATGTTTATGTAAACTTTTAGTATGTAATCGAACCTTATCAAGTATATCAATCTGGCTGGTTTTGTAGCTTAAGTATTCCTTTAGAAGACCTCGATAAGAAATTTTGCTAATTTTTGCGAGTTTGGCAGTTACACTACAATTTTTTTTAATCTAATAAAAATGTAGTGTTTTTCACTTTCAACACCCTGTATCTTAGAAACAATGCATTTCTGGACCTATGTTTATGGGAACTTTTCTCCATAAAATGACCTGAGGAATCACTTCCTCGAGTATTGACATGTTATTGTCAATACTCCAGAAAGTCTCGACTTAATCTTGTCAATAAAAAAACTACTACTATTTTAATGCATACTAGGCATGTATTAAAATTTGAAGCAATTTCTTTATTTTCTCACGTATTAAAAGGCGGAAGAATGGAAAAAAAATAAAAATATTATTGGCCAGGTTTTGAGGTAAAATACCCCATACTGCACCCCATAGAAGTTAAAATATTTTTCTGAAATACATCCTCGTACATGCTTTAGGTTTGTACTTTAACAAAATTCTCAAGTTTTTTATTCTAGGAGCTACAGATGCCCGACGCACTATTATCGGACCCTGTATGTATAGCCTTAGATGCTGCTACCATAATATAAATCTTAAAGAACATATAGCTAAGTATTAATAAAGTTGAATTCACTGTAGTGTTTAACCAATAAAACATTAATCACACAAATAACTCATTTTGTGTGAAATTAAAAAAACTTTTTTTTGCCGATCTTAATAGCCTACCATACCTGTTGGTACGGCTAAAAATAGCGTACTATAGCAGAATTTTATACTGAATCCAAATATGTAGGGGGGGGGGGGGGGGTGTAATTTAAATAAAAACTTAAAACTTTATCATAACCTTTTTTGGCACCCTGTATGCAACAAAATATTTCGCAACATCTGAATTTAAACGTTGTTTCATATCTTTGACAACGACGACAATATTGGACTTCCTCGCGCTAATGGGCCACCCTGTATATACACTATAACCATAATATTTACTAATTATTAATTAATAAATTGGAAATTACATGGTATTAAAAATTCTCGTTTTAGATTCAAGGCGAAAAAATACGACAATGGAACAGTTTGTAAGAACAATAAAAATGTTTGGAAAATTTATTTTTGTTTACTCTTTTTTTCTCCTGCTTATTTTAAAACAGAAACCCCAATTACGTCTCGTGATTAATGATAGTAAGAATACTCAACTGTCGTTTACAATAATTAGGAAAATTGTGTACTATCATCATATATTATGAAATAAAAATAGAAAAGATTTTTTCACAATAATTACATATAATTAATTTGGAACAATAAATCATTTAGACTTTTTAAAGCTTACTATTTTTATAAAAAAATATAAAATTATGAAATAAAAAATAATTTTTTATACAGTATGTTTTTGATATTTGGACACATTTAGAAAACAAGTTTAAATACATAAAAATGGAATAAATTCTTAGTTCTAAGTATTGTTTCACATGGAGCGGACTGTCCGTTCGGTAAACAAGTTTACCAACTCGAAAACATATTTTTCCAGCAACACGAGGCACCACCTCACAATGCTGAAATTAACGGCAATTATTTTCAGCCAATATCGAGAATAATTGGATAGCTAACCAAGGGCCCAGCTGTTGACAGTCGAGGCCGCCGAACTTACCACCTATGGATTTTTATCTTTGGGGAAGACTTGAGGTTGTTATTTTTAAATTGCCCGTATAGTCAAGACAGCAATTAGAAGTACTTAGCGGTTATGCGAGGGTATCTTTTACCCCTACTGAGTTAATGAATTCCGCGAGAAATGTTCAGAAACGGTCCAATCTGTACAGGGTTGGTCAAATTGGACGCTTTTAAAGGGAAACGCCCTTTTCTATAGTAGATAGACGAAAACTAATGTCGGTGTCTGGAACACAATTTTCATCAAAAACATGATGGTGAAAACCGCACATCAATATCTGTTACCGTTTCGGAGTTACGGGGTGTTTTTCAAAAATGTGCATTTTCAACAAATCGCTGTAACTTTTTTGCTATGGAAAATTTTGTATTTTTATGAAAACATTTCCAAAGCACCTTTTTAAGTAGAATTTAATAATTAATTTTTTTAATAATTAAATTATTAATTTTTAAAAAGGCCCACCCTGTATGTACATAAGAGAAGACATTTCGAACAACATTTCGCACACCTCCTGTAGTAAAATCTCATGTCTTGGTTTGTTATTTATTATTATTGTTATATATCTCGAAGAGGGATCGAGCAAAATATCAAGTGCTATATTTTTAAAAAGTAGTTTTAAATTATTTTCATTAAAGTAAAAATATGCAGGGTGTCCCATATAAAAAATCAAATTTTCTGTTGATAATTCTTAAATTATTAATTTTAAAAAAATTATACTTAAACCACAGATAACATATGTTATCTGTGCTTAAACCATTAAATTCTACGTAAAAAAGTGCCTTGGAAATGATTTTATAATAATACAAAATTTTCCATAGCAAAAAGGTTACAGCGACTTGTTATAAATGCACATTTTTAAAAAACACCCCGTAGTTCCGAAGCAGTAGTAACAGATATCGATATGCGGTTTTCACCATCATGTTTTTGACAAAAATTGAGCTCCAGACATTGATAATATTTTTCGTCTATCTCCTATAGGGTGTTTTCCTTTAAAAGAGTCCAATTTGGCCCACCCTGTATGTACATAAGAGAAGACATTTCGAACAACATTTCGCACACCTCCTGTAGCAAAATCTCATGTCTTGGTTTGTTATTTATTATTATTGTTATTAGAGATAGTTTAAATATATTGTTGTTGTTAGATATAGCTTAAATTGTTATAAAATTTTGCATCTTTCATTGCAAATATTTATTTTCGTTTTAATTGCCGCTCAGCATGGTTCAAAGCCTATACTTATTCAAAATGGGCGAGTCTTTAAAAACTTTATATCTCGAAGAGGAATAGAGCAAAATATCAAATATGCTATATTTTTTATAACTAATTTTAAGTTATTTTCACTAAATTAAAAATATACAGGGTGTCCCATATAAAAAATCAAATTTTCTTTTAATAACTTGTAAATTATTAATGTTTTTGATAAAATTGAGCTTCAGACACCTATATTAGTTTTCGTCTATCTCTAATAAAAAGGGGGGTTCCCTATACAAAGTGTCCAATTTGGCCCACCCTGTACGAATATATGACGAGATTATTAGACTTATGTATTTCTTTTTAACTAAAACAAACTTTATTTTTATTATACACGTTTATTCTTACTGTTGCTTGACATTTAACAAGGCTTAAACAAACTAATTAAAGAAGCGTAGGAATAGTTTTGCAAGCACTCCTCTATCTCCATAACTTTAGTTCTTGTGACTTGAATTCCTTTTAGCTTGTTATAATCCTTATACAAGTTGAGGATCGCATCTAAAAAATAAATAAAACACACATGAAAAAAATAAAATTAATTATTAATTAAAAATATACCGGGTGTTTTTCAAAAGTGTTGTGTCTGTTGTTTAAAAAAACAAAATTTGGTATGTTAGTATATGACATAAATCGGGATTCTTAACAACGCAAATAAAATAAAAATATGATATACCGGGTGCGTCTCAAAAATGGCTCACCCCTAAAACTTTTTTATTTTTGCCGATAAAAAAACGAGTTTTGGTATATTAGTATATGACATAAAATAGGGTTGATGGACGTATTGAATTCTTTTCGATCACTGCCTGTTTCACCGGAAATGACTACAACTTTCGATTTTTAAATAACACCCTCGATATTTTTTATTTTATTCGATAGCAAATGACACTGTGAATAGAATGACATATTATAATATAATATGTCAAACATATTATGATAACTTTTGACATTTTCGCATATGGTTTATTTGAAATTATTGTAACATGCATAGTTCATCAAGGACAATTTGACTCGAAATACCAAGTGATATATAGTAAGAAAATATTCGTAAAAAAATGCTTTTTCCACATAGGCAAATGAGCCACCCTTGTTCCATTTGAAAAAATTGAGATATCATTAAAATACGATTTGGGTATCTTTTAACCGGCCAGAATAGTGATAAGAATTCTGGTAATGTTGCTGAAGAAACATGACATGAAACATTCTACAGCAACAATTTTCTTTGATTTTTCTAAGGCGTTCGATTGTGTAAATCATAAGATCCTAATTAATAAACAGGAGCACTATGGGTTCAGGGGAACATCTCTCGAATGGTTTAAGTCGTATCTGAGCAACAGAAGTCAACTTGTGAGGGTGGATACCACGTTGTCTTCTAGCAAGCCAATAGAATGTGGAGTGCCACAAGGCTCAGTACTAGACCCTATTTTGTTTCTTCTTTTTATTAACGACATTGCTAACATAAACATCAGTGGCAAGATATGTCTTTTTGCGGACGACACTAGCTTCACTTGGAGCAACAAGGACGTCACGGCACTTCATAGGATTATATCAAATGATTTAATTACTATTAAATCTTGGTGCGACTCGAACCTCCTGAGTCTCAACACTTCTAAAACTAAAGCTTTGTCGTATAAAAACTCGCTGCAGCCTTTTGTACTTAACAACACCTCCATTGACGTCGTAAAATCTGTAAAATTCTTAGGGCTTGTTGTAGACAATTCTCTGAAATGGGACATACATATCGAAGCTTTGTCGAAAAAATTGAGCTCTGCCTGTTTTGCATTAAGATCTGTTTCTAAGGAGCTTAACTTGTCAGTGGCTAGAACTGTTTATTATGCACTTTTTGAGTCGCACCTCAGGTATGCCCTTCCATTCTGGGGTACGTGTTGTGCGACTCAATTTGACCGCATTTTCAAGCTCCAGAAGAGAGCTGTTCGATATTCATTGGGACTAAACAGCAGAACTCATTGCCAGGACTTTTTTAAAAAATTAAAAATATTGACTCTTCCTTCCTTATTTATATTTGAATCCATTTGCCTAATACGTAACCATGTATCAGCTTCTCAAGAAAAGCCATCTCACACTTATCCACTCAGGAAAGCGGAGCAACATCTTTATCTACCTACCCCACGCTCAGAGTTAGTTAAAAGTTCAATATTATACAACTCGAAAAAAATGCACAATCACCTGCCATTTGAAATCAAATCCATAACATCATTTTCTTATTTACTAGACAAGGCTTTCTACGCTGTAAATGAATTATATTTTGAAAATCGAATTTGATCTTGTAAACACTGGTCTAATGTTTGCTGTTGCTATATTTACTAATGACATCGAAATAAATTTATTTAGAGGTCATTGATATTTACTATAAACTAGCTAAATATTTTTGAATGTTGTTTTTATTTTTTTGTTCTTTGACATTGTAAACATTTATAAATGTTTATTTTAAACAATAAGACTGACAATATTATTTGTATAATGTTTTGTATTATCTTTTGTTTGTTTGTTTGTGTACCTTGTTTGTTTATTTTGTTTGTTTAGTTTACCTCCGTCTACAAATTGAAAATTTTTTTGACAATAAAGGCATTTATTTATTTATTTAATATGACACGAAAAACGTTAGACTATCAAATCAAATTTTCCAATGCTCTTTGATTAAAAATTAATGTTTTTAACACAACCATGGCACTCTAGATTGAAATTTAAAATAGGATTTTTAAGCGAAAATGTCAAAAGTTGACATATGATATGTTATTCTATTCAAAATATCATTTTCTATCGAATAAAGTAAACATATACCGAGGGTGCCATTTAAAAATCAAAAGTTGTAGTTGTGGTCATTTCCGATGAAACAGAAAGTGACCAAAAACAATTAAATATGTCAATCAATTCTATTTTATGTCATGTACTAAAATACCAAAACTTGTTTTTATCTATAAAAATAAAAAAGGTATAAGTGTGAGCCACTTTTGAGACGCACCCGGTATATCATATTCCATTAAAAAAACATAAGTTTCAGTATCTTTTAATAACCTTTTTTTTAAAACCATATTTTAAAAATGGCAGCTCGTAGCAAAAATCTAGTTACGTCACTGAAGAATTCTATGGGAATTAGTTTTCACCTTTTCGATAAGCTATTAGAAAAAATACAACATTTTCGCTTTCGCCCGTATCAAAGATATTTAAACTCAAAAGATACAATTGGTCCGTATTCGTATTTCAGGAAGTAAGTGGATTAGGACAAATCTGTGTAGCATCTTTAGTTTCATAAAAAAGTAGCACAGTGATGTGAAAACCTCATCTTTGTATGTCTACTCATTAACGACAAACCCTGTAAAACAAGCGAAAATAGAACACCCTGTATATTACCAGCTACAAAGAAACTTACAATTGTCAGTTACGATTTCTATAATAACAATAAATTATTTTATAAAGCTATAAATTTACCATATAATCTGGATAAATAATCAGGAAAACTGTTAAAATGGCCTACTAGTGTATTTTTCCTCTCCAACAAATTTTTATACTTTGGTGAAAGATATTTGACATTTTCTTCTTCACTGATCTCCAATTCGTTGAGGGCATCAAACAAGTTTTTATCTTTTATCAATTTCTTATGTTCCAATAGCTTTGGTTCGATCTTCTTGATCACGTGATCTAAACACTGATCATTTATATCTACAACAACACAGAACACATGTTATATTTGAATGAAAAAATCTATAAATAACGTATAATTTTTTTTTATAAATTTAGCTTGGAAATGACGATCGGTGACATTCCCCATATAATTTTATGTGTAAAATGACAGCGATCTTCATTTCATAGTCATCGCTGATGCATCAATTAGCATCAGGGTTCACTCTACTATCGAACATAATTTTAAAAAATAAAATTTTTAATAAATTAACAGACGCATTTAGAGTTAGTTAACTGTGTTTTTTAGAAAGTGTTGTTTTAAAAAACAACTCTCGCATATTATGATTAATTGAAGAGGTATCTTATATCGTGTGACCGAAAAGAACGGCGTCAGCGATGGTTATGAGCTTTGGTTATGAGTTATGAAATGGAGATCGCTGTCATTTTATATGTAAACTAGCGTGTACCCGCGACTTCGTTCGCGAATTAATATAAGCAAGAATTTCCATTAACATACAAACTGGATAAAATGTTCTCATATTTATGTCAGCATAAGAAAAAATAATATGGCGATATTATTATATAACTTGGTAATATTTGAGGGGTAGTTTCATCTCTTTGGAATTTGACTTTCAAAAAATCCATTTGCCAAAAATAAGGTTTTTACGCCAAGGAGTTTAAGCAGAATCGTGATTACTCAATGGTCATATTTTATGAAACACCCTGTATAATTTTTTAAAAAATCTTAAAATATGTAAAACAACAAAATAAAATATACGTGTTTAAGAGTTTTTCCGAAAAACTCACCGGTTTTTAAATAAAAAATACTCTAATATTTGAGGGGTGGTTTCACCCCCTTAGAATTCGAGTTTCGAAAAATTCCCTTCTTATCGAACCTCTACATCATAAAGTCAATCCGTTTTCCAAAAATCAGCTTTTTACGTCAAGCGCTTTAAGCAGGATCGTGATTAATCAATGACCTGATTTTTCGAAACACCCTGTATACATCTTTAAAAAATCTTAAAATATGTAAAAAAACAAAATAAAATATACGTCTTTAAGCGTTTTCTCGGAAACTTGACCGTTTGTTAAATAAAAAAATATTGTAATATTTGAGGGGTGGTTTCACCCCCTTGGAACTGGAATTTCGAAAAATCCCTTCTTATCGAACCTCTACTACCCTAGAATCAACCTGTATGCCAAAATTGAACTTCTTACGTTGAGTGGTTTGATCAGGATCGTGATTAATCAGTATGTCAGTCACTTAAGGATTTTATACAGTGTGTCAATTTTAAAACTTCCCACCCTTAATATCTTTCTTGCAGTTAAAAATATGAAAAATCGGAAAGACACGTCAATTTTATTTGTAAGGGGGACACTTTAAATTAATATTTTTAGCCTTTTTCTTTTAACCCCCTAGGAGAGGTAGATGTCACCCTTACAATTTTAAATGGGAATGGGGGTCAAGTGGCACATCGTTTTAAAGGACGTTTAATTCTCTTTTCAGTGGTATCCTACTTTGTTGCTTTTTGTCCAGAGGTTTCCGAATAATCGCGTTTGAAACTTGCAGAAACAATTAAATATGCTTGCATTGAGATTATGGTTTTCAGGCTAGTGTTTATAAAAAATATTGCAATGGGTCTCCTTGTAGTACAAATAATTAGAAGATTGGAAACATGGACGTAGCAATTATATTTTTCTAGGGGGGTCGAAATACTAATAAACAGAAAACGTCATAAACATTAACGTTTATTTTCTTAAATTCGAATGAGTGGCAACCTCTAATCAGTTATACAGGAGGATTTGTTAACATTCCAGCAGGACTGTGGCTCCACCTCATTATTTTCTTCCGATCCGACAGTGGTTAAACGAGAGGTTTCCGGGTACATGGGCTGGCAGAAGGGGACCAATTGAATGGCTTCCAAGATCACCGGATTAACACCCTTAGATTTCTTTCTTTGGGGACATCTTAAATCCATTGTTTATAGAACACAACCTACTGATATTGATGATCTTAAAAGGCGAATTACAGCAGAATGCCGGTCAATTCCCGGTGAAGTTTTCCGAAATGTTATGAAGGAGTTTGGAAACACACTTTATTATTGTTAACAGGAAAATGGACAACATTCTGATCAACTTATACGATAGGGCGTAAGTGGTGTAATGTGATCTTCTAATCTTTTGTACTATAAAGAGATCCATTGCAATAATTTTTGTGTAAACACTAGACTGAAAACCAAAATCTCAGTGCAGGCATGTTTAATTGTTTCTGCAACTTTGAAACGTGATTATACGGAAACCACTCGACAAAAAGCAACAAAGTAGGATACCACTGAAAAGATAATTAAACGCCCTTTAAAACGATGTGCCACTTGACCCCCATTCCCATTTAAGATGGTAAGGGTGATATCTCCCCTTCCTAGGGGGTTAAAAGAAAAAGGCTAAAAATATTAATTTACAGTATCCCCCTTACAAATAAAATTGACGTGTCTTTCCTGAGAAGCAATTTTTTTGCAACTGCAAGAAAGATATTAAGGGTGGGAAGTTTTAAAATTGACACACTTTATATTAGTATAGAATTATATGGGAAATGTCATCGATCGATATTGCCCAGGCAACTGGACGCCGTTTTTTCTCGATCATACGGTATGTAATCAAAAATATATTGTGAGTGCATTAATTGTATAATTACTTACTAATTGCTATATCAATTTTTGTTTTCTTTTTGGTTGCTTCTACGGTTAGCACTTCTTTTAAAATGCACAACGTTGTCAAATTGTCTGACTGAAAATCAGCTTCTCCTTTTCTTAAAAAAAGACGTTTATTTTAATGTGTGGTTCATATATTTGATATTTTTTTAAAATAGTGAAAACTAAATAGCGGATTTTACATGCATCATTCATGCGTCATCCGTTGTAGATTTTATGTAATTTTATTGGCTTATTTTAAAAATGGCATCTCATATTTAAATACGATTGAAGTGACGGAACAACTGACGATCCCTTACTTACAAATGCATATATGCCCAGATTAATAACTACAGATAACTACAGATATTATAAGTTAGATAGTAATTATTAAAATATCAAGTTGGACTTAAAAATTAAATAAAATTCAAAAAAAGCATTAGAATGCATATTAAACTGCAATATTTCTTTTTTTTCAAAAATAGTTTCTTCTAAAAAAATCACATTTAATATGAAAAAAAGTAAAAAAACAATGACGAGAGAAAATTAATAATCCATTAAATGATGTTCTAATAAAATTACTAATATTAAAATTTATTTTTTTCCTTGTTAAATGTTTAATGAAGAAAAAGATATATGTAGAGACAAAGAAGGATTACTAAATTGCTCCTTAATCATCATAATTTTTTTTAAGACAAAAAGTTTCTGAATTCACTGTTAAGGCTGATTCTCGCTATACCTTCCATATCAGCTCCCTTCCGTTTACATAAAATAGTATATCATGTAAATAAATAGGACAATGCACACTATACGTTCCGTTTCCCTTCCGTTCCATAACCTTTCCTTCCGTACAGTTTTTTGGCGGACGAACTGAAGCGTATCAGAAACAGCGTTGTCAATATCTAAGCTCTGATCTAAGGTAGGATTTCCTAACTGCGTCGAAACGTATGCGTTCGACGCATGCGATAAACGCGAGGTACTGGGTCAGTGCAATTATGTATAACTGATTTCCTATGTGAGCGTCTGACGCTTCAGTGTCCGGCAATCGCATGCGGTTATTGCATGACTGCCCTCGAGAAGAGTCTAGACGCACATGCTTTGCGTTTTCATAGTGAAAAGTATACGGAATGTGTATGCGTTCTTTTTTATTAATATTTAATAATATAATATTTTTTTTAATTATTATAAAAACAGACATGTCTACAGTGGAAAAATCAACTGTAATGAAACATAAAATATTACAATTTTTGCCTGAAGAGTATGAGCAACTATTATAATAGAGTTCATAGCTGAACACCCTGCTATTTATGACAGTGGACAAAAAGATTATAAAGATCAACAAATACGGGAGAACATATGGAAATATATTTCTGAAAAACTAAAGAGAACAGGTTTGTAACAACAAAATATATAAACATATGTTTTACAGGGTTTGGTCTTACTATTATTAATTTTAATCGCGATAAGATATACAAAAAAACCGACACTAGTTTCCCTTTTTTTAAATAATTCTTTTTCGGGTTTTCTTTTTTCCTTTATACATGAACTACATGAAAAAGTATCATTGCTTCTTCATCCTCCTCTTCTTGTAACAATAATAAATTCACAATATTCTCCATGTTCAAAACTACACACGCTTTAAAATATCAAAATTTGTTACAACAAATTTGCATAGCAACTAAAATATTTTTTTCCAGAACATTATTTTAATATGAAACGCTGATAGAAAAACACAACCTGGTGCGTTTGCCGCCGCGCGTTCAGCGCATCTAAAAACGCACACGTCAGGCGCATGCGTCTCGACGCAGTTAGGAAATCCTACCTTTACATTTGCAGGTCCGTTCCTCAGGTATCTGGCGCCTACGTGCAGCATTCTTTGGTGCGCCCTTCTTATATTTAAATCAATTATATATTTTAATCTTAATCTCAAAAATTTAAAGAATTTATATTCTGCGACAAACGAGCAATATGTAATTGGAAATGTAAAAAAAACTATTCTAATTAAAGTATAAAAACATTTATTAAATAAATAAAACAAACAAAACCACAAATATTTAGTAACAAAAATAGTACCCTAAAGAAAAACTGACCCATTTTATATGAAATACATAAAAACAATAAACTAAAATTCGGAAATAATACACATGTACTGATTTCTTTCGAAAATCGACAACTATGAAACTATGAACCCTTCCCGGATACAAACGGTACATTGTGAGACAGGAAATTGTAGAGAGAAACAAGCCCTATATCATAATACAACATTTTAATGAACAGTGCTTTCCATAACATCAATAAAATGAAAAAAATACGAAATAATACATGTACTGATTTTTTTCGAAAATCGACAACTATGAAACTATGATCCCTTCCCCGACACAAACAGTACATTGTGAGACAGGAAATTATAGAGAGAAACAAGCCCTATAACATAGGATACAACATTTTAATAAACAGTGCTTTCCATAGTATCAATAAAATGAAAAATATGCGAAATAATATACATGTACTGATTTCTTTCGAAAATCGACAACTATGAAATTATGATCCCTTCCCCGACACAAACAGTACATTGTGAGACAGGAAATTGTAGAGAGAAACAAGCCCTATAACATAGGATACAACATTTTAATGAACAGTGCTTTCCATAAAATCAATAAAATACAAAATATACGAAATAATATACATGTACTGATTTCTTTCGAAAATCGACAACTATGAAACTATGATCCCTTCTCCGACACAAACGGTACATTGTGAGACAGGAAATTGTAGAGAGAAACAAGCCCTATAAGATAGGATACGACGTTTTAATGAACAGTGCTTTCCATAAAACGAATAAAATGAAAAATAAATAGATGAGATCAATGTATTGCCGACAGATTGCCCTAGACTTGTTTATTCGGTGCGGCCAACGCAAAAAAGACGCTAAGCAAACTTTATCCTATGATGGTTTAAGTATTTGTTTATTGGCAAGAAAGCGTATCGGTTTTTTGTTACAAAGTACTGATTGACCCTTTGATTTTGCGCCCCCAAAATGTTGCGCCTACGTGCGTGCACGCCCTGCACGATCGCCAGGAACGGCCCTGTACATTTGTGCGAGCTTTGTTAAAAGTTTGCTGATATTTCTTAACCTCTCACCTCTCACCTCTTAATTAAATCTATTACCTTTTTCAAAAGATACAAAATTTTAACATAAAACTTTCGTAATGATATAAATTGTAGAATAAACGTTATAGCGTTAATACAATAAAAATACGGAACGAATATGGAATGGAAACGGAAAGTATAGTGAGAATCAACTTTTATACAATTAATATTTTTTATTTTAAGATTAATTGTGAGTAAACAGAAAATATAGTAAAACATTTTATGTGTGTGTGGAGCAGCTTCTTGTCTATGTAAAAAGTAGACCTATCATAGTGTATTAGAGTTGATTGAAAGAACTGTTAGGTTAGCTTATTTCATTCAATCAACGGTATTAGTAATGACTAGTTCCATCTTTACACCAAATTTGAGCTTTCTAGTGCGAGTTTCTGAGATAAAATCCTTATACAGGGTGAGTCATAAATAAATGCAAATATTTTTAGGAGTGGTATATTTCGACCCCGAAACACGTCTATGCGGTTTTTTTCGTAAAAAAATTCAGAATTTGATATTTTTCGAAAACAATTTAGAATTTTTTCAATTTTCAGTTGAAAAACATAATATTTTGAGATTATGGCAGCATAGGTAGTAGATTAAATTTACATGCAAGAGAGAAAACCCAAAAAAAATCAAGTGGTTCTCAAAATTTAAGCAAAAAATCATTTTTTTTAATTTTGAAAGTAAAATAACTGAGATATTTTGGACTTCGGCCTTTTATCGAGATCTACCGGCCCTGAAAATATTTGCACTTATTTAAGACTCGTCCTGTATAACCAAATAACTTTGTCAAATCGAAAAACCCCTCTTATTCCTTATCAAGCAATCACCTCTCAATTTTTTTGGCAACTCCTTCATTTACTACTGTGTATATGTGTATAATAATTAATAATATATTTACTTGTATGTACATATTAAAACTGTGTCTATCAAACTGCACTGAAAATATAGGATGGTCTCGTCTGAAAAGAGATGTTTTTCAGGAACTTCTGGCAGACATTGCCCAACCCAGTTGTGTATTTCAGCCAGACTGAAAGTTCCTCTCAGTTTTAAACTACTATAAGGTCTAAAAAGAAATCTACTATATAACATCACATTATAAACCAATATACCGGGTGGTGCATCGTTGTTGGAAACAGAAAATCCCATGCATATTTTGAACTGTTCAAATATTGACTCCCCTATTGATTTTACAGCAAAGTCGATTTTTAAAGGTTTATGTATCGTAAATACACAATACACATGCCAAATTTGAACAATTTCGGACCAGCCGAGTTTAATTTAAGATGGCATCTATTTTTATACACTCAGATGCAAAAAAAAAACGCAACAGAGAAATTTTTGGTCAAATTTAAAGCGGTATATTTTTCTTATTTTTAGCCCTATTTTCATGATTTTTTTTAGCAAGCTGTATATAATTATGTCAACTTTAATTCGTAAACTCAGCTTTTTATAAACTTTAGTATTTAACATATTATACAGGGTTAATCGAGGGGTTGTTTATCTACCCTAACTTTAAAACACCCTGTGCAATAATTTCGTGTGTAAATTTTCCTAAAATATAATTTACGGTCAGAACCATGTCTCCTTAGTATTTTGTTTTTTGGATCATGTCAATACATGTCTTGGTTAATTTTTAAGAGCGAAATGAACTTGCCACCAACAATTTGAAATTTTTTCAATTATCATTTTATTTGAAGTTATTTTTCAATATGACAAGGCGGCTTTGGTGATTATTATGAACTATACATACATACATACTGCCATTACTCGCTGACGAGTATTTGACACGCATCAGAAGATGGTCACGCAAGGCGTTTTCTTTCATGAGCTTTTCTGTGACTGAAAAGCCTGATACGTGATGTTATCTGTCTACCGCACTCCAGACATTGAAAAATCTCATTGCTTTGTTGCCTCTTTACTTTTTGGTTGTCTCTGTTAACTGACTTTACAATTCTTCTCCATTCCGTTCTATTGTGAGCTGCCTCTTCCCACTCATTCTGCTTGTTAATTCCCTTTAAGTTTTCGTGGAAAATATCCTTGAAACTTTTGAGTTGTCCACCCGGCCTCCTCTTACCGTCTACAAGCTCACCGTAAAGCAGAGATTTTGGTATGCGGTTTTCTTGCATTCTGCATACGTGACCAGCCCATCTTAAGCGGAACTTTGTAATCGTGACTTCAATACTCTCGCAGTTAGCTTTTTCAAAGACCGATACGTTTGAGACATGATGGAACCATTTTATTCTTAAGAGTTGTCTAAGATGTCTCTGTTGCAACTTGTTTAATGCGCTCATGTGTCGGCGGTATGGCACCCAGGCTTCGCTTCCATATAACATGGTGGGAATTATTATTGCTTGGTACACTGCAAGTTTCGTTTTTGTGCTCAAGTTATGATTGCAGAAAACCCTGTTTTTTAATTTCCAGAATGCTCTTGAGGCGCTGCTAATCCTGTGCTGAATTTCAGAGTCGATATTGGCCTTTTCCGAAATCAAACTGCCGAGGTAATTGAATTCCGCTACATATTCTAATAGTTCTTCTCCGATTTTTATAGCATTGTTCATTGTTGTGATCTTCCGGGGGAGTTCACGTGATTTTAGTTTTATCGATGTTCAGTTTAAGTCCCAAAGTCTCGTATGCCCATGTATATGTGTTCAACATTTCTTGCAATTGCTGTAACGTATTTGCAACTAGAGCACAGTCATCAGCGTATTGAAGTTCTGTGATGAATTTTGTACGTGTTTTTGCCCTGAGTCTTTTTATGTTGAACAGACCGCCGTCGTATCTGTATCTAATGCCCAAACCTCTCTCCTGTAGTCTGCTGTCCACTATAATGGAGAGCGCTGCCATGAATATATTGAATAGGATAGGCGCCAAGACACATCCCTGCCTAACGCCTGTGTTTGTTAGGAAGGGATCGCTCAGTGATCTATGATATGACACTGTTGATTTGTTGTTGTTTTGGAGGCTTTTACACACTGTAAGAAATTTGATGGGTACTCCGAACTTTTTCATAATTGCCCAAAGTGCATCTCTGTTCACAGAGTCGAAAGCTTTTGTTAGATCGATGAATGCAACGTAAAGTTTAGACTGCTGCTCTTTTACTTTTTCCTGTAGTTGCCGGATGGAGAATATGGAATCGACGGTACCGCGGTTGGTGCGAAAACCCGTTTGCGATTCTGGGAGGATTTTTTCTATATATAGGTGCAGGCGGTTTGACATAATTTTTGCAAGAATTTTTCCTCCGGTAGCCAGTAGTGAAATTCCTCGGTAGTTTCCCCAGTCTGATGCACTTCCTTTGTTCTTAAATATATTCACTATATTCGCGTTGCAAAAGTCCTGAGGTACCTCTCCGCTTTTCCATATGACATCGAAGAGAGCCTTAAGATGACCAATAAGTTCTTTACTTGCACACTTATAGATTTCAGCCGGAATCGCGTCACAGCCAGCTGATTTGTTGATTTTAAGCTGTTTTATGGAGTCCTTTATTTCCTGTGCTGTTATTGGAATCTCTAATACATCGAGGCTATTATACTGAGGTATTATGTTGAGTCCTTCCATATTGGGATTGTTTTCTTGGTTAAGGATATGGCTGTAATGCTCTTTCCAGCGGTTTCTGATTTGCTCTTCCTCTTTTAGAAGTTTGCCTTTTGTGCCATGATTGGGCATCTTGCCTTCTTAGTTGGACCATATACTTCTTTTACAGCCTCGAAGAATTTACGATAGTCGTGATGCGTGGCATACTCCTGAATCTGACTAGCTTTTTGCGACGACCAGTTATCCTTTAAATGGCGCAGTTATGAACTATATACTACTATGAACTGCCCATCATGTTCGACGTTTGAGAAGTGCTGGGCAGGTGGGTTAGGAGTCGCGAAGCGGTACCAGCTTCATTAAATGAACTTCGCTTGGTCCTTAAAGAAGAATGGAAAAACATAACGCAATATGATATATGAAGCCTCAGTGACAGTATGAACGGACATATAAAAGCAGTTATAGCAGCCAAGGGAGGCAATTCAAAGTATTAGGGTATTTTTTACAATTTTTCTTTTCTATTTGTATGCTTGAGTATTACAGATGTTTTCCTTAATATCGTTAGTTCTGTTATCGTTATTAATGTTTATTAAAATCAGTACTGTATCGTTAGTCTTTAGCGTTTCTTTTTAATTTAGTATAGTGTATCAAATGCAGCCTAATATGACGTTACGAAAAAAGTCACCAAAACCATCTCGTCATAAAAAAATTACATCAAAAAGTAACGATAATTGAAAAAAATTGCGAATCGATCGTGATCAGTTCATTTCGGTTTTAAAAATTAACCACAGCATATACTGACATGAATCAAAAAACAAAATGCTCAGGAGTCATGGCTTTCACCGAAAAATTATATTTTAGGAAAATTTACAAACGAAATTATGGCACAGGGTGTTTTAAAGTTAGGGTAAAAACAACAACCCCTCGATTAACCCTGTATAATATGCCAAATACTAAAGTTTATAAGAAACTTAGTTTACGAATTAAAGTTGATATAATTATATACAGTTTACTAAAAAAATCATCAAAATAGGGCTAAAAATAACAAAAATATAACACTTTAAATTTGACCAATAATTTCTCCGTTGCGTTTTTTTTGCATCTACGATTGTGAGTGTATTAAGACCGAACCGGTAATAATCAAACACCAGTCAAAAACTGACATTTATTCCGTTTTCTGTAAATTAGTGTTTTTATTACCTGTTATTATCGTCATACTCGTGTATCCTATAATGCAACGATAGAGCTTTAATGTCAAACTGCAATAGCCTGCTGCACTTTGGCTGCAGAACTGGCGATACGTAGGCTTGCAACACCGCTTTTTCTCCTTCGGATGTTTGAATCTTCAATTCAATCCGATTGGTATTCACTTGACAACGGTAAGTGGCCAGTAACTGAGCGTTACCCTGAAACATTTAAGTTTTATTTATAATTAATTTTAATATGAATGTAATAAAGTACGTCATATAAACAAAAAAATAAATTTATAAGTCTATCCAGCGGACATCTAAAACAGACAGAAAAATTAGAAAGTTACAAATAGTTATTAAGGCTTATAGATAATATTTACTTTTGTTGCATTGTATGGTTGGCTGTAACTGACCACTGCTGTATTTTTCTCTACATCCAGAAGTTCAACTTTGGAGTTACACTGTATTAAAATATTGTCGATTGCCGTTGGTGCTTCCAATGTTAGAAAATACGTTGCAGACTTTCTATCCAATGCTAACTAAAATAATATTTTAATGCAAAATATATTTTAATATATTTTGCATTATATTAATGCAAATGCATTATATTATGGGAATATATTTTATGCAAAAAATACAATAAAGACAATTTAATTAGGGAATTGGAGAAGGAACAGTGGTTTCTTCCTAAAATTTTAAAATTAATTGAAAATTAAGTGACGAAAATAATGACTTTTTCATATTGATTTTTTTTTCATATCAAAACTCGACTGTTAAGTTGAGGCCGCAGTGCAAGCAAGTTACCTGGAGGGTAGTGGATATCGAGGCGCCAAGAGACCCTCCAAGTAACCCGCGAGGTATGTTTCCGTAACAACCAAACTAGCCGCAGTGCAATCCCCCACCAACTTAAGCCACAAAGCAACTCGCCAAGCGAGCTACTTGAGGTTGAGGATCAGTCGTGTTCGATATTTTCAGCCAGGCGTAAAGTAGTTTTGATCTAAAAATGGAAGAAAAATTGTAATGCACAAGCGTTGTTCTGCAGAAATTGCTTCTCTGAAGTTTGTAGACATGCTTTCTAATTTGTCTTGAACTTTATTAAGAAGAAAATCAAACGATTTTACACTCATACGTGCATAATTAAAAAATTTGTCAGGGTAATTTCGCATTTTCTTGTAAACTCGCAAAAATTCTCCATCATGGTCTCTATGCAAGTTATACTCATGCACCCACATCTTCTTATTTTCCATATTTACAAAGTTCATATAAGAATTGTCACAGAGCAGAAGCTGGCAAATTTTGAAAGGGGCATGATACTAAAGACACTCACGGGAGCTACAATTTGCAATTGAACTTGATTAGATTGGTTATTGCTTTAATAATTTTCCGTCCACTACTGCGTACTACCCTCTACCCATTACCCTTCACCCTCTACCCGACAAGCTTCCCTCTACCCGCCTATACTGCGGGCTTGGCTTTAAACAGTGTAACCCTTGTATAACTAAAGCGGTAAAACGGGAAAACGCTCCTGTAGATAGGTTCATTTAAAGGCATAGTTTCCTTGATCATAAAGTATGAGTTTTGTTCTTGACATAACCCGTTGCAGTTTGACATTAAATTTCTAGTTCAGTAGTATAGATTGTATGGGGGGAGGGAAATTAATCAATAGATCTATGTGTGGTCAGGGCTTTGAGAAAAGCCATTATCTTAGGCGGATTTACAGAGCTTAGTTATTCATCTCCGATATCAGTCGTACCAAAGTTTATGTCACGATGGTCGTCGTCTCGGTGCACTCAGTGATGAGCTGCTCTGGTGCTTGCCCATTTTTCCCACAGAATCTCCTTGTTTCTTAGCTTCAATCTACTGAGGTGTTAATTGAGGAAACAATGCTTGTCCCCGCGACAAGCCGAAGGTTGTTCTTACTTAAATCAAGGAAACTATTCAATTTTTCTCGGTCGTAAGTTTTGAGAAATTTCTTCGAGTGTCTTAGACCGGTGCAGGATTTCCATTCCAGGTTAAAGATGGAGTCTTCCAGGTTCTTGAGTTCCGCTTTAAAGTTGGTTTCTACTTGGGAGGCAGAACCGTTCAGGTCCAGTTAGTGGAGTGTTCCCTCCTTTCTAGCTAGATCGTTTCCTTTCTCTTGATTACCTTTTTCCCTTGGTGGCCTTGCACCCAGAGTAGGAGGACTTTATTTTCTTTTCCTAATTTGTTCAGCTTCTCCCAGACGTTCTTTGACCAACTTCGAATTGATGGTTACTGAGTTGATCGCTCTTAAGGCTGCTTTGACTATCGGAAAAGATATCTATGCAGGGCCGGACTTAACGAAGTTGCCGCCCCAGGCTAAAAAAAAATTGCCGCCCCTTATTTTTTTTTAATTAAAAAAATTACGGATATAAAAAACATTTATTTGAATACAGAACCAACAACAGAATAGACCGACAGAACAGATCAACACAGAACATAAAATAAATATTAAAATATTCATATAAAATAACAACAAACGGACAACAAAACTATAAGGCTTGCTTATATGCCTATAAAGGTTTCCTACGTACTTTTTTGTTCGCAAAATTATCAATTACTTCATCGTAATTGATAGTTTTTAAAAGGTCGGACTCAATATGTAAAACTGCCAAATGATTTAGACGTTCTGTTTCGTGTGGACCGTAAATAAGTTTTAATACGTTTCAATGCAGAAAACGAGCGTTCAGCAGAACAGTTAGTAATAAAAGTACATGTGAAGATTCTTAATGCTATGAAAGTATTTGGAAACAGGTCTTGAGCGTTTTTTTCATAAATTGCTTTAAGAAGCTCTCTAGCAGATGGTTTTTGCTGACTTAATGCATTTTATAAATTCACGAAAATGTATTAATTCATTAGGCATTGACTCATCTAAATCATTTGGATAACAGGTTATTAAATGTCAGGACTTATCGGTAATGTCGTCAATACTTAAAGTAGATAAATCACTAAAGAAACCAAATGTGGTTGAAAAGTCATTGTAGGCACTTTTCCTATAGGAAATTTCAAGGATTAATTTATCAATAATAACATTAAATACATTTATCATTTATCCTAAAATCGTCCCTAGCGTTAAATAGCGTTTCATTATCATTGGTTTCATCAAATTGTCGTTTCCGTTTCACTTTTCTCTTTTTATCTGCCGCATATTCTTTCTCACCGAACAATTCTATGGCCCTTCTTTCATATTCCTCAAATGATTTAGTATTATCTAGATTTCTAATTTCAGAAAAATATTTTTCCAATGAGCTATATAAATCTGCAGCAAGTTGTAGATCAATATCCACCATTTGAAGCTTTTTATTGACCGCATCTAATCTATTTAAAACGTCTGTCCAAAATACCGCCATAAAACCCATTTCTAGGCTTTTGAATTGTTTAAGGAGACTAGAAGCATCTAATCGGGGTTTAGGCTTTTCGGTATCGTCTTCAGAAATTGACTCCAACGTTTTTTCTTCATTGGAAGACAAAGATAGTGATTGGCAAGCTTCATTTCGTGCAGACCAACGTGTTTTTAGTAAATTTTTTAATGTTTTTGAATTTATTTTTTTATATTCGAGGTATTTATGTATTTATTAACTGGATGCATGGCACAATGCAGTAAAAAATAACCCAAGCGAATTATATATTTAAACAATAATAATAGTTAAGTAAATAAATATGTAACCGGCTAAGGCTATATTCGAAATATTTTATGAACAAATAAAAGTTAAAAAAAAAGATAAATATTTTGGTATGCTCAAAATTTGCCGCCCCTAAAAATCTGCCGCCCCAGGCCCGGGCCTAGTTGGCCTAGCCCTAAGTCCGGCACTGTATCTATGTCTTGTTTCCGATAATTATCTATCTGAGATAAGTTGTGACATCTTGCGATAGCGTAGATTTCTGCCTGAAGGATGCTAGGGTGACTATTGTTTGGAAGTAATTAGTTATCGGCCCAAATACTTCTACCTTTAAGCCCTTTGCTAGCTGCGAAACTATCGCGTTTTAACAGTCCCTTTTGGTTAGTTGGTTGGTTGCGTTATCAGTGGTCACTAGATGAAAGGCGTTAAAGAATTCCCCAATGGTATGCCTAATGACTTCAATAAGGCAACTTATTTTGTTTCTGTCAAGAACCGTCAGACTGAAAAATTCTATGGTAAAATGTAAATTATTTTCATCTCATATTTCAATCAATCCTATTTTTGAAAAAAAAAACTAAAAACCTTCCTTGTCTGTTTTCCATTGTTTTTTTTAGGCAAATACTTTCTGACATAATATGTCCGAGTGTGTTATTGTTAGGGAGACACCCGGTATCTAATCAGATCAGATCGAGACAAAATGCAGGTTCAATACTTCAATACTTACTGAAGAATTGATTGAAATTGGCGGTATTGCTGACAGTTCCATCAAACCGGTACTTTCTGTAGAAGTCTGATATTTTTCTCTCTCCTTAGATAATTTGGACATCAGCTCCTCAATTTCACTTCTGGAATTATTTAGAAAGAGTTAATTTGCATTATTCATTAACATAAAATTTAAAATACTTAATAATACAGTATGATCGAAAAAACGGCATCCAGTAAGCTTAGAAATGATCAATGCTAATACATTCCCCATATAGTTTTACATATGAAATGAGGGATATTCATTTCATAGCCATCGCTGACGCCGTTTTTCTATCATATTGTATAAGCCAAACATTAATTATTTGTGATAAAATTAAATCTATAATTAATCTCACAGTCATTTTAATTTTTAATCACAGTCAAAATGGAATCAGCTATATATAAACTCACTTCTTTTTGAATTAAATTGACAGACAACAACTATTATATTACTGTCATAAAATTCTATCATTGCTCAGACGATCAACGCTCTACCTACTTCAGTTTGTTGATCTTTGTCGAAGTGTCCGATGAAAACACGTAACTTCCGGTCGAACCGTCAAAGTTGACATCGGTCACTTGCGTGGTCAGTCCGAATATCCGTCCGCTGTATGTTACCACTAAAATTTCGTCGTATCCTGCAGCGGAAACTATACCGCATTTTAGAGATGTAATGCTCTCATTTCCACTCTAAAATCAATTAAATTCAGAATTTGTAAATCATTAAATTATCACATCAATTATTGTCTTATTTAGCTAAATTATCATAATTTAGTTAAATTCAATAATTCTATTGTAAAATCGTCAATTTCTATTATGCATGCTAAACGATTGTTTTTCATGACCTACTCCAAAGGTTTAGATGTATACCTAATACGAAAACTATGATTTTTGTCATTTGTATATTAAATACACCCATCCTGTTATACCGGGTGTTTTCATAACTGACTTCTAAACTTTTTTAATTTTTTCAGATAAAAAACCATATTTGGTATGTCAGTATATGACATAAATCAGGATTGACGTATTCAATTAGTTTAGGTCACTTCCTGTTTCACCGGAAATGTCTACAACTCTTATTTTTTAAAATGCGCCTTCGATATTTCTTTAGTTTATTTAATAGAAAATGACATTCTGAATAGAACAACCTATCATATGCCAACTTTTGACATTTTGGCATAAAAAATAGAATTTCTAATTTTAATCTAGAGTGCCATGGCTTGGTTTTGATTAAGTTGGCTTTGAAATGACAATTGCTGACTTTCGTCATATAAACTTAATAATAATAATAATATTAAAATAACAGCTGTTGTCACTTCCTAGCCAACCCTAACGTCGTTTTTTTCGACCATATATTTAGGACTGCGTTTTATTTTCAATCAGACCAAGATTTTGACCAATTTACAAAAATACCTTTATTAACTCAACAAAAAATCAGCAAAATTTTTTATCAAATTTATGTTTTAATAAAGAAAACACAAACCTCTACAAAAATTATATAAGTCGCGTCCATCGCATCGTGTACATTGACATAATAAACCTCAATGTTGCCATCTTGTCGGCCCAGTATAAGATTCTTGGTTCCGTTTCCTGTCATGTCGTAAGTATCCATACAAGAAATGGCGCTAGAATTTTTTTCATTCGATATTAACCATCTTTGAAAACCCTGTAAACTAAAACGTGTATTAATTAACTTTATCCACGACTCGTCTATAATTTGATTATTATTCATGAGTTTATAAAATAATAATATAATAATATTCATTATTCACTAGTAAATAATGGTTTCATTATTCACCAATCCAAACTCCAAACAAGAGCTGTGCTCGATCCAAACCGGCTCACAGTGGGGTATTTGACACAGATAGATGATCGAATTTTTTTTATGTAGACCTTATATAAATTATTGCTATTTTCAATTAAAGAGGAAATAATATGAACAAAACAAAGGATAATTCGTCGATTCTAAAAAAAGAAAGAAAAATCACTGTTCCAGTGTTTCCACGGTCTCAATGTCACATGCCACTAATGCCAGTAGTAATATCGCAACTAATACTACTAAAGCTACGACTGATCCGCGAGCAATGCCCATACCACTAAAGTCGCTACTAATGCCAAATTGTGCTATACTGCTAATGACAATAATGCGATCGCTTTGTACACAACAATGCCATCGCGGTTTACATCTCGCATTAGTATATCACTGATTGGCAAATTAGAGGAAACCAAGAATGTTTTTCTGGTTTTATCAGCAAAGTCGCAAAAAGTTGCAGTATTTTATTTTACTGTATGAAAGCCCAATGTTTACTAAGTAAAAGGTATATAGACAATATGCTGAATTCTTCGAAATGCGCAACTAAATCTCTAAGTATAATAAAAATGTCACAAATTTAATCAAATTTTCTGAACGCCTAACTTTTAGTTGCAAAAAAAAATCGTTAGTATAGGGAATATCAAAATAAATAATACGTTTTTGTAGGATACATACCTGCAGCTTGCTGAGCCATTTTCAATCAAAACAATAATATAAACGTAAAAAGAGCACAAGAACAACAACAATTTATAATTGTAAACATAAAATTTAGCTATTTATATACCTCTTATATGTGAGAAGTAACAACTTTGACGTTTCGTTGAAACAAGTGAATGCAACTAAACACACCCATAGCAACGCCATTCATGGCAGAGATGATTTAACTTATCATTTATCTTTTTTGGAAAATCTTAAACACATTTGCTTTTTCGAATTTCGATCACCTTTTTCATGCTAATACCCCACCGTGCGTCTTGGAATGCGATTGTACGCACAAAATAAAAATAAAGATGGCTATATGAAAGCATTGAAATGCCACGTCACGTTGCGGTGTCGCGCTGTTGTGGATATTTTTTTGACATTAAAAATAGAAACTTATATTAATATTATCTAAATTTTTTTTATAGTCCTGAATAAAGTATAGTATTATACTCGCATATAATGGCTGTTATTCACTTGGATGATTTATGACACTAGCCTGCGGCTCGTGTCATAAACTTCATCCGCGTGAATAACAGAGCCACCATTAGATGCTCGTTGAATAATATACTATTAAAATTACTTTTAATAACTCATTGTAAACAGAGTGTTTAAGTGTAGGGTCACACAACAAAACTTTAAAAATTATAGGCTTGGTGCATTTCAGTTGAATTCGGACGGCATCAGCGCTCGATACGGCAGAAATTAAAAGTTCGCTCCGTATTTCACGTAGTTCCGATATTAATGGCATTTAAATAATATTAAAATCGTGGCTTTGTCATAATATTTAAGTGTTTTAGTTTTTAATAGTGCAGTTTTTGAAACTACAAAACTCAAGTACGAGGTTTGTGTGATGTAGCACTCAGGTACGAGGTTTGTGTGATGTAGCACTGTTTCGGATAGTAAAACATTAAGTGAAAAAGAACCCGAACCAGGCGTCGCTTTCTGTTGTGACAATTTCAAATGTTAATAAAATTGTCGATTTATTCCGTTTTTGAATGATATATCTACCTAATTATCCAGATATAAATTTTAAAAATCGAGAATAAATATTTTAATAATTATTAAAAAATATATTTACTTCTCAACGTCCAAGATCCCCACTTTGCCATCTATAGTGCCGAACAAAACTGTTTTGGAATCGTCGTCTTCGAAAATCTGCAGAATAGTTGGAGAATTTTCAACTTCCATGCTGCAGGTTACCCTTGCGTGCTCTAGCACTCTGATCATCCTCCCTTCGCATGCTATCAAAGACGTCAGTCTTTTTGTCTTATAAAAGGAAATATAATAAATAAAGCATACATTAATTTAATTTTCATTTATCCTAATATGTATAGTAGATTTGCGCTTGTTTATATATAATTTTTCTCATTTACTTTTCCTGGTTTTTACATTTGATTTGATACTCTGTTGATAAAGCTTTGGTTAAAATGACACTTGGCTACAGTCAAATTAGGATTATTTTGATTTTTAAGTGTGGGGTTACCTTTACTTAAATGTGGTTTACTTAAAGGTTGTAGCATGACATGTCAAAATTATTTTTAATGTCATTGGACGCGCTGAAAAAATTCCGCTAAAAGATTTTTAAATGACTCAATAATAAAAATATTTTCATTTTCTTTAACATAACATCTTTCTATTAACATTTCTAAGTCTAATATTAGTAAATACTTACTTTTGTCATATAGAAAGCTATAACGTCAACAATTGTATCTCCACACAAATATGATCCTACGTCCTTACAATCTCTGAAATGGCTGTAAACATGTTTTCCACATAGAAATAACTCGTTACCCAAGACAAACCTAAAGCACAAAGTATTTCAGTTGCTGAATATTGTAGTTTAAACATAAATAATTACATGGTATTTATTGTTTCAGTCATTCCTGAATCAAAAACCAAAAATAATTTTCCTTTTTTTGTGTAGCCTTTGACTTCATTGCCACAAGCAATAAATATTTTATCATGTGCTGTACCTAAAATGATCTAATGCTTTAAATAGGTAATTTCAGAGGGCCGAGTATGATAAAATAAGTTTAACAAAGTTTTTAAAATAAGTTTCAATATATAGTTGCACACTATATATTGAAACACCCTGTATAGTTTGGATCATTTGGTTGTTCTATTAAATTCAACAGAATTCAACCACTTTAACATACAGGGTGCTACAAATTCGAGGTACGAGCATTGGTATCTCGGTAACCGTACTAGATACGAACATGGTTAAATTGGGGTAAAGTTGCGCTTTAGGATGTTCACTGTTCACCAAGATGCCATCAAAAAAAGGTTTAAAAATTTTAAGGACTGCTGAGTTTTTTTTTTGGAAAAGACGTTTTTTTTTGAAAATCAATTTTATTTTTTCCTGTCGTTAATTTTTAGAAAATCAAAAAACTAATTGCACATTCTCATAGCCACTTTATTAGGCTATCTGATAGTATTTTTATATTTTTAAATTAGCTGATAATTTGTAAGATACAGAGGCCGCCTTAATTTTTTTAAATACGGACCTGCATTTTTTTATTTCAGGTTTTGGAAGAACTCAGTCCCCTGAGTACAGTGGTATGCCACACTTAATATATTTTTTGTTTCGGAAAAATACTATCAAATATCCCTAATAAAGTGGCTATGAGAATGTGCAGTTATTTTTTTGATTTTCTAAAAAATAACCGCAGAAAAAAATAAAATCGATTTTCAAAAAAATCCGTTTTTTCCAAAAAAACTCAGCAATCCTTGAAATTTTTAAAACTTTTTTGATGGCATTTTGCTGAACATCCTAAAGCGCAACTTTGCCGCAATTGAACCATGTTCGTATCTATTACGGTTTCCGAGATACCAATAATGTTCGTACCTCGAATTTGTAGCACTCTGTATGCCTATGTTGTTGTCCGTGTATACTATCCCGTATTTTCAATTTCCAAACCATCAAAAGTGGCATGCAAAATCTTTTTTAAAACTCAGATCTCGAAAATACATTCTATGATCCAGTGGCGGTTCGTGCGTTCGTAGGAACAATTTAAATGCAAAAAAACGTTCGTTTTTTAATTCGGCATCTCGAAGAAAATAATATACAGGGTGTCGCATTTAAAAAAATTGAGATATAGCATAGTAAATATTGTAATGTTGGTCACGTCATAAAAAATACCCTGTATAAGATAATGCCAATTTTTCTTCACGGATTTATTCTGTTATTCTCGGTGTTTAGAGAAAAATAGGTAAGTATTAATAAAGTAAAATTCACTATTCAGTCCAGGTTTTTAGCACTTTTCAGATATATTGTTTTTAATCAAAGTTTTGATAAATAACAAACAGCATAAAAAAAAATAGTTTCAGTACAAAAAATAATCAGTAGAAACTGTCGACTGCGCCATCTTTGATAGTGTAACATATTTACTTCATTAATTTTAAATTTTTATTGTTATAGTTATTCCAAATATATTAAGAGGAATTACATTATTTTTATACCTGCTGTTCCTGCAGTTTGTAAAGACGCAATAGCTGGGCCTGGCAAAGTTTTAAAATGCAACTGTATGTCATCTTTTTTAATTGAGAAAACTTGTAAAATTCCCTCACTATCCGCCACTGCCACCTAAAAATAAAATCCCTATAAACACACGAAAATGGGACACACTGTACTAGCATATATCGCATATATCTCTGGTTCTCACACGTAACTTTTTTAAAACACACAAAATTTAAAAAAGGCTCCCCTAAATCTATAAATTGAGTTAAATATTCGGCTTTTGGGTTAAAGATTGCGTCCTAAAAGCATATATTCTACATTACTTTTTATTTGGACCCCCCTAAAACAAATTCCGGTATACGCCCCTGGACTAGGTCCTAATAAGTTAACTCACTATTCCCCGAACCAGAGATATACCGTATGATCGAATAAAAACGGCGTCAGCGATGGCTATGAAATGAAGATCGCTGTCATTTTATTGTAAAATTATATGGGAAATTGCATCGATCGTCATTTCATAGCCATCGCTGACGCCGTTTTTATTCGATTATACGGTAGTACACCGTAATATTTTACAGACAAAATATTTTTAAGTACCTTTTGTTGTTCTTTTAAATTATTAGATGGCAGTAATTTTAAACAGTTCTTTGTTGTTACACCAATCACAGTATAATCGACCCTAGATAACTGCAACTCCATAATTTATTTTTATTTAATAATGCTTATAAATTGCTTCTATCAATATATTAAATAATTTATAAAAATAGCTTGTATCATGCAGTAAGCAAGAATAATATGTATTGTATTTTGGAAAAATCAATATTGCCTTAGCAACTCGTAATAATAACACTTTAGTATAATTGTATATTAATTTTTAATAAGATATTATTAAGATTAACAATAGATTTTTGCATTAATATTATAAACATTTTAAATTTAAAAGAGTTTGCGGTAAATGCAGACACTTGCTCGTGAAATAATCTGATTCTGATTATTACTGTTAAAATTTGTATTGTAATGCTATATGTTTATTCTATAATTATATTAATTCTTTGGGTAGATACAGTTATGTATTATTTTTACAATATAATTTAAATTTATTTTTTAAATTTTTATTGCAAAAAAATTTTAAAATGTTCCTCTACCTTTGCCATCTGCTATACAACCACTGAACTAACACTCAGAGAATAGGTATCTTCCATTGAAATAATTCGTACAGCGATCTACTTATAAATGTGCAAACTTTTTAAGTATTAAAAGTTGATAAAACGTTATAAAATTAATTATAATTAATCAAACGCTAAAGGGTTTTAGTTTTTCGTTTTAAAATTATATACAGCCTAAAATATATTTCAAAATTTCAAAAAAAAATTAAATTGAATGCTGCCATCTGTATTTGACAGCTTAAACTAATATTAAAAAAAATATCGACAACCTCCTTGTTTTGTCGTTCCGTGGTTGGCAACGTTAGTATATTCTGTGGTTGGCAACAAATTACAATTTTTTTTAGGTTTGTTGAAGTTAAAAATGGCAGAGCCCGAATTAAACGTTGATAGCTTAATTCAAAGGCTATTAGAAGGTAAATTAGAATATTCTACTTTATCTTTACGTTTATGTTTTCATCTTACATATAATTATATAACAAAATAATTTAATTTAACTCTACTTCGTCTAATAATAAAACTTCTAACGCATCTGTCAGTTCTATGTATTTGAGGAAATTTATATTTATATATCATTTTTTCCTGTAGTACGTGTTATTTCCAATATTTAACATGCAAAACATCCCAAAATAGATTTGTTTTTTAAATATATTTTAGTAAAAAACATGTTAGTGTTTTCTTAGTAGGCCCATATAATTCAAGCCTTTCACATAACATAAATAAAAAGCAAGTTATATTTATTTTTAATTCTGGTTTTCATCACGTTTAAATAGGGCATAAATCTCTAAGCGAATTGAAAGAGAGTCCAGATGTGAAGAAGAAATCCACATTTAAAACTATTTTTGTATCGTCTGAGCGTAAGAACTATACAACTGTGTATTTTCAGCTTGTAGAAGAGTTAATGCTAGTTCCTGTTATAAGTAGTGTGACTATAACACTAATAATGTATTATTTCCTATTGTATTAATTATCTTTATTAAAGCATAACATTTTAATTAGTATGTTAGAAAGCTTAATTTAGACTTTAGTACTTGTTAACCTATTTTTTTTAAATTTTTAAGTAAGAGGATGTCGCCCTGGAAAATCTGTACATATGACCGAAGCAGAAGTAAGAGGTCTTTGTTTGAAATCAAGAGAGATATTTTTACAGCAACCTATTTTACTTGAACTTGAGGCACCTTTGAAAATTTGTGGTGAGTACTAAGAAACATTAATTATGGCTAAAAATAGATAGTTCTAAATGAATCATGTTTGATCATTTTTAGATTTTTTCATTTTTATCATTTTCAAATTTGTAAAAACACAGTATTATGTTTTTTTAGATGTTTTAAAAATATGAGGAAATAGTTTTAAAATTAAAGTGAGAAAGCTTTTATATTAGGTTGAGATTTCTATTTGCTATTTTTACTCAAATATTTTTTAAATAATACTTAAATGTTGATTCAGGGTTGATTCTCACTAATTTTCTGTTTAAATAAAGATCACCAAGTAGGTATCTATATCTATGAAATTCATTTTAAAAGTGCCCTACTATTGCTGTGTTTTTACGTTTTTTTTTAAATTGAAGTAAAAAATTCAAATAGAATGCAAAACATAGAGATTTTTTGGAATACTAGTTCAACCCTGAATATTATGGTTTTATCTACTAACTAAATCTATTTTTAAAAATTAACATACCCAGATATACCAGCCATTTGAATTATGAGATTAGCTTATCTTAATAAGCTATATCTTTATTTCTATTGTCATTCTGTATTAGTAAAAATACTGATTTTAATCCCAATTGAATTAATAGATTTTTTATCGCTTCTGTGTGAATATATTATTACTTAGAAAATTATATATGTACATAATTTCTATCATAAAATAGGTTTATGATTTCACAATTACACCGTATGATCGAATAAAACGGCGTCCAGTTGGCTTGGAAATGACTATCGATGACATTCCCCATATAATTTTACATATAAAAAATGACAGCGATCTTCATTTCATAGCCATCTCTGAGGCCGTTTTTTTTTTCAATCATAGGGTATTAATTTGAATAGATTGTCTGTATTTATGGTAAAGCTAAACAACTGTCCTGTAAACAGAAAATATATTATAAAATTATAATAACTATAAATCCGCTTTATCTAAGAACTATTTTTTATGCAATATCCTTTATAGGACACTGAATTGGTTTGTTAAATCAATATTTTTTATATAAGTTTACCTTATAGTTTTTTGTATTCTTTTTGTTATTGATTTTACTATGATAACCTTGATATTGATTAATAGAATTTTACTTCAAGAATATCAGAGGTCAGAGCTCAGAGAAATAAGTTAACTTAGATGTGTTCTAAATACTGGAGATATTATGATATATACCATACGATCGATAAAATACGGCGTGAAATACGGCTGGAGAGTGACAATCGATGATAATTTTGACGACCGTGATAAAGGTTTCGACAGATACACCAGTGGCATGCATATGGGTTATCACAGGAATATTTAAAAAAAAACATATGCGCTACTGACTTTTTTTTCGTTAGCAAAATTGTGTGGGATGTTGTACCATCGGCTTTCCATCGTGTTATTTTAATAAACTGCACTGAAAATGAACTTGTGCACCTTTTAGATAACACGGTTGCCAACCAGAGTTATCAATATTTTTGATGCACTTATACAGGGTGGCTCGAATCTCGAATTCGACGCTCATCATTGGGATTTCGGAAACCGTAAGAGATACAGGATCGGTTAAATGGAGGCAAAGTTGCGCAATTTGATGCTCAATAAAATGCCGTATTGCATTTTTATTTTTTTGCATAAAATTCTGGTGATGAAATTTTCTGTACGAAACGTCGGCAAATATCAAAGTTACTATATATAGTGTTTTAAGAGTGATGAAAGGTTTTAATTAAATTGAAAAAAAAAATCAGGTCCGTATTTAAAAAAATTAAGTTGATGATGGTCGCCAGAGGCCGAAACGTCAGAGTCAATATTTAATCACACAGATTTATAGAGCAGAAAAAGTGGCCATGAAAATGTGTTTTTCATTTTAAGTTATCTTAACAAATAAATCCAGGAAACAATAGAAAACAAAATTGAAAATTCATTTTTTTTTTCGAATATATTCGGAAGTATTCGGAATTTTTCAAAATGCAATACGGCATTTTATTGAGCATCAAATTGCGTAACTTTGCCTCCATTTAACCGATTCTGTATCTCTTACGGTTTCCGAAATTGCAATGATGAGCGTCGAATTCGAGCCACCCTGTACAATAATTCTACATACAGGACATATGTGTATATAGATCATACGAAATAAACTTTTAGTCACGTGATTAAGTTTAATCGGCACAGCGTTGCTCACTTTTAGATATTTTCTTTTAATCAAAATATTTTAGGAACGAAAATATAATAATAAATATATAAACAGTTACTATTTACATCAACAAAACTAACCTTTACTGCCGCTTTCCCGTTTAAAATATTCTAATAAGGTTTCGATGAGTTTTTTGCAACGGCTATTAAGCTATCTTGTACACTTCGAACTAAAAGAGGTTCTAAAAAGAACAACGTTCGACTGCAAGGTCTGCTAGTAAAATTTTTTAAGCTCATATGTCATTGTCATTCGTTTGACACTTTAGTTTTGTATTACGAGTTTTTGGTTTAAATGAAGTGTGTTGTGATACTGTAAACACTTCATTTAAACCAAAAAACTGAAATGACAGGAAATAAATAAATAAATGCGGCAACTTCACATTTTTTACAGCAGAGCTACCACCTGAATACCCAGCGGGAAATTTAAATTTCAGTTAGTCAGTTAGTCATTTTTTCAGTAATGTGACAACTTGATTTCTTCTTTCCTTTTTTTACAGCAGGGCTACCACCTAAATCCCCAGGTGTAAATTTATATTCCAGTTAGTCCTGCGCCAAATATGTCAATGGTTGGCAACAATGAATATAAAAATCGCGCCTTCGTTTGCGTAACGTTCGTTTGCGTTCAATTGGTATCGCTTATATTTATGTAATTTTCAGGGGACATCCACGGACAATACACAGACCTGCTCCGCTTGTTCGAGTATGGAGGGTTCCCGCCCGAGGCCAACTACCTATTCCTGGGCGACTACGTCGACCGCGGCAAGCAGTCCCTCGAAACCATCTGCCTGCTGCTCGCCTACAAGATCAAGTACCCCGAGAACTTCTTTCTGCTCAGGGGCAACCACGAGTGCGCCTCCATCAACCGAATATACGGCTTTTACGACGAGTGCAAGCGACGCTACAACATCAAGCTGTGGAAGACCTTTACGGATTGCTTTAACTGTTTGCCCATATCGGCTATTATTGACGAGAAGATATTTTGTTGTCATGGAGGGCTGAGTCCGGACCTGCAGGGGATGGAACAGATCAGGCGTATTATGAGACCGACAGATGTACCAGATACCGGTAAGTAAAACTTAACTCCATCAAAGAAAGCAATAATATGCTTAGTCCCAGGGAAAACCAGAGTAGTCCACGCGTAAATGGTAAAAACCAGATTTGTTCTTGCGCATGGGCGACAAACATGCATCTTACAAGTAGTATTGTTCTTGGTATTATACAGGGTGCTAAAAATTCGGGGTACGAGCATTGGTATCTCGGAAACCATAATAGATACGAAGATGATTAAATCGGGGCAAAATTGAGCTATAGGATGTTCACCAAGATGCCATCAAAAAAATTTTAAAAATTTCAAGGGTTGCTGAGTATTTTTTTGGAAATCTTGTATCTCAAATATTATCAGCTAATTTGAAAATCTAAAAATATTATCAGATAGCCCTAATAAAGTGGCTATGAGAATGTGCAATTAGTTTTTTGATTTTCTAAAAAGTAACGACAGGAAAAAATTAAATTGATTTTCAAAAAAATCCATTTTGCCAAAAAAAATCAGCAATCCTTGAAATTTCTAAAACTTTTTTGATGGCATCTTGGTGAACATCCTATAGCGCAGTTTTGCCCCAATTTAACCATGTTCATATCTATTACAGTTATCGAGATACCAATGATTGTACCCTGAATTTGTATCCCTGCAGGATACGCATTTTTTACTTAAATAGTAATTTTCTTCCTACAGCAAAAAAATAATAGTTTAGATTTAAGTCTTCAAAAAAGTTCTGTGGGTTTGTTATTTTTTGTAAACACTGCTGCGTTAATCCAACGGAGACTAATTGTCAGCAGTGGCTTACTAATAAACAAATTTGCTTAACGGACAAAAAAAATTCTTAACTTTTCAGAATGTTAGTTCTCTTTCCATCGTCGGAAGCAAAAAAATACAAAGAACATAGAAAAAACTATTTAATAGATTGTTTAAATGAATGCAACTATTCGAGAACACTTTAGGTTTTTTTTTAAAAAGATAATCTACAAAAACCGTTGACGTTCTGTTAAAATCAGGGTTGGCAAATATCATGATATTTATATAAATATCAAATATCCGATATATATCCGATATATATCAAGTTTTGATATTTATTTTGTATGTAAAACTGCGTTTTTTTTCAAGTAAGATCAAGAGCTCAAGCAAATATTTTTATTTCAACTTAATTATTGTTGCTTTGCACATAATAGGAACAACATTAAAACAAAAATATATAAAAAAATATACAGAAATTCTAAAAAAATAAACAGAACTTCTAAAAAATAATCAGGAATTCTAAGAAATAAACGGAAATTCTAAAAAATAAACGGAAATTCAAAAAAATATACAGATATTCTAAAACTAACAACAAACAAATTTATATTTGATGTATTAATTTTATTAATGATAAATCATCGTCAGAGTCAGGGTGCATCCACACTATCCTAGAAACGGCCTAACGACCTTGAATAGATTTCCAGTAATTCTATTGGCTGAAATTTTTGACAGATGAATTTGACAGATAAAATTTCTGGCAGGAATTTTTCAGCCAATAGAATTGCTGTAAATCGATTCAAGGTCGTTACGCCGCCGTTACGTCGATAGGCCGGCGCCGGCGCCGTTTCTAGGATAGTGCGGATGCACTCTCAGAATCAATTGATACAAACAGTATCTGGCAAAGTTTTTGATACATTTGAATTGTCCCAGATCCAATCAATATTATCTTTTTTGTTTTTTCTTTCTGATTGTTGAGTTTTATTTTTTTATAAATATCATGATATATATCAGGGTATAGATATCATGATATATGTATATCAATGATATATATCCGATATATATCATTGATATATATCATGCCAACCCTGGTTAAAATGACATTATATATCAAGTTAAACTTCAAAATTAACAATTACTATAGTACAATTCTTTTAAAAGTTCCTCAATATGGCCGACCTAGTTACGAAAATTGGTAATTTTTTTTTAATGAATAATAAGTTGGCGTTAGCGAATTCAGAAATTGATTTACTCTTTGGTTAACAATAACATTTTTCAGGATTGTCAAGTTGACGTGAAAGTTAGGTTATTAGGTGGTTGTCATAAATAAAAACATAGATTATTGAAATTAATTAATAAGAATAATGGTATTTTACCGCAGATCCGAAGATATTTTACTTAAAGGTATTTTATAAACTTTCTCAGTGAGAATATTAACTCCCCTGTTTCTTATATTTCAGTTAAAGGGACGTAAGAACTATAAGAAGTGAATTTTTGTTTTCATGTTTTGACGATATCTGAGAGTTCCTAGAATTATCTCAAGATTATTGAATAATTATAGTTGTTTAATAAGTGAAATTAATAGAAGACTTGGAAATAGGACGATGCGTTTCATGTTATAGTTTATAGATCACCCCATTTCTCTTAATTTGTTTTTATTTCAGTACAGTTAATCACAAATTGAATTGATGTGTGCAATATTTTCAAAAATCTTATTTAAATAGTTCTTTTATATACTGTTAAACTGTATCAACTACAAAGTCTTTAGCAAAAAGTTATAAGGTAATAAATTTTGTAGATATAATTTATGAAAATTTATATATAAAGATTAGAACACAATACTCTGAGGGAAAAAGAAATACTCAAAAACTGATTAAATATACTTTATTAAAAATAACAACATACAAAAACATCCATGCAAATTGTAATAATCAGAACATTATCCACATTTACCTTTATTAAATTTGTGTTTACACTCCTGTCAGAAAAGACAGAAATGTTTGTTTAAATATTAACTTCTTTTAAATTGCCAGAAACACATCAGAATATGTCACAACCACAACTATAGGCATACTATAGGTTTGGAATCAGTACTAAATTTTATACCTAGTAAGTGATGCGTCAACTAACAAGTATAGGATAAAAAAGAATTATTAATATAGAGTGTACTATACAATGTCCTTCTGCTTATTAATGAAATGACTTTCCTTTTAAATGTGAGGAATACCAGTAAAATAAAACATAATCTTTGGTTTGGTTTGGTGTTTGATATTCTAACTACATCTATTACAAACCTTAAGTGCTTTTAGTGAGTAACTGTATTTTTTACTATTCTTTGTGTATCCTGTAAAGTAAAAAAATATAAATTTCCAGAAATATAAAAACAATGCAATAGATATCAAACAGATTCATAAAAACTACTTACAATTATTGTACTATATATTTCAAGTGTTATTTGATCTTTGGTCCCATTATCAACATTACCTTATTTAGGTCTTCTCTACTAACTCAACTTTTAAACCTGTTTTAAACCTTCTTTGTATTTTAAAACTGATTTACAACTATCTGTAATGCCCGCGCTGTTTCCTGAAATTGAAATAAAAGTTTTAATCTATTTATTACCATATACATATTACAAACCTGGAAATTACTGATACGAGGAAACTTCTCAAAATAATTAGAGACCTTTATTTTCACGAATTTGTGAACGAGTCAATGTTTTTAAGCGTTTTACACTAATACGTATTTAAGCGTTTTACACATTTTGAATATCTTCCAGCCTATTTCTCAGTTCTTGATCGGTGAAAAGATTATTTATAACTTTATAATTAGTACTGCAGTCTGCAGGTTAAATAAAAGAACAAAATCAAGTAGAATTTGTGAATAAAAACTAAAAAAATAATGAAAATATTTAGAAAAAGGAACCGTAAACGTCAATGTCAGCCAAGTGTCAGAGTTGAATTGGATTCACCACAGACAGATTATCAATTTGAACGATTTGAACTACAGTCGACTCCAGTCTAGAGATTTTCGTTTTTTAAGCCTCCCATACTGAAGTCCGCCATATTGGGAAGTTTTAAATGAATACAAGTATACCTGACAACAATTACTTAATAAGGTAAAACCAAAAAGCTTCAAACTTTCTCTATGATTATTTTTAATTTGTTTTTAATTTTTACGTATGTTTTTTTACCCATTGGACTTATTTTGGTGAGATGAATCCGCTACAGAGGTATAGACATTTTTTATATTTAAGTTTTATACAATTTTTAATTGAAAATCCCTGGTTTTTCCCCTGTTTTGTTTTGCCTTTTGGCATTTTTATTTCGGTATTGCAGAATATTGCGATAATTCACAATATTAATAATTCAGGTATAATTAGTAGTAATATATATATTTATCTAATTATTCAAGCGAAAATAATATATTTCTTTAAAAATTAACGATTGGGGATAAGATTCTAATAGTAAATTTCGTTTTTCTCGGCTCCAATTAAAATGGACCAAAGCTATTTTCTCCCGTGCAGTCTTCATATGAGATTTGTTTGTTCCAGGTTTGCTGTGCGACTTGCTGTGGTCCGACCCCGACAAGGACGTGCAGGGCTGGGGCGAGAACGACCGCGGCGTGTCGTTCACGTTCGGCGCCGACGTGGTGAGCAAGTTCCTGAACCGGCACGACTTGGATCTGATCTGCCGCGCGCACCAGGTCGTCGAGGACGGCTACGAGTTCTTCGCCAAGCGCCAGCTGGTCACTCTGTTCTCCGCGCCCAACTACTGCGGCGAGTTCGACAACGCCGGTGGCATGATGAGCGTGGACGAGACGCTCATGTGCTCGTTTCAGGTGAGTGTTTGCTTCATTCTGTTGCAATGATGGGCGGTGGGTAAATACCATATATCTGGTTATTCACTTCGTGGTGGTATATTTAATTAGTATACTCAAAGTATACTCTTTTACAAAAATTTAGTCAAACATATGGTCTAGCAATATTATCGTTTTTAGCATGTGTACATTTTGTAAATTTTGTTAGGTACTGTAAAAAAATTCTAAAATAAAAATCTAAAATATTCCATGGGTATATTGATAAACGAGGTCTAAATTTTAAGAAATACATTTCCTACGAAAAGTTAAAGATATAGATAAAAAATTGTATAATACGTTTGATAGACAATTAAATTGTGCTTCGGATTCATATAAAATATACAATGTGTTCTATTTAAATTAAACTAGTTATTGCCGTTTACAGCTAGTAATGATTTAAAGTAAATTTTTAGACTCTCTGTATTAGGTAGTATTATTTTTATTAAGCTTCATTCGGAACCTCGCAATTAGTGTAATAAATTAGTGGTTTCAATTAACATACACTTTATACTTTTTAGTTTACGATCATTCACATGTTTAAAAAACACAATTAAAATTAATAGATTATCCAGCTTGGTTTAGTCAGTTGTATCCATAGAGAAAGCCTAATATTTAGCTTATATAAAACAATCAAATTTGATTTCTAACCAAAATTTCTCTTGACGGAAGATAATCAAAGGCCAAAATGACATTTCTCGCAAATTTTGAAGTATAATTCTAAGTTAAAAGTTTCATAACTTTTTCTACTAATTGAAAACGTATACCACTAATTTTGACGTTCTGAATGAAATTAAAGGAACAAACTTTTACGCTTATTAAAACCACTAATTTATTCCACTAATTACGAGGTTTCGAATGAAGCTATATTGCAACACAAAATTTAGTTAATAGAAAAACGTCAGTACAATATTTGGCTTTAAAAACTTAAATACGCCTAGAGAAATGAAGCATTAAAATTGTTACTGCATTTTTACAAAATCGTAAATATTTCAAAAACGGTAAGATTAAAGTGTGGTAAAGCCTAATCAAATTTACCTTTATTTTAATCGTAGAATCTAAAAATGTAGTAATATACAGGGTGTTCCATTTAAAAAATACAACTTTGATATTTTTTGTTTATTTGGAATACTCTGTACCTCAGGCAAATAATTTTAAACTGTAGGTCTAATAGTCTTAACAACGAACCAAAAACTTACAATTTGTATAAATCTAATCGTTTGGCTACTATACTCCGTGTCGTATGAGGTGAATGAGAGCCGTTGCACACACGCCCGAAACCTGATACCCGGCGATGAATTACTTTGAATCTGGCGCCGGAAAACTCCCATAAGTTTCTATGTGCCTCATCGCCGGATAGCCGGCGCCTGGCTACCCGGTTTCGGCAAGTTTGCAACGGACGTAACGCTGTATATGTTGTGGTCGTTTTAAACCACATGTTAATTCTTTTTTTAGATTTTAAAACCTTCTGAGAAGAAGGCAAAATACCAGTACCAAGGCGTGAACTCCGGTCGTCCCTCGACACCACAGAGGAACCCCACAGCCAAGAAGAAATAGAGTGAAAATAGAGCAATAAACACTTGTTTAACATTATTTTCATTTTATTCAAATACTATTATAAAGCATTTTAACTGTAGCGTACTTTCTCTCACTGATTTTTTTTTGTTGTGGCAATATCATTAAAAAAAGTCGGTCCTTAAAATTGATTTGATAGTATTATTTATCGTTATATATTTTTTTCTCTTCATTTTTAGTTTGTAAAGGTTTTTTGACTGATTTATTTTTTGTGCGACTAGACTATAAAACTTATCAAAGTATTTTTTTTTGTAAATAATCTTAAACTTGCTTCAGCATTTAACAGTGGAAATTGCAAAGTAAAATTACACACTTATATATGAGCCAAAGATCTCGGTGATTTGGCAATTTTTTATTTTTATTTATTACTCATATACAGGGTTTTATACAATCGATTCATTAAACGTATTTATGTTCTGAAATGTCTTAGGTTAGATATATTTCAAGGTGTAGTTTCTTTTAAAATATTTTCACTTGCTAACAGTTACAGTTTAACTGGAAGTCATTTCGCGTCAGGATTGCTTGAAAATAACAATCAATGACAGTCATCATATAATTACATTTAAAATGACAGCGATCGTCATTTCCAGACTATTATGTCTTTTTTTTCAATCGTACATTTCATAATGGTAGAATTCAATAAACATATAATATAAAAGGGATTAAAATAAGCAAATTGTTTGTCATTTCCGGTTAAACCAGACTGCCAAGAAATGTAAAATAACTTAAAAAGAAGGTACACGTTAAAATATTCATATTTGCATCAGAATTTGATCCTAATTTTTTTTATGATTGGGTGATTGTATAAAAACCTTGTGTATTGTATAACGCAATAATTTTTATGTTATCTGGAAAAGTGCACTTTATACGGTTGTATATTAGGAAATTCGTGTGTAAAGTGCGTTTATTAATATGTAGACTAACAGGTTGTGCGATTATCTTTAAATAGCGTTTTTCCATTCTATTATTTTCATTGTAAAATTCACTGTTTGTTTCTGTATTTTGTCATTTTTGTTAGCATATATTTAGTATATGTAGAACACAAAACTCTTTAAATAAATCTATATATTACTATGAACGTGCCTTTTCTTTAATTTAATTGATTTGTACCGTGTGATAATAAAAACTGCGTCAGCGATGGTTATGAAATGAAGATCGCTGTCATTTTATATGTAAAATTCTTTTTGGTAAAATTATATGGGAAATGTCTTCGATCGTCATTTTATGGCCATCGCTGACGCCGTTTTTATTCGATCATACGGTATTTCTGAAATAGTGATTGTTGAGCGGATTTATAGATTTAATATCGAATTCGATATTAAATCAGCCCATCCTTACTAATAGTTTCGATACCATCTGATAGATGGCAGTATCAAATTTTTCATATAATACACTTCCAGTAGATGGCGCTTGCTAATTTATCTCTAGTTGTTATAGAAAATTTTAACAGATGGCGCTAGATTTTCGCACTAAAATTTGACAGTTTTTGGGTTTCGGTTGTTTCGTTTAAATAATTTCTTAAATTTTTATGTTTAAAAAAAGAAATTATTCTAAAAACATTACTTTAACATACCATCGAATAGAACATTACCAACAATGACGAGGTATTATCCTGTTTGCACTTAATTTAATGCGTTTTAGCAGTCAATCTTTCCTAACCGCACTTTTTCCATTTTAGAGCTAATATAGAGTTGGGAAATGTTACTCCACACAACATTAAACAGCTTAAAAAACTAAACAGTGTAGTTTTTCCCGTCTCGTATAACGACAAATTCTATAAAGATGTTTTGGAAGCGGGAGAGTTAGCCAAACTAGCCTATTACAATGATATAGTTGTTGGAGCAGTTTGTTGTCGAATAGATACTTCGGAGAAGTCTAGACGGCTATATATTATGACCCTTGGATGTTTATACCCTTATCGTAGACTGGGTATAGGGACTTTAATGGTACAACATGTCTTAAATTATGTAGAACAAGATGGGAATTTTGATAGTATATTTTTGTAAGTAAAACAATGAAAATCAGATCAAAATAACATATACACTGAGATTCTTAATATAGCACATATTAATCTTTAATATTTTAGGCATGTTCAAGTTAACAATGAAGGAGCGATTGATTTCTACAAAAAGTTTGGATTTGAGATAGTCGAAACCAGACCGCTTTATTACAAGAGAATAGAACCCGCACATGCTCACGTACTTCAAAAGACAATTAGGAATAAAGGACAACCGAATGGGAGTGTGGAATGAGATTTTCAACTTAGCGAAGAAGAGTTGTATATGTAATTTTTTATGATTTTCTTTTAACTCATTTTGGAATCCAAAATACAGTGGTCTATTTATTTGATGTTAACCAGTTTATACAATATTTTTTGTTGTGATCTACAGGAATAATGAATAAATTGTTTTTTCATATTTAGTTTGAACTTTTGACATAATTTGAGTGGTTTTAAATTATTATGTAATAAATCAAACCGAAAAAAATTGATTAAAAAAAGGATAAGCATAGATCAAAGATAATATTTTATTCTGTAATACAATATGATCACAGATATGATCGAAAAACGGCGTCAGAGATGGCTATGAATGAAGATTGCTGACATTTTATATGTAAAATTATATGGGGAATGGTCATCGATGTTCATTTCCAAGCCAATTGGACTCCATTCAGTATCAATTTCAAGTGCAAATTTAATTATAGAACCATATATATTAAGGAGTTGAAGTGGAGGAATGGTGGAGTTTGCTGCTTTTGATATTAGGCTCCTGATGTATTCCCTCATTAGACATTATAAAGCATTTTTATACTCTTAGAAGCTAAGATTTTTTACTTTTTTGGAATATTGGGTCGCCCTTAATTTTTTATCACTCTATACTTGATTTCTAAAAATTAATAGAAAAAACTTTGTTCTGGGTGTTTATAGATAACTGTATTTATTGAATATAACAACAATAATTTACAAAATAGGGAATCTTACTTTTATATTATTCTTATATTACTGCCACCACTACGCTAAAAGATATTTAATACATATACAAAAAAATAGATTCATATATTTTTGATCGACGTGACTAGATAACTAAGATTGCTTATAGCTTTTTAATATTAAACAAGCTTCAAGTGGTATGTCAAAGCAATACAAATAAAATAAAACAATGTATAATATTGTAAATACATTAAAAAACAATTTTATAAAAAAAGTTTGTAAAAAATATGAAAACTTAATTCAAATTAATATAATAACTGTAGGAAGAAGTTTATTACAATAAAAAAGAACAAATTAACATATGTGATTTATTCTTGGGATGTCCTGTATATAAATAGAAAAATATAAAAAAAAACATTTTTTTTAATAAAAAATATAAAAAATGAGTATTAAAGTTTGAACTTAATATGCTAAAATAATATTATCCTAAAAATCAAATTCTAATATTAATTAGAGTATACCGGTTGTCTATTATTTTTATATTATATATATCTTTTCCGCCGTTTCTGGGGGAACCCGAAGTGACAGATGACAAATAAGTACATCAAATCATAGATAAAAGAAACAAGTTTAGATTGGAAAGTGCCCATAAGGACAATGTAAACACTATTTGGCGCTATTCTTGCAACGGTCGCGACCCAAAACTTTTGAAAATTTCGGAGCAGTTCGGCTTTTTCCGGAATTATATCGCCAAATATTGTTTATTCAAGTTTATTATTATTTTCGTTTAATTTTATAAATAAAAGACAGTGTGTTGCATACAAGAAACTTTATTTTATATAAGGACGCATGTATGAAATACCTATGAAACATTGGGAACCGACGTTATGCCACGATCCACGATGGTTTTTGCAGTTCACAGTTCACAGCACAGCTTTTTAAGTTTTTAATGCCACTTTTTCACAATTATCACCGGTTGGAGTAAATAAAACTTGAATTAAACTCACAAGATAGCAATTATTACTTTGAAAATGGACGCTATAAACACTTTTCGGAATTTCTTTAATGAGAGCGGTTTAGATTTTGAAAGATTATTATGATCAAATTATGATTTTTGAAGATTCTGACTTTGACAAGAGAAAATTAGTTCTGTTTTTGTTTGTCGTTGTTCTTAGCAACCGCTATAGCAGCGCCAGATCGCGTATAACGGTCGCGACCCAAAATAATTTCACGACCTAAAATTTTTACGGGCTTTCCAATCTAAACTTGTTGCATTTATCTATGCATCAAATAAAAAGTAAATTTTAGGCATAATTATTGTATGATTGTTAAAAGTTAAAATAAATCAAAAACAAAGCTGATAACTACTTGGCATTATAGTCCAGTTGTTTTAAGTGGTGTGATCTTAAAAAATGGCGTTACAGTAAACATAGAATAGTATTTTAGTCCCAGATTGATTATATTAATGAAATTCTTAGAATTATTTATATTTTTAACATTTGAAAACTAAATCATGATTTTCTGTCATCTTAGATAGAGGAAATAAATTTAGATTGGAATGCTCGGCTTCCCGCCAAAACTTATAATTGTTTTGGATCGCATCCGTTGTTGGCGCATGGTTGGCACTTCTAGCGGTTGCTAAGAACAACCGCAAGCAAAGACATAGAGAATTGTTTCTTGTCAAAGTCAGAATCTTTAAAAATTATAAAATCTTCTAGAATTTAAACCGCCCTCCTTGAAAATATACCGAAAGAAGTACGGAAAAGTATTAACTAAAGTGTCCTTTTTTTAAAGTTATTATTGCTGTCTTGTAAGTTTATTTTAAATTTTATTTATGCAAGCCCTTGATAATCCAGTGTTTAACCATAGTAAATTTTTGTTATTTTTAATATAAAATTTAATTGCAGTGATTGAAAAGTACTCCCTCAATACAAAAAGAAATGCAACGAAGTTACAATTAAGGAATAAATAATAAATTAAATTCAATACAAATTTCACTGGTTTGAAATGACGCGTAGAAAATTGTGACGTCACCTATCAGCATTTGACTGAATAGTTGACAGAGGGCGCTCTAGCCTCTGAACAATAATAATAATGGCGTGTCTAGTTCTCTGCTACCGTATTTACGCCATATATCTTAAAATCACGTTAGATTTTTCTATTTTTATTAAGATCGTTAAAAAATACTTTTTATGTGGGATTATTCTTTATTACCCCAATATTAAATTTACTTTTATATTTTTCACTACTAGAAATTAAAACTTAAATTTTTATAATTAACAGATTACTGCCATTTTTATCGAAGCATTAAACTATGCATTAAACACTACCAAAGTTGGTCGGATGTTCGAAGGGTTCGAGGCGTTCGAGGTTAGATTTGTATTTTGTTGATTTTGCGTTTGGCGTTAAATACTTTGAGTTTTCAATTTTGTTTTATTGTACCCTCTTATAGCTGTTCCTTTGGATGAAAGCCGTGGAAGAGCCTGGTTTGAAGTGGCAAGACAACAATATGTCAGCAAAAGTACGAGATTTTACTGTGAAGATCATTTTAACGTAAGTTCCTTAAGTTTTATTTTACAATTAATTTTATATCTACTTTAAAATACATTTAGAAAAATGGTTTTTATTTACCTTTGTACCTGGTGGCAAACCGTGACACTTTTGATAGGTGACGTCAGAGATTGCAAAAGTGTACATTTGAAATTCTTAATATTAATTTTTTTAAAAAAATGGGATGAAATTGAAGTAAAATAAAAAAATACGGGTGTCATAAAATTGTATGAAGATTAATTATTTGCAATAAAAAAACTATGGTTAAACTCTGGATTGTGGAAAGTGACTTCTATTTTTACTTTTTTAATATATTTTAAGAATTTCATACATGTCCTTATATAGAATATATATTTTTTTTATAGGCAGCTCACTACTCACTGTATGTTATTTATAAAATTAAAAGAAAGCAAGAATAAATTTAAATAAATAATATCTGGCGACACAATTCCGAAAAAAAACGAACCGTTCCGAGGTAATAAAAATTTTTGTATCGCATCCGCTGCAAGCACAGCGCCAAACATCTAGTATATACATTGCCCTTGGAGGCGCTTTCCAATCTAAACTTGTTTCATTTCTTTCTGCCCAGCTCGACGTTAAATGTTATTTCTAAATATTAATACTTAAAAGAATTTCGGACATTTATTTATATTACCTTACACACCAATCAAAATCCTAAAATTGCTTCATCCTAAAATTATAATCATTGGCGCAACTAGACACAGACTTTTAAAGGGGCTTAGGTCGCCATAAGGGTGCTTGTCAGATATAACACCGTCCGAATTTTGTACTTTTTTTGTATCACTCGAAAGCATACATCAAAATAAGTATTTCAAGCGAAAAAAAAATTTGGATAGTCCACAATTTAATGAAAAAAACAACAACTAGTTATTGTCGGTGTAGCCAGATTCATTCATTTTTTATTGGGAGGTACATTAAAAAAACAGGTACTGGTCGTCGGAAGAAGAAATAGTTACACTGAGGCCTCGCGTTAAGAACAAATTATAAATTACTTTAAAATCAAGAAAAGGCGGTCAAGTAGTTTTAGGATTTAGATTAGTTCACACTTGATAACGTTCGTTTCATTGATACATATGACCGAAATTGATACATTTGACCGAAATGTTGTGTAAGTTAAAATAAATAAAGACAAGTACGAAATTATTTTAGTATCAATTCAGATATAATAATCATTTGGGGAAACGGTATTTCAAAGCCTACTATGTGATCATTTTTATTCCATAGCGTTATTTGTTTCGAATTGAAGTAAATAAATTCCAATCATATTTAAACACTAACCCATGATTTTTTGTATAAAAATAATATAATTCGTCAATTTCATAAATAAACTGTTATAAATACGCGAAGCATTTTATGTAACAACAGTTAATATACAGTGACGATTTTTCTATGTTCTAAATAGGAAAGTCTCATTTTAAAACCGGTCCGAGGTCCAATAATTCTTTCATTCGCTGGACGCAGAGCTTAGAGCCTTCGTGGGCATCTTTTGAAATCTGAAATGGAGTTTTATAAATATTACAAAAATCCGTAAAATAAAAGGTCTAAGGAAGGAGTATATTACTGATTTATTGACTGACAATTGGCAGTCGACGAATTCTTTATCTCAATTAAAAAACACGATCCTCTATGCATATTAATAACTGAAACCTGGTTGAATGCTGACATTAGAAACAGTCTGATAGATATCAATGGTTATAATATTTTTAGAGAAGACCGCAATCAACAAAGAGGCGGTGGAGTGTGTGTTTTTGTAAAGGAACAAGTGAATGGACAGAAAATATACTCTAGTGTATCCAAAAAATATAGAACCATAAGTCCTATTGAATCAGTATGGCTGAACATCAAAATTGCTGGTTTAAGGTTTATTGTGGCATGTATATTGTTACGTTTTTCGTCGGTTCCGTGTGGATAGAAAGTCACAATTTATTTAAACACTATTTATTTAACACTAATTAACAAAAACAATAACGATAAAAGACTTATAGAACTATTTACAAACGATTTATAACTAAGAATTTATTTTGAATTTTCGCGCGTCAACTGCACTGGTATATTTATAACTGCCCTCTCTAGGCCACTGCCGCCGGCTTTTATACCGACAGGTAAAAGAAATCTAGAATAGTCCAAAGATCGTTAGGCGCATAGAGAAGGTTTTCGAATGTTCTCGTATGTACGCGTCCATTCTAGTGGGTCTCGATTCTTCTCGAACGAATGAATCATTGCGGTGTCTATGCGATGTTAAGGTCATCCGAGGGCGGCCATATTGTGAGGTTAGGTCGAGTCCACACCGGCTCGCAACACTGCCCCTTCTTAGGCACATGCTCGTCCCGAGATGTATACGGTGAATGAAGGTATTTGCAAAGCTGGCCCCTGGTACATTGCGAAGTCTGGTAGAAATAGCAGTCTACAGTTTTCTCTCCCGATCTCAGCTTTGGGTTGTAGCAGCAAACGAGGATCTCGATTCCCGTAAATCTGAACAAGACTTCAATCATGTTCCGGATTGTACGCCAACTCAAACCATCGAGTCCACACGCCAGCTTCGGAATGGCTAATCGTGCAATGTTGTTGTTTAGCAGGGCTTCTCTCAGTTCAATCAGGGTCTTCCATAGATTGAGATAAGTCGGCTTACTCGGGGACCATTCCTTGGTGACCAGGTAGAAGATGTGCCTTGCTTGACCATGTGCATTGTCGGTTAGCCTCAAGACGCTTCCAACCTCTGGATCCTGTCGGCGTAGTTCTCCGACACGCCCAAACTTCTCATTGAACGTCGCAGCGATTCCTCTGGACATCCGCAAATCTCGAGCCACACAATGAGCGAGCGAATAATCAGGAGGCACGGAAAAGAGGTCTCGTTGATCTTCTTTGGTTACACCATAGCGAGCCTTCTCACTGCTGTTGTATCGGGCCATGAAATCGTCAAAGGACATCTCCGAATCAGGGGGATCAAAGCTGCAGGTTCTCACGGTCCCAGCACGATCTTCTATTTCGCCTTGGTAGGGGCTCAAACGGTTGAAATGGACTACCCTCGGTTTTCCTTTTGGCAATTTTCTGATACGGTATACGACGTCATTAATTCTATCCATGACTTCGTATGGCCCTTCCCACGAGGATTGTAGCTTCGGAGATAACCCACGACGTCTCTGCGGGTTATATAGCCACACCAACTTCCCTGGTTGGTATCCTCCATGCTCAGCTTGAATGTCGTAGTGTTCCTTCATTCGGTCACTAGCACTTTGAATATTTAGGCGGACTCTCTGATGAATGTCGTCCATCCTTTGACGTAGTGTGTGGACATAATCTTCTCCGGCGACTTCTTCTCCCGGTCGGCAACCAAATTTCAGATCACAGGGTAGGCGCACTTCCCGTCCCATAACGATGCTGGCTGGAGTTTGCCCTGTAGATTCTTGGACGGATGAACGGTAGGCCAACAGGAACAGGTGAAGAAATTTGTCCCAGTCTCTTTGGTGGTCAGAGACTACTTTGGCCAGATAACGGTTGATAGTTCTGTTCATGCGTTCAACCATCCCATCGGATTGTGGATGTAGAGCAGTCGTCCTGGTCTTGCGGATGTTCAGGACTTCACAGACGCCTTGGAACAGATTGGACTCAAAGTTTCTTCCCTGATCTGAATGAAGCTCCATGGGAACACCAAACCTGCAGATCCATTCTTTAACAAGGGCATCAGCAATCGTGGACGCTTCTTGATTTGGCAACGCGTAGGCCTCGACCCATTTGCTGAAGTAATCCATTACTACCACAATGTATTTGTTGCCATCGTTCGTCTCCGGGAAAGGACCAGCCACGTCGATCGCTATTCGTTCGAAGGGACTACCAACATTGTACTGGCGCATAGGGGCTTTACCACGCTTTTGTGGCCCATTAATGGCTGCGCAAATGTCACATTTCTTACACCAGGCCCTCACATCTTCTTTGCAGTTCACCCAGTAGAACCGTTCACGCAGCTTGCCAAGTGTCTTGGTAACACAAGATGTCCACCGCTGGTTCCATTGTGAACTTCCGCCAAGACTTCCGGGACCCTCTTCTTTGGAATGACGATCTGCCTTCTCTCTTCTTGTCCCTCTGGTCTCACAATCACACGGCGAAGTAATCCGTTATCTATTACCAATGAATTCCACTGGGACCAGTACGACTTCACGTTCGGCGAATATCTGCAAACTTCCTCCCACGTTGGTCTCTGGTCCGCGTTTTTCCAGTTAATCACCAAGCCCAACTCTGGATCACTGATTTGGTCATTTGCAAGATCTTCGGTTTGCCAACTATCACCAACCACAGTCGTCCTTAAGACTTTCACTTCTTTCTCTTCTTTGCAACGATTTCCCATCTGTCCGCAATTCCAACAGCGAATCGGTCCCCCCTTCTTACTCATATACTGATCCAGTACTTTCCGCACAATCCTTTCCACTTTGGAATCGTCGGAACTCTCCTCAACAGCCCGTACAAATCCTAGAGACCTAGAGCATTCTTTCGCGGCCTCAAATTCCAGGGCACGTGCTAGGGCATCTCCCAAATGCGTTGGATGAGCTAAAAGAAGTGTTTGCCTTGTCTCGTTGTCACATAAACCATCAATAAAAGCCTGTACTTTTAAGCGCTCCATAACATTTTCGGGCATAGCAGGGTACGCAAGGCGAACGAGGCGGGCTACGTCGGCTTCAAACTCCTGCAGAGACTCATTTGACTTTTGAATGCGATTTTTTAGCTGGGAATGATAGACATGTTCCAAATGAGCTTGGCCGTACCTCATTTCTAAATGTCGTACCAATTGCTGATAATCTCCCTGTTCCGATGGTACAATGTCTGCAGGATATCAGTCGCATCTCCTCGCAGTGCGACAGTCAAAGCGGTAGCCTTTTCAGCGATTGTCCATCCGTTCGCTCTCGCAGCGGCCTCAAACTGGCAAAAATAATTGGCCCAAGCGGTTTTTCCGTCAAACTGTGGAGGCTTAATAACTGACTTTGAGATATACTTATTTTCGACTAGTTTCGGTGCCTCCGATGTTTCTTGACATTTTGGTGAATTGGCCTTTTCTATTTCTTGTTTTAAAATTTCGATTTTTCTATTTACATCATCCTCAATTTGTGTTATTTTGTCTTGTAGCTCCGTAGAATTCTCTATAATCTTTTCTTCTAATTCCCTGGAATTTTCTGTTATCTTTTCTTCTAAATTAAGTATTTTATTATTAAAGCTGGCCTGTATGTCTTTAGAATTTTCTGCGATCTTATCTTCCAAAATATTAATTTTATCACTGATTTTCTCTTCTAAATTAACTTCCAAGTCAATTATTTTACTATTCAAATTGTTCAAGTTGTCGTCTAATTTTTGAGAATTCTCTGTCATTTTATCATTCAAACTGTCTTCTAATTTTTGAGAGTTTTCCGTCATTTTAGCTTCTAATTTTTGTAGGCACGAATCAAGGTCACCTTCGAACTCAAAGCAAAATGTGTCCGGATCCTCGCCTTCCTCCCCTCAAAACGTCTCTCAGTCTAGTTTGCAAAATGCTTTTCTTTCCATCTGTCTCGCACTCTCTCTCTTCCAATATGGATTTCAGTTCGGACACTTTCAAGTCTTTCAACAATTTCTTCGGAGCCATGGTCAGTCTTTTTATTCTTCTAGTCTATCACACACGCCACACTTGACACCAATTGTTACGTTTTTCGTCATTTTCCGTGTGGATAGAAAGTCACAATTTATTTAAACACTATTTATTTAACACTAATTAACAAAAACAATAACGATAAAAGACTTATAGAACTATTTACAAACGATTTATAACTAAGAATTTATTTTGAATTTTCGCGCGTCAACTGCACTGGTATATTTATAACTGCCCTCTCTAGGCCACTGCCGCCGGCTTTTATACCGACAGGTAAAAGAAATCTAGAATAGTCCAAAGATCGTTAGGCGCATAGAGAAGGTTTTCGAATGTTCTCGTATGTACGCGTCCATTCTAGTGGGTCTCGATTCTTCTCGAACGAATGAATCATTGCGGTGTCTATGCGATGTTAAGGTCATCCGAGGGCGGCCATATTGTGAGGTTAGGTCGAGTCCACACCGGCTCGCAACAATATATAGGCCACCACACTCGAACGAAGAATCAGACAGGAATATGATAAATGTATTAGCTGAGGTGTGTGCAGAGGACGTACCAGTCTACATCACTGGAGACTTCAATTATGCTGAAATCAACTGGAACAATAAAACACTATATAGAACTGAGAAACTAAATCAACTGTTTTTGGACAGCTTTAATGAAACGAATATTTATCAAATAATAGATTTTTCCACACGTTTCAGGGGTGATCAGGATGCGCTTCTGGATTTGTTTCTAGTAAATAATAAGAAACTGATTTACAACATAGAAAGTGATTCACCATTGGGCCGCAGTGACCATTTGGTTATTACTGGAAAAACGCAACTCGAATATCCAACTAGATCTACCAATAAAATACGAAAACAAAACTTTTGGAAAGCCAACTATGAACAAATAAATGTATTTCTTGCAGAAAACTTGAATTTTGACCCTTCACATTTGGAAGAAAACAGATATGAAAAAATCACCAAAATTATTGACGAAGCTATTACAAAATTTGTCCCATTTACAACTAAAATAATCAATTCTAAAAAACCATGGATAAATCAGAATATTTTTAAAAAAATTACTAACAAACGAAAATTATGGGATAAATATATTAAATCGCCAACACCCGAAAACTATACTGCATACAGGACGGAAAACAACACTCGCAAGTGCTAGACAAAACTACGAAAAATCTATCGCCTCTTCCAGCTCACCAAAACAATTTTTTAAATATATTAATAGGACTCTGTCTACAAAAGTATCCAGTTTCACTCTTAAAAACCCCAACAATGGATTACCTATCATGGACGACTGTGACATTGCTGAGGAATTTGCACACCGGTTTGCATCAGTCTTTACGACAACCAATGACTCTTACATTCCAACGCTTTCACAGAGTTCTAGGCTTCTGCAAGAGATTACTAACATAGAATTTACAGAGCTCAACGTTAGCGAAGCCATAAAATCATTAAAAACTGACAGCAGCCCGGGTCCAGATAGTGTACCGACTGTTTTTCTTCAGAAATGTTGTCATGCCCTCGCACAACCTTTAGCATGTCTATTTAATGATTTACTAATATCTGGCAAATTTCCAGATACTTGGTCTCTTTCTTTCGTTACACCGCTTCACAAAAAGGGAGACAGACAGTTAGCTGGTAATTACCGACCAATTAGTCTAACTAGCTGCATCTGTAAATGCATGGAAAAGGTAATCATCCGCACACTTACTCCATACCTAATGGAAAAAGATGTCTTACCCAGCACACAGCATGGATTTCTTCCTGGTCGATCCACAATAACGAACATGACATCTTGTCTTAGCGATTGGACAGCAGCCTTTGATAGAAACCAACAAACAGACGTCATCTATCTTGACTTTGAAAAGGCATTTGATAAAGTACCCCCCAGATGCTTCTTTATAAACTAAACCACTACGGCATAAGAGGGAATTTATTCAAACTTATATCAAACTTCCTAACCCGACGCTACTTCCAAGTCAGAATAAACGGATCTCTTTCAACTAAACACAAAGTGACCAGCGGTGTTCCTCAAGGCTCTGTGTTGGGCCCACTGTTGTTCCTCCTGTATATCAGCGATCTGGCAAGAGGCATAAAAACGAATATCATATTTTTTGCGGATGATACAAAGTTATATGCAAATCCCGAAACGAGCTACGTCAATCTTCAGCATGATCTAAGGTTGGTGGAATCCTGGGCCAAACAATGGAGAATGAAACTGAATGAGGACAAATGCACTGTTCTTAGCATTGGAATGAATTGTACGCACAAAACCTACACCCTAAATGAATTAAGTCTAAGACATGTAGAACAACAGGAAGATCTAGGGATTACAGTTACTGGAAACCTAAAATGGTATGTGCATATATCAAAGATTACTAAAAAAGCAAATTCTCTTCTTTATTTCATTCAAAGAGCATTTCAAGACCGCTCTATTGATCTTATTTTAAAGATATACAAGTCCTACATTAGACCCAAAATAGAATATGGTCAAATAATATGGAGTCCCTATTTTCAGAAGGATATTGATCTCATCGAGAAAATTCAACGCAAGGTGACAAAAATGCCCCATGAACTTAAGGATCTAGAGTATGAAGATCGTCTTGCGATGTTAAATCTCACCACATTAAAACAGAGGCGTTTGCGGGGGGACTTGATAGAGACTTACAAAATTCTAAATTGTTTCTACACTTGCCCATTAAATATATACCATCCTTGCCAAACTCCACAACTTAGAGGCCACAGCAGACGCCTGGAAAAGGAAAGATCGTCCAAACTCCAGCGAAAAAATTTTTTGACTAACCGCATAGTGTACCCGTGGAACTCGCTGCAGAAGAAAGTGTTTCAGTACCAACTCTCAACTCATTTAAAAACAAAATTGATCAAGAAATGAATACCTTGAGTTCTGTACATTTGCATTACGGCCAGTAAACTCGAAAAAATTACGCGCAACATAAAAAGACAGTAGACTCATCGGTATTTTTATACCGCTTTCTATTGTGTAAATAATAATAATAATAATAATAATTAAAAAATTAAACAATAAATAATACGGTTGGGGCACAGGTCGCCACTGGTTATCATGCCATTTCTTCTTGTTGTTACGTATGTAAGAATACAAAAATAGTATTTGACTCCCCTCTGAGTCTTTTTATTTAATGCGGATATTAAATATGTTAAATGAATTTAGTCAAATTGAGCTTACCAATGAGAAATTTAGAAATCCATGCGGTAGGCCTTCGAGAATATCGAGATGGACGTCATTTCCTAATCTCCTTAATTTTTTGGCAAACATGACGCAGTCATCCAAACAAGGGTCTAATTGAACAGTCTGGAAAATGTATTAAATCTCAAAGAGAATTCAACTTATTTTCTATTATATTAAAAATACAAACATACCGATCTGGTCATCGAAACTGCGTGGTCTGGATTTTAACTTGTAAGTTGTAAGACAGTGATGCATCTTAATGGAAAATCAAATTAATTAAAAAGAGATAAAAATTGCTTTGGATTATTACTTTTCTTCTATGCGGTATTGCCGGATTTTGCATCAAAATTTCAAACCGCACAAGTAGGCGTTTATGAAAAATGTTGCATCTAGGGTTGGAACTTATTTTTCACAATTAGTTACTCATTTTACTACAGCTGTAATAGATTTTATTTAGCTTAGATAATATAATCTTCATTTCATTAGTATACATGAAGGTTTTTAAAATAGTTTATTTTTTTCTACAAACATTTTCCTACAAAGGTAAAAACCGGCGACACTGTATGCCGCTTTTTATTTTGTCTCTCTGTCTGTCAACCGGTCATTCAAATTTATCTCTGATGCATGCATTAAAATACAGACCAGACAGATGAAGTGACCAGGGCTAGTATAAAGTCCCTATTAAAATGTAAAGGCCTATCTCATTTTTGTAACTTTTCTGTATGGCAAAAATAATTAATTTTCATTACCTACGATTTAGTTGTTCATAATGTTAACCGACTCTTATGCCAATAGTACTCCTAAAATAAAAATCACTGATTCCCCAGGACATTTTTACAAGGATTTACCAGGACAGAGGCAAGTGAAAAAGCAAAGAGATGCTATATGGAAGAATCAGTCTCCCAATTTATTAGATTTTTTGAAAAGGAAACGAGTGGAGAATGTTTTTTAGAGATCAGAGTATCAGCCATCTAGTAAAATCTATCCTAATCTAATATTCCAAAGATACCGCTACTTACGAGTATTTTCGTTGGAGGGAACTTCTTCAGGTCTTCGTCGGAAGCACAGTAAGGGCTCAAATAAGGGTTGTTGGGAACAGGAAAGCACAGGTCCTCCCATACAGCGTTCGGCCTGTCCGTTTCCAGGAGTTTTTCAGCGCCGCTTAATCCTCTCTCGCCTAACATTTTGCTGAAGTGGCCTTTGATGCCTGAGACAAACCCATAAAGCCTGTTTTGGAATGAGGTGTCCGGTGTGGAGGAAGAGGTGCTTTCCATGTCGACCAGTGAGGTTTTTGTACCGTCAGTTTCGGTGTCGGATTCTATATATACGTTAAAATACAATAAGAAGATTGCAAAAATTGTAACATTTTTAACCAAATGTATGAAAAACTAATATAACAACATACCAAAAGAAAAATTTAAATGTATGCAATACTTTTAAAAAATCCAAGATTGAAGATCAAATACGCAGCTCATGTGTCCTACTCACGCTTTTCTATTGGTTTGACGTGACAACAATCACAAGCCGGTCGACGCGGCTAAACGCTGAGCTGAAAGCCCTCCGAATGGTTTTTTTACGGATGTTTATACCTTAGATAAATAATTTTTATACATATAATAGAAACAGTTTTTCAAAAAGGCAATTCATTAAAATTACATGTGAAATGGTATGGGATTTGATATCCAGAAAAAAACACGTTTGTTGAAGTGAAATTAGCACGGTAAGATTTACTTTTAATATTCCAATTGCCGCGACTGTTACCCATTTTACACGCATTGTAAAGTTTAATTCATGTAATCAAAATATCCCTTAAAAATTAAAAATGCGTGCATCAACGATACAATTAAGAAGTATTTAAATTAAATTTCATATTATTTTTCACTAGTTTAAATAAGCGATTAAATACTCTGAACTTAGGGAATTCAATAAAGATAAGCAACAAAAGGATTCAGTAAAGAAAGTTATATCTCCAACATTGGCATACACATTGAAATACAGACCATAAAGTGGGCCAAGTTCATGCTTTACCAAGCGAAATATTCTAGTTATTTCGAATGTTGTGCTAACAGTATAGTAAAGTCATCAACAGTTTAGACCAAGCATTATATAACACTCTCTATAGGCTTGGTGCGTTTCAGTTGATTTTAAAAATTCCGACCGCATCGCTAGATACGGCAGAAATTAGAAGTATTTCACGCAGTCTCGTTACCGTTTATGTCGATCGCATTGAAATAAAATTAAAATCGTGGTTTTGTCATAATATTTAATTATTTTAGTTTGTACTAGTGCAGTTATTGAAACTATAAAACACTATGGACGAGGTTTGGGTGACGTAAAAACGTTTCAGGTAGTAAAAATTAAGTGAAAATGAAACCGAACTGGGCGACGCAGTGTTAAAAATATTAACACGTAAAAGGGGGCGTAATCATATAGTTGTAATAAAATTCAATAACTCAACTTTCCCGGATATTCAACTCTCCCAAAACAACATTTTATAGCTTCACAGCTTCTCACTCCGATTTTATCAAAATCAAAAATGAATTCAAGCATTTAACGAAACATGTGAGTAAACAAAGTGCCCGTTACATAATCAAAAAATTAAATAGGCATATACTATGAGAGGATAAAATATAATTTGCAATATTAATAGTATTTTTTTGTCAACTAATGCCTAATTTTTTTATGGACATTAATTTTTTATGAACAACTACAATTACAATTATGTATCTTTAAAAATTTCGGTATAGCCGAAATAGTCCCAGTTATGTCCCAACTAGCAAAACCGGTGCGTAAAACTATGTTTGCTACCATAGTTGAACTCATCTAAAAAACATTATTAGCTTCAATAATAAATTATAATACACATTATTATTACCTTCTGAAGATATCAAAATATTAACTTTTTTACTTTTATTTTTAGAATTTTTACAAATTATACTTCCTAACACTTTTTAATTAATTATATAACAAATTTCTCGGGTATTCGCTATTTAAACCCGTGTATTTGTTTAATCCGCTCTTTACAGTATTTTTCGATGGTGGCAGCACCGGCGGAGAATGCACCAAGCCTATTAGCTCTACTTTAACATGGCTCATAACACAATAGTTACAAATCAACGACAATACAACAAACTCTGGATGCACGTTTAGTTAACCTATCTAAAAATCAACAAAAATTGATACTCTAACAACTCATGACATTAACCCCCACACATCAACCATTATCCTACCTCCAACACGCACCGGACTGGTAAAAAACTTGGAGGAGAACGCCGAGCCCAAATAATCCCTACCTAGCACGTATTTGTGTACGATGTCCGCCATCAGCTTCTGACTTTTCTCGATCTCCACAGATGTCAGATCAACCTTATTGTCCAGATCGTCCAGGTTAGCGGAGTTAAGCGAGCCATATGTTAGGGTGTCCGATGCTTCGGACACAGGCGATTTGTGGGCTTGAAGTTCGGCCAGATCTGATTCAGAGACTTCTTCGAAGCTCTCGCTATCGTCAGAGTGAAAATTGTTGCCGCTAGGGGACGTAGTGCCGTTTGGAATCTGTTTGGCGTCTTGCGGACAAGCATAGGCTAAAAATAGTAGTTTGTTATAGACTTTTAAAAAAATATACCGCTACCTTTCTATACAGCGTGTTCCAATATTCCGTGGACATAGATCTACTACGTATTTTTTGAATCAAAATAAGTTCATTAGACACAATTTACCTCTTTTTTGTAAAGGTAAATTATGTGCAAATAACTTATTTTGATTCAAAAAAACATGTACTTGTTCTATGTCCACGGAATGTCCTGTATATTTTGTAGGTCTGCGTTGGAAAAATAAATTCTCCAAAAATTTTCTCCCAAAAACTATGAGATGTGGCGTTTTTTAAGAGATAAAAAATGTAGTAAATACTAGAAGGAGCATTTTACGAAAAAAAAAAATCGGTCATTGGTTGAGCTGGAAAATATTTATATTATTATATATAAATTTATGTAGGGGTGGGAGTAGTTTTCACGCTTCCTGTACTATAGCTTGGTTTTTGTGTAAGAAAAATGAGGAAAGCATTTAGCAAAACATAGACACCCAAAATCTCTTTCAAGTCGGAATAACGATTCTTAAAATATCTAAAAAAATGTGTTTTTTTAACGTTTGATACCCTCCAGCGGACGGGTGTTGAATCCATTAAAAAACTTGGTTTACCGATAAGTAGTACCAAAACGTAGTAAAAGTGTAAAGTAAAATTACACACTATACTTGATATTTTGTAAACGCTTTTGCTTTATTTCAAAGACCACAAACGCATTTGTTGTCATTTGCGTTAACTTCAGAACTGGAAAATGATCAAACTGCAGGTTATAGACAACATTTATTTAAATTCCTTTTGTGTCATTGTAGTGCTTGAAAAAATACACCTAGAAATACTTACCTGCACACAAATTAGAAAATCTAAATAAACCCGCGTGAACAAATAAATGGTTGCCTCATCAATCAGTCAGTTAAAAATCTTGCGTAAGTAACCCATGAGTAATAGGTTTGTCATCACTGATGTAGATAATATAAAATTATGACTTTATTGCACACTTCAATCTTTTATTCCTTTAGAACGTAAAATGAGGGATGAAAAACTGTATGGAAACTAGTTACAGCTATGCTTAGAAACATCAAATAATAAATGACATTACTGATCACTGGAAACTTAGGTACACAGACGAAGAAGTGTGAAAAGGATAGTAAGGTACAAAAATTAATACAAATACCTTTCAAACACCTCATCAAGAATCCAAAGGGCAGCAAAGGGTCCATCATACACAGCAACCTCGCTGGGGAAGGCACGAATTTCACTAAAGTAGGCACATAGGCGGCGAACATACCGTGAGGCGTAGGAACACCAGTATGGATACATTTCAGGATCAGAGAGAGCAAAAGATTTGCACCGGCAGAGTCGCCCGCGGTTATTATTTTTTCACCTAAATATAAATATATTTCGTTCATTATAGATGGATTATATTGGACTACTTTATTATTTGTAGATTCAATACGGAAACTACGTCATCGTAAATATCTTGAAACCAAAGATAATAAAAACCCGCAGATACAATGATTGAATCATAAAACGCTCTAAAACTTCATCACACGTTGGTTTGCGTAAATCAACGAGTGCCAGAGAGTATGGATATGGATAGAGAAGGGAATAGGTTATCGTCTCAATAGCATCAATGTAGGTATGTACCTTTGGTATGTACAAAATTAGACGTTTGAGGTCATAAATTTCCAGTGGCGTGTAGATCGACCGACAGTATTTTAAGAAAATTAAAAAAATAATAATAAAACTTAACATATTTGTCGCATTGTAAAAAAAATGAGTTGAGGGGAAATAGTGAAATAAATAAAAACCGGCATAATTTTTTATTATAAGATGACTTTTCACAAGAGCAACGATTTAAAAAATCAATAAGTGTTTTTTCACATTATTTTATTAAATATCAATAAGAAATAATAAAGTTCGACATTTATTTACTTCTAGAGCGCCTGAACTTGAGAAAAAAATATGAAATTTAAAGTCTAGCGTAAACCAAAATCACAAATAAAATAAAATGGTAATTGTTTAGTAAACGGTTCTTCCATTAATTTAAAAAAAAATATTCCACAAAATAACGCAAAAATACTATAAAACTGCAATTAAAGAGTACGGAGCATAAACGGCCGAATGGCAACCTCGCAACAGTAGAATCTAGGGAAATTCATTCATCCTCAAGATCCGTTGTACTACGCCGGCATATTTCTAAAACTGACGTTGCTAAACTGCTTTTTATTGTTAAAAGAAACATGACCTTGATCTTTTTATTCCATTATAAAATTTAAAATAGTTAAGCATTACATTAAAAATTGACGTTAGCAAATTAATATACTTGATATATTATAGAAATATAATAAAATTATTTATTACTTCACAATTGGTTGTGGTGTTTTTTGAATAGCAATATTATTATAGAGGTAAATCTGACAAATGTTTTTAGAGTAAGTGAGATGGGAAAATAAGGATAGAAGATGGAGAAAAAAGGTAAACAATTGTATCTCTTGAGTTTAAATATCTTTGGTGGAAACACATTTGGTGAGTTTTGTTTGACCTTTTAGCAGTTTTGAATTTTTGTCACTTTGCTGCTTACCATCATATAACATATGACAAAATTATCCGTAATAGTGAAGCTGTTTTCACAAAGTATATTACAAACAAACACAAAATTAAGTTTTTGTTTATACCTGAACTTCCTAAAAATTGGTGATTTTTTAAGGCCCAACAGTAAGCATAAAAAACTTCCTCGTGTGCCCTAGGAAAGGGGGCTTCAGGTGCTAAACTGTAATCAATACTCATTATGGGAATGTTGAGATTTTTTGCCCAATCTCGCAGATATCCTTCGTGGGATTTTGAAGACTGCGCCACAAATCCACCGCCATGACAGTGTACTAACAAGGCCTTTGAAGGGGGCGGTAAATTAGTTTTATTCTTGCTACCTAACATGCCTTGCCTCTGTTCATAACTAATTAACCGAACTTGAATAGGTCTAGGTCCTAAAATAATAAACATCAAAAAATATGGAAAAAAGTTCCTATAAACATGGGTCTAGAAATGTGCAGTTTACAGGATGATTATATGTTAAATTTAAAAAAAAATTGTAAGTTTCTTAGCCGACTTATTTAAAATTTACTGGCCCATCAATATTTTTTAAGATTGCAGTGAAAATGTCAAATGTCAATACTTACCTAAATATGAATTAGGCACTGGTATGTCAATTTCTTTCCCATTTATGTTTAAAGACATAGGTTCTGGTGCAATACTAATAACTTTACAAACTGCAACGTTGGGTGAAACTACCGAGGGCAACTGATTCATCAGTTCACTTTCTGACAAAAACCAAAAGGCTTTACAAAAATCGACATTGGCATTTTTAGAAATATTTACAATTCTTTTTGCCCTTTGTTCAGGATCTGTAATATATTTTGTAGTGGTCATAAATGAATTTGTGGCTTTTGAGATTAGGGAACCTAAAAATTCAAAATCATGGCATTTTTGCATTATATATGATTTTTTAGGGTCTGGTAAACATTAAGTACCTCAGAATTTCGCAATTTTTATTTTTTTAGTCGAAAGCTCTATTGCTATAGAACAGTTTAAAAGAAAAAAATCCTTCGATGAAGCACTTTTGAACCAAAAAAAATCATTTAAAAGTGTCTAAAATGCTAACCAATCTATCACAGTAAATTATTAAAATATAAAAACCACAGCTTAACACCCTCCACAAAGAAAAGCTAACCAAAGCAACCCAAATGCTCCAAAAAAAAAACTGTAGGATCCAACAAACTTTTTGTCTCAATATGCTCTATTTACAATAATCTTTCTAAGAAAACAAAGAAAAGTGTGAAATTCTGAGGTACCTAAAGTTTACTAGAACCGATTTTTTATATACCTTCACTGTAATAGGCTTCTGAGAATATTGCCATTGATAAAGCTATAAATTGCAAAACATTTTTTAAAGAATCGCAAAACTGAAATGAATGAAAATATAATAAAATACATACAATAATCAATATATATGAATTGAAATACCTGAAAACCTAATAGTCTTCCATAAAAGCAATACTGATTAACATTTTGGCATACCGAAATCATGTCTTCCATTGACCTGTTTTCTGAAAAAATGTTTCCATCTTCCGACCATGACATCATTGTCTCTAAATGCTTGAAGCATGTACATAGACTTGACATCAATTGAGCACACGATTCTAATTCTCTAAAACAACAATAGGTATACAATAGTACTCAATTAGATTACATTCTGCTTACTTTGTTAACACTGTCTTCCTGAACAATATACTGTTTTTTCTCCATATAATTCTCTGGCATAAGTCAATTGTATATCCAATTGAAATCTTATATACATTAAGAAAACTTCTATATCCATTTCCGGGTGTATTTTCATCCAAATCAAACTCTGATACCCTATGTTCAATATCGAGCACTCGTGGATATAATAAATTTAAAGCGTCAATTATTGCCAAAAAGGATATATACAACCTTTGTCCATTTTCACTGCTGTCTTTTGCAAAAAAGTCCGCATTTGCACTGCACAAATTTATCAAAATACTAATATTTTCTGGTTTTTCACTGGTCTGTTGAGCATTATTAAGTTTTTCAGCTTCTGTCATGTTCAAATACTTGTTTCGAATAAACAACAAAGAGACTTTATTTAAGTCTCTTCTAATTTATAATAAATATTATCGTTAAATCTTTTTCTTTTCGGTAAAAATGTTTACATTACATCGATAAATTTTACAATAATTTGTCACTGTCAATAACCATGATACAAAGAATACAAGGTATGATATTGCGCAGGTTGGTCACTACGTCACAGGTGATAAACGGTACCATTGGTCGGCAGGCTCCGCGCGCCAATTTCAAATTGTCAAACAGATGACAGAATAAATGTGAAAATAATTTTTTAAATGTCAAGCTCGATGATTTGACATAACTTTTGGGGTTATGTCCTAATTCTTCTCTACTTTAGGTCCACTTTAGGTCTTTTTTTATTAGTGGCAATTGAACAATATGGATATTTTTTTTGTATGGCGTATGACGTCACAGGTGGTATGCGCAAACTGAACGAAATTGGAGCCGCTATCGATCATACCTTGTTTTCTTTATACCATGGTCAATAACCTTAGATTAGGGGTTGTCAAGATAGCTATAAAATTATTTTATAATTTTTTTTATATATCTCCATTAAATTAGTAAGTATTTACAACCAACAGGAACTAATCGATTAATTAGTATTATAGAAACAATATTGACAAATTAATGAAGTTAATTAAATAATATTTGTTTAAATTTTAAGCGATTATTAAATTCTAAACTGACCATTGATCCTAAAATAAAAAGCCAACAAGATAAAAAGAAGAAGAAGAAGAAGAAGAAATTTGAGGTTATAAATTTTTTGATGGTTCACAAAGCTCATTTTTTCAATATTTTATAAACCCAATCATTAAAAAAATGACTACTTTAAGGCCTTTTACATGTGATGATATGTACAAGTTTAATAATGTGTAAGTGCTTAAATCTAAAATACAGTATCCCTGTGTTACATGGTCTACATTTTTAGGAACTTGGACCCTCTAACAGAAACTTATGGTTTGTCTTTTTATATGCAATATTTGGCTCATTGGCCTGAATATTTTCAGGTAGCCGAATCTCCTAGCGGAGAGATAATGGGATACAGTAGGTTTTATATATTTTTATCCATAATTTTTAATATACACACCCGACGATACACTATACCTTTTAGTTATGGGGAAAGCTGAAGGTGTAGGTGAAAACTGGCATGGTCATGTCACAGCTCTAACTGTATCGCCAGATTACCGTAGACTTGGTTTAGCAGCAACGTTAATGAATTTCCTTGAAGAAGTATCTGAGAAGTAAGTTTCGTCACATTTTGTCCAGATCAAACAAGAATACAACATTTTTAGGAAACGCGCTTATTTCGTTGATCTTTTTGTCAGAGTCAGCAATAATGTAGCAATTAAAATGTACACTAACTTAGGTTATATAGTGTACCGGACAATTTTAGAATACTATTCAGGAGATCCAGATGAAGATGCTTATGGTAAGTAAATATAGAACTAGAAAAACTAAGAGTTTCGGACTTCCAATTGTCTTTATTTTGCTTATACAACGTTTTGGTGAGAAGTATCACTGACCTTTATCAAGTGTGAACTAAGTAAATATAGGTTTTATATATAGATAGTATTGTAAGATGCTCACAAGAATTTATTTTTGGAGAACATTCCCCAAAAACAGATTAGAATAAACAAGCTTAGCTTATTACAACACTACTTATATTTTATAAACATATATTAATAGTATCATAGGTATAATACAACATTCTTTGTAGATATGAGGAAGGCTTTATCAAGAGATGTAAATCAAAAATCCGTAATACCTCTTGCCCATCCTGTACGTATAGAAGAAGTTGATTGATAGTGAAGAATATCTGGTATTTTAACACTTCCAAATGTATTTTAAGTTAAGTATAGGTTCTGTTTTTATTCCATATAAAAAACTGATTTGTTGTGTCCAATTTACATTAAATAAAACATGTATAAGTATAAACCAACTGTTAAAATTAGTATGATAACATAAAACTAAAAAATCCTTTGTCTTTCATATCTAAATCATAATTTAGTATCTTCATTTCCTGGTCTTTGGGTTTGGACTTCTTCCTGGTATTTTTAATATGCGTGAAAAGTTCTTCCAAATGCGCGACTTTCTTTTTCAATTGTAAGTTTTCTGTCTGAAGTCTTTGGATTTTACATCTGCTTCTTTTATCTCTTATTTTAATGATATGAAGAACCTTTTTTGCTCTGACAGGGTCGGAGAAATCTTTTAACTCAATATCTGAAGTCATACGGGTATGTTTGTAAAAAGGCAATTTTCCTTCTATGTTTTCTTCGGAATTCATATAGTTATTAAATATGGAATCAGAAAAAGTACAGTCCTCTTCTGAGAATAATGTATCTGTTTTGACATTTTCAAAAATGTTGTCCCCTAATTTTATATCTTCACTGCTTTCAAAAATGTCTGAGGTATCCTTGCATCTATCGTCACATCTATTGACAACCACTTTTTTAATACCTTCTATTTTATTATTAATCTGTTTCTTTCTTTTGGGTTTACTCAAGTTTCTTCTAAATACATATCTTACATTTTGTTGTTGTTTTTTAAACGAAATGTTTAACTCGGTTAATGCGTTATTATCTTTCTCTAGGGACATAATTTGAATGTGTGTAAATAATTCTATAAATATCTAATTATATTTAACTATGATTGGTACGGTTTGGCGTTCTAAAATTAGTATTGTGGATGGGATAAAAATAATCCATTCAAAAAAATAAATAAACCTTTTGAATTTTCGAAAAAGCGGTTTGTAGTTTGTATTGGCGGCACTGAATAAATAAGAAATCAATGTAAGAAATAGAGTAGGACTTACTAATTTTTTTTTTTAATAATAAAAAATGACTATTGAAAACTAGAAATTTTATCTCTTTAGAAGATACAATGAAGGATGAAAAATTGAATGGGGATTAGCTAAATCTGCGCCTAGAAACATGAAATAACCATTTATACTTTTAACTCTATGATTTATACTTAATTTTTAACTCTATACCATTATTGAGCACTGGAAACTGTTTTTTTAAAGCTAGTATGGTTTTTAGAACTATGCTTGATACGGTTTAGGCGTTCTTAAATTAGTATTGTAAATGGGATAAAAATAACTTATTCAAAATAAATTTAAAAAAATGAATTTTCGGATGGCTGTTTGTATTGGCAGCATGGGATGATTAAAAAACAGGATTTAGTAAACTTTTTTTGCCTCTTTGTTTTGTTACAGCGCTTTCAGATGGAGCGGAGCGTCCGCGACTTCGAGCAAGTACCATGAGTTTATATGAACAATTTCACATGGGCGCGTATGCTCCGTCCGGATGATCTCGTCCGACGGCTATCTTGAAATATGGACCGTCCATCGCGGACGGTCCACTCCATCTGAAAGCGCTGTAACATTTCAAACTTTTCAATTAATGTAAAGTCTGTTCAATAAGAAAATACACAACAGCAAATAGTTGTCTGTTGTCTGTCATTTTAACCCACAGCTTTGTTTGCTTGGTGTCTATCGAAATCTTTCCTGGCTCGTTGGGCAGACTTTCCAGAATTATAATTCCGATATTTTTATTATTTTACTTCAGTAAGATGGAAATTTTTTGTGTAGAAAATTAAAATGACTGACTGTGCACTTACGAATATGCAGTATCTCGGTATATGTCGTTAGTCACATAGTGTATTTCGTCTTTTCGTGAAGATCCTAGTCACTTCATGAAGCGTCGGTTAGGTTAGCACAAGGTTAGCAGATGTATAGTACCATATGATCGAAAAAAAAAACGGCGTCCAGTTGGCTTGGAAATATGGAAATGACGATCGATGACATTTCCCATATAATTTTACATATAAAATGACAGCGATCTTCATTTCATAGCCATCGTTGACGCCGTTTTTATTCGATACGGTATATACCGGGTGCGTCTCGAAAGTGGCTCACCCCTATAACTTTTTTATTTTTTCAGTTAAAAAAACAAGATTTGGTATGTTAGTATATGACATAAATTAGGATTGATTGACATATTCAATTGTTTTTGGTTACTTCCGGTTTTGCTGGAAATGACTACAGCTTTTGATTTTTAAATGGCACCATTGATATTTTTTTACTTTATTCGATAGAAAATGACACTCTGAATATAATGACATATCATATGTCAACTTTTGACATTTTCGCATATGGTTTATTTGAAATTATAACATGCGGTTCATAACGACAATTTGACTTGAAATACCAAGTGTATGGTATCAAGTTATTCGCAAAAAAATGCTTTTTCCGAATATGCTAATGAGCCTCGTTCCATTTGAAAAAATTGAGATATGATTAAAAATACGATATGGGCATCTTTTAACCGGCTAGGACAAGACACTAAAAACATTAGATGATCAAATCTATTTTTCCAAGGCTCCTTGATTAAAAATTAGTGTTTTTAACACAGCCATGACACTCTAGATTGAAATTTAAAATACAATTTGTTTTTGAGTGAATATGTCAAAAGTTAACATACATATATATGATATGTCATTCGATTCAGAAAGTCATTTTCTATCGAATAAAGTAAAAAAATACGGAGGTTGCTATTTAAAAATCAAAAGTTGTAGTTATTTCCGGTGAAACAGGAAGTGACCGAAAACAATTGAAAACATCAATCAATTCTAATTTATGTCATATACTAACATATCAAATCTAGTTTCTTTTATCTGAAAAAATAAAAAAGTTATAGGGGTGAGCCACTTTTGAGACGCACCCGGTATACAGGGTGAGTAAGTCAAATATTTTCAGTGCTGGTAGATATCGACAAAAGAAACATCTTTTCTCTTTACCATTTTTCAGATAAGGCCAAAATAGCCGAATTATATAAGTTTGAAAATTAAAAAAAATGATTATTTTTTGAAAAAATTTTTAGAGCCATCGGATTTTTTTCTGTATTTGCATCCCTTTTATTGCCGTAACCATAGAGTAACGCCGTAACCAAAGAACAAGCGCTGTAACTATGGTAATTTGGTAATATCTGCGGTGAACAGGCAGTTCTAAAAAGTTTTCGAAAAATATACAGGGAAATTTAAAAGAAAATGCACGATTTTCAACATCTTTTTTTAGCGAAAAAAACCTCATAGACGTGTTTCTGGGGTCGAAATATACAACCCCTGAAAATATTTGCACTTATTTAAGACTCACCCTGTATATATATATATATGTACATATATAGATATTCCATCAAGATTTTTCCTGATCATGATGCACCACGAAAAAGAAATAACCAACGAAATTTAGCTGTTTTGCGTAAAAAGTTCAACAGCGTGTTTCTGGGGTCGAACTATAGTACCAGTTAAAGACGTATTTATTATGTACTGTATAGGCTTGGTGCATTTCAGTTGATGAAAAATTTTGACAGCAGCGCTCGGTACGGCAGAAATCAGAAGTTTTCGGCTCTGTATTCACGCAGTCCCGGTTACATTTCTTGTTGCTCGTAGTAGGTCCTGTTATTGAAACAATAAACATCTCAGGTACGAGGTTTGTTTGTATGACGTAACGCAGTTTCAAGTAGTAAAAATTAAGTGAAAAAGAATTCGAACTAGGCGTCGTGTTGTGTTGTGACAATTTCAAATGTTAATAAAATTGCCGAAAAAATGTTAACGCGTAAAGGAGAGCGTAATTAGGGCGTTATTGGGTGCAATAACATTCAATAGCTCAACTTTCCCAGATATTCAACTCTCCCGAAACAACATTTTATAAATTCATAGTTTCTCACACCGATTTGATCAAAAGCAAAAATTGATTCAAGCAGTTGGGCGAAACAAGTGAATAACAAAGTGCTCGTTACATACCTAATCAAAAAATTAAATAGACATAATATACCGTTCATATACTATGAGAGGGTAAAATATAATTTGCAATATTAATGGATTACTTTTTTTAATCAACTAGTGATTAAATGTTTTATGAACATCTTCTAAAATTTATAATTATGTATCTTTAAAAAATTTCGTTATAGCCGAAATAGGCCCAATTATGCCCCACTAGCAAAACCGGTGATTAAAACTTTGCTCGCTACCGTAGTTGAAATAATCTATATAAAAGGTTTTTTAGCTGGAATAATAAAATGGTAATACAAGGTACACCTTCTGAAGATATCAAAATATTTACATTTTTATTTATAGAATTTTCACAAATTATACTTCCTGATATTTTAGAATAATTAAATAATACATTTTTCGTATACTCGTTATTTAAACCCGTGTATTTGTATATACTAGTTGTTTACGATATTCTCCGATAGTGGCGGCACCGGCGGAGGATGCACCAAGCCTATATTATGGTATAATATTGTTTAGAATTTTTAGTACATAACTTTGTTGTTAGTTTCTTCGTATCATACCTCATTGTCTCATTAATATGTATTACAATTGCTGTCCTCCATTCGCGAACTTCTGAAAGGAGCTGTGCGCGATAGCCTAGTGCCTCCATATGGCGCGAAACAGTTCTGGAACTTTATGACTCAGTTGAATGGAGTGAGAGTATCGCATTCTTGAACAGTTCAGAGCTGCACAACTGCGTGAATGGAGGACAGTAAATGTTGCAATTGAGACTGAATAAGGACAAAGGAAGAAGACAAAGTGAGTAGGTAGGTAAAACTAAATTTGTTTCAATGTAATAAATAATATCGTTAATAAATAAAGATTTTAATGACGAATAAATTACAATAAACAATTTAAAGAGCTTTCGAAGTGATATTCTAAAAGTAGCACAGCATCGTTATAAATTAATACTATAGTTTCAAGTAATTAAGGCTTATTTAATATTTTAAAAACTTTACTGCATCTTTGACAGTTCGAATCGTGTGTTTACTAACTCCTCGTCAGAGTCTAAAATGGGTAGAGTTGGATCCGTCTTGATATTCTCTTCTAACCACTTCAAATCATCGTCTTCAGAATTCCTGGGCGACCTTGACGTTTGTTTATGCATCCTTACTTTAACTCCGTATGCATCACTGACTAATTGTTCCTCCTCGTCATTTTCATCTCCAGTGTCAAGCAAAGGTACAAAAGCGTATCGCTGGTTATTATTAGTTGGGCGCCATAAGATCATGATTATTAACAGTATACATGAGAACAGTATGTGCCAAAACGCTGTCTCTAACCATATATTCTTCCATACAGTTAGGCATGCGGTAAAGCGATGAACTTTAAAACAATACACCATAAAAATAATGGAAGCTATTACAGAAAATATTAAAGTATTCGTGAAATGTCTATACAAAGATAACTTAGTCTCATTTGTCCTCAAACGTAGGGTTCTTCTTGTAGCAAACAAAGCTGAGAAGATCCACCAACAAATAGCAGAATCCAGCACTGCTAAAGGTACCGTAGCTATAAGGTCGTCGCGATACTTAACCTTAGTTATTCTTAAGTACGATTCGGAGGCTGCAAGTAAGAAATACAGCACTCCTACTCCTACAACTCGATGCAAGGTTGAACCTAGTCTAGGTTTGACAATTCCAAAACCCAAACTGATCACTATTACTAACATTCTGGCTAAAGTTCTTTTAGCGCATGATACCCATTCAGCAAAAATGATAGCTCCTTGAATTCTAATACCGGTATTATTTATGCTATGATACTCTGCATAAAAGGTAGCTTTTTCCAGCATACCCAACAAAATAACACCTGCTATCCAAAATTGGACTCTGAGTAAATCTCTCCATTGCAAAAAGGAAACTACTAACCACACTAATCCGAGGATGATGTAATATACGCACATACCGCCGTAAAACGGTAAGAGAGGCCAGTCTACAGCAGAGAGATACCCGTAATCGCTTTTAATTTCAAGGTGTGCATTAATAATGAATGATGATCCATTTGTTGTGAGTCCTAGACCGAAAACGTAGACTCCGTCCCGTTTAAATTCGTAGGATGGGTGCATACCCTCACCAGTAGTTCTGTTAGAAATTGTGAGATCATCTATGAAAATGTCGCCATTGCAAGAATGCTCTTGAACGGTATGCAATACCTTTGGGACTTTTGATGGCTTGTTACTTATTATCTAGAATAAAAAGAAAAAATCTGTACAATACCTAATTTTAAGCATTGAATTGATTAAGAAAGGAGTAAATTAACAAATATGTAACTTGACGAGACCAGCAACGGATCTCAGTATGGATGACTTACATCACTGAATGAAAGGAAATTAAGGAAATACTCGCCAATTTGCTGGTTTTGTTTTACTTTGAGTACTTAAGAAAGTGTTAATAATAATTAATATTGGACAATTTTTGGGAATATTTTGACAGACACAACTGTTCCTGCAAATTGCCTGTACCTGTGCCTGTACAGTGTAACACCTATGGTTTCAACAAGAGACAATATCCAATATATGACTGAAAAATAAACTACTTTTAGGTAAAAATAAACTATAAAAACTGTCACTTAATTTGCTGGACCGACTATACACATATATCCAGGTAATAGAAATCATGCCAGTGACAGTTAGTGTCTGTTATTTTATATCAAAAACTGATACTGAAATTAACTTTTCTGTCAATTTTAGTTATCATTTGTCAAAACGAGCCCTTCTTTTGTTGGGCGGACTTTACATTACCATATTTAGAAATGCATGTGGATATCTAATGAATTACTTACATTGTCAAGTTCCAAAAAAGTATCATCCGGAAGCCAACAAGGTGATTGAAGTATTATTAGAGTCACTGTCAACTTGGAATCAGGAATTTCTCTGTCACAATTAACTGAGAAATAAGACAATTTAAAATACTAGCAAATAGCCAAACAAATTAAATATTATTACTTACGTCTAATATACATTCTAGCTCCTTTAAATACATTGTGTTCAAGAAATATTGGTTTAGAATTCTGTAAAATAACAAGCCTAGAATAAACATAATATTATAAAACTATTGTCTTACCGTTTTAACTGAATAGTCCCATTTGGCTTCATCTGGCATAGCATTTATATAAATAAATAGAACCGAAAATACAACAAATTTGTACAGCGGCTTCATAATAACACCACGAACACTTTATACAACTTTAGGTTAATGCGTCTGGTAGATATCTTTCTAAACAAACACTTTATCATTTTTCATAATAAAGATAAAAATGGGGAAAAAGATTTGTATTACAAACCACAAATACAAAATACAAATCTTTATTTAACATATGATTGATGTCAATTTTCCCGGAAAATGAACGTCAGTTTTTATAAAAAAAATGTTGATAAATGAAAAAAAGGCGTGTTGATTGTATCGAAAAGAATCTGGAACTCTTATTTTACTTAAGCATTTAACAAATTAATAATTACCATAATTTGTTGCTGCCATGTTGCTGCTATATATATATTATAATCTGTATAATTTGAAATTGTACAATAATGAATATTTTACAGGTATTTTATTTTTTATTACAAAATTATTAAGACTGATAACAGATTTCTACAAAAAGTGGGGACTAGTGTAGAAACCTTTTTTTTTAGTACAGAGTCCTGTAATTTCAAAATTCAAATTATTATAGTTTCTCTCTGGTTTTACTTTTTGCTTTAATACAGAAAAAGCAGTAACGTAATTGATATTGTTCGTCAATTTGTTTTGAATTTTCTATAGAATTTTTTAAAATTGTTAAATTAATTAATCATTGTATTAATAATTTTATATAGACACCATCTATGTACTAATAGCGTTAGTTTTCACGGTTTCCATAATAGAAATCTATTTTTGACATGCGCTATGAAAACAATTGACAAATAAAAAGAGGACATTTGAGGTCAACAAAACACTATCCAGCTGTTCGAAGCTTCAAGCAGCTATTCAGCTGATGTTTGTTTTCAAGCAGGACACTGGTCCGTCTGGAGTGGTGCATTTTCTGCAGTGTTTTCGATCGAAAGTATTTTTAACTTGCTTTTTCCGATTGAGAATGTTTTTCGTTCCGCACACGATATTAATCTTGGCCGCGATCGAATGACGTAATAAGTAGGAGAATTTAAGGAAAACAAAGAACTTGCATTTTGCAAGTCAGAAGTTGTCAAATCTGGAAAGTAAGGGTTCTGATCGGGCTGCCAAAATAACTCTGGATAGTGATTCGTCGGGAGACGACGGTAAGTTACCTGTTCTCTACACCATTTTGCTTGGAATGTTTACCTGTATGCATTTTAAAAATCCTTCATTTTTAATTTGGATAATTTAGTGGTTTTGTTTTGTCTTTTCGTTTATTTGCACGAAGTTGTATTTCGTATAATGACAATGTTTATTTACGCATTTATAAAATGATCAGACAAAAGAATCACTATACACGTTTTTGTTTACAATAGAATGAAATAAAGAAAAACTTCAATTAACAAAACAGGTCATATAGATTGATTTCCTGGTTTGTCATACTTCAAATATTTGTTTTAGATACTAGTTTTTTAATCCTTGTTTTTTGTTGAAATCTCGGTTGCAAGGCAGGTGTAATTTAATGTTAAATATTTTATTATAACATAATACTTGATGTAGAAATTAAAAGAAAATACCTACAGTGTCATTAAAAAGTTTTGTAATCAAGTAGGATTTTCATGATGACAGGTAAATTATTTTGATTATAAAACTTTTTTTTTATTTTTGTATTCATTAATACTTACTGCTCTGCTTGTAAGTAATAAAAAAATATTATTGATAAACTGACATTGTCTTAACAAAATAAAACCTCAAAATATAATTTTCAAAATTGTTTATTTTCTTTTGATTTATATATTTATTGTTAATTTTTGGTTTAATATATCAAATAAATTTATTGATTTAAGGTGGTTGTGAACCTCCGCGTAAGAAAATCCGCAAGCAATCTGTTTCTGAAGTTAATATGCAGCAACAAGTCAGCAATGGTGTCATGGAAAATGGAGCCTCATGTTCCACCAACGGGCATGGCGATGGAAACATCAACGGCGTTAGTCTCAATCCTACAACTCAGGAAATTGTCAGAATCATAGGTCAATATTTGAACAATGAAGGACTTAGGTAATTGTAAAATCCAAGTGTCATTAACTAGTCAACTCAATTTTTACTCCTTTACCTTGCTTTAAACGGCTATCGCACACAGGATCTGGCAACTCTGCATTTGGATCTAATAATTTAAAATCGCGTAGTCCAGCCACATTTGTCATCATTTTACTTGTTAAAATACAGGTCACTGCTTTAGAAGAACAAGACTAGTAGTATAGGCTTGATGCATTTCAGTTGATTTTAAAAATTCCGACCGTAGCGCTCGGTGCGGCAGTAATTAGAAGCGCCCGACTAAAATATTTCACGCAGTCCCGTTACCGTTCATGTCGATCGCAATGAAATAATATTAAAATCGTGGCATTGTCATATTTAAGTATTTTAGTTTTTACTAGTGCAGTTATTGAAACTATAAAATACTCAGGTACGAGGTTGTGAAAAATTAAGTGAAAAAGAACCCGAACTGGGCGTCGCGTTGTGTTGTGGCAATTTAAAGCGTTACTAAAATTTCCGAAAAAATGTTAACATGTAAAGGAGGGTGTAATTACGTGGTTGTTGGGTGCAATAACATTTAATAACTCAACTCCATCTGGGAGAGTTGAGCTCAACTCTCTCAAAACAATTTTATAGCTTCAGAGCTTATCACACCAATTTGATCAAAAGCAAAAAATGGATTCAAGCAAGTGAGTAAACACTACATAATCAAAACATTAAATAGGCGTATACTATGAGAGAACGAAATATAATTTGCAATATTAATGGTATACTTTTTTTAATCAACTAGTGCTTAATTTTTTTATGAACATCTTTTAAAATTATAGTTATGTACCTTTAAAAAATTTCGTTATAGCCTAAATAGCCCCAGTTATGTCCCCACTTGCAAAACCTATTCCCTGCTGGCAAGCGAACCTTTGGGTCGGCGTTTACATGTATACAAGTGAGTCGTTATGGCAATCTAGTAACTCGGAGTGAGCAAAAATACGAAGTATTTATTACATAACTACTTAATCTGACGCTAGATTCCATGCGCTTGGGAAAATACTCGCCTTCTGTCTTTATTCAGTACATCTTATTTTACTAAGCGTCTTGACCGTACTCTTACGTACACATGAAAACCGGCACCCAAGACCAGAAATGCCGACCCTTGGTATACAAAACCCACTAGTAAAACTATGCTTGCTACCGTAATTGAACTCTTCTAAAATACAAGTTAAACCTTCTGAAGATATCACAATATTTACTTTTTTATTTTTATTTTTAGAATTTTCACAAATTATACTTCGTAACTTTTGGAATAATTCTAAAACAAATTTTTCTTGGATTCGCTAATTGAACCCCAGTATTTGTTTAGTCCGCTGCTGACAGTATCCTCCGATGGTAGCAGCACCGGCGGAGAATGCATCAAGCCTATATTATTATCTAAGGTTATAATGCAGTGTCCTGATTGATCAAATATTCATTACGCCATCTTTCAAGTCTAATGGCACAAAAATATAAGCAAAAGTAATTGAAAATGTTTGTTCTTGCAGTCGCACCTGTGATGTTTTAATGACTGAATCAGGCTGTCGTTTGGATCATCCCGCCGCTACAAAATTTAAACAGCATGTGATGGACGGTGATTGGTCTAAGGCCGACCATGACCTACAAGAACTGAAACCTATGTTGGGTCAAAACAATCGCATTTTGGTAAATAAAAAGAGAGTTTTATTTATTTTGTAGTTTTGTACCTGATTGGTATTTTTTATATTGTTGTCACATAAATTTTACAAGACTACGATAGAGAAGAATAATGCCAGAGAAATAAGTAAATCTGGATTTATAAAGTAAATAAACAAACTTTTAAACATAGTGCAATTATCTAAACTCCAAAGCTATTTACATGTTGGGGTGTGCATAAATTAGGTAAGGCCTTTATGAGGATTTTTTTAACCACAGCTTGGTCTCTCTTGATTCCCTCATAATTAATGGATGCCCCCTGTTTCTCTATAGCTTATATAGACTTATTTCTCTGGGAAAGAGATTAAAGAAAAATATTTTAAATGTTATGAATAAAACCAAGAGTGAGAGAGTGAGAGAGAGAGAGAGAGAGATAATTTTTGGGTTTATAACGATTTAAATTTTATTTTAAGGGAATTTTTATTAAAAAACGGCTATCTAAATCAATAGCAGTTTTGGAATACAAAAGGAACTTAAAGAAAAATAAGTTGGTTTAATCAAAGGTGAAAACGATGCTGTTTATTAGAGATTATTCTTTATTTAGGATATGAAGTTTTTGCTTCTGGAGCAGAAATACTTAGAATATCTAGAAGATGGTAGAGTCTTGGAAGCCCTTCATGTTCTTCGAAACGAGTTGACGCCTCTACAGCATAACACAAATAGAGTTCACCAGTTGTCAAGTTATATGATGTGTTCAAGTATACAAGAATTACATGAAAGGACTCAATGGTAAATCTAGCTTAGTGTCGTGATATTTTTGTTTATTTCAAATACTTACAGATGAATATGAGTTTAGATTTATTAATATATATTTCTAAATTGTTAAGGTCTTAAGTCAGTATCAAGTGTCTTAACATACTTTAAACTGTGTTAAAACAGTACCAAAAGCTATGAGACAATCTCAAGTTCCTTGGGATTGTTCAAAGCGACTATATTTTAATTCTTAAATTTCTTGTTAGGAAAGGAAAAGGCGAAGAATCTCGAACCGCCCTTATGGAGAAACTTCAGACTTTTCTTCCACCCAATGTAATGCTGCCGCCTAGCAGACTGTGCCATCTCCTTTCTCAAGCCTTAGAATTACAAAGCAATCGTTGTAGACACCATAATAACAAAGAAGTAGTCTCTATGCACAATACTTCTTTGTTAGTGGACCACTGTTGTTCCAAAGATGACTTTCCAGCTCATACTATTCAGGTGAGGCAAATTCTTCATCTTATATATCTTTCTAATTTTGTAAGGATTTCTAAATCCTATTTGCACTAAGAATGTTTATTTATGTATTATAATTTGTTTTGTTTATAAGGTACTAAATGACCATTGCGACGAAGTGTGGTACTGCGAATTTTCACCGGACGGTACGAAGTTAGCTACAGGTTCCAAGGACAACAACGTAATCATTTGGGACGTTCATCCCGAAACCTGTACTTTAAGTTTAAGAAAAATATTAGAAGGACACAGTTATGGTGAGTTTATTCTACATAAATTTGAGTAAAAATTATCACAGAATTACCTAACTATACAGAAGCGATACAGGCGATTTAAATGAGACAAAGCTGTCACTAGGGTTGCCACCTGTTTGCAAACCGCCGAATATAAATCGCTACTTCAAATTTAAAAAGCTCTTTTTAAGATCAAAATGGTAAAAAATAAAGCCTAAAAAAACTATCATTAATAAATAATATTTTCTTGCCTTTAGTTGTGTATTTTTTTCTAATTTCGAAAAATCGAAAGTAGAGAAAAAAAAATAAAGAGTAAAAAGAAAATTGTCTTGCTTGTCGTAAAGGGGGGAACCAAGCTCCACTCCCCACAACCGGTTTCTGGGCCTACCCTTCATCAGTTGGGCTGTCCAGGGGCTGGTTCTCACCGATACGGCAAGCAAAACCTTTTCAATATCAATAGACGATGTAGTAAAGTGTCGGTGAGTCGGTTTTTGACGGCACATCTCCCGTCAAAAGATGGTAAAGAGCGTTTTTCGGTCCGCTCAAATATTATGAAATGAACAAAATTCTTACAGCTTTAGTGTATATTAATAAATAATATTTTCTTGCCTTTAGCTGTGTATTTTTTCTAGAAAACTTCCATTAGATAATGGTAGTTTCTTACATTGTAGAGATATGTCGTGAGTTGAAATGTAACAAAATACATTTGTAATTTTTTGTAGGTGCAGCATACATATCATGGAACCCAGACTCAAAACATCTGATAGCCTGCGGACCAGAAGAGAGTCCCGAGGTGTGGTTGTGGGACATAGAGACTGAGAAATTTTTAAAAGTATCCCAATCACCTGAAGATGCCTTAACTTGCTGCGCTTGGAACAAAGATGGCACTAAGTTTGTGGTAAGTAAAATAATTTTCTTACAATAAATTGCAAGATGATATAGCCTTATGGAATAAAAAGATGCCTCAAAGGGGTTTCAGTGACCGGTAGATCAGTGGTTGTTATAACTAGTGATGGGAAAAACCGATTAATTTCAATAATCGAGTACTCGGGTATCAAGCGATTGCAATAACCGAGTGATCGCTCGAGCGAAATATCACTCGTATTTAAAAATATGGTTTTCACCCGCCGCATGTTGTAAGTACTCGTTGACGCCAACCGCCAAGCAGTAAGTTGCGTGCGCAGGGCACATATTCTTTCGGTAATGAACGGCAAGTAGTAAGCGGCGAGCAATTCGCTTGATCGCTTGATTTTAGATATTTAGTTTATTTGGAAGCATTGTCGATGTAGGTCGTAAAATTTTATCCCTCAGATACGCAACGGATAAATATACCGGGTGCATCTCAAAAGTGGCTCACCCCTATAACTTTTTTATGCGGTTCATTACGACAATATGACTCGAAGTACGAAGTGTGTGGTATCAAATTATTCGTAAAAAAATTCTTTTTCAAAATATGCTAATGAGCCACCCTCGTTCCATTTGAAAAAAAATTGAGATATGATCAAAAATACGATTTGGGCATCTTTTAACTGGCCAGGACAAGACACTAAAAACGTTAGACGATCAAATCTATTTTTCCAAGGCTCCTTGATTAAAAATTGGCACTCTAGATTGAAATTTAAAATACAATTATTTGTTTTTGAGCGAATATCAAATGGCACCGAATTAATGGCACAATTAAATGGCACCGAGGGTGCCATTTAAAACTCAAAAGTTGTAGTCATTTCCGGTGAAACAGGAAGTGACAGAAAACAATTCAATACGTCAATCAATCCTAATTTATGTCATATACTAACATACCAAATCTCATTTTTTTATCTAAAAAAATAAAAAAAATTATAGGGGTGAGCCACTTTTGAGACGCACCCGGTATATCCGGCGTCGTATAAATTTGCTACCTGCAATGTATGTAGAAAATTCGCTAGGCTTTTTATCGAGTATGTCACATTAAAATCGGATTTCAATTTATTTCATTCTAGGACTTGGTACTCGTCACTTGCATCGTTCATTCATAATCGAGCGATGTCGGTTATTTCAATAATCGAGTACTCGAGCGAATTTTCGCTCGAGTTATCCCATCACTAGTTATAAGTTATAACGAATGAATTAGAATAAATATGATTTTTTGGTGTAGGTTGGTGGAGTTAGGGGCCATTTCTACCAGTGCGATATGGAAGGTAACGTTCTCGATTCGTGGGAGGGTGTTCGCGTAAATGGTCTTTGGTGTCGCAAAGACGGCAAGACCGTCTTGGCTTCTGATTCCCACCATAGGATTCGAGCCTACGTTTTCGAGGAGCTTGCAGATCAGCAAATGTGAGTTTATATCATTTAATTCCGTTTTTATCTTGTTATTTTTATTTACGTTTAATACAAGAATTGGACAATCCAAAATAAATTGCAATATATTATACATATAGTGCGATAATATTATACATAAGAGTGCAAAAATGACCATTGCATCATCATACTGAATATTCAAATGACCTAAGAAACGAAAGTATCTTTCCATCAAAATTATCCGTTTTTGGAAACTTCCCACTCGCTTCGTTCGTAAATGCTGCGTATAAAATCGGGCGGGAAAATTTTTCTATGTTTGATCGAGATATTTGACCTAAGACTTTGAATAAGAAGACTAAGGAAGGAGCATATCAAAAATCTTGCGTCCACCGCGATGGGCCTCAAATATGGCCGACTTAAATTCCCGTTTATCAGTGGCGTTCTAATTTTATTTAAAAAATGTAAAACTATGATGTAGGGTAGACGTGGGGCAGACTCAATAATTTGTTGTTTTATTTTACGTTGTGAATAAATGTTGGTAGTTATTAAAATTGTTATAATAATATATAATTCTAATAAAAATAGATAAGTTATAATAAGTATTTATTAACACAAACATCCGATACGCTACTGAAGCAGGTAAGTCAAATTAACGTATCTAAATTCTTTGACATCTGATCTTTGACAAGTAGTAAATAAAAGCTAAAATGCAAGAAAAATATATCATTTAGTTAATTTAAGTGAATTTCATAAATGATCAGTTTACTACACGTATGTATAGTCACTTACTAGCGAAAAGTTGTTCCATTATTTCACTCGATTTTTGCCGAGATCTACCGCACGCTACACAACCAACTATTTTAGAGTCTTTTTCGATAAATCGCGATAGTGTCACTGTTAACTTAAGTTCTGCCACAATTTCCATCTAGATTTACTACCTTTATACAACTATCAGTAGTAGAATAAATAATAAATAACATAAAATAAGCTCCGTAAAGACTGACAAATCCACAAAATTTCAAATCAAATTCAAATGTGTCAAATGAATCGTCAAACAGAACTATCAAGGATCCCCACTGTCACGCGTTTTGGCTTTAGCTCGGCTCTTTTAAATTTAAAAAAAAATAGAAAAAAAAATTTAGAAAAAAAAGTAAAAAAATTACGAAAAAAAAAATATTATTAAGTTAGCGATTAAATAAAAAAAATATATTTATGGAATTTGCAGGGGTCTAGTCGCGAACAAATTTATGCCCTAGCTCAGAAAATTCGGAGAGTAGGGGCGGGTTAAGATCGCCACTGACTTTAGACGGAAAAAAGTCAGAAATCCCCCAAGGTGTATTTAGGGCCTTACAAGTTCCACAAATACATAAATAAAAAAAATAAATAAACAAAAAAGTCAAGATCTTAGAGAATTATGTAGAAATAGGGCCAAAGGAAATATAAGAATAATAAAAGCAACTGATTAGTTTCAGTACCCTGTATTGAAATATAAAAAGTAAATATAGGAAACAGTAAATAGAAAATACCAAATAGCAATTAATAAATTAAATAAATCAATAAAAAAAATTGTGCACTAAGAAAAATATATCACAATACGCCAGTAGCAAAATTACGTAAATACCTAGGTACCTTTCGTGATCACGTAAGATTTACAAAAAAATATATGTATAAATCAGCGCAACTAAATTCAGATAATATATCAAATTAATCAACAAAGTAATAAATGAAATAGATAATAACAAGCTAATTCATTAATATTAATAAGTAATAATATAATTATTAAATAAATAAAATAATGAACTAATAGTTACAAAAAAAGAAATTCAGATATCGATTAAAAAAAAAATGAATAGATTTAACTATAGACAAAAAGAAACTGTCAGCAGTATTAAATTTACAAAAAAAATTAAATAGAGAAAAAAAATGAAATATTATTTTATCAACAGAATTGTGTATGTGAAAATTTATTCTAATTATACCGTATGATCGAAAAAAAACGGCGTCCAGTTGGCTGGGAAATGACGATCGATGACATTTCCCATATAAATTTACATATAAAATGATAGCGATCTTCATTTCCTAGCCAACTGGACGCCGTTTTTTCTCGATCATACGGTATTATAATGTTAAGAAAAAAATTATCTACGATCAGTATTTGTAGGCACCATCAAAATTTAATTCGTGAAATAGAAAAAAACAAAAATTGAATTGTACGATACCAAATAGTTAAAAATCTTCTAAATTAACATCTGACTTAGGCAGACACCGTCGGCTGTCAACTGTCAACCGTCGAAACTGTCAACTCCTCCAGAAAATCAAAATGGATACGGCAAAAAAACTGCTCCAACAAAAAAACTGGCTCACAGAAAAGTCTTCAACACAGAAGAAAAAAAACTTCTTCGGTCCAGACAATAAAACTTCTCCGGCCCAGACAAAAAAACTTCTTTGACCCAGACGAAAAAAACTCTACGGAGAAATAATATTATAGTTTCTCCATAATACGAGATACCATAAAAAAGATAGTTTTTTTAAAGAAGAAAAAAAAATGGAAAGAAATGTATTAATATATAAAAAAATAGGCTTTACCTGCTAACTCAGGGTTTTCTACGAATCCTCAGGTGGTTAAAATTAGTTCTTCCCCTAGATGGAATGGGGTGCTCGATGAGAAAGAAAAAAAAGGCGGGCTGCTTGGTTGACCCACGTCAGCTTTTTGAGGCGAAAATCCCGTCACAGGTAAACTGTAGCACCGTCCAAAAAAACAAAAGGCAAGATAGGGTGCTGCAGTAATTTTTGAGGCACACTCGAAAATCCCCACAAGGGTAAAAATCAAAAACTTAAAAAAATACCGAGAGGCCTCTGTACCTCACACTAGCTGAACATAAAGTGACCAAACCAAGATAGTTCCAAGAAAAACGAAAACCTTTTTTGCGACAAAGAAATAGCCAGATAAAAACACGAGCCCTTGATAAAATATGGATTGCCAACCATGAGCTAAATAAAGACATGAAGAAAAAGTTATATGTTAAAGGAAAATAAAGTTAATATCAATAATTTATATAATTAATAGAAGAAATAAAATTAACGAGATTAATGAAAGTTATATAGAAATTTGCTTATCAAAACATTCAAAAATTAATAAATAACAACCATCTAGAAATATTGCCCATGACTCACTTGCCGGATCGATATGATATCTTTACTAAGACAATTATGCTTAGAAAATTTTACTTAAAAATTAAAATAGAACAACATAAATTTAATGAGTTTAACTAAGCGACAATAGGCTCAATAATTACTGTTGATTAAATAAAATATAAAAATATATAATCAGTTTATTAAAGTAAATTTTGGGTTGCCTATAGTTAATGTTAATAAAAATATAAATAAATATTTGACGGTCCAGTTCAAAAATTTCTAACCTACGTATTTAGTCAATAAACAGAATTAACGGCGAAAAGAATTATTTTATCTATTTCGGCTAAAATAAATATTATATTGTATTAAATCGAACTAGTTTTGTGCTGCAAAAAAATGTTATTAAGTGTGAAATAAATTTAGTTAAAAATAAGGATGGAATAATTACTTTTGTTGACATATAAGTACGATTTATTTATTCTTGGTTTACTGAATTGAACTGATCGATATTTCAAACTAATAATAATATCTACTAACGTTAAATTATTGAGAAAAATAAATAAAATAGTCTAGTGAAATTTTGGCATGTTACACCACCCTAGAGTCCTTTTTCCGCCCACCATGAATGAATACATGGATAGCATTATGGTCCTTCCTTAGTCTTCTTATTCAAAGGCCTAAGACTATAAATTAGAAAGTTGTGTCAGTCTCTCTAACAAATTTAAATATCAGGTCCGCATTTACCCGAGCATGTACCTTATGATCGAAAAAAGGCGGCGTCCATTTGGCTTGGAAATGACGATCAAGGACATTATAATTTTACATATAAAATGACAGCGATCTTCATTTCATAGCCATCGCTGACGCCGTTTTTTTTTCGATCATATTTGATCGAATTCATACATCGATCAATCTTTCATGAATCGGAGTATAGGATTTCAATAGACGGCATTCAAAAAAATTCAAGAAAACAATGTACTTTTGAATGAAATCGACAGACAACTGTCACAAATTCCAAATATTTATTCACTGGACAGACTATATAAAAATGGATGTTTTAGTTCAGAAATTTTACACGATACATTAAATGTATATTTGAACTACTTTTTAGAATGTTGTAGATATTGATTCAGTATTAAAACTAAAATAATTTCTGACACAACATTTAAATCAGAAGTATCAATGACCATTATCAAGTGTAAACTAATCTAAATCCTGAAACTACTGAGCAGTGCATTTATCAGTGAAAAAGTTGGGTGCAATCAAGATTGAGGTTGTCGACTGAGAATATCAACATTAATAGTTAAACGGATTTGCATCAAAATGGTTACTCTGCAAGTCCCTCGACAGGACTATATCCAATTGCAAGTAAGATGCTCTGTCTCTTGACGATTCCATGTTTGAAAGGACCTTTGGAGAGGATCAGGCCAATAGCCAAGCAGTTTAAAATTAAAACTGTTTTAAGTCTAGGACTACTCTAAGAAGTTTCTTAACAAAAATATTGGAGATACTAAACATCCCCTAGATGTGCGAGTTGACGAACATAAAAATCATATGCAAAGAGGTGAGATAATGAAGTCAGGTATTGTAGATCATGTGTGGTCCAAGCACCACAGCATAAAATGGTCGAAAGACCGGAGTGTCCACAAGGAACCAGTGGCGGCTCGTCAGGGTAGGCAAGGTAGGCGGCGCCTACCCTAACATTTTGGCAGAATTTAAGCGGTTTATTACATTACATTATTTACTATTAATGTTGCCAATACATAAAAATACTGTTAATACACGGAAGTGTGTTGTATTAATCAATATTATTTTAATATTTGTGGTCTTGTATATTAAAATATTCACTACCGCTGGTGTACACTGACTGTGCCGTTGCGTTAGAAAACAAAATAATTTTGACCGTTGGAGTACTGCAAACGCCTTGGTTCGGCGATTTCTACATCGCTTACTATCAGAGTCGATGCACGACGTACGGCAGTCTTCTGTCTCTATCTAACTAATCGTGCGGTAGCGACGCGACGTAAGTTACCCGTATTAAGGCGGACCGTATTAAGGCGGGACTTAGGCGAAATCTCCGGTCGCCTTCGCATGAAGTCGTGGAGTCTCGGTAGGCTTAGAAGTTAAGGGGATATTCCCGATATTTCATAAGGGGATATATCACATTTCGTTAGGGGATATTTCATATGATTCATTACACGTAGCATTTATAACTTTTATATGAAAATTTAAAAAACGTTTAAAACAAATTGAAAACCTTATTCAAAATGATATAACCGGTTGTATTTCAGAACACGCCACGAAATAAAAGAGCGCGTTATTTTATTCGGTGCAAGAAGACGATACAACAGGTATTACAGAAAAGCCTCAGTGTGCTAATTCAATTCGATATGTTAATAAATGTTATTTTATGAAATAACATTGTTATATTCTCTGCTCTAATATATTAAGCTAAGTAGTTTTAGGATTTAGATTAGTTCAAACTTGATGATGGTCAGTGTGACTTTTGACCGAAACATTGTATTGTATATGTAAAATAAATAAAGTCAATGGAATACTTTTAGTTTTAATTTTTAGTTTTTTTTTTGAAACATATTCCAGTGATAAATGCACGTCCCTGATGAATATATCGACACTTTTTTAGCATTAAAATATGTAGCACTTATAATAACTTTTACCCTCAAAATTTCATTTGAATCACTAAAAGTACCTGGAAGAAAATTATAATAAATCGAAAGATTATTAAGACAACAGCCTGTAGTTACGAAACAAAGCAGAATCGGACCTATGCTGATATGAAAAATAAATCTTATTTTTACGTGAGGAATCTCCCCACGAGCGATGGCACATGTTTTTTGAAACACCACGTTAATACTGTCTGTATATATCAATTTATGTAATTGACAGACTGCAAGAGGACCACCCCATCATGACGTTCACCGTTGACAAGAACGACCGCTTGGCGTTGCTGAACGTGGCGACGCAGGGTGTTCATTTGTGGGACTTGAACGACAAGTGCTTGGTAAGACGGTATCAGGGCGTCACCCAGGGTCACTTCACGATACACTCCACGTTCGGAGGGTGCAACCAAGATTTCATAGCGAGCGGCAGCGAGGATAATCAGGTAATTGTACATTTGAACTACTGAGATAAATTATAGAAGTGTTGGTAACAATCCAGTATTTTATCATATTTTTATAATTATGAATAATTAATCTTTGTATACTTTTGTATATGTTAACCGTATTTTTTTCCAATTATTTCCATTTTATAAAAAAATATTAAAAATCTAAAATTCCTAGTAATGGTCTTCTCTGACGTCTCATACCATCGGAAATTTCAGCAGTGATCACTAAGGCCCGACCGAACCTGTAGTCTCAATATAATAATATTTAATAGTATATTATATGAGAAACATCTGATATAATGTAATAAAAACGTTATTTTCATGTAGAAACGGTTTTATTTGGGATTTAATACTATAAAATTACTAATTCTAATAAAATTGCTTCTTTTATTCTATATTATAGGCTAAAAAGGTAAATTTTCAGCATTGCATACTTTCAAATTATGCAATGTTTCATCATATTCTTTCTAAATAGCTGTTTGTTAGAGAGGCTTGTTGGTGGTGCAGACTATAAATTTAAAAGCTGCTGGTTTCGGAACTCTGTATGGAGGTGAATAATTACATAATTACACACAATTGTTACTTATTAGTAGGATATAAAAGCACAATTCTGTTAAATTTATAAAACATACATTAATAAGACACTAACATCTAACATTTCGTTCATTGTTTACGCATCGAAATACGAAGGCGATTCTTCAGCCGTCCGGGATATCCTCTTCGTGATTCGACTATATCATATATAGATCAGATATGATCCATTCCTTTTTTTTTTCGACTTCGGACGTGTATTTCATTCATCCAGGCATCGATAGGTAGAGCGATACGCTCAAAAATAATTTTACGATCGTGACCAGTCTCGGTTGCCGATAAGTTCGGCCTTTTTTTGCCGAGAACGAGACCGAGATCTCTGTCGGACCTTAGTGATCACCACACTTTGGCATAGAATAACCTTAATACTAATAATTTACATATTACGATTTAAATTATTGTTTATCAAGAGAAAGTATTAAAATAAGGATTAATGTGGCAGTTACATAAATACAATATTAAAAAACTAATAATAAAATTTAAAATGTTTTTTATCGCATTATGACAGTTAAGTTTTACCACTCGAATTTTTACAATTGTTGCATCACACAAATTTCGTACCTAAGAATTTTATAGTTTCAATAACTGCAATATTATTAGTATTGTAAAAACCAAAATACTTGAACATTGTCATAGGCACGATTTGAATATTATTTCAATAGGTATCAACGTGAACGGTAACCGGGACGGCGGCGGCGCGGCGGCGTGAAAAAAGTTATCCACACAGTTCTGATTTTTGCCGTACATAGCGCTGCTGTCCGAAATTTCAAAAATCGATTGAAATGAACCAAGCCTATAGAACATTAGTAAAGACCTTGATTATAATCATTATCATCTTTATATTATGCTTTCAGGTATACATCTGGCACATCCGAAACGAGATGCCGATCGCCACGCTGCCCGGCCATACCCGCACGGTGAACTGCGTGGCGTGGAACCCCGTCCACTCCCACATGCTAGTCTCTGTATCGGACGACTGCAGCGTGCGCGTGTGGGGCCCCAAAGACAGACTACCAAAGCCCACAGGCGTTAGCTAATATAGCCTTGAAGGACGAACCACAAAGGAGGCGACTGCGCGTCGTACCATGAATCAAGTACATGGCCTGTATTTATTCGTTTATTACATTTAATTTTTGTGTTCAGAGACCGGAATCCCAAGCATTAAAGTAGGTATGGTAGGGTCAGATTTATGGGAGGCGTCTAACGTTGAAATTTAATTGAAGGCATCGAATTTAAGGGGCACACCTAGTGTAACAGCCTAAAAAAGGCGATTTTTGGAAATTAAAAAAAAAACACCTAGTGTAACAGCCTAAAAAAGGCGATTTTTGGAAATTAAAAAAAACAATCAATTGTTTTAAAATTTTAAGGGTATATTTATACATTTTTAACAGTATACAGTATAATTTTTGAAGAAAAAAATTAAATAATTTTCGACTTACACGCGATCTCTGACTAAAAAAAGGTACTGTTAAAAGGATGAAACCTAAAAAAAATATCGTTAAACTAGAAGATGTCCGTACAATGACCTACGATCGAAAAAAAATAATCAAAATGTGAAAAATGGCGTTTTTTTTAAAGTTGAATTTTACCCAAAATTTTAGTCGTTTTTGGCATGCTAAAATTCGATTTTTTATCAGATCAAAAAACTGGTAGGTCGTATGGAGAACTATATACAGAACATGCAGAAAAAAAATGATAGAGATCGGATCATTTGTTTCCGAGTAATCACTGCAGAAAATTCGAAAAACGCAGTTTCGAGAAAAACGCGTTTAAAGATAAAATGATAGTTTTTACTGTTATAAATGGATTAAAATCAAACTTACAGCTAATCTGCTATTCCAGACCCATATAATTCACCTTCCTCTTCCTTAAAAAGTGCTTGTTGAGCTGAAGAAGCTCTTCTTCGAGATGATCGACCCTCTTTTGAACCAGCCCGTTGGCGATGATCAGCGATTCGTAGTGTCGTCTCGTCACTCCCATTACATTAAATATCTTCAAAATTGATAAATAACCGTCATTAAATATTGAAGTTGCAAAATAATTTGATAATTCGATAGTTTTAAAGCCATTGTGCTTTGGTGAAAAGTGCCAAAGTAAACCATTGTAACTCTCATTGTTTTGAGTATTACTACCTTTACATCTATCAAGCAATTCATGTCGAGATAAGTCTTCATAAATAGGTTTTAGAGCTTCTTCTTCAACTTCTGGATCTAGATAAACTTGGCGATACCTCGAAAGGATTTCAATATGGCTGTTTAATTGTTCCTGACAAGTAGTAATAAATGCTAGAGTAAAAACAAAATTCGTTCACCCTAGAGGAATTTCTCATTTGACTTGTTTATTACTCACAAGATTATTATATAATTATTAACTAGGTGAAAAGAGTTTATTTCTTACGCTTTTAGTCTGTGAACGATTGCATGCAATTGAAAAAAGTAACAATTTTTGAAGTCTGTAAGTTATACAGTAATCTGACAGTGGCTCAGATCCTGACACAATGTATTTACATATTTATACACTGCATAAAATCAGTTATAGAATAAACAAGCAATACAAAATAAACGCAGAAAATCGCTACATAACTCATCAATAAAATTTCTAATTTGTCTCGAGGAAAGTTAAAACAAAAAAGAACAAGATCAACAAGATCTGTATTCCGAAAACTAACAAATCGAATCTTGAATTAACATCTTGATGCTTAGTATTGTTAAAAGTCGAATTTTATAATTTGCCGCCATGACAATTGTGACTTTCAACAAACTAAACCAAACCAACCTAATTTTTATATTATTTTTTCAATGTCATATGCCTCTCAAAATTGACTCTACTATATTTTAGATTGTATAAGATTTGTTTTCTGACTAAAGAATTTCGAAAGACCATTATTATATATATTATGCTAATATTTAAGAGGACGAATTTAGCGTTTAGATTGGCGTTGTTAGATATTTGTTTTTATTCAGATCTCATAGTCAACAAAATGTTTTTTTTGTCTTGATGTCAAAAACGATCCACTTTAACATTGAATAGAAGAAAGAAGGAAAGATAATTTTCAGTTCAATTCAATTTCAACAAAGGGTTGATCAAAAAACGTTGTTGTTCAGTTGTTTTTAACATGTTAAAATGTAAAGTAGAGTTATAAACATATCATCAAATTTCATAGGTTTGTTTTACCATGGGTCAGTAAATGTAAATAACAAAACCAATTCAAAACAATATATAATAAATAAATAAATTGATGTAATTATTTAATACCAAAAAATAAATTCGCTACTGGAATAACTAAATAAAAGTCATACAATTGTAACATATCTTAATTACTCTTGTCAAGCAGTAAATGCCATAATGAAAAAATGTTAACAGCTGAAGTACTGCCATGTCATTATTCATTGAAGTTAAATAAAGAAATAGAATTTTATCAAACCTTGTTTTCTTTTTTCTGTAGATATTTAAAGTAGGGCGTTTTTGACAGGTTCCACATACATTTTGTTGTAGATTACTATTTTTTTAATTGTTCTCTAAATCTCGATAGTCATTTTAATAATTATCTGACTGTATAATATGCTGTACAGATGAGAGTCATTGACATTCAGATAGATAAACTCAATCCCCAATACATAAACAAGAGTGCATTTGAAAATATATCAAATGAGATATTTTATCACAGTTATATATCACATGATTACTGTTAATTTATTAGCAAAGCTTTATACAAGGTGAGTCTGCATGTAAAGTAACACTGAAGGTTCAAAAAAACTACTAATATGTATTTTTTGAGTATTATAACTATTACTACCTCTCAAAGAACCAAAAAAGTGAAGGGTATTGTTGTTTATATACAGGGTCGATAAAGAATTATATTAGCAGTTTTTTGACATTGTACATGTCAGTTATGCTATGGGAATATAGCATAATAGATACTGTGGCAAAATATAGGTTAATATGGCTACGCGCATCTGACATTTTCTCGTACTATCTTGACCTCGCACCAAAGTAGTGCAGGGTGGCCGTTTCGTACATTATATACATTACAAATTTTTTTAGCCACGTTCAATAAAAATTTCATTCGCCAGGTGAAATAACGAAATAACTGTAAAATAATGTTAAAAGAACACTTTTTGAAAAGTGAAACCAGAATCGGATTTTTTTAAAAAGCTAAAGATAAATCTAAAACAAAAACTGACAGATTATTAATCTAGTTTTTGATCAAAAGTTCTTAAACGATCAGAATACCTAAAATATATTCATATCTCAAAGTGCTGAATGTATGTTTATTACACATAGTTCCAAAAATATTTCCAAATTTAATTAAAAATAAACTGGTAGAATGAATGTTCACTATTATAGCCACTTAATATATACTGCTCTGAGATGGTATTTTTTTAATGTCAGAAATTTTATTTTTTTTACTTTAGATCTGCCATTTCCGAAAATAGTTACACTTGTATAAGAAACCCCCTGTCGCGTCCGCCCCATTGAACCCCGACGCTCAGCGGACGCTAGCGCAACGGCAAACGCGACGCTGTCTGCCTGAACGGTCTAATTTAAGTTAAGTGAATTGATTCCATTTCGACACGCAAACGCGACGAGACGCTCGACGCTCTCAGCTTGAATGTTCCTTAATAATTGTAGAAGATTGCTAATTAATATTCCAGATCAAGAACCCATAGATAACCCTAGCATTACATGTAGATCACTTTGTACTTGTAATAAACTATCCTAAGTTATTCTAGGGTTAGCTTTGAAGTCTCAAGACATTCAAATTTAAGGGTCGTATTTATAGTCGTGTCTCAAGACCTCTTCTCGGAAAAGACCGACAAAAATAACAGGCTTAAGCCTCGTATTTGCAGTCGATCTTTGTCGAGAGTAGGTCTTGAGACACGTCTATAAGTACGAGCCTAAATTCCTTCGATAAACTAGTTAAAAAGCGAAACAATATTAACACATCTGTGGTTTTGCTAAGATTTTTCAATTAGCATCTTCGTAAAATACCGCAACTTTTAGGCCAATAAGCGTCTAAAGTGTTTTTAGTGTAATAAAAAACGCAATATTAATTGTTACCTCGTAAGATAACGTAGTTTTTTGAAATCATTTTCATTTTAAAATAATTGTAATAGGTCTGATTAACGATGACGTCATGAGGTATGCAACTAACCATCGCTTGCGTCTAGCCGTACCGTGCAACTCGCCAACTCCAACCCACAGTTCCCGTCAAATTTAAATCGTGGGTTATTTTCTTGTCTTTTATTATAAACGTATAACTTTTGAGAGTAAGTTCTTAAGTAATAGTAGCATAATTTAACTTAAATTTCAAAAACGTACAAATTATAATAACATATTATAACAGTTCTACAAAATCGATCGAGTATTTCGCGTGCAATCTATAAACAAAAAAAAAACTTACACCAGAGACTAACCAACGCAATCAAAATACGCTGTTGGTGTATTTTGATTGGGTTGGTTAGGCGTATGTTTTTTAGGTTAGGCGTTGGTTTATTAGGCAAAATATATACAACCTTTAAATGAAGAACACATATAGACTAAATTACTTCAATTTTGTCTTCGTCAGCAGTCCGCGTGGTATTAGTTGCATACTGACTCACGTCACAATAATCGTATCTATCGAATTTGTGCTCTTAAAACTTTGTAATTATTTTACAATGAAATAGATCTTCTAAGAATTCGCTCGAAGTGAAAGAGAAACGCTGTACTGAAAAAGTTATTTTTCTAATCGCCAATGTATTTCTAATATACTTTCTTCTTAAAATACCACAAGTTGGTTTTTACAATGTTATTTATATTGTATGGTTTTTAATAAATTTAATTAAGTAGATTAGTTAAATTAAGCACAATTTTGATTTCAACCTTGCTCTAGCTCTACAATAGTCACCGGTCGTTTGTAACATTTGAAGGGTCCAGGGAAAAAAGTTGATAAGCGCCAATTTTTTAATTTTAGGATTTTAAATAATCTAGTAGGTCTGGTCCTTACAACATGTATACACTCTGCAGGGCAGTAAGTTGTTAAATCCTATGATATATGTTTAGTAAAAATATAGAATACACGGAAAGAACCTGATACCCACCAACCATTCAGTGCTCTCCTGAGAAATTAGCAAAATGGCGCTTATCATGTTTTCCTCTGGACCCTTCATTTATAATCATCATAATTACATACTATACGTGTTCTATACACGAATAGGATGTAATTGTGATGCATTTTGAGTGACATGTATATACAGGGTGTTCCATAATGACATGCTAATATTTAAGGGGGTGATCCATAACCCCCTTAAATATTAGTATGTCATTAAGGATCGCCCTGTATAATAAATATCACACCGTTTTTATTTACAACTACTGCTAAATTCGAGTGAACAACCGTAGGTTACGGTTGACAGATAAACAATGCTTTAAACGTCAGTTGTCTACCGATTAGTTGACAACGGACGTTTAAAGCATTGTTTATCTGTCAACCATAGCCAACAGTTGTTAGTTCGAAATTGGCTAATTATACTTTTAAATTGCCTTAAATATACAGTGTGATCAAATAAAAACAATTTCTCTAGCATAAGAAAATTAATGTAGAACAAGCAAAGTTGAAATTAGAATGTCAACAAAATCTACTAAATTAGATTTATGATCATGTATATATACGTGGATATCATTCCAGAATATACTTTTTAAGTTTGCAAACTGAATTTTGTTAAACGATATTTATATTTTTAAGTAAAATAAATCTACTTTAGGTGTTTTGACGTGAAATTTTTGATCGTTTTTTTTCTCGGTTATAATGGGTTATAAAAAATATGATTATTTGTATAACTATATACTTATATATATTTTAAGAGGATTAATTTAATAATAAAATGTTTTTATGTGTGTGTGACAAATAAATTATATTAAAAATATATGAAGAAATTCAGATAGATACTTGTTTATTATTAATAATTTTCACCGGTTTTTGATATAATATTACTGTGTTTATGTCTTAAAAAATAATTGTCATTTTACAGCGCTTTCAGATGGATACTTATTTGAAAGATTATACATACAGGATAGGATACTTGCCCGAAGTCGCGAACGCTCCGTTGCGGACGGTCCGTCGTGTTTTTTCAAGATAGCCGTCGGACGAACTCCGTCCGACGGAGCATACGCGACCATGTGAAATTATACATATAAACTCATGGTACTTGCTCGAAGGCGCGGACGCTCCGTCGCGGACGGTCCGCTCCATCTGAAAGCGCTGTTAGAGGGAATATAAAATAAAAAATATATATTTTACGTTTATCTTAAAAAATTAGTATATTGTAAATATATAAAAATAGATTCATAAAAAATAAATATGTAAAAAGATATCTTATAATAATACAAGGAATTAGCTTTTTATGTGGTAGAAAATATTTGAAAAAACTCATGTTAAACTTATATTTTCATTATTTCCTGAATTAATACAATCCAGTGCTTTACTCCATTTAAACATTACCTACTTACCTTTTTTAATATACCTAAGTAATCAAAATTGATGACGACGTTTCATGTCTATGAAACCCCATCATTAATGGCGAAAAAATTGTCCGATTTTAATGAAACTTGGTATGTCGATAGATTGGACCAAGGCCAACTTGACCGTGTACGACATGTGTCACTGTACAGTTAGTTGATGTCTTCCGATCGCGACCAAATGTGGTAGGTAGACTATGTGAGCGACTGTGGACACGGTCCCATCCTGCAAAGTTGGATACGACGTTTCGTTTACATCTTCATCTGGGTGGGACGGACAGACAGACGGAGAGATGGAGTGTGACACTTTTTGTTATAAAATTTAAATAGTGTAAAATAAAAAACACGGGTGTCATAAAATTGTATGAAGATTAATTATTCATAATAATAAAACACCAGATTGTGCAAATTAAGAAATAAAAATAACTCAGGTTTGGCATAAGTTTTTTCAAAAACAACTAAAATATAATATATTTCGTCATACAACTCCGAAGTGAACAACTTTAATTTTAGGCTGTTGACTGGCACCATCTTTTTCACTATTATCTACATTGGCAGCTGGGGTAAAATCTTTTAAATAATCCTCGTTTGGATGGCACAAAGGCAAGCTTTCAGCCAATTCCCTCTGGGAACTAGACAAATTATTTGGCCTCTGATCATTATTATTCTTTTTCTCATCGGACACTATAAACGCAGTCACTGTATTTGAAAATGTCACCTTAGGCGTTGGCTTTTTACTGTTTGGTTGTTGAGGATTTTTAGGTGAGAAAAAATTCTCGTTGAAAGAACAACTGTTATTCGTTACGTCGGGTAATGTACTGTGCGATCCAAACTGATGGTGGTTCCTACTCCACGCTGAACTACTCAAAGACGGCACCACTGGTAATGGGGGAGGTTTTAATTCTGCTGTAATATTAGGTTCCGGTTTTGATGGGTTTGGTAAGAGATTCGTTGGGTTTGATGTTGAAATTCCGTAAATGTTACTGAGAAAGGACGATGTTTTCTTGTTTGGAGTACCGTCGTTGTATTGTCTAGCGTATGGGATTCCCAAAGAGGTGTAAAATGGTAAAGGGGGGATAGAAGGTATAGGTGGTTGGTTTAGTTTAACGAAATCTGACGGAATCTGTAAAATAAAAATATGTGTTCAGAATTTATAGACATTATACATTCTTATTTCTTATGGCGGCTGGCAAAAAACTTTGCAACAAAAAATAATTTTCTTTTATATTATTGAGTTATCGAAAAAATGTGGAATCAATTCAGCATGATCAATAGAAAAATAATTTTGACATATGGGGAAATTAAAATAACTTTGATTGCACATCATAATACGACCACCAGCAAACTCCATAAGACGACGCATGGTGTCATTGATGACGTGCAACGAAAGTTGTTTTATTTTCCCTTTTACATATACAAATCACATATACTATACATCTGTATGGTGGCCATTTAACAAAAATAATTAACAAAATTAACAAGGACAAGACCGCGAAGGTACTTCTATCTGACTGACTGGAATTCCGGGTTATCAGTAATGTTCTATTTCTTTTTAGAGATGTTTAAAACGCTGAACAAGTCATTTTTTGGCTCTCAGATTCTACCGCCATGACAGTCGTTACATGACATACGCACATTTGCTTTTTTTAAATATATTTTAAAATTCTAGATACCTGTGGTGCTTTTATGTACGTTGCTTTGGCTGGGGATGGCTTCTTTGGAAAACTATTCCCCTGGCTTTCTTTTTGATCCACCTTATATGTCATAGGATTAGGTTGATTAAAGTTAGTTGTCAGAATATTCTCCGCGCTGGGTTCATTTGATGAGAAAACAGTCGAGTCGGACTTGCTTGGCAAATCTTCATCGAAATCACTACTACAACTCTCACTGTCTGAACATTGAGAACACGAGGACGGTGAACAATTTGACGCTGAAAATGATATCCCAAAATAGAGCAAAAAATATACATCAAAATACAGAATAAAAATTTTGCCACAAAAATCTCTGTTCAGACTACCGTCGAATATTATACACGTACCGTCACTAGAACATCGGCTGAGTAAAGCTGAAGCCTGAGCTCTAGCTGCGGCTGCCATTTCGGTTTCACCTATTTTGACAGCAATATAATGCAGGTCCATGAATAAGTCGTGATGGCCCACATCAACGGCCAGTAGGAAAGCTGTTTCGAACATGTGTGCTCTTACTAGGTGATGAAAGAATCTCCTGGTTAAAGACATAACCTAAAAGAAAACAGTAAATGTATAATATATAATGTTCAGCTATCGTTCAACGTCACGTCATATTTTAAGGTGCATTCACACCGGCTGCGCCGTGCAAATAATTTTTTTAACATATACTTTTGTGTGCGCTAAAAAAATACACTTCAAAAGTACAAAAAATGTTGTTGCGCAGCGCGGCGCGGAGCGGCGCAGCCGTTGTGAACGCACCTTTAACTTCGTCCCAACTTCGACGAAAACTGTTTAATGTACGGTCACGGTCAAGCGTACTAGGTTAAACGCGTACTAACTGAGAGATGATCGTTTACCGTACAATTTCGTTTGCGTTCCAACGAAACTTGTGATTGTCAAAAAAACAGTTTCGGTACCGTCATTTTTTCGATCCCAGGTGAAAAGCAGAAACCGTGTGGGCCGATAAAGGACTGCCATGCGCAAGACTCTGATTTTGGTTAGACCTGCTAGTCTTCTTTTCCTTCTCTACCTGAAGTCAGAATGACAAATGACGTCTTATAAAACGGTTCTAAGACCGTTCCAACCTGATGTTTGTGTACTGAAATAGAACCATACGAAGACGTGGAGTTGGATCGAAACTACTGTCGAACTCACTCAATCACTTGCCAACTGGTTGAAGTTAAGAAGTTTTTCCTTAACATGGCGTTAGAGAGAGAGAGATATACAGTAATATTAAGACTGTTCAGCCATCGTTTACCCTTACGTCATAATTATTTGTCAGTTATGAGTTTTGGGTGTGTCTGAGATCAGTTCAACGTTCCTATACAATTATTGATTGAGAGAGTTCCGTTTTTTCGGCATTTTTCAATTTCAATTGAAATTCAAGTGTGTAATTAAAAATATATAGGATTTTTCCAAAACTAAATGAAAAGGAAAAACACCTTCTCTTGCTTTATAGAGAACAAATAAAGTTGCTTATATTATGTACTATATGTCCGGGTCCGGGACCCGTAATAAACGAAACAATCGAGGGAAGTATTTATTGAACCGATATCGTTAGATTTTTGAAGTGTTATTAGTATGTTAGTAACTGTATTATCATGTTCTTCAAATACAAGGATCTACAGAATTCATATTAGCACAACATATTTACCTGGTGACCAAATTTATGCCGTATCTGTGATGGTAAAGGTGCAGGTGGACTATGAAAACATCCCAAAGCATCCTGAAGGTACTGAGCTGTTTCCTCAGTTATTGGTTTTCGTAGTAAATGAGCAATAATATTCTGAAGTATGTAGAAAGCTTCATCATTAAATTCCCAACTTAATAATAACTTAATTGCTTTCTCCATTTGTTCTGTAATTATTAAAAAAGTGATTAAGTAACAGTTTAACAAAAAAATAAAAACTTTTATAGCAGATCCCACTAAAAAGTAAAATAGTGATTGAAGCTAATAAAAGAGTAATGATATTTTACTTACCTAACTTAATATATTTGAATGCCAGAGCTTTAAAACTAAGTGTACCGTCTACATGAGTTAAAATACATAGAGGTCCTTGTTCGAGGGAAATGACCAAGTCTTTTGTACCCCAATTAATTGAAACTACATTAAACTGAGTGTTAAAATAAGTAGATAAATCTAGCAAAGTAGTAGGAATGTAATCTTCACTGGAAAGTTGACTTTTAATGCAATTTAAAGCTGTGTCATAATACTGTAAATGTCCACGTTCATTTGCTATAGCTACTACAACCTGGTAAATAAAAACAATTAAATGCAGAAATTCAAAGAAAAAACTTGAAACAACCAAGGAAGGAGTATATCCATCATTTTGAGAAAGACCTTTGTTAAAGGGTTTTAATATGGATGACTGGTTCATCACTGGCAATACGATTTTTGATAAAAAAGATACACTCGGTAATTTGCTGTTATTCTTTGAGGTTTTAATTGTTAATAATAAGTAATTAAAATTGATTATAATATATAAAATAAATTAAAATACATTTTAATAAAAATAAATAGGTCCATGGTTATAACATAAATTCCATTGTTAAGAGTCTATTACTACAGATTAGGTATCCTATAAGTATACAGATAAAAATCTTGTCCCTAATTCGTGGTACGAAAATTGTTTTTTATGACGATGTGCAAACGAGTCAAATTTCCTGTGCGCAAAAATAAACTCGCGTAAAATAACAATAAACAGCGTAATAGAGAGATATCGCTAAACCGAATAGCGTACATGGACGTTAATAAGGCCAGGTGTTATACCTTTACGTGAGGTGGTATTAACTCTCTTCATTTATAGTTATCGGATCGGAAAGAATTCTGATCGCGTCGCGTCCGCTGTTTAAACTTAACCTAACTTTGAATTTAAAACTTTGAAGTTGTTTTGTTTACTAGGTATTTTAAAACTAAAGGGCTCAAGTGCTTATTTCCAGTGCTTTATTGTTCAACGTCTGCCAATGGGTTTAGGACAACAAGCAACAAATTCTCTTAGAAGGGCTAAGTCGTCATCTGCTGTAAACCTAAGACTCTTTATAGGTTCTTTAGTATTGGAAGAGGTGGAATCCATATTTTGGGCCATATTTATTTAATTAAAACTAATCCCAGCTACTTAAATATCAAATTACCTAATAAAACTAAAGCAATAATTCAAAACAATTCAAACATAACCTAAAATAAAAGATCTCGCCGGCCGGCTCCGGTTGTCAAATACCCGCACATGCCCATTTAAGCAATTTTTAAACGTTATCAGAGGTTATTTAGAAAGAGCGCTTGGTGTAATTGATCCGCAAATTACGTCAGGCGGTAACGTTATTAGCGGGTGTTGCGTTGACTCGCGCATACCGTAACCATGATAAGGTACGCGTAAATACTGGATGACGCTATTCGGTTTTCCGATATCTCTCTAATAACTGCCAGTCAGGCGCTGTGCACAATTTTAGAGGCCATAAGTGGGCGTGCTATGTGCGCAAACTAGTCACCTAACTAGTGCCCGATTCCGAAAATTGGAACCACGAAAAACAATAAAGAAAAAACAAAGATTATAATCTGTATAATCTGTGCTATTACACTGTACTGTTCGAGCCGCTCTCAGGGGTCGGGTAAAGCAGGTGTTTGGCCGAAGAAAATATAATATATTACATTTCAGAAATCTGAAGGCTTAGCCCGATCCTGTTGTGTTAAGCTACACACAAAATTCCAAACACACGTGTTTTGATTAAGGCTTGATTTAGGTTTGCAGAGCTTCAGCATTTGCCATAAAATAGCGAGCAATTAGCTACAAAACCATATAAATTATATATCACTGTAATCACAAAATTTCAACCTATTTCGGTATTGTAACGGAATTTTAAATTATGTCTTTATTTTCGAGAAAATTTAGTCCAAACATAAGGAATATTTAGTTGAATTTTTGACCATCAAAATCTTAAAAATAAAGAATTTGTCTAAAAATGTGCTACAATACGGATATAGTATAATCCTTTATCTTTAATTTTCTTCTTCATTTGTGTAAAAATACCTAGACAGTTTTACATAAAACGTTAAATGCCGAACGCTTATTTTGCTACTTTTTCCGACTAGTGAAATGGACTCTTAATGCATAGATATAAAAAATGTAATTGACTCCTTTCTTAGTCTATTTCTTAATTTATCTATGACATTACCCCATTTGGATGCCATGTTGCCAAAGTTGCAATAAAAGCTGCTTTTACAGTCCTGGTAAATCCTCTTATTCGATTTAGTAATGCAAGAGATCCATCTATACAACCTAACAATAACCTATCTTCTTCATCGCTCAGAGAACAACAACTCACTTGAGTTTGTAAAGGAACAGAAGTTATAGATATTCTTTTTAAATTGTTGGCGATTAGTTCAAACGTACTGACTTCTACTGATACAGAACCTAAGAATACAAACTATTATACAGGGTCTTCATTCAATTTTCTTTGTAAAATATGGGGGCAACAGTAACGCACATTTTACAAATGTTTAAATGTTTACACAGATATAGTAGGCAATTCAAAATAAAATTTTAAACTAAAGTTGTAGTTTTTAAATGGGATACTGTATATTTTTCTTCAATATCATCATTTAATGATCAATGGCATTTTTTTAAATTAACCATTTTTAGAGTAAATTTTCTCCTATTTTTGATTTAAAATTAAAAAAATTAGTATAAAAGCTTTTTCATGATAGTGTTTTTGTGATATGTATGGAACTTTTTAGGAACACTGTGTTACCCTATACAGGGTGCGTCTCAAAAGTGGCTCACCCCTATAACTTTTTTATTTTTTTCATATAAAAGAAACGAGATTTGGAATGTTAGTATATACCATAAATTAGGATTGATTGACGTATTCATTTGTTTTTGGTCACTTCCTGTTTCACTACTTTATTCAATAGAAAATGACACTATGAATAGAATGACATATTATATGTCAACTTTTGACATTTTCGCATATGGTTTATTTGAAATTGTAACATGCGTATCATAACGATAATTTGACTCAAACTACCAAGTGTGTAGTACCAAATTACATATTTGTAAAAAAATGCTTTTTCCAAATATGTTAATGAGTCACCCTTGATCCATTTGAAAAAATTAAGATATGATTAAAAATACGATTTGGACATCTTTTAATTGGCCAGGACAGGACACGAAAAACATTAGATAAACATTAGAACATCTATTTTTCCAAGTTTCCTTGATTAAAAATTATTTTTACTAATCCAACACAGCCATGGCAGTCTAGGTTGAAATTTAAAATACGATTTTTTATTAAGGTAAAATGTCAAAAGTTGACATATGATATGTCATTCTATTCAGAATGTAGTTTTCTATTGAATAAAGTAAAAATATACCGAGGGTGCCTTTTAAAAATCAAAAGCTGTAGTCATTTCCGGTGAAACAGGAAGTGGCCAAAAACAATTGAATATGTCAATCAATCCTAATTTATGTCATATACTAACATACCAAATTTCGTTGTCATATAAAAAAATGAAAATATATAGGGGTGAACCAATTTTGAAAGCACCCGGTATAGCTGAAAAAATAATACTTTAAGTAGATATATTGTACCTTTTTGTGTAACTTTCTGTTCAATAACTATTATTGTCCTATTGCATTTTTTACTAACTACAACCAATAGTGGTTCTCCATCTGTTTTTTTGTAAGCTAAAAGCTCTGGCTCTCCTAATCCAATCCAATACAAATGTAAATTGGCTCTTTGATGGTCTTTAGCCAATGGGCTCCATGGCTGTGGATGTTCAACACCTGCCTTTCCATAGACCACTAGCCATTCATTGCTATAATGTAGTTTTCTTCTAGGACCACCGTCTAGAACCCACCCATCTTTCCATGGTCCCCCAAAACCAAAGACATGACCATCATTACAAACACAAATCACCTGAGAATCAAATAAGACACCTAGAAGAATAAGCAAAATCTAATCAATGTATAAATCTATTTCATTTGTAATACAAACCATCACAAATAATATTAACTTGTAGTTTTGCAGATAAATGCTTTTCAAACCTAATACTTAGCAAATCTCCTGTCTTATCATGAATAGTTAGATCTACAATCAAACCTGTAGAAAGCAAAAGTCTTAATCTGTTAGTTTCCCAGCTATAATAAACAATTTTATTGTGTAGAAGATATTCTTCAAGTTCTTTTAGTCTCTCTCTTAGCTTTTCTGGTCGTTTATTATTAGGGACATACGTAATCCCAACTTGTTCAGCAAAATGTCTCTTTGCCTGTGCATACACTGTATCGACTAGGTCCTTTTTTAAAAAATATCTAAAATAAGGTGATCTCAACTGTGTGATAATGTTTAAAGAGGATAATTACTTACTTATAGGATCCATAGTCACTGTCCTTAATAACTACATCTTCTTGCGTAGTCCAAAAATGTATTTCACTTAAAAAAGAAAGCATATTAATATCATCTAAATCATTTTTGAGTTTACACTTGTACTGTTGTGCTTAATTTAGTCGTCATACTTAATAGTAAACTTAGACTATAATTGTTTACAGAAAAATAACTATATTCAACCAGAATTTAACTCACAACAAATAAATTGAAAAATATAAATATTTCAAATATATAAATGAATACGTCACTAAATTATAACCTCAAAACTCAAAACTTGTCAAAACAAAATTTTTGAACGTAGGTCGTAGTTAAAGGTCATCTTTCTTCTACGGAACAAGTCAAGACCTACGGTCATATTTTGAAGTCATTAATAATAAAATTAAAAAGCAATTTAATCAAATAAAAATCTTCAGTAATGTTCATTTATATTTAAGAACAAATACAAGTTAATGTTTACATCGAAATTTGGCAGAATTATTTAAATGCATAATATGTTTATTTTTAAAAATATATGGAGGTAAGTCTTGGATAAGTGCAGCAATCACTAAATACTTATAATACTAGACATACGTATTAAAATTTACATTGAAATGTTTGTATTGTGGTTTGTATTTTTAAATTCTAATCTTTTGTATTTGATTATTATTTAGAATTTGGAATATTCATTATACTGGCTTTGTTCATTTCTGTAGTTTTTATAAACAGTTGCCACGTTTGTCACTGTAAATGGGTCATTAGTGGTAAATTTTTAATTATCTCCGTATGTAGTAGAAGTGCGTAGCACAGAAAGTTAAATTAGTTGTGTGTAGGAAACATTTATAAACAATTAAAAAGTTCGTGTTAATTAGCAAAAACAATGATCTATTGTGTTTGATGGTCCCACATTTTTAAGGTAAGTTAGTTTTAATAGGTACTATTATTTTTGTTAAATTAACTATTATATTTAAAGACAATTAAATAGATATATGTAATATAAAATTAGTTTGTTTATTTATGTTAATTAATATTATGATAATGTATCAAGAAGGTGTAGATCTGTTTATGGTACTGATCGGACACAATCATGGTACAAAGGGACACAATATAGATCTGTAATGTTGCAGTGATTAACACCCCTCGCAAACATTCTACATACTATACGTGGTACTGATCAGATTATTTTATGCTGATCGGTACTGACACAGACTTTCTGATCAATCTGCTGATCGAGTCGAGGATGCACTATTGCTTCAATGCATCTTGGTATCCATATACAAAATACTGCAAAATTTTAATATTACATTTTATGTTGTGTATTAATCTATTTGTTATATAATAAGTTAGAAACTTGTAGACCGAATGTATCATTTTTAGCATTATTTTATAATAGGCAATAGGCAATACAGTTTTAACTTTCTTTAACCTTATAGCACAGTTCAAAGAACATGCATATGCATTTTACAGAGTTTAATACTTTTCATATGGAAAGTTATCAGACATTCATTAATATTTTAAAAAGGTTAAACTACCTACTATTATTGAATGACTAATTCTGAATATTAGAATATTGTTTACCATTAATTTATTTATAACATTTAGATATAATATGCCAATTATGACTCACTGGTCAGTATTAAAAAATGGTACTTTTTATCAATGTATTAAAGAGAATTTAAAGAAATGTTAGTTTACGATGATCAATTAGTTCAAAGATCAAACATTACTCACTTGCATAGATAGGTCTAAATAAAGATAGAAAACATAATAAATTTCTGTTCATTTAGATATTATCATTCATTATATTAAGAAATAATTAAGATAATTTTAATTTCTTTCTGATTAAAATATACCTACTTTATCAAAATACAATCGCATTTAGGAGTATCTAATTTGGAAAAAAAACTTAAAATATTCAGTATTTTTTTTCATATTAGATAATGTAATTGCAGATTACCCACGAAATATAGTATTATGTATTTTTGAAGTAGACTGCTTTGTGTGGGCTTCAAGAACAATGGGTTGCTGCAGTCCTAGTTGTGCGAAATGGACCACACTATCAGTTTCACTGGTTTGTTTGATTATTGGTCTAGTCTTAGCTGTTTGGTGGCAATCTTTGTTTCAAAAAATTGTATATGAAGTAAGTAATTTTTTAATTCATTAATTAATTCATTATTAATATACAGGGTGCTACAAATTCGAGGTACGAGCATTGGTATCTCGGAAACCGTAATAGATACGAAGATGGTTAAATTGGGGCAAAGTTGCGCCTTGGGCTGTTCACCAAGATGCCATCAAAAAAGTTTTAAAAATTTCAAGGATTGCTGAGTTTTTTGGAAAAAACGGATTTTTTTGAAAACTAATTTTATTTTTTCCTGTCGTTACTTTTTAGAAAATCAAAAAACTAATTGCACATTCTCATAGCCACTTTATTAGGACTATCTGATAGTATTTTTAGATTTTCAAATTAGCTGATAATTTGTGAGATACAGAGGCCAACTTAATTTTTTTAAATACGGACCTGCATTTTTTATTTCAGATTTTGACAGAACTCAGTCTCCTGAGTACAATGATATGCCACACTTTATACTTTTTTTATTTTGGGTACCGGGAACAGCAACAAAACTATTTAATTATTATTTAAAAAAATTTCAAGTCCGACTCTGTTTTTTAAATTGTTTAATCTGATTATATTCATCGCAACAATATTGATCAGTGCTAATTAAAATTGAATAAGGAAAATTGAGCCAATTGAAAGCAAATAAATAATATCCAGATCAGCAATTTAAAGATATTATTTTTAATTTTTGTTATTGCGAATTTGAAATTCTCAGTGTACGATCTCATAATTTGCATAACATTTATCGTAGTTATTATGAATAAATTAACTTCTACAAATTAGTTTCTAAAGTTTTACACAGTCTACATGTTCTTATACTTTCGAATGCATTTTGTACTCTTTATTGCAACTGCCGAGATGTGTTGATTTCACTTTTTTGTAAAATTTGGACCTGTCGAATTACTTGACGTCATCAGACGGTCCAGGAACCTCGCTTGCCATGATACTGCTCTACCATTTCCAATCCATCTTCCGGGGAAATGATTTGATTTTTTATATTACATGTTATTTATATTATTTTTTATTATTATATTGCATTTGATTTTCCCTATTCAACCCACGTCACTGTTAAGTTTGAAAGCTTATCAATATTGTAACGATGAATATATTAAATAAATTGTGTCCAAATTTCCAAAACAAAAAAAAATATTAAGTGTGGCATATCATTGTACTGAGGAAAGCGAGTTTTCAAAATCTAAAGTAAAAAATGCAGGTCCGTATTTAAAAAAATTAAGTTAGCCTCTGTATCTCACAAATTATCAGCTGATTTGAAAATCTAAAATTACTATCAGATAGCCCCAATAAAGTGGCTAAGAGAATGTGTAATTAGTTTTTTGATTTTCTAAATAGTAACGACAGGAAAAAATAAAATTGATTTTCAAAAATATCCGTGCTCGTACCTGGAATTTGTAGCACCCTGTGTACTAATTATATATAGGTATATAATAATTACCCAAAGCACCTGATTTAATATTTATATGAATAATATTTTATTCTAGGAACTTTCTGTGTCTAATGAAAAAACTACAGGATATCAGATGTGGAAAGAAACCCCTATTCCTATGTACTTGGAGTTTCATTTATTCAATTGGACTAATTCAGATAGGGTTGAAAAATATTCCGTAAAACCTACATTTGAAGAACTGGGGCCTTACACATTTTATGAGCATCATATTAGAGAGAATATTACTTTTAATGATAATGATACTATAACTTATATGACAAAGAGGACATGGCAATTTTTAGAGGATAAGAGCAATGGAAGTCTAGATGATCTTCTTACTGTATTAAACCCTATAGTTGTGGTAAGTATTCGTTCTAGCCTAGTATTACACGGTAGTGTTATACATAGTTATTTTTTTGTGAAAGATATGTACAGCGTATAGTATTACCATTCATTATCAAAATATTTTGACTGACATTATGTCATTCGTTTTTACACTTTAGTTTTGTATTACGAGTTTTTGGTTTAAGTGAATTGTGTTGTGATATTTTAAGCTTAAAAATTTTTACTAGAGATGAAACGGATATCCGGCAACTATCCGGTATCCGGCCTAAATTTATTATCCGGCCGGATACCGAATAGTAACTCAATATCCGGCCGGATACCGGATATTCAAAAAGTAACATAAATAACAAGGAATAATGTACTTACAGTTTAAACTGCTTTTATTTAAAGCTGAAAATAATAAAAATTTTAAAAAACATAAAAAATACACTGATTCTTAAAATTTACTATCTTGTTCTTTTTCTTTTATCAAAGGAAATTTTAGAAAGTTCAGAAGAAATCAAAATTAATAAGTGGCAAATTAGGGGGAATAAAAACTAAACTTTCAGCGTTTGTCAGTAATAGGCGAAACCAGCTTCGGAGAACAACCTCTTACTAAAAACACTGATGTAAGGAGCAGAAAGGTATATTTTCGCAAATTTCGTCAAATTCGGTTAGTAGTTTGCGTTATCCGACCACCAACTGTAAGGATCCCGGCTGTGATCAATTTCAAGTAGTAGTCGATCCTGCTTGCAATTGGGGTTTTCTCTTAATCGCCACATTGACTATTATTTTCACCTGCATTTCATTGAAACAATCACGATAGCCGGATATCCGGCTGCCGGATATTCGGCCATCTGGCCTCTCAGCTCACCGAATATCCGGTATTCGGTATCCGGCCAAAGAACTATCCGTTTCATCACTAATTTTTACTAGCAGACCTTAAGTTGAGGCCGCAGTGCAAGCAAGTTACCTGGAGGGTAGTGGGTATCGAGGCGCCAAGCGACCCTCTAAGCACAGAATATCTAGCTACGCAACAGAAGCCTCGTTACATGTATAAAATTGTAGGTATCAAAAGGAGACAGGCTTTAAAAGCCTGTCTCCAAATCAGATATTTTGATGCGGTAGTTTCGCTACTACATAATAGAGGGCGATAAATTTAAAAGAAAATAGTTTTCTACAAACGAAATTTAAAAGAATTTTGTGCAGTGTTGCCATTGTGTAATTCATATTGTAATACTTTCTGATAAATCCTACCTTCAAATTTGCTACATCATTTAAACATATTAAAATAGATCAGTGCTCTTTTTTCAAACGTTTAGTCAGGTTTAAGTACGTATTTAACTTACCATATTAGTTGGAGTTAAATCTTACGAGCTGAATTACAATCAGTTCCTGACGTTTGATTGTAATTGAATCCTGAATTTTGATTGTAATTCGGCGACAATATAATAAGTATTGTTCTACTATTATGATACCACTTCCTGACGTTCAATTGTGTTCATACTTTATACCGTATAAAGGCTGATTCATGGTACACCGTGACGGGCCGGGGCCGTGCGACGGTGAAGGCACGGCCAAACATTGTCAAATGGTATTTATACCTATGCATTCATGCTAAGCCGAGCACGGGCCGAGCTTCTACTACCGTGTTTACTTTACGGAACGTGCCCGGCTCGGGTACGGCCCGGTGTACCATGAATCAGCCTTAATCGGGGAAAAACGGCGTTAGCGATAGCTATGAAATAAATGAAGATCGCTGTCATTTTATATGGGAAATAGTATACTATAATATAGTACCATATTACGATACATGGCGTTCGATTGAGCTTAAACTTGGTATTCTACTTATCTTTAGTAACATTGTAATATTATGGTTCCATGGAGCATATAAAGTGGTACCTTCTATAGTACTACATTATGATACCACTTCCTGACGTTCGATTGGGCTCGTATTTGATATATACTTGCATATTTTTGATGACATTGCAATATTATGGTACCATGAAGCCATGAAGCATATCAAATGGTACCATACTATAATATAGCACCATATTAGATACATGGCGGTTGATATAGGGCTTAAACTTGGTATACTACGTATCTCCGGTGACATTGTAATTTTGTGGAACCATGGAGCATATAAAGTGGTACCTTCTATAGTACCATATTATGTTACCACTCTTTGATGTTCGATTGGGCCCATATTTGATATATACTTGCGTATTTTTGATGATATTGCAATATTATGGTACCATGAAGCATATCAAGTGGTACTATAATATAGTACCATACTACATACATGGCGTTCGATTGGGCTTAAACTTGGTATACTACGTATATTCGGTAACATTGTAATTGTAATATAATGGTACTATGATGCATGTAAAGTGGTACCTTCTATACATATAGTACCATATTATGATACCACTTCTTGACGTTCGATTGAGCTCATATATTTGATATATAATTTCGTATTTTTGATGACATATTGTAATATTATGATACCATGAACCATATCAAGTGGTACCATAATATAGTACCATATTACGTACATGGCCTTCGATTGGGCTTAAACTTGGTATACTACGTATCTTCGGTGACATTGTAATATGATGCATATAAAGTGGTACCTTCTTTGGTACCACTTTACACACACATTGCAGATTGGGCTCGTATTTGATATATACTTGCGTATGTTTGATAACATTGCAATATTATGGTACCGTGAAGCATATCAAGAGGTACCATAATGTAGTACCATATTACGATATCATTTCCTGGCGATCGATTGGGCTTAAACTTGGTATACTACGGATCTTCGGTAAATTTGCAATATTATGGTACCTTGAAGCATATCGAGTGGAGTTCAATATTATGATATCATTTCCTGGATTTCGATTGGGCCCTAATTTGGTATACTTACGTTTCTTTATAAAGATTTGTTGTGTGTTACTGCATTTTAATAAATTATTTCCATTATTATTAAACTTATATTTCATTACTAACTTTCCAGCATTAATAAATATCACTATCAATCGCCCTGTATATTTTTAAAGGTAATTAAAGGTATTTTCTTAGTTAACAATATAAGGTTGTGTATATTAAAAATGTATTTTTTGAGTATATGTTTTGTAATAATATACTTAAAACTACTTTAAAAGCCAAACGAACAATTAACATAAGTGTGTCTGACAAGAAAAGAAGAATAGAAAGAAGCTATTATACACCAGAAAAAGAATGGGATGCCAATTAAAGGTCTTTTTGAATCTGGCAACTGTGCATATTTAAGCGAGCTTCAAGGCCGTCGACGTGCCGTCGATCTATCGTCGATCTAAAACCGAAAGTTCAAAATTTCCAATTATATTCTGATTATGATATTGTCGCGCCATCTAGTATTTTATTTGTGCAATTTTAGCTCTTTCATTACGAGTATTTTTCTGTTGCGTAGCTAGATATTCTGTGCTCTAAGTAACCCGCGAGGTATGTTTCCGTAACATGCGATTTTAACCAAACCAGCCGCAGTGCAATCCCCCACCAACTTAAGCCACAAAGCAACTCGCCAAGCTAGCCACTTGAGGATCAGTCGTGTTCGATATTTTCAGCCAGGCGTAAAGTAGTTTTGGTCTAAAAATGAAAGAAAAATTGTAATGCACAAGCATTGTTCTGCAGAAATTGCTTCTCTGAAGTTTGTAGACGTCCTTTCTAATTTGTCTTGAACTTTATTAAGTAGAAAATCAACGATTTTACACTCATACGTGCATATTTAAAAAATTTCAAGGTAATTTCGCATTTTCTTGTAAACTTGCAAAAATTCTCCATCACTCTATGCAAGTTATACTCATGCACCCACATCTTTTTATTTTCCATATTTACAAAGTTCACATAAGAATTGTCACAGAGCAGTAGCCTTCTGGCAAATTTTGAAAGGGGCATGATACTAAAGACACTCATGGGAGCTACAATTTGCAACTGAACTTGATTAGATTGGTTCTTGTTTTAATAATTTTCCGTCCACTACTGCGTACAAGGTACCTTCTACCCATTAACCTTCACCACCCGACAAGCTTCCCTCCACCCGTCTATAGTGCGGGCTTGGCTTTATAGTCGAAAATTATTTTTTTTAGAACCGCTTTTAGTACGTGTACAAGGTCCCAAAGCAGCTTAACAGCCGTTGCAAAAACTCATTGCAATCTTATTAGAATATTTTGAACGGGAAAGTGGCAGTAATTGCCTTTTAATTCCCTTAAGTGCTGTTAAGGAAGTGAGTTTTGATGATACTATTTATAATTAATTCATATTTGTGTTCTAAAATATTTTATCAAAAGAAAATATTATGTAAAAGTCGGTAACGCTGTGCCGGTCAAGCTTTATCACGTGACTAAAAGTATATTTGGGTATGGTCTATAATTTATACACATTGTCCTTGTATAGGTATTATCAAGGGTATTATATAAACAAGGATATTATTCATTTGATTTTCATTATGTCTCCATCAATGTCTTAAATGGTATAATCCAGACCACAGGTCTATGGTGACCAAATCTGTAGAATCTCTCTGTATAGAGCATACAAGTTGTATACGTTAATTGCTGTCCTCCTTTCACGCAGTTGAGCAGCTCTGAACTGGTCAAGAACGCGATACTCTCACTCCATTCAATTGAGTCATAAAGTTCCAGAACTGTTCCGCGCTATATGGAGGCACCAGGCTATCGCGCACCGCTCCTTTCAGAACCCTTCTCGAGTAGCCCCAGGGCGTAAAGCCCGGAACTCGAAGTTCGCGAATGGAGGACAGCAAATGTCGGTAAGCGACACTCTTGGGTGGGTTTTTAATTTAGGAGTGAATCACTATAGCCAACTTGTAAGTCGGAGATATAACTCTTTCTTTGTTCAGCACATCTTATTGATGTGAACGCATTGACCTTACTCACGAAACACGACGTTCACACGAAATTTCGCACCCAAACCATGCCGATCGTATGTGTATCGTGACTAGTATACTTCTATATTTAGTATTTAGATTATGCCACTAATTATGAAATATAAAAATTTCTGAAGGATGTATACTTCAGACAAAATAATCTATAATTACTATGACAATGCAACTGAAGTGGTAATATTTGCGGATAGTATTTTTTTATATTGATCACCAATAAATAGTAATATTCTAATTTTTAATATTATAACTATTATCATTAAGTGGGTGTAGATAAGAGATTACTTGATGCAATAAAATGCATAAAAATGCGATCCTCTCTGAACTTATAGTACCTACATTATATTGTATAAAAACAATCAAACGAAAGATTAGAAGATAAATCTGAAAAAAATAATTCGCGCTTCTTTATAAGGTAGGGGATTAAAAAATCTATTACATAATAATAATATGTAAAATAGGGTGCACCAAAAAAAAATATATTTTTTTCTTTTTAGTTACCGTGAAAATATCGTTCAGGATAATGAAAAAAAAAAATCTGGAAAAGTTTGAGCTTTAAACTTTGAATATTAATATTATGAGGTGTCATCATCGTGATTTTCTATTTCCCATTTAAATTGTGGAAACATATTCTTTTTTTTATTGCGTTCTAACAAATCAGCGTTTTGTAAAAGTCAATACATATTCTTGAAATTGAACGATCTTCAAAAAAGGTCTGATATAAATTTTCATTTAATCTACTCGTTTGAAAGTTATTGAAGGTTAAAGTTCGACTTCAAATTGTATAATATGATAATTTCCGCAATTTTTTATATTTTATTACGAAATATTGGCTCATAAACATAAAATAACATATTTTATCAATAAATACTGGCTCAAATACATAAAACATCATATTTGAGCCATTTTGTGAGAAAATATAAAAAATTGTGGAAGGTCATCGTCATATTAGATCATATATGATTTGAAGTTCAACTTGAACCTTCAATAATTTTCAAACGAGTCGATTAAATGAAAATTCACATTTTGAAGACCGTTCAATTTCCTATAAGAATATGTATAGATTTTTACAAAACGCAAATTTGTTAGAATGCAATAAAATTCAAAAAAATAAAAAAATTGTTTCCCCATATTATTTAAATGGGAAATAGAACATAACGATGAGGCACCTCTTAATATTAATATTGCCAAACCAGATTTTTTTTTCATCATCCAGAACGATATTTTCACGGTAATTAAAAAGAAAAAATATGTATTTTATTTTGTGCATCCTAATGTAAAATTTACATTTTTTATACTGTTAATATCATTCTAGGTAGTGGCCAACAGAATAAAAGAGGAACATTATTTAGTGAAGAGGGCTGTGAATTTCTTTTTCGAAGAAAAAGGCGAAAATATTGTGGTGAAGAAAACAGTTCGTGACTTATTGTTTGAGGGATACAACGACCCTCTTATTAATATCGCGCTAAAACTTAATATATCTGGATTAAAGTTGCCTTTCAAAAAGTTTGGATGGTTTGTGGATGTAAGTAAAATATACTTCCCCATATCTTTAACAGGGTTTTTACTAAAGCTAAAATATTTACCAAACCTGAAATTAATACATTAGTTTTCTCATATAACTAAAATTACTTATTGAAACGTAATGTATGAAAACTACATTTATTTATACCGGGTTTTTTCAAAAGTAGCTCACCAAAAAAAGAGATGTGACCTAAATCAGGATTGATTGACGTAGTCAATCATGGGCATAAATGTATCACAATTTGACTCGAAATATCGTCATGGTAACAAATTGTTCGTAAAAAATTCTGTTTCCAAATATAGTAATTCCCTTGTTCCATTTCAAAAAAAATCAGTTATGATTAAAAATACAATTTAAGCATCTTTGAACCAGTCAGGAAAAGACATTAGAGGATCAAACCTATTTTTCCAAAGCACTTTGATCAAAAATTAATGGTTCAACAATGCCATGGCAGTCTAGATTGAAATTTAAGGTGCTATTTTTTTTTTAATTGAAAAAGTCAAAAGTTGAAATATGTATAGCATTCTATTCAGAATGTAATTTTCTATCATGTAAAGTAAAAAAAATACCAAGAAAATATTTTACATATCATATACACTTAAAAATCAAAAGTTGTAATAAATTCGTTAATCAATCCCGATTTACGTCACACACAAATTTGGTTTTTTTATCTGAAAAAATAAAAAATTTATAGAAATGGGCCACTTTTGAAAAACACCTGGGGGAGGAAATTATCATCTATTTCAAAATCACCCTGTTTACGCTATTCAATACAGCATATTTCAGTATATAGTCTCTCCAAGGAGAAGATCCTTGACAGTGATAGATGTGTCTGTCATTTTTTTTTTCAAAGTAGTTTATTTTATTTTACAAAGAAATAAGTTGGTACAACTGGAACGCATGGCAGGAAATTAATATATTTAAAATTTGACTGACAAGTGATTACTTCAAAATATTGTGAAAAAAAACTTTATAAAACTGAAAAAATGTAATCGAGTTATTTTATTTAATAAAAAGCGGTATGTGTTAATACAAAACAAACAAGAACAAGACACCACATACCAAAAAAATATAAAAAAGAACTATTTCTTACTTTCAAGCTTTATGAAACTTCCCGCATTTACGATTATATTTATCAATATAATATAACTTATGTACAAATACAAATTTGTAATATTCTACAGGAATAAATAAAACAACATAAATAAAACAAACTTATTTTATTAACAATAACACTTACCAAATTTTACACCTTAAAGGTTGATTAATTAACTTTAATCTTAATTTTCTTAAACCAGTAGGTACCTTTTGATATTATTTTTCTGCAGTACTAAAATCCATTATTTACCTATCGTGTGATGTCGATATTTTACAGCTACTCCAGTTTTTAATATGTGTTTAGTACGGTCCTTCTACCATATTCGAGATGCACTTATCTACGACGAGATGGTATACGAACTTGATTGATGGTAACTTTATTGGTGTATAAGACTTTTTGCCTGGGCAGCGAGTATTAACCATAAACTGTGCTCTGGGTCTACAGTTAATTTTCACTCGATTTTTCATCCACTTGACTTCAAAAGACACAAAACACACGTAATAACACGAATCAAAACGCATCATCTTCCAAAACGCAGGGTATTTGACAAAAGTTGACACAAAATTATAACCTACAATTTAGCAAGACTTTGACAAGCGTCAAAAATCTAAAGGCGAGTTCATACGCATCGGCATCCGTTTGTCGTTCATCGTTCCGTCAAACCTTTCGCCAAACCAATAAAATTGAAATACGATCTGTCATTTTTGAAATAAACCAATAAAACTGGTTAAAAACAACAAGAGACGACGCATGACGGATTTATATTTAAACCCATCCATAGTTAACTTAAAAATTATTAGAAACTTTTTTTAGTAAAATAAATAGATTGGTATGGGACGTCATCTGCTTTTCTTCTGTCATCGTCTGTCGAAATCTTACCTGAGAAAAAAAAAACAGAGTTATAGTTGAAAGGATGCTGTTTTAAAATACACCTAATTAAAAATATAATTATTAGCGATTTTTTAATTTTAAATGTTGCCCTATAACAGGGTGTTCAGATATATTTTAGCCATTAGTTTTTGCCGTTTTTAATATTGGTTTTAAAAGAGTTTTGTCCTTTCTAGTTTTGGAAATAAAAACAAAAATCTGTCTCAACTATGTCAAATTTTGACATAAGTTTCATTTCTTAAATAGAATGAGTAGAGATGGCTTTTTTCGATTACAAAAATATATGATGTGTTGATAATTTCTCTATCGGGTTTAAAACTAAACCGGTTTGAAACAAAATATTATCCGAAATATTGACATTTCCGCGTGAATCACTCTGTATACAGGGTGTCCCAGGCTGAGTGTGCATTAGAAGTTTCTAGAGAACTATAATATCTAGATCGGAGATTTTTTGCACATTACTGTTTCACAACGAGATCTATCGATTAAAAATATTTTCATTATGGCGGCTCGTTCGGAAGTACCGGAAGTTGACAGCAACTTTCTTATTTTAAATGGGTACCCCCATTTCTTACTACATACTTAAATTCTCTGTAAAATTTTATGAATTTTGATATCAACCACTCGATACCTAACATTAACCGTTTTTGAGAAAAAAAAATATTTAAAATTTTTGAATGAAAAAAAGTACTTGTCAAAAAAATCTGTATAACTTAAACGACAAATTTAGTGATTACCACGGTCACTGTGGCATAAAGCGAAGACATGTGGCTATCTATTTCAAAAATTAAATTGTTTGAATGTCATATAATATTGACTGTAGCTGTCATGGAATTGAGCGATTAAAAAATTATCATAAATCATTTTTATCAAATGGAAACCCATTTTTTTATTTCAGTAGTGAAAAGGTTTTTTAATTCGTTACTTTTTGATTATACATGTTCCTATACCTAAAATAAATCGTTTTTAAGTTATTTAAGATTTAGTTTTAAAGGGTATATTTTTTTTGTTTTTTAACCAGTAGCTTATGACCTTAAACGTCACACGATGTAAAACTATATCTGGCCATGTCATATTGCCATTAGCTATAACTAAAATACGAGATATATTTTTATCAATACACTTTATAAAGTTTTACCAGCAGTATTTATAATATACAAAATTCAAATAATTAGTTTTTTAACAGAAGGATATAAATTGTCTGATGCTTTGACACTTAATGTCAACGGAAACTAGATAAAATCAAGAATAAATTACGCTTTAAAACTAAATCTTAAATAACTTAAAAACGATTTATTTTAGGTATAGGAACATGTATAATCAAAAAGTAACGAATTAAAAAACCTTTTCACTAGTGAAATAAAAAAAATGGGTTTCCATTTGAAAAAAATGATTTATGATAATTTTTTAATCGCTCAATTCCATGACAGCTACAGTCAATATTATACGACATTCGAACAATTTAATTTTTAAAATAGATAGCTACATGTCTTCTCTTTATATCACAGTAGCTGTGATAATCACTAAATTTGTCGTTTAGGCTATACGGTTTTTTTTGACAGGCAGTTTTTTTGCTCCAAAAATCTTAAATATTTTTTTCCTCAAAAACGGTTAATGTTAGGTATAAAGTGTTTTATATCAAAATTCATAAAATTTTAAAGAAAATTTAAGTATGTAATAAAAAATGGGGGTACCCATTTAAAATAAGAAAGTTGCTGTCAACATCCGGTATTTCCGGAAGTGCTCCGCTTTTAATCGATAGATCTCGTTGTGAAACAGTAATGTGTAAAAAATCTCCGATCTAGATATTGTAGTTCTCTAGAAACTTCTAATGCACGCTGAGCCTGGAACACCCTGTATATTTAAAACCACTATAAAAATACCAACAAACCGTATATTTTTGAAATCGGAAAAATTCTCACGTTAATATTGGATAGTTATAAATTAATTTAAACTTTTTTAAAGCACCCTGTACGTTGTTAATTTCTGATTTAAATTTAATTTTAAAGAGAAACAATAGCGTAACCTATGATGGCGTGTTCAACATGTACAGCGGAGGAGATGATATTTCTAAACTAGGGTTGATAACGCAGTGGAACTACGAACATCAAACTTCTTATTACAAAGACACCTGCGGTGTAGTTAGCGGTACTTCAGGGGAGTTGTGGTATCCTCCACTGTCAGATGATGAAATTGCTATATTTGCTTCGGATTTGTGCAGGTAAATTGACAAACTATTACTCGATTTTCGTCATCATTGTACCTACGTCATACCATCATAGTAGAAGGAAAATAGTAGTTCCGCTCTCGCAACTTCGGCAGCATATTCTGCAGATAAAAATAATTAAAAAAGTTCGTATAAATGTATGTCCTAAAATGCTTAGTTTCGGAGATACAGGGTGTAGAAGCTTCATTTTTATTTCGATTTTTTCAAAATAATTCCTGAACTAATACCGATATTTGGATGAAAATTGGTGTCTGGTGTGTTTTTTGACTTGATAAATTTGATTTTGATGTCAATATGACTCTCACTTGTAGAGGGCGTCACATACATATTTTTTCACTGATTTGAAGAGTAATAACTTTCGTCCGTACCTGTATAAAACTAGTGAGTAAAATGATTAAAATATACATTTACGACGTTTTTATGTAAAAAAGGTCTATTGGTAAAAATCGCTACGAGTAATGGTTTTCGAGATATTTGGAATCAAATTAATCAATACCTGTATAATGTAATTTTTCACTTAGTAGTTTTATACAGGTAGGGACGAAAAGTTATTTCTCTTCAAAATTATTTTGAAAAAAAAACGAAATAAAAATGTAATTTCTACACCATGTATCTCCGAAACGAAACATTTTAGGATCTAAATTTATAAGAACTTTTTTACTTATTTTTATCTGCAGAATATGCTGCCGAAGTTTCGCGAATACAATTCGGACCACTCTGTATATTTAGCAACAACCACCGTACTTGAAAAATTTACATTCGTTTCGTAATGTTATATTAAAAACTGTAATACAAAAAATAGAAATTATGTATACCTAGATTTATTTAAGGAAATTTAATGAAAGGAAGTAGAGTGGAATTAAGGAGGGAATGTCAAATACTAGTTTTAAATATTCACACATTAATGATGTTCACTTTTATTTGACAAATTGATGTTTTATTGAGTTTGTTGCGCTTTTCCGTGTTTATTTTATATTTATTGTTTAGTTTATAATTATGTTATGCAAAGTCGAATCGCAAAAACATTGAAAACATTGCTCATCAGATTTAAGTTTCACTCTGCAATCTTTTTATTACAGCAATGTTAAGTTGCACAGAAATGGAACTGACTATTTATATGGTATAACAGGCAATCAATATGTAGGACAAGCTGATGTGTTCGATAATGGAACATATTACAAGGAGTCGAAATGCTTTGCCTCTGGTCAGCCAACTGGAGTAAGAGGCGTGTCTTCTTGCAAGTAAGTTTGCAACTAGTATTACAGAGTTTCTGGAGTCTAAGTTATGAACATTTTCTACCGACACTACACAATGAACATATAAGTTCATATCAAATAAACTTTTAGTCACATGATTGAGTCAAATAAACTTTTAGTCACCTAATCAAAATATTTTAGGAAACAAAAATAAATTAATTATAAATATATAAACAGTTACTATTTACATGAACAAAACTCGCCCCCTTAACAGCACTTAAGGGACATAAAGGCCCATTACTACCGCTTTCCCGTTCAAAATATTCTAATAAAGTTCCGATGAGTTTTTTACGGCTATGTTGTACACTTCGCACTAAAAGAGATTCTAAAAAGAACAATGTTCGACTGCAAGGTCTGCTATAGTCTGTCCAACGACAAGATCCTTGACAGTGGTAGATGTGTCTGTCATTTTAATTTCAAAGTAGTTTATTTTATTTTACAAAGAAATAAAAGTTGGTACAACTGGAATGCATAGCAGGAAATTAATATATTTAAAATTTGACTGATAAGTGATTTCTTCAAAATATTGTGAAAAAAAACTGTATAAAACTGAAAAAATGTAATTGAGTTATTTTATTTAAAAAAAAACAGTTATGTGTTAATACAAGACAAACAAGAACAAAACCCCACATACCAAAAAAAAAATAAAAAAGAACTGTTTCTTACTTTCAAGCTTCAAGAAACTTCCCGCATTTATTATTATATTTATCAATATAACTTATGTACAAATACAAATGTGTAATATTCCACAGGAATAAATAAAACAACATAAATAAAACAAACTATTTTATTAATAATAACACTTACCAAATTTTATACCTTAAAAGGATTATTAATTAACTTTAATCTTATTTTTTTTAAACCAGTACCTTTTGACATTATTTTTCTGCTGTACTAAAATCCATTATTTTCCTATCGTGTGATGTCGATATTTTACAGCTACTCCAGTAGTATAAGTATGTTTAGTACGATCCTTTTAGCATATACGAGATGCACTTTTATCTACGACGCCGACGAGATGGTATACAAACTTTATTGATGGTAACTTTATTGGGGTATAAGACTTTAATTTATTAATTTTTTTTATTAATACAAAATTAAAGTGTCAAAACGAATGACATGTCAGGAAATAAATAATTAAATGTGACAATTTGACATTTTTTAGAGCAGAGCTCCCACCTGAATCCCCAGCGTGGAATATTCCAGTTAGTCAGACCGGCGCCGAATATGTCCATGGTGGGTGGTAACAATGAATTTAAAAATCGCATCCTCGATTACGTAACTAAAAGTTTAATTGGTATTGAAATAGGTATTATTGTTGCAGTTTTCACAATAAGTGAATCATTTTTATAGATTTGGAGCTCCTGCTTATATGTCGTTCCCTCATTTCTATCTCTCCGACTCTGTGTATAGAAATCAGGTAGAAGGTATGAATCCAGACCCTTCTAAACATGCTACTAAAATATCTTTGGAGCCAAATACGGGTCTGCCCTTAAGAGTATACGCCGCTTTCCAGTTAAATTTATTGATGGAAAGGACGGAAGGAATTAAGTAAGTAAATAGTAGAACTTAAGTTCTTCTTATATAACTTTTCCCAATGCGGTTAAACTCCATCAAATCAGCCAAATAAGTCACTTAAGTTTTGTTTATAAAACCACATGTATACAGTGTGTCAAATAAATAGTGTATCTAACTTTAGTGGCCGATTCTACAGATAAAAATAAAACAAAAGTTCCTAAGAACACGTGCCCTAAAATACTTCCCGAGGAAGTTACAGGCCTCGAAAGGGTAAATAATAATAATGTATTTTTGTTTGTTTTTAAGAACATTGGTAAACCGTTTTTACTGAAATTTGTTATTCTTAGGGTAGGAACATAGTGGAGGCAGGTTTCTGCTTTCCGGCAACCAGCGCCGTCTCTGGGGACCTATTCTTGACCACTCGCATCTTCATATATCGCTCACATCTCGCATCTCCGTGATGCGTATCTCGCATCTACACGTGATGCGTAACTTTGCGTATATGCATCACGTGTATTGTTATATGGCTTTTTCGGAGATGCGAGCAGGGTTCGGAAGTAGTTAATTAAGAGGAAATTGACCTGATTAACTAACCTAACCTAACCTAACCATATTAAAACGCCGCGCCGGAGCCGCACATAGGGGTATTTGGTCTATAAACCTGGCCAAAAGTGATATTTTTTTATTTTCATTTTTTATCTTAACTGAATACAAATCTATAAATACTAAATGTAAGCACGTTTATTAGCTTTTTTAAGTCGTAAGTTGACTATCAAATAAATAATATATTTCAATTATAAGTATGAATTTCAATTAGGTATAAGTATGAATCTTGAGTGTATTCTGAATATTTCTAAGATTATAAAATAGTGGAATTGTTTGTAGTGCTTTTTTGCAAATTGTTTATAATAACTGTCATGATGGATACAGAGCCAGCTGGCAAGTCCTGTTTTATGCCATATTTTTACTTTGAAACGTTTCCTTCTATTCTATTTCTGTATAATGTTTTATATTTAAAAAATCAGAGGCATTTTTATAAAGTGTAAGACTATTCGGCAATATTCCGCATGGAAATTAGTATCCGTTCAATACTTAAAGTCTCCAGCTTTGGAATATGTACAAAAATCTTGCCAATATTTGCCACTGCCAAAAAAAAACATTGATTTAAATAGATTCTTAAAGGAAATAGTCTTTACCCTATAACACCCATCCTCGCTCAAATATCGTCTATAATATACAAATTACTTTCTTGTTCTAGCATCCTCATCCAATTGCTTGGTTTTGCACAGAATGGCCCTATTTGATCGGTGGAAAGGGTTTCAGAGTAGAGGAAAAAATATTGTGTAGGAAAAACAAAATGGGGTTCCATATTAGCACCCTCTTCTCTAATAATTAATATTACTAGCAAAAAAGCAGAAAAATCATAAAACATAATTTTGGCCACTTTTAGTTCTTAATACCCTCTGTGCGCCGTCGGCGCGTGCCAAAGCAGAAATAAATACATTTTCGTTCCGGTAAAAGCGAGAACGCCTATGAACGCTGGTTGACGGCGCCTACCTGCTTTCACTGTGAACTAGCCGATTTGATAACACGCTTTAATTTTTCAAGATTATAAGCGCGAGGCGGCGCTCCGCTACTATATACCCATACACAGGGTGTCCCAGAAATACGTGCAAGTATTTAACTTAACTGGTAGTATAGTTCAACCCCAGAAACACGCCTATGAGGTTTTTTTCTAAATAATTTTTTTTTGAAAATTCGGAATTTTTTGAAAATTTTTTTGGAATTTTTTTTAGTTTTTATTAAAAAAAAAATAATTTCTTTATAATATGGCAATATAGGTAGTAGATTAAATTTACAAGAAAGAAAATCCAGAAAAGATCCAGTGGTTCTCAAACAAATCTCGGAAGTATTGGAAAGAATGTGTAAGGACCAAGAACTATTGACTACAATAAAACGACGGAAAGTAGCATATTTTGGTCATATTTTTCGAAATAACAAATATAGTTTCCTACAGCTGATCGTTGAGGGAAAGATTGAAGGACGACGAGGCATCGGGCGTAAACGGTTTTCCTGGTTGCGGAATTTGCGCCAGTGGTTTAATATAGGAGAGGCCAGTGCAATTATCCGTTTGGCTCAAGAGAGGGAGGAATTCCAATTGATGGTCGCCAACCTCCGATGAGGAGAAGGCACATGAAGAAGAAGGTTTTCAAAATTTTAGCAAAAAAACTTTTTTTTTTGGAAATTTTCAAATTTAAAATAACTCCGTTATTTTGGACTTATTTGAAACACGATAAAGAGAAAATATGTTTCTTTTATCGAGATCTACCACCCTTTAAAATACTTGCACTTATTTCTGGGATATCCTGTTTATAACAATACACGTAATGCTTATACGCAAAGTTGCGACCGATGTCAAGAATAGGTACCCAGATTGACGCCGACTACCAGTAGGCAGTAAACAGAACCTCGCAATTAGTGGAATAAATTAGTGGTTTCAATTAGCGTAGAAGTTTGTTCCTCTAATTTCAATGTAAGCATTGAGAACGTCAAAATTAGTGGTAGGAATTTTCAGTTAGTGGAAAAAGTTAACAAACTTTCAGCGCATGTTCGAAAGTACACATTTCTGTACTTTGGCGCTCAAATTTTTCGTCTTTTGGTGCACTCCTGGAAAGTGAATGTTTTTTAGTTTATATTTTGTTGATTCCGGGGCTATTACTTGCGTTCTATAAAAGTTTATAAATAAATTTATAGTTTCTTTTTTGCGACGTCCGGATTTTGTCCGGATATATACCTTTTAAAAAATGCCGATTCTTTATTCTATGGATTTAGTTTATTTTTCTTTGCGTTGCTTTCTGTGTTTAAGATTTATGTGACAATACACAATAGTTATAAATACGAGTACAATGTAAATTGCTGTCATGGCAGTTGTAGCATGACATGTCAAAATATATTTATTTGTTATTGGGTATGCTGAAGACATTCCACAAAAACGTTGTTTTTAAACTCAATAACTGAAACGCTTTCCATTTGTTGCGAAAACTTTTTAGCACTACTTGTATATCAAAATAACAAGGTCAAACCATAAAAACTATATGAAAAAATTCCTTAAATTTTATGTATCTGTTTTATTTTTTTTAATGTTGCAGTATTCTTTCCAACATAAAAACAACCATGATGCCTTGTTTCTGGTTCGCGCAGAAAGCTGAGCTGTCAAAAGACTTATCTTCAGTAGGGAAAATGTTACTAATCGGAAAAAAGCTAGGGACGTATACAGGGTATGGTTTTCTAGTCGTTGGAGTCATCCTTTTTGGGGGCTTTGTGATATTGTTTAAAAAAAGGTGGCATAAGGAAGGTGAAAGATTACTAAAATAACTACCTGAGATTTTTTTTTGTTATTTTTGTTAGGTTAAGTTTTATTGTATTATGAATGGTTTATATAGGACGTTTTTTACATTGTTGATATAAATTTTAATTGTAGATATTACTACCATTTTTTGAAGACTGGTTTATTTTTAAATTTATATTTTATATACCTACAGTGAACGTCAAAAAGTTCACCAAATGGATTATTTTATGTTACAGCGATCAAAAAAAATTATGCTGAATCAATTTATTAGGCTTAACAACAAATGTCTCTATGGATACCTGGATATTTCGCTACTTGTAAGAATATGAATATTTCGCTAAACCAACTGTAAGAAAATCTACAAAATACAGTAGTTATTTTTTGTAAACACCGCTGTGTGAAACCAACGGAGACGAACTTGCCAACGGTATTTTACTTATAAAACAAATTTTCCAATCGGGCAAGAAAATACTTAACGTTTCAGGAGATATATCTCCATATCCAAACCAAACCAAACCTCCCATCGTGGCGTCGGGATCAAAAGAAACACAAAGAACAAAGAAAAACTATTTAAAATATCTAATTAGAACTATTCAAGAACACTTTAGTTTTTTCAACAGATACATCTATTAAAAACTGTTGACGTTCTAATACAACGGGGGGAAATATACCTCCTGAAACGTTAAGCATTTTTTGTCCGTTAGTCAAATTTGTTTTATTAGTAAAATACCGCTGACAAATTGGTATCCGCTGGATAAACGCAGCGGTATTTACAAAAAGTAACTATTTTATTTCGTATATTTTCTTACAGTGTAAGTGGCGAAATACCCAGAAGACTTTTTTGGGGAAAAGTGAAGTTAGATGACAATATAATGAGTGTCAGAGTTTTCAAAACTCGATTTTAGTTTTATGTACTAATTTTCAAAATTATACAAAAACTTTCAAAATAATTTTTTGAACATTTTCGAACTTGTATAGTCATCTATCTTTATTGTGTCGTAATGAATTAAAAAAAAACTAAAAAAAGTTAATTTCTAAAATAAGGACCTTGTTGCAAGTTTGCAGAAAAGAAATTAAACTAACATATACAAAATTATTTTACACTCTTTTTCAACATTCTTATTGTTGATGTTCTTTTCTAGAGGAACAAAACAATCTGAAATCTGTAGGCAATTTCACTGTATGATCGAAAAATAAAAACAGCGTCCAGTTGGATTGAATCCAATATAATTTTATATACATATAAAATGACAGCGATCTTAATTTGATAGTCATCGCTGACGCCTTTTTTCGATCATACGGTATTTTTCCTTATACTGTATATTAGGAATATTCCTTTTTTGTATTTACTTTGTTTTATGTAATTAGAGAAACTAGGAAACACAAGGGAAAATGTATGACATATCTAATGAAAATCTGAAAAAGGCCAAAAAATTGATATAATGTTGTAAGCCCTAATTTTATATTTTGATAATTATTATTGAAAAAACTGAAACTTTTTACAAAAATTATTTTTTATTTTGCCGCCATAATTAACGTAATTACTTATATTTAATTATAACTTAATATTCTATATTTTGTTAGTGATTTAAAATTTGATTAAAACTGTACACAGAATTAGTGCTTTTATGCACTCTTTCTTCTTTCCTAAATAATACAATAAATATATTTTATTAATTAAAAATTTATTTTGAGAACAAAATATATTTGTCTGTATTTAATCTAGTACTGTGATAGATTTTCTAATATTAACTTTTTGCCATTTAGACTAGGAAGGTGTGAAATATTCATTGGGTGCAATAAATCATTGTTATTCTTATATCGAAATAAAATATTTTTATCATTCGTCACTTTATTTCCTTAAAATACTATAGATTATTATAAAAAAAATAATTTTGAACTGAACCAATTTATAATAAAATATAAGAGATATTTTAACATAAACTATATCTTATTAAACTGAAGTTAACAAAGTGAGTTTTTCATTTAATTGAAGTTGGGTTTTAATGAGCTGTGATAAGCTGATTACCATTAATAAGTCCTTAACATTACTATTAAACATTTCTGAGAACTGTTCTGATGTCATGTGCGGTACAGAATTTACCAAATGCAATAAACTTCTCCCTACTTGGTTATTTGGGGCTTGGCGTTCTGCAAGGACATCTTCAACATAGGATAAGACCTAAAATGAACACAAATTACATAAAATTTACTTTAAAATACCCAATAAATTACTTACCTGGTCTAACAAAGTTCCCATTTTTGATCCTGCTTCAGCAACTTGAGCTAAATCTAACATAGGGTTTGTATTTTTAGCCCTTCCTGAACTACTGATAGTTTTCTGACATAACTGAAGCCCAAAAACTTCAGGGTCATAGCAGGAAATATCTACAGGGATAGAGGTAAACATGCAGCCCTGTTTCCCACTTGGCACACCAAAATTGACACAAACATAGGCTTTTAATCCCATTCGACTGCCCTAAAAATTTAATTTCTAGTTTATAAACAACTTGAGCTAGATATATTCTTATTTACTTGTAAACTTGTATCAACAGTAAGATGAACAGGATTAACACATTCCCTTGAATAATACTCGTGAATAACAGAGCTGTGATTAGTAACTTCATGTCCTGTAGCCCACCAACCAACAATAGTTTCATTGGAGTTTACTCTTCGGTTTAATTCATAAACGTCCATGGCATAGGATAGTTCTGCTTCAACCTGATCATCGTACTCCTTGTGGGGTACACAGAAACAATTAGTAACTTCTACGACACCTTTATCGCAAGTACCTAATTAAAAAATCAAAGCATATGTAGTGTATTATAGGTTAGGATTGCTTGAACATGAAATAACGATAGAAATACTCAAAAACTCAAGTTCTTACCAAGAAGGGTTCCAATAACTCTATGCGAATCAGCATTTCGTCGCTCGTAGGCATCGACAATTTGAAATAAAACGACGGGATGAACTTTAACTGATAAATTAAGAGCCATTTTGGCAGCGACCGAAAATCTAAATGACAAATGACAGACCTGACAGACTGCTTGTCAAATATGACACTTGTCATTTCTGGTAATTAAATGTGACCACTACAATTTGAAATAAGACCCTAATTTTTATTCAAAATCCGAAAATGTATTTGATTTTCTTTTGAATTATTTTTCTTTAAAACAAGATTTATTGAGCCGGAATTTTGTTATGGTTAATTTTACGTGATAAATCTGCATATTGTACGTGTTTTATACCGTCTGGAAGACTAATTTCATGTTGTAATTCGATAAAATTGAGCCTTCCTGTTGAACGTTAATGGCCAACAGCAAAATGGTTTGGCGGCGAGCGGGCCGATTCGGATATGCGTTGTTTTGGCATATCTGCAATGCAGGCGTGCCTCGTTTCTCTACTCAGTCAAAAGCGTGTGCGGGATTGATATTTCTGGGTAAATATTTCGGTCGTGAAACTAGGCGTGTTGTTAAAAAATTAATTTACAAATAGCACACCCCTCCCCGCCCATCTTTTTATTTTTGTTTACAAATGGATATCTCGTCTCCCCGATGAACTGTTTATGTTCTCACTATGGCAAATATAGAAGCAATTGAGGAATAATTCAAGTGTTAAATCGCGTGCTGGTTTTAATATTACGTGACCTTCTCGATTGAATTTCAATGACACGATCGCAAAGAGATGTAAAATGAAGAAGAATGGGTCTGTATAAGTTGAAATATATTGAGACTTGAGACAAATTAAAAGTAAACAAACACATATCAAGATGAGCAGTTCCGAGGATAGTACTTCCACGGAATATTCGACTGATTCGTCGGACGAAGATGGAATGGAAACAGCTTTAATATGCGGTACAAAACTCCAATTACCTCAGGGGCTATGTGACAAACAAGATATATTTGAAGAGTTTTTCACAGTGGACTTGTGGAATTCTTTCTCAGACGATGATAAAGAACACTTACAATCATTTTTACCCAACTTTCCCGAAAACGATGACTTAGAAAAAACGAAAACTTTGCAGAGGTTGTTTGATTTTAAGAACTTTAGGTTTTCAAGCCCTTTAATTAAGTTTTACGAGCAACTAAAAGCTGGATACTTTAGACCAGACATTGCTCAGATGCGAAAAGCTATCCATAAAGCTGAAAAGAAGGAAGGGAAATATAGGTTTAGGAGTTTTAGGGAACAGTTAAAAAATGAAGTTTTAGAATCTCAAGAAAAGCATCTGAGCCAAATAAGGTGTTTGCCTCCTGGTGTAGAAATTAAACAAGAAAAACGAAAGTTTGTTATGGACTATGTACCTCAAAGGACTAAAAAACGATATTTTCAAATTTTGGGTTCAATCAAATCTAAAACAGACGATACAGATCTTTCTTCAGATGAAAATTACCCAGAAGGCCCACCTGCAGCATTGTCACGTAAACAAAAAAGACACCTGAATAGTATAAGAAATCATTTGAATAATACAAAAGAAAGAATGTTTGGCTCGACTATGGTAGCTAAGTTAAATGGATTTTCTATCGATTTGGAAAAATATGTAGTGTCTCATTATAATCCTTTTTATATAAATGATGAATCCTATAAAACTATGTTGTATCAGCATAAGAAAAGGAAAATAGATAACTGTGATCCTCAAGAACTGAACCTGGAAGGTAGGATTTTAATACTTGTAAACTTTTATAAAATTATATAGTACAAGAAGTGACAGTCATCTAGGGCCTAAAAACAAGAATGTAATTCATACTGGGAGCTAATATTTTTTTATTTACTGGAGGTATATTGAAAATAAATTCATATTAATTTACTGTTATTTGATAATGATATATGGAAAGTATTTAAACAATATTAATTATGACTGAAGCTTGGAGCTTTTCAATATTTTATTCAAACTTTTTTAAGGACATTTAAACTTCAATCCCAGTACATTATTCTACATTTGAAGAATTTTTAAAATAGTACTTTTAATTTTTGATTTGAGAGTCAATATGTGACTTCCAGTTCAGGAATTATTTAATTTACAGGAAATTTCTAAATTTATTTTAGAAGAATTACATGATTTCCTTATCTTTTTTCTTATCTGTATTACATCTATTATACTGGGTGGGTCTCAAAAGTGGCTCATCCCTATAACTTAGTTATTTTTTTCAGATAAAAAAAACAGATTTGTTATGTTAAGAAATGACACAAATTAGGATTGATTGATGTATTCAATTGTTTTCGGTCACTTCCTGTTTCACTGCAGATGGTTACAACTTTTGATTTTTAAATACAAAAAAAATTAAAATTTAATTTAAACCAAACCAAAAAAAAATTAAAATTTAATTTTTTTACTTTATCCGATAGAAAATGACACTCTGAATAGAATGACATCATATTTTTGACATTTTCGCGGTTTATTTGAAATCTTTTTTGAACAGTCGGTTTATAACGATAATTTGACTCAAAATATCAAGTGTGGTACTTGTGGTAGTAAGATTTGTTTTTAAACAAAAGTGCCAAAAGTTGACATATGAAGTCATTCTATTCAGAGTAAACCACATCCACAGCAATCAATCCTAATTAATGTCATATACCAAATCTCGTTTTTTTATCTGAAAAAATAAAAAAGTTATAGGGTTGAGCCAGTATAAATTATTTATCTAAGAAATATATGTTGTAGTAATTTTATGATGTATTTTTTTAAAAATTTTACTGGTAAACTTACAAAGTATACCTACATTTTCAGAGAAATATGTAAAGATAGAGGGTCTATCTATCACTTTTATACTCTATTACTTTTCCAATAATCTTTTTTAGTTTATTTCATAAAAACAGCATGGTATATATTTTCAGGTATTTCAATATCAGACATAGTGAACAGAACCCAACTGCCATTCATCAAAAACCTCCAAAACAAATCTCCCCAATCCGAAACTATTTCTAAAAACTCACGAAAAAGGCAAAGAAAAGAAAATCATCACAGAAAATCATCGGAAATGCCAAAAATCAGCTCACATTTACTGAACAATCATAGCTCAAATTCTGACAGTGATTCAGATTCGATTATAGATGCAGTTACTATCCCTCCAAGCAATAAAAGGATCAAAACAAATAAACCTACTAAAGTCATAGCTCAGAAAACTTTATCACCTGTCATTAAAGATGAGATTAAAACTGAAGAAATTGACGTTGTTGATCATCCAGTTATTGAGTCTCCTTCATCTTCAAATACTCTGAACCTCAATGAAGTAGCTGTGAATTCGATTAATACAACTATACCATCAATTTCGACAAGCTTCAGCAAGATTGCCCAAATAAAGATGGAAGATTTGGAGACTATAGATATAATGAACACACCAATAGAGCTTGATAGTTCAGAAATAGACATTATGGGGTTGAGTATCAAGCCAGAACTGATGCAAGATACACATGCTAGCTTCTTTTCTTTGGTTAGGGATATAATATGTTCGACCAGTGAGCATAGGATGAACATGTACACGCTGCAGGAGAGGTTGAAGGCTTGGCAGGAGAATCCTATATCTCCTTTGAATGATTGGTATAGGTTAGTATGTCAACTGTACTTTGAATATAAAGATTAAGACCGTGCACACACGGGTCGTCTCAAACTCGAAGCGGAAGCGTCTAGAACTCTACTTCCTATGTAAATAATAGTAGGTCCACAAACGGGTCGTCTGGCGGTCGACGCGGATTTCGAGATGCTTCCGCATCGAAAGCCAGAGGACCCTTGTGCGGACGGTCTAACGCTTCGTCCTACATGGGAGACAAAAGCGCGCGATTCGAGCGGTGCGAGCGACGCGTATTTATCAAACACCGTTTTCTTGGGAAGTTGTCCTAGGTAGTAGATTCGCGCGACTGAAGCGGCATCGGAGGCGATTGAAATATGTAGCGCGAGTCGCGCTCATCGCCCTATGCGCGCTCATCGCCCTATGTCGTCGCACGCGGCGCCAGCTCGCTTTTGTCTCCCACGCAGGACGAAGCGTAAGAGCCAAAAAATACGAGGCGGTTTAAGGCGTCGTTGATCGTAACCGCTTGCGCAAATTAATATGTCAATCAATCCCGACGATAGTCCCGATAAATTAAAAAAAGCCTGTTAGAAACAGTGGCGGCTCGTGAGTATATAGGAAGGTGAGGCTAGATAATTTTGTTTACGGATACATTTTCTCACCTATGAAGTATTATTCTGCGACGCGTTATCCTTTTTTTTAATGGTACCAATCCTATTAGGTTTATTACCAAGATATTTTAAAAGTTCTTAAATACCTATTGCCTACCTTGCCTCTTATCGTTAATTATTGCGGAAATTTTTGACTCCTTAATATTTATTTGTCTTTTCAGTTTCATTTCGTCTTAGAAAAGGAGTTTCAAGTACAGAAAGAATTATAAATAGGATTTATTTTAAAGAAAACACTAAAATTCAACTCCTATTTGTTACTTCAAAATAAATAAAATAAATCTTACCGGCGAAGAAAAGCCGAACCTTCAATTTTAAAAACTCCTAAAATTCCACCTTACCTGTGTAATCAAGTTAAAAATACTGTATCTATTAACCACAAAATAATTTAAATTTAGAAACATCAACAATCTAAATAATTCTCGCCCTAAATGTCTAAATAAAAAACATACGCTGTCTAAAAAACATACGCTGATTAATTCACCCACGCTGTGTTTTCACTACACCGGCCAGCCACCGGCACTTTAACTTTCATGCATACGAGATCGAGACTTTGTCACATTTTTCAATAGTCAATAGGTAGATGATTTAAACTACCAATGAAAACACACCCGAGCGCCAAAAATCTCGCCTCAACCCTGGGATCGAAAATGCGTACCCCATCGTCGGCCGCCGCTTCACCGGCGTCACATGATTTTAAATTGTCGCTGCTAATAGGTAGGCACATTTTATGTCGGTGTGACAGTCTGGCAAATGTGCGGTTCCAGGTAATAGGCAATGATAGGCCATTGCCAAGGAGCTACATGGAGGGTTCAGTCTCCAAGTTGCTAAACTTTGTGAAAAGGATAGGACTGGAGAATGTAATCTAAGGATCAGAAGAGGACCACAATAGACCTGAGAAGGTCGCAGTGGATCAGGCCGAAAGCCACCTCTAAGAATCTAATCTAATCTAATAGGTAGGCAATTCGAATTTTCAAGCTAGAATTATTTCTCCTCTGTCGAGTCGCGTTCTTTTTGGCTGGGTTTTCGCGGACTTTCACTAGACCTGGATGTATATATAAAATATATTTTTTTTAGTTTTATTATGTTGAATGTGTTGTAGAATTGTAATAAGTTTTACTAGGATTAAATAAAAAAGTAGATACAAAAAATAAATCGCTCCCTCATTTTAAAGGTGAGGCGCGGCCTCGGAGGCCTACCCTGACGAGCCACCACTGCACTGGTTAGAACACTAAGATCCGACCGAACCTTATAGTACGAGAGCTAGCAACATCGGAAAAACAAGTATTTTAAGACGTCTGGCTCTTTGATACATCTTTTACTATGCTCTCTAGAACAGCATGCCGCCCGTCTGGCTGCCGGTAAACGTTGCGTTCCCTACTGCGCATTGAAAGAAGATCCTATATTTTTATTAGTCCTTTAAATTCTAGTATTGAATATAAATCGAACATGTCTCCATAGCGCAGTGCGTAGAGTTTCCGAACACGAACCGAAGATTCAGAGTTCAAATCCGGGTCAGGTCAAAGACTTTTTTATTTTTATTTTCGTTTATATTATGATAGTAAAGTATTAAATAGTTGGTTTTTTTTAATTACCAGAATTATTTAATACTTTACTATCAGAATATAAACGAAAATAAAATAAAAAAGTCTTTGACCTGACCCGGATTTGAACTCTGAATCTTCGGTTCGTGGTCGGAAACTCTATGCACTGCGCTATGGTGACATGTTCGATTTATATTCAATACTAGAATTTATAGGACTAAATTAATAAATAATATAGGATCTTCTTCCGATGCGCAGTAGTAAACGCAACGGGTATCGGCAGCCAGACGGGCCGCATGCTGTTTCAGAGAGCATAGTAAAAGATATATCAAAGAGCCAGACGTCTTAAAATACTTCGTTGCTAGCTCTTAGACTATTAGATTTTTAGATCGAGACCGAGAGAAAAATAAATTCTCGGCCGAGAACGAGACCGAAACACGATGCAATATTTATTCAATAGTTATATGTAAAGAATATTGTCAATAATATGGAAAAAAATCTGATAATGTAATAAAAACGTTATTTACATGCAGAGACGGTTGGCTTATTGGGAATTTAGTACTATAAAATTACTAATACTAATAATATTACTTTTTTCTCTATGTTATAGGCTAAAAAAGTAATTTTTCAGCATTGCATCCTTTCAAATTGTGCAGTGTTTCATCATAATCTTTCTAAAAGTTTGCTAGAGACGCTTGTTGGTGGTGCAAACTAGAAATGTATAAGCTGCTGGTTTTAGAACTCTGTATGGAGGTGAATAATTACACATAAAAATGTTACTTATTAGTAGGATATATGAGTAATTTATATAAAAGCACAATTCTGTTAAATTTATAAAACTTAATTAATAAGACTTAACATCTAACATTTCGTTCATTGTTTACGCATAGAAATACGAAGGCGATTCTTCAGCTGTTCGGGAAATCCCCTTCATGATTCAATCAGATCATATATGGACCATCCACGCATCGATAGGTGAAGCGATACGCTCAAAAATAAGCTAATTTAACGATTGTGAGTAGTCTCGGCCGTGGCCGATAATCTCGACCTTTTTATGCCGAGTACGAGACCGAGATCTCGGCCTGATTTTTAGCCGAGAATGACTATTACCTATAACCGAGATCTCGGTTAAGAAAACCTCCTTAGAAAACACCAAACATAAACAACAAAGATTTGAAGCTATAAAAATGTTTTATATGTATAACATTTTGATCTTAAGAAAATATTCTTTATTTATACGAAAATTCATATAGTATTTTTTTTATTTAGTTATGTTGACAATTGGATCAATATTCTGCCCTCTGCAATAACGTTCCTTTGTGGAAATGCTTCTGAGCAGCCTGATGACTTTGTTCCTTACATGGAGTACAAGCAGCTTTTGGACGCCTACCAATGGATTGGTGCAGGAAGAGATTCAGATCCGCTGTTGTCGTCTTTGTGTAGTTTTTGGTTACAACATAGAACTGAGAATAAGCTGGTGTCACCGACTGAAATTGACATTGACATAGCTGATAGGTAATAATTTATTATTTCAGAGAATTAAGTACACCTAGGAGGGTTGGAAACATTTTTTTGATGTAAAAAATATAAATTTTTGTTTAAGAGTAATAAATAAAGTTTAAAAATGTATAAAAGCTATACTATCTACAGAAAAAAAGACTATAGATCATACCAGATAGACTTTTAGTCACATGATTAAGCTTGAATGGCACAGCGTTGCCATTCAAGCTTAATCTTGTTTACATGTTTTCTTTTAATCAAAATATTTTAGGATTAGGAAACAAAAATGATTTAATTATAAATGTATATAAACAGTTATTATCTACAACAATGCTCACCTCCTTAACAGTACTTAATGGACATAAAGGGCTATTTACATTTTGCACTAAAAGCGGTTCCAAAAAAAACTGTTTAGTCTGCTAGTAAAAAATTTTCTCGAAAAGAACTCATAAAAAACTAAAGTGTTAAAACGAATGACAGTGTCAGAAATTAAATAAATAAATGTGGCAACTTGACATTTTTTACAGTAGAGCTACAATCTGGATCGTCAGCAGGAAATTTAAATTCCAGTTAGTCAGCTTGATGCCAAATATGTCTATGTTTGACAGCAATCAATTTAATAATCGCGCCCTCTATGACGTAACTAAAAGTTTATTTGGTATCGCTTTAACCCTTTCGCTGCGGGTGCCGCATATAAGCGTGATTTTATTTGCGTGTCACCTCTGCGGATGACGCATTTATGCGAATGGCTTCCCCGTCTCGCTGCTGTAGACGGATATTGTCGAATAATGGTTTTTACACTATTTTTGATGAGAATGACCCAATCGCCAGATGACCTGGCTGATGATGATTTTTTCTTTATTTTAGAGTTTTATTTGCATTTATAAATAATTTATTTAATTAAATAAAGCAGCACTAACAAAAAAAATATATTAATTAAATGAAATACAAAGACGAAACAAAAATTAAATTAAAATTTTGAAAAATTGACGCTTTAGTGCGGATGACGCATATGAACGCAGCACTGAGGGAATTAACGTCGCGTCGAGCGCGCCGCAGCGAAAGGGTTAAATTTCACAAATCATTCAATTTATATGTTCCATCACTCAGAATTTTTGTTTTGCTTTGATAAAAAAAATTACTTAAGATGAAACTAACTTAAAAATGTAAACAAAATTGAATTTTGAAACCTGAATACTGACTTATATGATAACGTCAGGCGACTTTCAATTATTAATTTTATTTTTGTTTAGGGACAGCACACCGCCTCCACCTAGATGTCCTACTACGTGGATAGTAAGGAAAGCCACTCCAGAAGAAATAAGGGAATACAGGGATCAAGAACGCAGGCGATATGATAATCCACATAAGGTAAATAATTGTTTTATATAAAATCTTATATTGGATATGGATTTATTTATTTTGGGTTTAACTATAATTAGAAAATATGATTAATAAACGCATATAAATATTTTTATATTCATACATAAACATCGGAAGAGACGTGAAACGTTAACCCCTTTGAAACATCAGTTTTTGTTGACTTTTTTCTTGACAAGCTTACATTTTTGTGAATTTGTTGCGCTTTTCTGCATTTATTAGTCATAATTTCTTGTTTATTTTACAGCTTGTTTTATGCAAAGTGCATAAATGTGGAAAAATCAGGAATTGAGTTACAGTGATATTATTGTGAAGGTTAATAAGAGACTTCAAAACAGGAGCGTGTATAGTAATTTTTTGGGAGGGAGCCCAAATAACAATTAATGTAGAATATGCCTTTTGGGGTGCGATATTTAATCCAATATTAAATCTAATATTTAACCTATAATCTTTAACGGGGGTCCGGGCCTCACGGGCCCCTCCCTTGTATCCGCCATTCCTTCAAAAATAGTAATTTTTAATGCATACGATCGTTCCTAGTCTAAAATAAACAGGAAGAATAGTGGAACAGCTTTTTACTATGATGTTTTTTTTTATGATAAGAATAGTAAACTACCTCATCCAATTAACAAATTCATTTTTAAGCAAACTGATTGTGTTTTTGTTCTATAGTTCAGTCATTGGGGATCAAGAAAGGGGCCTGCTTGGAAAAAAGTCCGGAAGTTTTGCAACTTTGCAGGTGTATAGGTTTTGGGGTCCCTAACTAAAATCCATAAAAAGCACATTTCCAGACTTGCCGCCATCTTGCCAAGATGGCACCCAAAATCGGTATTTTGTGAATATCTCGAAAACTATGCGTTTTTCGCGAAAATTTGAGGAGAGAAAAATTAAAGAGAATAAAATTTCCTGTAAATAAGGTTTTATGAAAATTTTCGCTAAAGTCAACCGTTTAGGCACAAAATCCCTGGAAATTTTACAATTTTGCGTAAAATATGATATATTATGTATAGTCGATTTTCCGAAATCAAATGTCGATTAGGGTTCAAAACTAGTTTTAGTTTAGTTTCTTGAATTTTGTCATAAAACAGCAGGATTAAAATTTATTTTAAATTTATTTTTGATTAATTTAAAAAAAAGCGCCATATACTTTACCTCTTGGGTGGTGTGGAAACAAGTACACATTTTCAATAATTAAAATTAATTATTCATAAATTAATGAGCGAATTAATTATACGCCACTGTTTTATGACAAGATTGAAGAAACTAAACTAAAACTAGTTTTAGTGAACCCTAATCGACATTTGATTTCGGAAAATCGACTATACATAATATATCATATTTACGCAAAATTGTAAAATTTCCAGGGATTTTGTGCCTAAACGGTTGACTTTAGCAAAATTTTTATAAAACCTTTTTTATAGGAAATTTTATTCTCTTTAATTTTGCTCTCCTCATTTTCGCGAAAAACGCATAGTTTTCGAGATATTCACAAAATACCGATTTTGGGCGCCATCTTGCCAAGATGGCGCCGGCGGCAAGTCTGGAAATGTGCATTTTATGGATTTTAGTTAGGGACCCCAAAACCTATAAACTTGCAAAGTTGCAAAACTTCCGGACTTTTTTCCAAGCAAAAATCCCCAATGACTGAACTACTATCATTTATTTAGTTATTCCAGTGGCGTTTCTATGTTTTTTATATTAAAAATTTAATTAATTTATTTATATGTATTACAATTTTTTTTTCAATTTATTTTAATTTTTTACATTTATTGACTGAGTGTAAAATAAAACCAGGAAGTTATTGAGGGAACCGCAAATACCTTTGCATTCTCTCAAAGTTTGTTGATTCCATTTTTTCTTAATATTTTTTTTCTCGAACTAAATAAAACGATTTTTACAAGATTCAAGTAATCTTAACTGTGAGATAAATGAACTACTTTCTCTTTATTTCTTCCATAGGCCTTTACTTATCGATGCAACGGATACGAATCAGTAGTAGGCCCCCTGAAGGGCATCTACAACCCCGCATCGGCCAATACCAAGGCTCGTGGCCACACAATGCTCAACGCCAACCGACCAAACTTTGTCACTATCCTCTCTCTAGTGAGAGATGCCACTGCCAGACTGCCCAATGGCGAAGGGACCAGATCAGATATCTGCGAACTTTTGAAATCGTCGCAGTACATATCGAACACTGCCCCTGATAATGTTTTGCAATCTGTGGTTTCTGGTGCTTTGGATAGGATGCACACTCAGTGGGATCCGTGCGTTAAGTAAGTCTCACTATGGTATACCGATCTGGTCATCGAAATTGCATGGTCTGCATTTTAATAAGACAGTGATGTAGACAGCTTAATGGAAAATCAAATTTATTAAAGGGAGATAAAAGTTGGGTTGATAATTTCTTCTATGCAGTATTGCCAGATTTTGCATCAAAATTTGAAACTGCACAAGTAGGCTTTATGAAAAATGTTGCAACTTTATTTTTCACAATTAGTTACTCATTTTACTACAGCTGTATTAGATTAGATAGATAGATAGATAGATAATTCTTTATTTATTTCCTTATTGCATAATTAGTGTTGTAAATGGAAATATTTCCGTTGGAATTGAGTTACATTATTTATTTAATGTAATAAATTACTAATTTTTATTAAAATTTATAACACTTATGTACAGTGCTACCTACAGCAAATTCCCCCCAAAAATATTGGTATTTAAGATAATTACAAAACGCCTATTTTTAAAAGTTTTAACATTCTGTAACTTTAAAACTATGCATTTCCGCACCTATGTTAATAAAAACTTTTTATAATAATATTTTAATCCGTTGGAAAGATTGGAAATTTCCAAACGTGTCTCGGAAATATTGGAAATATTTTTAAAAATACTTAAATCTTGTCATTAACGATTCAAACCCGATTTTTATTAATATATCTTTCATATTTTGTAACCCTATAAACATTAAACTTACTATGTATAGGACAGTTTTACAAACATATAATAAGGTGAATATATCGAATTTGAGGATTCACCAACTTATTTGCAACCTCGCATTTGTACGGGGAAGTCCCGGGCTGCGTTCAGGTATTGCGGACGACAGTCTGTTTGGACGTGACGTAACAACCTAGAGTTGTTTGTTCTTGTTCCACTATATTAAAATTATATTAAGATGTCTCTCTCTATAAGAATATCCTTTATTTTAGAACGTAAAAGGACGTAAATTTTATGTCTGGAGTGCATCTACCCTGAATATCTGAACGCAGCCCCGAGCTCGTAGGTCGTAGCGTAGGGGAATCCCTGATCGACAATCGACATAAACATCGTATTATTTGCTAAAGGAAGAACGTGAGTGCCGCAGTTCGTTATTAGAAAATACTTTTATACATTATACGTTGTGTAAAGTATATTTTGTAAGATTTGGAAGTTTATTTTTGTTTTTTTGTTAGTGTCAATGGTTAGTGAATTTTAAAATGGGGAAAACAAAAGACATTGTTTGGAAGTATTGCATTTTTAAAGGAAACAATATTTACCAGTGCATGTATTGCAGTAAAACGTTTTTTTTTAAATGCATCCATGATGAAGATACATCTAACTAAAGTTTGTAAAAACTGTCCTAACCAAATCAAAAGAAAATTTATGCAGCGTGGCGATGAGGAAAATGCCTCATCAAGCGACAATGACAATTAATGTGTGTTGGTAAATAAAAGCATTTTGAGTGATAATTCCACTGTTATGGCCTCTGAATCAGAACGGCCAGTTCCAGAAATACAGCCACCACAACCGTCAACCTCAAGTTTTCCAGCTAGTAATGCTAGTAGTGCTAATACTATTAGCAGTTCCAGTATTGACATTGATCTCGAAATTCCGCTATCCATTAAAGCTGCTACTTCTTTAATGAAACCTGCAACTTCTAGAAGTATTTTTGAATTTACGTGTGGTTGTGTGTTTTTACAACAATATACAATTGATGTTAAATATGACACAGGGCGCTCTTATCACTGTTTAGAAATTCCGCGAGGGAATAAAAAGCTTAAAAAAGGAATTATATTTAGCTTAAATATATTATCTTCATTTCAGTAGCATGCATTAAAGTTTTTAAAATTGTTTATTTTTTTTACACATATTTTTCGACAAATGTAAAAACCGGCAACGCTGTATGCCGCTTTTTGTTTTGCCTCCCTGTCTCCCAACTGACTGGTCATTTATATTTATCTCTGTTACATGCATTAAAATACAGACCACGCAGATGAAGTGACCAGACCTAGTATATTACAGGGAAACTATTTAAATTTTTATTTCATTTTAACATCCAATACGACGTTCTCAGTTCTATGTGACTACTTTTATTTTGAAATTATCTGGTTAATTTAAATTAAATAAAATGATATTACAATTTTAAACGATGGTTTATGTATGTTAAAAAGTTAAAAAATGCATTTTTACCTTGTTAATGAAAAGTAAGGATATGTATATTATATTTTTAGAGAGTTCATGATAAGACAAATAAAATAAAAAAAATAATATACAGGGTATATTTTAAAAAACATAAATTTGAGTCTTATTTTGTATAACCATCTCAAACCAGAAATCCAGTGCATGGCTTTCTGGGAGGCCTGGATCACCCTGTATTATTAATTTAATTTTGACGTTTAAATTACAGGTATGACCAGAAACGAAAGATCTGGATCTATTTACACAGGCACAGAACGGAAGACGACTTTGAAAGAATCCATCAACACTATCAAGGCGTGCAGAAAATCAAGAAAACTGCGAGAAAATCGCCCGCCAAACCCAAGGCCAAGGGAGAGAAAGGTTCAAAGTCTAATAAACAGAAGGCAGCAGTTGCGGCAGCTTCTAGCGCTACCGCTGTACCTGTGAGCATACCCGAGCAAAACGATTCCACTGAAGCGCAGGCTACGGTGGAGATAGAAGATTTTTCAGAAATCAAACAAGAAGTCGTGGAAGCTATCGATATCCTGGTAAGATTTCATTTATTTTTTGAAGAGATGCTATATACAACATTTTTTTATCAAAAATATTATATATTGTGTAGACCGTGTGGTGCATCAGAACACGGGACATAGTAAATCACATGTAAATTTTGAAAGTATCAAATATCTCCCCGTATAATTTTATGCAAAAGTTGTATTGGACTTTTTTGAAGAGGTATTAAAGTTGTACTGTTGTCTAGAATTTTGTTTCATTTGGAATAGTCATTTAAAAGTTATTTGCAAAAATCTACCTTCAAATTTGTAAAATTTATAATACGGCTCAGCGAAAGCTACAATTAAAATACCAGTAAAAATTTGATTGTGTGATTGTTAAATTCGATGTCACAATTTGTTTACAAAAATTTGTAGGTACCAAATGGCGTAATCTATACTAATAAGTGACTGACATACTGATTAATCACGATCCTGCTCAAACCACTCAACGTAAAAAGGTCAATTTTGGCATACAGGTTGATTCTAGGGTGTAGAGGTTCGATAAGAAGGGATTTTTCGAAATTCCAGTTCCAAGAGGGTGAAACCACCCCTCAAATATTACAATATTTTTTATTTAAAAAACGGTCAAGTTTCCGAAAAAAACGCTTAAACACGTATATTTTATTTTGTTTTTTTACATATTTTAAGATTTTTTAAAAATGTATACAGGGTGTTTCGAAAAATCTGGTCATTGATTAATCACGATCCTGCTTAAAGAGCTTGACGTAAAAAGCTGATTTTTGGAAAACAGATTGACTTTAGTGTATAGAGGTTCGATAAGAAGGGATTTTTCGAAACTCGAATTCTAAGGGGGTGAAACTATCCCTCAAATATTAAAATATTTTTTTATTTAAAAACCGGTGAGTTTTTCGGAAAAACTCTTAAACACGTATATCTTATTTTGTTGTTTTACATATTTTAAGATTTTTTATAAATTTATACAGGGTGTTTCATAAAATATGACCATTGAGTAATCACGATTCTGCTTAAACTGCTTGACGTTTAAAGCTGATTTTTGGCAAACGGATTGACTGTGGGGTGTATAGGTTCGATAAGGAGGGGTTTCTCGAATCTCAAATTCTAAGAGGGTAAAAACGCCCTTTAAATATTACAATATTTATAATTAAAAAAACGGTTAGTCTTTCGGGAAAACGCTTGGACAAGCATAATTTATTTGGTTTTTTTACATATTTTGAATTTTTTTAAAAAATCATACAGGGTGTTCCAAAAAGTTAGGTAATTTCTTAACCACGATTCTGCTTAAACTGCTTGACGTAAAAAGCTTATTTTTGGCAAACGGATTTTTCGAAAATAAAATTCCAACGAGATGAAACTACCCCTCAAATATTACCAAGTTATATAATAATATCACCATATTGTTTTTTCTCATGTTGACATAAATTTGAGAAAAATTTATCCAGTTTGTATGTTAATGGAAATTCTTGCTTTGCTTTATCATCACCATTACAAATGATTAATTCGACGCGAACGAAGTCGCTGGTACACGCTAGTTTTGTATAAAATAATTATGAATTTCACAAGTTCTGAAAAAGTTACGATGGTTAAATGGCCTTTTGCTGGAAATAGTATTCCCGCTCTGTTAGATATGTTCGCAGCTCAGTCTCTGGAAAGCCTAGTTTTCCTATGTTCCGCATTCCGATGCCACCACACGGTATATAATATATACAGAATAACATACTTAACTAATTTACTCTAAACAATTAAAAACTATAAGACTTTATTTAATAACGACATAAAAACCACATAATAACAACAAATGGTTAATTTCTGATGAGTGCTTCTTATATACCCAAAGATGTCACTTCTAGTTAAAGTTCTGGAAGTAATTTTCCAGAACTTTAAATAGAAAGCATCATAGATATCTTAGTAATAGAGCATCATTTATCGATTCCCTTTATCGTCGACTTATCATTCTGTTTATCATCTTATAAATATATTGTCAGAAGATGGTCGTTTCGTACAAAGACGTCGCTAATCATTTTATTATGTGACTTCTGTAAATAACGTTATTGTTTTAGGAAACTGTTGATCAACAAGGCGTTAAACACTACCAAACATCCGATTCTATCATAAAAGTTTCAGCGCTGCACAAACCTAAAAACGTCAGACGACAGAGCTTGCTACAGAATAAGGTAGCCAATACCTTGGACGAAAAAATAGTAGTCGGCCTTCCAAGTTTGGTCAATACTACTCAGAAGACCACTAGTCTTCTTTTAAGCAATAATCCATCGAAACAAACACTCCAAGAAGTAAGTCATATTTTTTCTATTTACAGGTAAAAATATGATTTTTCTGAATACTTCACAAGGAACTAAGGAAATAATTAAACACTGTTTTATATATGTTCATACATTAACGGAAGGAACCTCATCATAGCTATTTTGTTTGTTCAGCTTTTCTTTATTTATTTGGTATTGTCTCATTTATTATAGGTTTGTTCTAACATATTATATATTTATAGTAGAAACTAGAAATCCGTCCTTGGTATGGTTACACTTATGCGCACTAGAGGAAATGCGTTTCATCAACCGTGTTCGAAACGGTGATTTCGATACCAACCTAAAAGCAATATTCAAAATAACTGAGCTGCGTATTAGCTGATTATTGTTTCTTTTATTTCTTTGGCTATTTTCTGTTTTTAATTTGTATATTCCTCAAGTTTTATTTGGAATTTATCGTTTATACACAAATTTTAAATAAGTATTTTTATATTTTTGTACTAAACTAAATGATGAGTGACCAAGAGGACAGTGATATTGAGTATGTGGATACCAATGAAGATGTAACTGTTCAAGTTGATACATGCGTACAAATCCGGTGCTGACGATTCCAATTACTATTCCAGAACGGTACAAGTTTCTGTGTTGGAAGAAACCTTATATAATTCGTTTTATACAGAGTGTATGAATCTGCAAAGATTTTGTCAAAACTTAAATTACTTTAAATTACTGTGAGAGCATTCTGAATATTAGACGCTTCAAAAATTGTTACTTGAGTAGTGGTGAGTTGAGATCAGAATAAAAAAAATGAAATAAGTAACCAATTAATTATAAGATTGTTTTTAGATTTATCTACTTAAATAAATTATATTGAAACCTCTTTGCAAATTCTCAAAATTCTTTAAACCACTTAATTTTCAATATTGATATTTTGAAAAATTGATATTGTTGGACCGACTTGTATTTTTACTATATCTTTTTCTAGACTGTTCAGACTGGTTCTCCAACATCCTCACCTATGAAAACTCAATCTCTGATTAAACAGTCAATCAGAAAAGACTCAGTTGACCAGGAATCGCCAGAATTAGTTCAGATATCTGGTGTTCTCAAGGGCAAAGGTCAGATGGTGAAGATAATGTCACCTTCTCAAGGCAAATCCGTCATTATTCCCACTTCAAACCCGCAAATTTTGAAGCAGATCCAGGAGAAACCCGTTAAGACGCAACAACAGTATATACATGGTGTTGCGTTGCAGTCAAAGCAGGTGAGTTCAGAAATAGTCATTTATAAAAAGGTTTTTTAGCAAAAATTACATAAAACGAAGTAAATCCAACAATTTATAATGCAATATTTTTTTTATTACTCTGAATAGATAGATCTCTCTTATAATTGTAAAAAATATAAAATTCTAAACTTGCTGTAATTGTATATTTAATTTCAAACTAAAATAAGGCTTTTTTATACAGCATTTTGAATTTCTTTTTAGAAATCTGGCACAAAATTGGTTGAAATATCAAATACTGACACTATCAAGCAAATAGACAAAAACAAGGCTGGAGTTAATATTCAACAAGTGTTGCAAACTACTGGCAATCAGAACGTTAAAAATATGACGCTTCTAAGACCACATGGTGCAGTTCAGAATATTTCTCTAGCTTCAGTCAACGTGCATTCGACTAACGAATCGCAACAAAATTTGCAAAACATTGTTACAGTTGCTGTATCAAAAGGGATTCAACAAAATGAGGTAGATATTTTGATTTGTCTTGTATGAAATATAAACTCATCGGCAAAAGTCTTGCACCCCCTTACTATTTTAATAAGAAATTACATTCCAAACTAATTTTTCGTGGAAATCAATAGATGCTATAGTTATGTTAAAAAATAACACAAAAAAGGGAAAATTTTCACCAAGTTTAATAATATATTTTGCCAAAATACAAAAAAAATGCAAATTCCATGAAAAAAATGTTTGACAAAAAAGAGAAAATAAATAATAAATTCTGACAAAATTAAGGTTACTAATATAAAGTATTGCCTCCTCGATTTGTTATGAGTGCATCAAGTCGTCGGGGCATCTCCGCTATAAGGTTGTTTATGGTTTCTTGAGGTAAGTACTGCCATTCTTCTTGAGCGGCAATGATTAACTCCTGGCGATTTGTTGGTGGGTTATTTCTGTTAGGTTAGGTTACAAAAAAACGAAATACAGCTCTGGCGATGTAGTCCCAGACATGTTCAATAGGATTCATATCGGGGAAGAGTGGAGGCCAGTCCAGACGAGTTATTTCCCCTTCATTTAATGCTTCCTGGACCATCCTAGCTCTGTGAGGACGAGCGTTATCATCCATGAGAACAAAATTATTGCCGATTTCTTCTCGCAGTGGATAAATTATTGGTCTGATTACAGTTTCCACATACAAATGAGCGTTCATCACCACAGGAATATGAATGAGCTCTGTGCGCCTATTGTACATGATGCCACCCCAGAACATCTCAGTTCCGCCTTGATAAGGAGCAACAGCAAGGGCTGTATTCAAGCGATGTTGCCTCCCTGCCTACCTCCACACTCGCTGACGATAGTCATCACTGATCAAACCTATCCTGGTTTCGTCAGTGAAAATTACGTTTCTCCACTGAGGTAATAACCAGTTCTGGTGTTCTCTAGCCCACTGTAGCCTCCTTTGCCTATGATGTAAAGTTAATAGAGGGACTCGCAGTGGACGTCTACGCCGCAATCCAGCATTAGAAAGTCGCCTGGAAATGGTTCGGCTTGATATCACTCGGTGGTAAGTGCGTTGAAACTGAGATCGTAGCTCTCAAATTGGAACTGACCGATTTCTTATGGCAAATTGAGCAAAGTAGCGATCCTGTCATTCAGTCGTTATCCTTAGACGGCCCAACCTAGGACGAGATTTTACATTTCCGGTGTCCATATACCGTTGTATAATTCGGCTGACAGTACTTCGCACTAAATTTAAACGATCAGCAATTTGATGCCTGCTGAGACCTTCTTCATGCAAAGCGATAATTCGGGCCCTATCGAAGGCAGAAATTTCGTGCCCTGGCATTTTTGTCGCCTTTCACAACACTTACTACAAGATTGAACTCGAACTGAGAAACAAAATTTGACCGCAAATAGCAAAACCATGCACATTCCATAGATAAGGTTTTCTTTCATTGCTTTTATGACCTGTTTTTTGTAGACACATATTAAGGTATTTGTACACATAGCCACAACAATATGCTATGCAAAGAAATAAATTTGTCTGGGGGGTGCAAGACTTTTGCCGATGAGTGTATTATAGAGAATAATTTATATTTAAAAATCCTGTACACTTTTTTATTAATCATTTTGTTTATTTAAGAGTGTACAAATCAAAACACCAGCTAATCTTACTCCAGCCCAAACACAACAAATCCTGCAAACTATCAAGCAGAAATATTTACCCAACACAAACCTTTTGGCATCTCAACAACAGATTATTTTCAAGCAAAAAGGTGGATTGGTTCAGGTTCAGAAGCAGGGAGCTGTACAGAAATCTAATATAGGTTAGTTTTAATTTTTTAGAACCAGAATATAATTAGTAGTTCATTTGTACCATGCACATTTTATGCCTATATACACCTAGTTCTAGGTAGTATTTTTCTCATTAGAATAGTAGTTCATTTGTACCATCCGCAATTTATACTTACACCTTTGACTTACACGCACCAAATAAGGTAAATATTTTAGGAAGCAGTAATATTTACATGATAGACACATAAAGCGAAGTTCATAGAAACATATGCTCAAAACGGACCATTTTCTATAATGTGTTAAAAATTTAAGATTTTAAAGAATAATAATCTATGGAATTATATCATATGTATAAATAACAATTTTCCATTTATTTTTATTTAATGAATGATCACATAATTACTTTAGATGGATTGACCAAATCAAATCCACCCAGTCAAGGTCCAGTGGTAGCTAAAGTACTGACAAATGCAGCAGGACAAGTTATATCAGTTGAAAACTTACTAGCTCATCAGAAAGCACACGGATCTCTACCTCCAGGTGATTATTTATTGGTATTTTTTTATTTTTTCATTTTAACATATCTCCTTTATGCTATTTCAGGTACGACTTTGAGAGTTCAGGGAACGAAAACGGGACAACAGAATATCATTCACTTGACCAGCAGCGCCAAACCAAACACAGTGGCGCAATTTACTGTAGGGGCTCAAAATAATATTGTAACGTTAAATACCCAACCCAAATTGGTGGTAGCGTCTCAGACTGCGACAATATCAACTACAAGAGCTCATTCTACAAGGTAAGATCACACTTTAAAGAATATAAAATATATCAGTTGATCCACTCTAAGGAATTCTATTGTTATTTTGACTTCAAAGGCGGCCCGTGACCCTTCGAGGTGACAAAAAATTTGTACGTTTACCGGGTGCAGCGGAAGTGCTATTTTATCAGTCAGAACGCTGGCCGTATACGAGGGATCAACTAAAAATACTAAGGAATTTTAATACAGCAAGTAGAAAAATAAAAATACAGTACTAGTTTTATTGATTAACAGTTTTAGGCGTCTTTAATAATTGATCAATATTTATTTACTTTCTTCTTATTATTATTTAATAACATATCTCATTGTTTACAAATATAAATACGATATGAATTGAAATGTGAAATAAAAAACGGATTTTAGTTAAGTACATTATCTTATAATACTAATTTATTCATGTTATTTTACAACAAAATAATTTACATATTTTACCATCAATGTTAATACATAACGATTATAAATTTTTATTTTATACATATATATATATATATATATATATATATATATATATATATATATATATATATATATATATATATATATATATATATATATATATATATATATATATATATATATATATATATATGCATACCGCCTTTATCAAGACCGACCAACAGGTATATATATATATATGCAATCCGCCTTTATCAAGACCGACCTTGGGCGCCAACCCAGACTACCGGGCTTCGACGTGTCCGCGTGATGTAGGGGCTGCGTATTGGTGGCGTTGCATATATATATATATATATATATATATATATATATATATATATATATATATATATATATATATATATATATATATATATATATATATATATATATATATATATATATATATATATATATATATATATATATATATATATATATATATATATATATATATATATATATATATATATATATATATATATATATGCAATCCGCCTTTATCAAGACCGAAACGTACCACGCGCCATCATTACGAAGCCCGATTTGGTTTTAGGAAGCCCGATCCCGGGCTTCGTAAAAACCGCGTGTATATATTTAATATAGGCATCAGGAAGGTCATCTCTATCGATAGCCGAAAATCGGTCGGGCTTCATAAAATCTTAAAATATATCAAAATATACATCTCTAGTACCCATGTATGTGACCTAGGGGGCGCGTAAGCGCGTAACAGACATATCAAGTGTATGAGAAGCCCGCTGTATATGTTTGATATATATTAAGAGTATAAGAAGCCCGCTATATCCGGCAACATCGTACCCTACTTATACGAAAGAGTTTAGATCTTTCTACTTAAGATTATCATTAGAAAATTAATGAAATAGTTTTTTTAGATGTTTATATTGAATTTAAAATAAATTTATTTTAGAAAATTATTTTAAGACTTAAGATTTTTAATTACATTAAGAAAATATAAATGGAAGCTTTAAAAATATACAGTGTTATAATATAATAAATATAAAAAACGTAAATATTCGTAAATCATATTTTATAATATTATTTTGTTTTAAATATACAGGGTGAGTTTCCTACGATGTTCTTTATGGGTATCTCGGAAACTACTGAGCTAGAGTCGGTTAAATGGGAAAGAATTGCAGTTTTGTGGGGTCATAAATATGCGCTTTTCAGATTTTTGAAAAAGTTCATGGCTTGCTAGATATTTCGAAAAAAAACAATTTTTGGCTATTTTAAAAATTATCCCTAATTCCATTATAATCTATTTTAGACAAAAAGTTTTCAGATAAAAGTTGTAGATAATCACATCCTTAATGAGATTGTGTTCTCCGTTTTCTTCTAAAGCCTGTCATTTTTGACATATGATACAAACATATCTTTTTTTTTAAATGGAAACCATAGTTGGCTATGACTTCATAAAAAGCGCCATTTTTTAAGCTTTTTAGCGATATAAGCTGTAATATTTTTTTTTTCGAAAAATTACCGAGTTATAGTTCTTATCATTTTTAAACAGTTTCACTTTTTAGGCACAGTTAGCCATGGAAACAAGTTCAATCGCCGTTGCTCTCAGAAATGTGAAGCTGTCACATCCAAACTTTGTAAATCAAAATGAACAAAAATTGCAAATATGAATTTTTCAAATGAAGAAAAGCGTGTAGATACTCGCGCATCAATAGAGTGGTTCCAACATGACTTTCATTATGACCCCCCATAATGAAATAAATGTTAAAATTTTTTTATATCATAATAATTATTCAAACTCAAGGATAGGAAGAGATGGACCAATTGCATGGGCCTCCTCGATCACCTCACCTAAAGTGCGAAACATTTAAGTTGAACAGCGCGGCATCGGTACGGGGGTATGGCTTCAGTTGAATTTATCCGTAAATTGCCCAGTGGTTTGCATTGGCCCGCATTCCTTTCGCTGTTCAATTTAAATGTGTCGAATATTATCCATTTTAGATTTTGTATGCGGTATGCTTAAGAATAAGGTTTACAAAAAAGCTTATGAATTAAGAGCCACTTCGAGTGCCTAAGTGGCGGTACGAGAGAAGTTAAAGTCGACCGGTCCTTCTGTGTGAAATGGGTAGTAATTCAGTTTTAAAAAGATGCAACTCAAAACAAAGGCGGATTTTTTGAGCATTTCTAAAATAACTTTTATTAAAAAAATATTTTACTAATAATATTTTCTGACTTTTTATAAGTGATAAATCATAACAGAATAAGGGTATCATGCAATCTAAGTGAAATTAGTCAAGAAAGATAAGAATTGGCTATAACTAAATTCAACTTTTCTAACATGTCTTGAAAACTGTATGGCCAAGAAAAGTTGAACCAATAATTCTACACGCTTTTCTTCATTTGAAAAATTCGTATTTACAATTTTTATTTATTTTAATTTACAAAGTTTGGATGTGACAGCTTCACATTTCGGAGAGCAAAGACGATTAAACTTGTTTCCATGACTAACTAAGTGAAATTGTTAAAAAATTATAAGAATTGGCTATAACTCAGTAATTTTTCAAAAAAAAACATATTATGGCTTATATCGCTGAAAAGCTTAAAAAATGGCGCTTTTTATGAAGTCATGGGCAACTATGGTTTCCATTTAAAAAAACATATGTTTGTGTCATATGTCAAAAATGGCAAGCTTTAGAAAAAAACGGAGGATACAATCTCATTAAGGATGTGATTATCTACAACTTTTATCTGAAAACGTTTAGTCTAAAATGGATTATAATGGAATGAGGGACAATTTTTAAAATAGCCAAAATTTGTTCTTTTCGAAATATCTAGTAAGCCATGAACTTTTTGAAAAATCTGCAGGGCGCATATTATTTATGATCCCACTAAACTTATTCTTTCCCCATTTCACCGACTCTCTATCTCCAGTAGTTTCCGAGATACCCATAGAGAACATCGTAGGAAACTCACCCTGTATTAATACATAGTACTTATTTGTATATTTAAAAAATAATAAGTTTATAAACTTGTGACGTTTAGGACTTGCAGTTACAGCTTTAAAAATAAACAGTCTTTTACTTTAGATATTTTATTGAAAAATAAACTTAAAATCATATAAAACATCATATAAAATATACAGGGTTGTTCACCACATACGACACGGAGTATTGTAGCTAAACGATTAAATTTTTACAAATTGTAAGTTTTGGGTTCGTTGAAGGACTATTAGAGATACAATTTAAAAATATTTTTACAAGATACAGATTGTCCCAAATATGTAAAAAATATTATAGTTGTATTTTTTAAATGGAACTCTCTGTATATTATTCTATTTTTAGATTCTACGATTAAAATAAAGGTAAATTTGATTAAGGTTTATCACGCTTAAACCTTACCGTTTTTGAAATATTTTCAATTTTATGAAATTGCAGTAAAAATATTAAGGCTTCATTTCTCCAATGGTACCAAAGTTTTTAATACTGAATATTTACTGAAGATTATTTATTGATCAGATATTATGTTGCAATAATAAAAATTTTACTACCTTATACAGAGTGTCCAAAATTTATATTAAATAATGACTAGCTTTAAACGGCAATGAATTTAAATGGAGCACCCTATATATTTTACGTGAATCAGATGCACAATGTAATTGTCTATCAAATTGTATTATACCATTTTTTACCCATCTCTTCAAATTTTCGTAGAAAATGCATTTTCTTATAATTTAAACCTCATTTATCACTATATCCATGGAATATAGACATTTTAGATTATTTTTAAAGAAGTAACAAATTTTCAAAAAGTACAGATACTAATATTGTCGCTTATTTCATTAAAAAAATTTAATTTTATTTGTCTTGTTATGAGCTTTCGAAAAATATATCCTATACTTGTTTCCATAAACAAGATACATTAATTAATTAAGTTTATGACATAGGCGGCTGATTTACATGAGATAATCAAAACAATCGAGTCGACGTTAAATTTTGGTTATTGTCTATTCTACGCTAGTTTCTGTGTGTGAAATTACGTATAGGATAAGTTCATAAAAATATCAATATCTCTGACTGACAGCGCGTTATCTGCGAGTGTGAGTGCAGTTTATTAAGATAACATGACGAAGAGCAAAATTCTCTGGTTCAATTAAATTAAATAAAATAATAATACTCTTAAATTAGGTTGATTTATGTTAAAAAGTTAAATAATGCATTAAGAAATACAAATATTCTATTTAAAAACTGCAATTATACATTGAAATAAATTGTATCCACATAATGATAACTGTTATATAAAAAACCATATTAACTTACAATAATGGGCTAATATTGTATATGCAGCTAACTTAGTAATATTTTTTTAGTTATTAAAGAAGAAGGAAGAATTATCGGAATAACCATTTTTTTAAATTTTCCGGTGTATTGCTTTCATCAGAATGGAGAAAAAAAGAACACAAGGAACATATGAAAGCCTAAAGTCCCAATTTGCAAACTGTTGCTTTCTTTATTGATTTATTGAACGAAGAGTTATAGGGGTTGAGCCACTTTTGAGACGCACCCGGTATAGCATTCTATTTGGAAAAGTTTAACTTCAACCTGGAAATAACTCTGTTAAAATGACACTATAGATTAACATTTTTTTATTAATTTAGGCTACTATTGCTAACCAATTTTTGTAAAACAATAAAATAAAATTATTAAATACACAAATAGAAAACCTGCTAAAAATTTAATGAAAACAGTGAGTCATTCTGCAATAGTTATAAGAAATGTTTAGAAATAAGTTTTTTTTCAACTGCTTACTATAATTGTAAATTTAAAATATAAATTTAAAATTTTACTACTTTACAGTTGAGGGCTGGTGTTACAACAGCAAGATAAAACACTAATTCACCACAAAACACTTTATTTTTGTCATCATGTATTTTAATCATCTTCTGATGATGCTAATATGGTTAGCGAAACACGCGTTTAGTACAAAAATAAAGTGTTTTGGTATATTGTGGTGAATTAGTGTTTTATTTTGCAATTTTACTACTATTGAAAAATGAGATATTTTGATATCACATGAGTCATAAAAATCATCAAAATACATTAAATAAATATTACTTATATATTTAAGTAGCAAAGAATAAAAATTAAAGATACGGCAACAACGCCGGGCTTCCCGCTACCGCGCAACATGACGCCCGGCCGATATACGCCGTCAAAACAAGAAAATATTCCAGCCGAATTAAATTCGTCGCACGTCCGCCCCTTGCCGCGCCAACCCAGACTACCGGGCTTCGACGTGTCCGCGTGATGTAGGGGCTGCGTATTGGTGGCGTTGCATGTATATATATATATATATATATATATATATATATATATATATATATATATATATATATATATATATATATATAAACTGAAAAAAAAATGACAATGCCAAGATAAGTTGTATCCAAGTACTTTTTATTACCTTTTAATAAAAAGGTAGATAATTCAAGTTAAATGCAAACAGCTAAAAAGCAAAACATGCTATAACTTAAGAAATATGCAAATATAATTTATTACAGTATTTACTACTAATTGAAGAGCACACGGGAAAAATAATGAAAGTACCAAAAAGCTACACCTTTTGGTACCTAAATAAACGGGAATATCGATAACGGCCACGTAGAAACAGGCATTTAAAAATGGGAAAAACGATATAAACTCGGATATAAAAGTCCATGCATAATTTCAATTAAAAAAAACGGTTTCCTGAATATTTATCATTTCTGGATACTCATTGTTTTTCCCATGTGCTCGTCAATTGTTATATTTACTGTTTCATAATATTTAGTAAAAACTCTAAAAAACTTGTCAATAGCAGAAGAAGTTGTATGCACGTATTTTTATTACCTGACGATAAAATTTGGACTTTCCCCAGGTAGGTAGTTAAAGTTAAATACAAACATCTAAAAAGTAAAACATGCTATTTAAAAAAATGCAAATATCTTAAATAATAATTTAATATGCACTTTGCAAACCGGTAAGTACTGCAAAATCCAAAACATAATAGTAAAGTATCTACTACTACTTTAAAATATCTACTAAAATAATAAACTAATTGTTAAAAATAAATATTTTGTGCATATTTCGAGTAAAATCTTTTCTTAATTTATATGTATATTTTTAAAACCATTTTTTCATAGTTAGGTTTCCATAATTATAATATACTTAAATGTCTAATACTTTAATTATTATATACTTAATATCCTATACTATATAAACACATACCTTCCTTCATCTTTTGGGCACCTAAAGAACGATATATTGTCTGTATTCTACTTTCACAACCATCCACTGCACAAATATTTCTAGTAGACATTTTATTCACAATTTGAACAAAACAACTAAAACACTATTTTTGGTTCACCCTATGCGTCGGGCCGAAAACAAAACTAAAATAAACTTGGAACGCTGTGTACACGTCGAGCAACGGATGTAGACTGACCCAAGTCTACAAGACAGGCGGGGAGCGGCGGGAGGAATTTTGAAACGGGCGAAGAGTGGGTCAACTGACATATTTTATATTCTTTAAACTGTGGTAAGATATTGTTACAGATGCTGTGAGTTATATGCAAATTATATAACTCAGCGTTATATACGAGTACAACCGTTCGATTCGCACCTATCGGCATCCGACATCCGATAAAATATTGTTTAGGAATATACTGAACGGAAACGTTACGTGTTTGATGCGATACGTGCCGGATAGAGTGAATTACTATTAAAACCACTAAATAATATTTTTCGGAATCCAAACGTTACTTCCCGGAATCGATATGTGTACAAACGGTAATGTGCAGATACCTTAAGGTCTGTGCACATTATCAAACACATTGTGTATTACTGGTTTTACAGTAGCACGTCAAAATAAAAACGATCAATTTTGGCTGCTACATTTTTTTTAAAAATGTCTATACCTCTCTATTTTAGAACTGTAACGACTCCTAGAACTCAGCAAACCTCCAAAACGAGTATGGCTCAGCAACTGATGAATTCGAAGATCGGCGCTTCGGAATCGCAGAAAATTGTCCAGTCCAAGCTTGTGATGGGTCAGAATATAAAAGTTCAACCTTCAAAATGTGGCGCAAAGGCGACTAACATTGCAGGGAACAGCTTAAGAATGGTCAACGCAGCTAATTTGAACTTGACCACAATCGATGGTAAACCGGTGTTGCTGGCCAGCAAAACTGGGACTATTCAGAACATCCATAATCAGAATGTCATTTTACAGGTAAGTAAAGTCTTATTTTCAAGCAGATGATGTTAGCGAAACGCGCGTCCAGTGTTTTAAAAAGTGTTTTGGTGTACTATGGTGAATTAGTGTTTTATTTTGCTGTTGTAATACCAAAGATTCCAACTCATCAACTGTAATCTAAAGTCTAAAACTTTTATAATTTGAACTTCTATCTAAAATAATTTACCTATTGGCTAAAACATACGTGAAAACCCTGTACAGCTTGAAAAATAACCAAATTCGAATTTAGCAAACTGTATTCTAATATTGTGGTAACTTAGACTCATCAAGCATCAGGAGGGTCGTCCTTAGTTCTGCAAACTCCCGCCGCCAAAAAGGGTGTCGCTGGTTCCAGCCAAGGGCAGAGTTCTCCAAGCATCAACGTCATCAATCCATCAGGGAACATTGTTTTCACTCCTCCCACGTTAAAAGGTCAACTGCCCCAACAAGTACTACTGTCAAGTCAACAGAAAACGGCATCAACGCCTGGAACAGTTTCATCACAAAGTAAGGTTATCAAAAGACTTATTCTGTTATGAAATATGTGCGTGACATTTTTTTGCATGCGGTTATTAATGCGTGCATTAATTCTTATTGGATTCTTAACCTTTTTAACATGACAATTGTAATTTTGTTTAGATCACATAGTTTTGGGTGGCCAATCTATAAGACTTCAAACCAGCAATGCCACAGGTAGCCAAAGAGTAGTATTGGCTAGTCAAGGCCAAGGAGGTCAGATCCTGGCCCAGCAGATTCTTCTGCCTGCTGGCTTTCAAGGAACGGCCATTAATATAAAGTCATTACAAGGTGTCAAGGTCATCCCCATAGCCCAGACTCAAGGAAAAGGTAAGTGTCTTAAAAAATTAAAGTTCCTATATTTATTATGTTTTTTATCTATGGACGATGATCGCATGCCGCAACATTTTTGAAGTATCTTTCTAAGATCCACAATAATTTCTGTAATTCAAATCCTGACACACTGTCTCTCCAAATTTAAACACTTTGCATTAATCGAGTGGAGGGAAATAATAGTAAATAACCAGATAAAAAGATAACTAGCGTATTAACTTGCAAAAATTTAAAGTTGTCTAGAGTTCTAAGTTGAAATGTCAAACAAAAGTCGTAAACCGTCTTTACTGTATGAATATAAAAATAAATAGTATTTGAGATTTTTTAAAAAGTTCACAGTTTTTGTCAGTAAATAAAGTCACGGAAAAAATATATTAAACATTTTTAGACAGTGTTGTTTGATTTTTACCTTGACAAATCTGAATTTTCAGATTTGTCAATAAGTTTTTAAGTTTGTTGCGTTTTTATATGTTTATTTTGTATTTTTTCTTGTTTATGTTATACAAAGTTTATACATCATGAAATACATTGGCGTCTGGTAGGTAGTTCCTTCATAGACAAACCGTTCAAGCAGCGTGTGATCATTTCCAGACTAAAAAAACAAGAAAAATAATGAAACACTTGGTTTTTATTGATTTTTTTTCTAGGTGGTCAAAGTAGACAGATATTCGCCAAAGTGATGAGCCCGAATATTATTAAACAAGCGGCCCAAACGCCAACTGTCAAGTTACAAGAAACCCTAACGATAAATTCATCAGAAAGTGATTAACAATTGTAGAACCTTTATAAGTTTTATTATTTAGTTGAATTTTCGCTCAAAGCAGAAAGAAAAACCGCGGCGAGTTGTGCGAAGTAGAACTATAGTAATAAAAATAGTTTATATTTTGATGTATTTATAGACAAAACAAGTAAATTATTTTCTTTTTATTTGTGTATATATTTGTACGTAGTATATTTTGTTGTGATTATAGTCGGTTTTAAAACAGTATTTACTTGAGCAAAAAATATATGAAAAAAATATTTTGTAACTTATTTTCTTTGTAACTTAATTTTAATTGTATTTATTCTTGGATTAATATATTTATTTTTCTTGCGCTGGTTGATGCTATCATCAGCAGATGATTAAAACTAAAATTGAAACTACGAAAAACATAAATTTATTTATTTTTAAATAACTTTCAAACATAATTTTTTTTTATTTTGGAATGTAGGGATTATTCAATAAAGTGTATATTTGAAAATATCTTTCAAATATAATTTATTGTTTTTGCATGATATTGAAGCTTAGAAACAACGGATATTTAAGAAATCATTTTATTTCAACATTTGTCGTCATCTACGACTTTTAAATTAACAATTATACGAAATTTATTTATAAATGTAATAACTATTTACATTAATTTGACATCTTAATCCTTAAATATTTATAAACAAAAGTTACTTTTGAACTACTATATGAGTTCATATTTAATTATGCGTCTTTGATGTGTATTTTTTATACGTTATAGATCATATTTTTAAAAAGGCATAACTAAATTCAAGGCAAATTGTATACAGTGTCTAAATGTTAAATTATATAAACCTTTTGGACACTGAATCTTTTAAGCACCATTCTTTCACAGATAACACAATTTTGATTGATTTCATTAATTGGAATCAGAAATTCTATTCCTATGAAAGGTTTATTTGAACTACTTACTATAATTAATACTTGAATCAGTCATCAAGCAAATTGTTTCAATTTTATAACATGACTCAAGAAGCTTGTCTCCAGCTTTCAGACCAACGTTAATATCGTTATCATCAAGCAGAAATTTAGGTGACTAGGAACTAAAAGTACTAGGAAGTCTTCCTAGTACTTTTTCGGAGAGTACCCAACTTCATCGGAGAAAGATTTAAGTTTTTTAAATTCTGTTTCTTATATAAACCTTTAGACACAGACCCCTTTCACATATAAAAGAAATAAATTTGATTGGTCTCATAATTTGGAATCAGGGCTTATATTCCATCAAAGGTACATTTGAACTACTCATTAGGAATACTTAAATTAGTCGTCAAGCAAATTGTCAATTTCATTCAGAAGCTCGTCTTCTGCTTTCAGATTAACGTTAATATCATCATCATTATCATCCAGCAGAAGTTCAGATTCATCTAAAGTTTTATTTGAACTGCTTCTTTGCAGTTTATTATCAGACAATTCTGTGGTGTCCATGAGCTCTTTAGGTGAATCTTTATGAACTTCTTCAGAAACAGATTTTACTTTTTTCAAATTCAGTTTTCTCAATGGCTTGACAGGTTGTTTTTCTTCTGTAGGAGTGTCAGGTTCGTCTGTACTTGTACTGGTAACCTCGGCTTCGTCCAGAGTTTCTTTTGTCAGACCGGAATCCGTTTTTAAGATTTTGTTTCTTTCCAATCTTATAGGAGAATGTTTTCGTTTCTTCGCATTATTGGGACTCTCCTTTTCTTCAGTTTCGTCAAATCTTTTGCTGGATTGTACGGTCCTTTCTGCTCGGATTTCAGCCAAAGATTTGATTTTAAATTCTGGAGATTTTTCCCTTTCAAACGAGGGTTTATTATTAAATCTTGGAACATCGATTTCTTGGGTTTTTAAAGTATCATCACCAAGGATATGAGCTAGTTCATCTGAAGTTAATTTTCGTTTCACCAATTGTAAGTTGGACTGTTTCCTGTTTACACGTTGGATTATTCTATTTCTTAGGTCTTCTCCAGTGTTTGATTGTGCTGATTGGCTGGGAAGTTCTTCGGCTGCAATATACAGGTATATTAAGTAAGTAATAAGATACTATCAGATCAGGGAATAGAAACAAATATACAGATTTAATAATAAACGTGTACAGTAATGATAATCGCCTGGGTAGTGGGGTATGAGGGTCACAAGAACATTCAGGTTCAGAACCTTTCTTAGGAGCTTTTTTCGTGCTATTTTAAACGAAACCCCATCATCATTGAATTAAATAAAAAAATCGTTCGATTTAAATGAAATTTAGTATGTCGATAGATTGGACCAATGCCAACTTAACCATGTACGACATGTGTCATTGTGACAGTTAGTTCTGACGTAAGAAACGTCAAAAGTTGATGTCGTCCAATCGCGACCAAATTTGGTGGGTAGGCTATGTGAGCGACGGCGCACATGGTCCCACACTGCGAAGTTGGATACGACGTTTCGTTTTCATTTTCAACATCCTGGATTTGATATTGAAGAAATATATGTGGGTCGATTTCAGCATAATTGGTCACGGGCTACAGTATGACGCCCTCGACGTTTCGAATCGATGGCTCTAAATGGAGGAAATCATCAGGATTTTTCTTATTTATAGATCGACTGGAACCAAGCTCGGCACGTGGACAGATGTACCTGAATTGAGTCCCCAGACGGACAGACAGGCCGTAAGAAGTTTCACTTCAAATATGCGCACATAGTGCACACACAATTTTTTTATTTATTTCTCTATCTCATGTTAACTTAGTAAGAAAGAGATGTGAACAAAATAAAATGAAAGTTTCTTATACTTACTTGGGTAGGAGTAATAAGCAGCACACGCTGCTGCTATTTTTTCCAACTTTATTTCATCCAAACTTTTCACTTTAGGCGTGCCCCCCTTTATAACTGGTAATTTTATAGGTGTGGTTTCGTTGTCAGATTCTGCAAGAATACACCAAATTATTCATTTTATTTGTCTACTTGGTCTCATTATTTTTTAAAACATCAAACAACTAAGGCGCATTCTTACAGAATCTTAATAGAAAAATGAAAAACAGTACAACTTTTCAAGATAAAGTTCTTTAATACGATATAAAATACAAAACAACCCAAATTTTATATAGGAATATTAATAGAGAGACATGAGTAATATTTCATATAAATTAGTATTTCACAATCGAAAATTTAATAGCTAAGTCATTATAATATAGTCTGTTGTTAAAATATAATATTCCTTAGAAAATTCTTGAAATGGTACAATATGATTTGTACAGAGTATTTCAACCATAAGGGGGCATAATATATATAAGTATAAATAAGTTTAATTACTGGAAGTTTATTTTTTTTTAAATTAATCAAATAAGTCTTGCTGAATATAAATATGTTCAATTATCAAAAGAAAAACACTGTAGATTAATTTAACACTGGAAAACTTTAGACTGCTAAAATTGCAATATAAGTATGATCAGTGGCATAGCTTCTGAAGGGCTAGGACGTTGCAAATGTATTAAAAATTGGATATTGTTAAAACCAAAAACGCTTGAAGCCCTTGTTATATTTATATATTATAAATAATGACAACTTAAACGCTAGATATTTTAAAGTATTTTACATATACTTTTACTTGATAAGTTGTTTAGACAGAAATATAATTACTCTCTCTCTCTCTCTCTCTCTCTCTCTCTCTCTCTCTCTCTCTCTCTCTCTCTCTCTCTCTCTCTCTCTCTCTCTCTCTCTCTCTCTCTGAAATATTAATAGCTAATCTTAGTTGCACAACTATTAGAAACTTTTTTTTTTGCTTTTGTAACATGTTGCTAACATGTTTTATTTTTCTCATAGAATTATTGTTATTATAATCTTACACAGTGTTATGAAAATTGAACATATTTATCTATAATCTGAGTCAAAATTTATAAATCAATTTTTCAAATAATATTTAATAATATTCAAAGTTATTATTTTTCCTATGAATTTAATGTTCCACTACATATATAATGTCCCATTTTGCTAGAAATATCCTCTACAGAATATGACAAATATTTCCTAATATTTATGAATGCACCCTAGTCATTTTTTATAACATCTTCAATTACTATATTACAATTTACAATAATTGCATATTATATTATGAAACCAAAACTAAATCCTTATGGCTGAACATTATCTACAAAGTCTACAACCTTCCCTCAACTTTCTATAAAGTCAAATAAATTAAGAGAAAATAAACATTCATTATATATCATAATATAAAAACAGATAACAAATATTAATAATAACAAGAGAAAGAAAACAATTCTAAATTGTTAACACATCAAAACTATATCAAGACTCTTATAGAATAGATAAAATAATACATTTTCTTTTCCACGTTATATACGAATACTAGAAAAAAAACATGATTCTTCATTATTAAAACTATAACAGAAAAAAACGCACTAAAAACCAAAACCGAAGGTTTCAAATCTCATAATTGCCAACGTGGAGGACATAAAATCATTCTAAGTTTACATTACTTAACAAGTTGCATACCTTCTTCGAAATTCACCACTAAACTGTCAACAGATGCACCCGATAGACTCCCTTTGAAACTGCTAGCTTGGTTGCAGTTTTCAGGTAAGCCATTGTCTGTTCTATCTGTAAACGAGAAAAATAAATCTAATTAAATAGGTATTTATAGAAAATTAAACATATCTTTTATTAATAAAAATTAGGTTTTACACAAATATGAAGGATATCTACCGGGTGCATCTCAAAAGTGGCTCACCCCTATAACTTTTATATTTTTTCAGATAAAAAACAAGATTTGGTATGTTAGTATATGACATAAATAATTTATGTCATATACTAACAATCTATGTCATGTACTAAACCTCAATCAATCCTAATTATTAGGATTTATTGAGGTTTTCAACTGTTTTCGGTCACTTCCTGTTTCACCGGAAATGACAACTTTTGATTTTTAAATGGCACCTCCGGTATTTTTTTACTTTATTTTAACTTAATAACATATCATATGTCAACTTTTGACATCCTCGCTTAAAAAAAATTGTATTTTAAATTTCAATCTAGAGTGTCATAACTGTGTTAAAAACACTAATTTTTTTTTAATCAAGTACCCTTGGAAAAATATATTTGATTGTTTAATGTTTTTAGTGTCTTGTGCTGGCCAGTTAAAAGATGCCCAAATAGTATTTTTAATCATATCTCAATTTTTTCAAATGGGACGAGAGTGGCTCATTAGCATATTTGGAAAAATAGTTTTTATACAAATAATTTGGTCCCACACACTTGGTATTTGGAGTCAAATTGTCGTTATGAACCGCATGTTACAATTTCAAATAAACCATAATGCGAAAATGTCAAAAGTTGACATATGATATGTCATTCTATTCAGAGTGCCATTTTCTATTGAATAAAATAAAAAATACCAAGAGTGCCATTTAAAAATCAGGAGTTGTAGTCATTTCCGGCGAAACAGGAAAAACAATGACTCAAAACAATTGAATACGCCAATCAATCCTAATTTATGTTATATACTAACATACCAGATCTCGATTTTTTATCTAAAAAAATAAAAGTTATAGGGGTGAGCCACTTTTGAGACGCATCCGGTATAGATGAAATTAAAAACTATTTTTCACTCTTGACATTTCTGGTTTGTAGTGACCACAAATTTGCTTATTATAAATACAATACCACCTTCGGCCAAATGCTAGTCTGTACTTTAAAGACTAAGAGGAAGATTATTATCAAATGAGAGTATCATCAATGAGAGTCATCCAATTAAGTTGATTATTTAAAAATTCCATAAAATGCACATCATCGGTTTTTCCCCTTACTCTTCAAATGTATCAGCCCACCTCTTGTCTCTTTAACATACTCAAATTTTTATTAGATTATCTTCATTAGTATCTTATATGTTAAAATCCAGTCTACCGATTGATTGAGGTGAACCAGAACTGTATACACATAAGTTGAATAAATAAGTATTTTACCTGAATTAATATTTAGAAATTAAAAGTGGCTCTAAATTATTTTAGAAAACCAAACTGACATACCTATTTTTTCATCCCGCTGATTTATATTTCCTGATTTCTGATGCATAAAAGGGCAGTGGGGCTTCAAACATCCCCCAGGTTGAGTCTCCCAATAACAAGGAATTGCTTTTCGATTTTTCTAGAAAATTAGTCAAGTTAATTCTGTAAATAATCTGAATGTGTGAAAGAAAAGCTAGGGATCAATAAATGAATGAAAATAACTGAAAAATCATTTCATTTACTCTTGGGCCTGGTTGTACAAATATAGCTTAAAGTTATAGAGAAGTCTGTCTGAAGGATAATATAACTTACCCTCAATTCCATATGTCTAAAATTACAGTGTACATTTAAACATTTGCCTTCTTTCCAGAAGGCGCACATTGTTTCGCAGCCCAATGCAGAAGGTTCATGTCGAAATCCACAGCTGTCTCCCTAAAAATGATAATCAAATTTGACATTACCATTTGAGAAACATAAATTTAACTAATTCTAACAAAATACTTCCTTTAATGTACTTACCTTTGAACATGTCGAATAATAGTAAAAATAGCAATCATTGGTCTTTTTCGGAGACTCCAAATCTGTCATTTTCTTGAAAAAATTATCGGAACTAAAAAATAAAAATCAATTAGCATTGAACATTATATATTTCTATATCGTTTTCAAATAAAACGTGTAAAAATTTTGGAAAAATTAAACAATATGCTGTAAATAATGAAATCGATACCAATAATAAAATTCTTCAGTTGGCATATTATCCTAAAAATATACTTGCTGCTTTCAGAAAACTATTAAAGTAAAAATTAACTACACTGTTCGGTAAGTACTAAAATACGAAACTGCAAAATTGATATAGAGAAATATTTACCTGCAAAAAATCAATCTGGTAGTGTTTTTTTATATGCTTTTTTAAAAGGTTTGGATTTTTTTGCCGTCAATTTGACAGTTTTCGTTCAGCACATGGTTTTCGATTCGGACGCCACTTGTTTCCTGTGGTGAATTTCGTAATACTTCCGTAAATTATTATTTCAATTTCTTCGGTTTTTAAATTTAATACATTTACTAATTTTGAATGTAAAACGTTTACTAATAAATAATTGTTGCGGTAAAGCAGTAAAATGGGAATTAAGGAATATTAATTCAAAAAAAAATAATAAAATTGATAAACATATACTATTGGCAACACTGATATCTGACAGTCTTAAGTCCTATTTACATTTAGAAAAAAAAATCTAATCTTTGGTAGAAATAGGGTTGATCCAAAATGACAGTTTTTACATGTAAAATACACGTAAAAAGTAGAAATTATCAGAGATATAGAGGTATGAAAAAATGGACGAAGGTGCGCAGAATGGAGGCAAGCCCTCCATAGCAGAAATTCTAAGCTGTTCACGTAGTTCACTAATTCAGCTTCTTGTTCACGTAGACGCGAATCGCGAATCGCGATTTTGTGAAACTGCTCTCATTGGTCCAATTTTACTGATCATGGCGGCGCTGTCAGAAATTTTAAGATTTTGGATATGGATTATTATGGATTTTGGCGATTCGCAAGATTTAAAATTTGGGCGGCGGGAAAGTTAAAGTGTTTTCAACTTTTTGCGAATATTCGCGCGATTTTAAGGTTCGCGTTTGCGCAGAATGGTGTTGTGATCCGGTTATCGATTATTTTGACGACGCTGCCGCAAAGTAACCAAAAGTAACTGAACTGAGGGTGCAGCCATACTATAGGTGCTTTTTATACATTTGACAAAAAATACACAAAAACTTCTGCAAACATGCGAAATTTAGAAATTACAAGTGTGACTACTTCATTTCAGTCGAAGTAGAAAGAATCGGCCTAGACATATCGAAATATGTGGTTGTTTGTTCAAAACATTTATTTTTAATTTTAATAAAATGATATCCCTAGATTTTTCCGATTTGCATACCCAGAATATGCCCATCAAGGATTATATAGCTCAAATTTCCTTTAATGGTAGGCAATTATTCAATGCAAATTAACTTTTTAAGTGACTGAAATATTAAATAGTTTACAATATGGTACATCACTAAAAATATACTACTTTTAGGTACAATTAGGGCCAATCAAAAAGTAGAATATTATTTTATATTAAATAACGTATTGTACCAACAATCAATTTATATTAATACCTGAGATTAAAAGATAATAGTTCTTTTTTTATACTACAAAAATAAACTATAGAATACAACAGTATTTAAAAAAATAAATAAAAAGTTACGTCTCGGCTGAGATTCGAACTCCGGTCTCTCACTTCCTAGCCCGACTCCTTACGCACTGCTCCACAGTAACTTGCTTAGCGATAATTCAATGACGGTATATACACAAAAAAACAGGTTTATAACAATATCTTGACGATTTGAACTGGCGCGCGGAGCGTGCTGACCAATAGCGCCTGTTATCACCTGTGACGTAGCGACCAACCTGCGCAATATCATACCTTGTATTCTTTGTACCATGCTGTAGCTCCATGTCCATGTTCATAATAGTTTTTTTTAACATTCCATCAAAACTACGGAGGCCTTAAAACGCCTCCGTAATTAAAATTGTAGAATCAGCTTCAGCAACATTAACAGTTACCTTGTTTAATTCTGCTTATACATATATATTGCATTAATTTTTCTGCTACCTTAAGATTTCTCTATTCTTACACCTAATTTATGTGATTTTCTTAGCATATATGATTTATAAACCATATTTTTCCTAATGGCAAGATGGAATAGGATATGCAAAATTAAGATATTTAACATTTATTTTCCAGACAAAGCATAATATAGTATTAAGATTAAGACATAACAAATATTATAAGAAAGATCTTAATATAAATCACAAACTAACTAAGTCTTAATTTGGTCTTGTATAAACACAGGTATAAAACTAATAAGATCAAAACTCAACCTTCACCATATTGTCAAGATTTGGCATTATAGGAAACAAAAAATTACAGTAAATTAAGAAAAGAATATCAAAGTACACGATATTAAATACTGTAATGTATTCTACGACACAAACCATCTCCCTTCTAAAGAGAAAAAGATAAAACACAAAGCTTATTTTAGTCTTATCCACACTCTTCGATAAAATATATGTCCAAAATTGCTATTAATCCATTAACTTGATATTTTTAAGAAATTATGATACAAACATTCATGGGCGCCGGAAGAATGAAATTTAGGGGGGGGGGGCAAAGTAAAAATGAATAAAAAATTGAAACACATTTTTTATTATTTTACAGGTAACACCTAAAAGTTTCATAATAATGATTATGTTTACAGATTGATGTAAAAAGATAGCTTTTATTGTACCCTTTCATTTTTACTGTTTCAGTGATCCAGGGGGGGGGGGCAAGTGCCCCCTCTTGCCCCCCCCTGTCCGGCGCCTATGCAAACATTATAATCAAAGTACCGTATGATCGAATAAAAACGGCGTCAGCAATGGCTATGAAATGAAGATCGCTGTCATTTCCCAGCCAACTGGACGCCGTTTTTTTTCGATCATACGGTATATTTTCGATCATACGGTATAATATATCGAAAAAAACGGCATCCAGTTGGCTGGGAAATGACGATCGATGACATTTCCCATATAAATTTACATATAAAATTACAGCGATCTTCATTTCATAGCCATCGCTGACGCCGTTTTTATTCGATCATACGGTACCTATTAGTAACATTATAGGCTCAGAACCTACGACCGAGAAAAATCAAAGGTTTTCCTTGATTTAAGTAAAAACAATCTTCGGATTGTCACGGGGTTTTTAACAGGACACTGTCTCCTCAACGAACACCTCAGTAGGGTGAAGCTGAGAAACAACGGCGAATGCAGATTCTGTGTGGAATATGGGGAAACACCAGAACACCTCATCACTGAGTGCGCCGAGACTTTGGTACGGCTGATGTCAAGGATGGAGAGCTGGCCTCTGTGGAGCCGTCTCAGATACTGGCTTTTGTTAAAGCCTTGAGACTGTATGATGAGTTATAACTCGTTATAACTCAAGAAAGGGGAACACACAATAGATCTTTAAGGTCGCGGTGACTAACTCCCCTCCTAAACATTCTACATTCTACATTATAGGTAAAATGTTACCTCTATCTCCCATTGACGTGTATTGTTCTATAAGATTCGTCATGGTAGTACTTCAATACATCAATACATATAATCAGAACTATTGTTGCCTGTAAATAACTAGAAATTAAATAACTTGAAAGAAATAAAATAATTCTAATAAGTTTAAAACTATTAAGAAAAAATCCGCAAATGATAATTTTTAATTCTAATGTAAATATATAAATAAATGTTATTAATATTACAATTTTATATATTTAATTTTATATATCATTCCTTAAGTTTGGATATCAAGATAAATCTGAAATTATAAAATTAATTAGAGAATTTGTATTATTATTGATTAACACTAAAAAAAAATTCAACTGCAAATAATTCGAAAATAAACTGCAATTTGGCAACATCGACGATGTGCGCTTGCGTAGTATCGATGATCAAATGCAGCAAATATGGTCTACAAGGTCAGCCACCGGATCCACACCTTTACCACGGCACATAAAACAATCCTTTACCTCCAAATTTTGCGAATATTTTTTGGCGAATCGCTTTTCGCAATTCGCGTCTATGTTATGTCTATAGGGGGAGATCAAAACGTACTGTTTATAAGTTGGTTATAATTTTTTTGGCGAATATCTTTAAAATATCGAGTAATATTAATAAGACTATTATAGTGAAGACGAGAAAGCAGAAAATACCCTAAATAGTAAAATAACCTATAAACAGTCTATAAAGTCAATTTTTATCACATTTCGGTGCACTGGGCATGTTCAAATGAATTTCTTTTATTTTGTTTTGATATTTTATTTTTTTGTTAAGCCTAATTGACCCTACCATTATTTTTAAAATTTTAGAATACAACGACCCATGATTAGAAACTAAATCACTAGTAAAAATTGACTAAACTAACTACCTAGTAATTATTAAATTATTACACATAAAATACTAACGCCAAAATAATTTTAAAAAAATGCAATTCTGTTGTCTCGTGATACTAATATATTTAAATATCGTTTTTATAATACATAATGTATTCAAGTATTGATGGCTGGTTCATACTTCGAGTATTAGTTCTCTATATAGCTTTACCCTTAACAATAACCCTAAGAAATTCTCTTAAGGAAATACCGTTCATACTTTTCCTACTTGTCTTAAGAATATTTTGGTAGGCTTTCGCGCTCATACAAAACATGTTTTGAGTTAAGTATACAAATATTTTTAGAATTTAGAAAACTAAAGAGACTAATTATCACAATGATGACATTCACTTGTTTGTGAATAAACATTCATCATTTCTAGAGCAAAGAATAGATAATTACAAACATTTTAAACCGTCTGATTCAACAACAAACATTATTTCAAAAATTCTTAAAAACCCTAGTTTTAAATTAGCATTAGCCCTAAGAAATAAAATATCCAATATTTCTTAGGGTAAAAAGATAGTGGAGTAGTTCCTCTCGCCGCGCTACTCGCTGTGTGATATCAGAGGTGATATGACTTATAATATGGTGCGTTTAGACTTGAGCACGCACGCACTGATCCTTCGTGAATTCTCGAGTGTAAACGGCTGTGCGCGCACGCTCACTCTGAATCTGCCTGTGCGCGAGCAGCCGCGAACGCGAGCCGCCTGGTGTCGGTTTATGGTCGGTGCTCGAATTTTATATGTTGGCTCAGTTTGCTCCGGCAACTCGGCTTGTGTGTGTGCGTGCGTGCGTTCAGCAACACAACTCTGTTGTTCGCGCACAAGTGGATCACTTTATGCGTCGAAAAATAAGTTTTTAATTTAAACGGAGCCGAGAGCGCGAACGAATGCCGTTCGCGTACGCTCAGCTCGTGCGTGCTCAAGTCTAAACGCACCTATAGATAACAAGGTTACAGACTACAAACACGTAAACGTTTACGTACGCATGCGCATTTCTTATATTTTTTACACGTATGATTCTTTACGTCTGCGTTTACGTGCGCCAGTAGCGGCTGACTCGGCCGTCGGCCGTTGTTCTCTAATGTTTCTAGGTACGTGACGAGTTGATTGACTCCAATTTATTTTGATGCAAAAATGAATCATGATTTGTTAAATGGACATCAGTCTGGGAACATAAGTTTTGAGAAAAGTCACTTAGCATCATATTACTGACTGATGCCTTTATATGAAACTCAAAATATTTTGCGCGTTCTAGTAATATTGTGGATGTCAGGACAGAGGCCCTTTTAATAAGAAACTGTAGTTTCATTAATATAGGATTGAAAAAAAATTAAAACACAAAAATGGCTGAATAGAGACGGATATCTATCGCTTCCTACGACGGAGATCGCGATACTTGAACTATGAACGCTGGCATTTGTTTACACGATTCATATTCTTCAGATTAGGATTAATGTTAGTGTTAGGTTAAGATTGGAAGTATGAACCACCCATGAATTGATAAAACAACTACCCTAAACTAACTATAATAAATACATATCGCCATATCTATCACTAATAATCTATTTATTCGTTTGTTGAATAAATAATTTATTTTTCTGTCTTGTAATTTTGGTTTGTGGTGAAGGAGCCACATGGTTATGTTGCCCTGGTACCGTTTCCGTTGTCCTGGCTATCCTAGTTATCCTGGTAATTAGGTTGCTGTTTTTGCTTATTTTGTTTGCGGTGGAGGCAACGGGTCTCGGTATTCTTGGTTTTCCTAAGTGGAGAAATGAGAAAAAAATGGTAAAAAATTATCTGAAGATGATTTATGATGAGTGATAAAAGAAAGAAGAACACAATAGATCTTTAGGTCCGCTGATTAACCCCCCTCCCACTCATTCTACATTCTACATATGATTTTTAAAATTAAAATAAAGTAATTACTTAATTTACCTAAAAGACCAACGATTGTGCAGTCTTCAGATCCTGTTCCTCCACCGCTGGCATCGTTTGCCATGTGGCGTAGTATCAGGTGGATTTTATCTTCGTGTTGCTGCTGTAAATTTATAATTCGACGTTCCCCCTCCATTCTGACTTGTTGCAAACTGTGACAGAGATTCTGAACTCGACTGATGAGGTTCTCGTTCTGGTTCTCGAAATCTACGACTTGCAGTTCCAGCTTCTTATTGTTAAATCTTAGTTCAATAACCTAAAAATTTAAAGGAAAGTATAAAGACCGTTTTACAGTTCGCAATATTATTTGTCTGCAAGAAAAGTTGCAACTCTTCCTACAACGCGTGGGCATTCAGTATGGGATATTTTCTTAGAGTAAATCCGGACCTATATTTTTTGAACTTCCGTGCAACTATTGGTTATGTTTCTAGTTATTTTCAGATTGAGAAATTCTTCACATAACCTTACAATTTATATTTTTAGTTTAATAAGTTATGTTAATTCCTTAAATAACCAAATTATTCGTAAAAAATACATTTTCCAAATATTCTAATGAGCCATCAATTTTTCCAAACGGACGAGTTTGAAAAAATTGAGATATGATTAAAAATACGATTTGGGCATGTTTTAACTGGCCAGGACAAGACACGAAAAACATTAAACGATCAAATATATTTTTTTTGAAGGCCCCTTGATTAAAAATTAGTGGTTTTAACACAGCCATGGCACTCTAGGTTGAAATTTAAAATTCGATTTTTTAAGCGAAAATGTCAAAAGTTGACGTGATATCATTCTATTTAGAGTGTCATATTCTATCAAATAAAGTAAACAAATACCAAGAGTGCCGTTTAAAAATCAAAAGTTGTATGTAATTTATGTTATTTACTAACATACCAAATCTCATTTTTTTATCTGCAAAAATAAAAAAAGTTATAGGGGTGGTATTTTAATTTTTAACTCTATGGGTGGTATATATATATATATATATATATATATATATATATATATATATATATATATATATATATATATATATATATATTCACCACGCCCGGTATGGTGTGGTGAATATGAAAAATAAATTTTAATTTTACGAGAGGAATCTCCCCACGAGAGATGACACAAAACACCCTGTATACAGGGTTGTTCACCACATACGACACGGAATATTGTAGCTAAACGATTAGATTATTACAAATTGTAAGTTTTGGGTTCGTTGAAGGACTACTAGAGCTACAATTTAAAAATATTTTTACAAGTTACAGAGTGTCCCAAATAAATAAAAAATATCAAAGTTGTATTTTTTTAAATGGAACAGCCTGTATATTATTACATTTTTAGTTTCTACGATTAAAATAAAGGTAAATTTGATTTAGGTTTATTACACTTAAACCTTACCGTTTTTGAAATATTTTCAATTTTGTGAAATTGCAGTATAAATTTTAAGGCTTCATTTCTCCGAGGGTATCACACTTCATTTCTCCGAGGGTTTTTAACACTAAATATTTACTGAAGTTTATTTATTGATCAGTTATTGTGTTGCAATAATAAAAATTTTACTACCTTATACAGAGTGTCTAAATATTTATTTTAAATAATTATTAGCTTTAAACGGCAATAACTTCTTTAATTTAAATGGAACACCCTGTATATTTTACGAGAATCATATGCACAATTTAATTGTCCATCAAATTGTATACCATTTTTTACCTATCTCTTCAAGCTTCCGTAGAAAATTCATTTTCTTATAATGTAGAACTCATTTATCAATATACCCATGGAATATTGACATTTTAGATTATTTTTAAAGATGTACCAAATTTTTAAAGGGTACAGATACTAATATTGTCAATATAGTTCGTTTATTTCATTAAAAAATAAAAAAAACTGTTTAAATATTTGTTATAGAGGACGAATTAATAAGATTCCAGTATTCAAACTATTTTTTAGTACATTAATTGACTGTTTGCGTTAATTAATAATAATTGCTCCAAATACTAAAAAACTGAATTATTTATTTGTATTAGACAGTGTGGTAAAAAAACTAACACCTTAAAAATGATATTTCATTTTTTGACAAATGATTATATTTATAACAACAGAGACGTTCATTTGCATAACTTATTATTATATTGATTTCTGATTCAAATCCACATTTATTTAGAATAATTTATTAACAAACACAATTAAGTATGTAATTAATTAGTATTTGGGCGGAAATACTGGTGGTATATTTAATTAATGGTATACTCTTTTATAAAGATTTAAATAGTTTTATTTTTGCATACAAATGGGCTAGTAATATCATCGTTTTACTAAAAACGATAATATTACTAGCCTGTACATTTTGTACATTTGTTGTTTTAAAAACAATTAAAATGTCAATATTCCATGGGTAAAATGCTGCATGATAAATGAGGTCTAAATTATAAGAAAATGCATTTTCTACGAAAACTTGAAAGGATAGGTAAAAAGTGGTATAACACAATTTGATAGATAATTAAATTGTGCATCTGATTCTCATAAACTATACAGGGTATTCCATTTAAATTATGTATGCATTTAAAAAGCCTTAAAAGAGAAATGAAGCCTTAAAATATATACTGCAATTATACAAAATTGAAAATATTTAAAAGACGGTAAGGTTTAAGTGTAATAAACCTTAATCAAATTTACCTTTATTTTAATCGTAGAAACTAAAAATGCAATATTATATCATTTAAAAAAATACAACTTTGATATTTTTTATTTATTTGGGACACTTTGTATCTTGTAAAAATATTTTTAAATTGTAGCTCTAATAGTCCTTCAACGAACCCAAAACTTACAATTTGTAAAAATCTAATCGTTTAGCTTCAATACTCCGTGTCGTATGTGGTGAACAACCCTGTATACGGAAAAAATATATAACAGTTTTATACATTTTGTTTTGAAAGTATTTTTTATTTATTTATTATACGACTTTTGTTCGAATCAGTGATTATCACTGGAAAAACGCACAATTTTTACATTTATTTTAATTAAACAATGACTGAGTCTTTTGCAAACAGAAGAAAATTTTGCAGAATCTCATTACTATATATTACTAAGTATTTTTAATCATAGTAAATACGCATTTCACTTAAACCTACTTATTAAGGGCAAAACTAAATTTTACCTTATGAAAATGTTTGTACAATAACATCCTCATTTCGTTCTCGTCCAATTTCATCAACCTATCCATCAACATGATCTCACCCTGCTCCTCCACATTCTCCAAAGATTTATTTCTATGACCACAAATCATCTCGTTTTTATATTCAATAGCTAAATCTATGGCTTCTATAGCTTCTTCATACTGAAGCAACTTCCTCTCTTCGATATCGTTCAAAATCTTTTTATTCTGCGAATTTACGTCGATCTGGCAACGTTGCTCGACCAGGTAGTCTCGCGTTCTTCGCAGATTTCGAATTTCGTGCCTGTAACTATCGACTTTGTCGTCTGATATATTATTGCTGCTATCTGATGGGTTGGACGGGTGGAGAACCAAAGCTTTGGAAGTATCCGAGCTTTTTTGAATCTTTTTGTTGCTCTCTTTGGATTTATTTACAGCCATACTCTTCTCCTCCTCCTTAATTTGAGATTCGTACATTTGCATTCGCTTTTCTTCTTTTCTTTTGAGTTTTTTCAGTTTTTCCAACTGTCTTTTAGACGTATGAATGCTGTTTTCCAACTCCATCAGTTTTCTATTATCTTCTTCAGTTAAAGTTTTGACATTTTCTGCGTCCTTTAACTTGGTTTCCACCTCTTCCAATTCCTCTTTATACTTATTTTCGAGATAGTGATTTTTTTTGTCGTGAGCTTGCTTTAATTTTTCTTGAATGGTTTTGAACTCTTTTTTGAGTTTTTGGCATTTCTGTTCGATGCGACTATGAGCATTGGATTTGGTGTTTCTGTGTTTGAGAAGTTGCTGGATGAGATTCTCCTTAACGCGAATTGTCTGTTCCAGATCAATTATTTGTTTGTAGTAACCCATAAGCAAGATATTGACCTAAATAAACCAGAAAACATTGTCTATAGTAACATAAAAATTTATACAAATGAAAAGAATTTTTGGCATCAATTCAGAATACCCAATAACCAAATAAATAATGTTTACTGGCAGTGTCAACATTATGATGCGTAATGTAATATTATTATTTGTAATGTTAAACTAGTGATGGGAAAAACTGATTAATTTCAATAATCGAGAACTTGAGTTTCAAGCGATTTCAATAATCGAGCGATCGCTCGAGCAAAATATCGCTCGTATTTAAAAATACGGGTTTTCGCCCGTCGCTTGTACTCCAAGTTGTAACGCCAAGCAGTAAGTTGCGTGCGCAGAGCACATATTCTTTCGTGGATGAATGGCAAGTAGCAAGAGACGAGCGATTCGCTTGATTTAGATTATTTGAAAGCATTGTCGATGTAGGTCGTAAAATTTCGTCACTCAGATACGCAACGGATAACGTCGTATAAATTTCCTACCTGCAATATATGTAGAAAATTCGCCCGGCTTTTTATCGAGTATGTCACATTAAAATCGGATTTCAATTTATTTCATTCTAGGATCGCTTGCGTTCGTCGAATTTTCGCTCGAATTATTCCATCACTAGTTAAAACTGTCACGTCAGAAATTAACAAAAACATCTTTAGAATTTGATATTACATCTATGTTCCAATATTCAGAAATATACAAACTTAAAATAAATAATTTAGTTTAATATGGTGGGTGGCCAACTACAATAGAGGCTCTATCTGAGGCCAAAGAAATTATTTGGGAATTATTTTAACTAAAAAAAGGGTCCACTAAGCGTCTTTTATGGCCTATCAGAAAACGAAACATTTCTCAAAAATATGCACATAAAAGGGTATTTAAATATTTGTTGTAATCACTAGAATATTTTTAAAAATAAAGATAACTCTGCTTAAAGGAATCAAATGATTGATTGGAGCTCATTTAAAAGGCATTTTCTTTCTTAATCTGCAGTATAAACTTTGTCTCGATATATTTTGGCTTGGGCTAAATTAGGCTTTTAAATTTTATGTCGCCTAAGCATAATTTTATTATTTTCAAAGGGCATTTTTGTATATTGTCACTACGACAGTTGACATATGCCAAAATAATGTTTTATTATTGCAGTGTTGTTAATTCAATATTTTTTTTTTATTAATTTCTAGAAATTTTTTGGCATACACTGTAATTTGTAGTTCATTTTACCAATAAATTTCAAAATCAAAATTCTGTAAATTTTTTTTTAATAGCTCAAAATTTATACGGAAAAAATATTAATTTTGTAAGTCATTCTTATAATGTACCTGTTTAAGAATTTTTTTCTTTATATCATGTGACACAGCAGGCTCAGTAGATTCCTTGGGTTGTTTCGTGATTGCCAGTTCTTCATCACTAATTTTCGAAGAATTGAGCGAATTTGATTTTTCTTCTAATTCTTCCAAGAAATGTATGCTATTTCTCCTACCTCTCGCGCCTAAGGTAAATTAAATATAAATAAGTACAAAAAGAAATAATTACGTTTATGGACAGTTTATCAAGTAAGAAAACCTAATACATATATGTTTTTGACAGACAATATCCCAAAAATGACAAAAAACTGAGTAAACTAGTACATTTTTAGATTAATAATATACCATTCAGGTCATTGTAAAAGCGTGGTTTGGAATTTAACGTGTATAACAGTGATGTAAACAGCTTAATGGAAAATCAAATGTATTAAAAACAGATACACGCTGGGTTGATACATTTCTCCTATGTGGTATTGCCGGATTTTGCATCAAACTTTCAAACTGCACAAGTAGGCGTTTATGAAAAATGTTACATCTAGGATTGGAACTTTATTTTTCACAATTAGTTACTCATTTTACTGCAGCTGTAATAGATTATATTTAGCTTAGATATATTATCTTCATTTCAATAGTATACATGGAAGTTTTTAAATAGTTTATTTTTTTACACACATTTTTCTACACAGGTAAAAACTGGCAGCACTGTGTGCCGCTTTTTATTTTGCCTCTCTGTCTGTGAACTAGTCATTTATATTTATCTCTGTCGCATGCGTTAAAATACAGACCATGCAAATGAAGTGTCCAGGATGGTATATGACTAAAGCATGTCATTGATAAATTCCTCAAAATTTACATGCAAATATTGCCAACATAGTTTTGTCGTAAAGTGTCACAAGTATTGTAAAGTCTCTCCAATAAGAGTGTAATATTCTTTTGTTGGGCAGACTAATATTTGACTTACCTTTGGAATGATAAGAAGAGTTTAAAAAACTGTTGTTACTACTGCTTAGCAGGCTTTTTGCACTGGTGAAATTTTCTTGAATAACTAAGGCATCAGTTTTAGATTGGAATTCCTCTATCAAATTGTCTAACCTGTAAAATATACAAAATTAATATAGATTATATTAACAGACTGAAAATATTTAAGTAATATAATTTATATACTAGATCACACACCTTAAAAAAAGTTACAGAAAAGGTCAATATCAGGATTTCTATTTGAGATTTATCTTTTTCACATTAGTAAATTTTAAAATATTCACATAAGTATACAGGGTGATTCAAATTTACTTCTACACTTAAGTTGTAGTTTTTAAATGGAATGCTGTATATATTTTTTGCTTGACAAATTTTGAAATATGGCCATTTTCTGCATATTTTCACAAAATAATGAAATACCGTAAAAAGATGCCCGGTTGCGTAGAGGTACAGGCTCTCGTCAAACAAAACAAAAATTAATCTTTATTCATTAATTTTCTGTTTTATAATGATTATTTTCAGCTCATTTATTAATTTGTGAACCATTAATTTACCACAATATAGCAAAACATTTTACTTTGAACCCTGGATACACAAAGTAAAGTTTTTTTGGTATACCTTGGTGAGATAAGTGTTTTATTTTACTAGATTATGCTAAAATTTGATAATGCTTAATATGGAAGAAGTCACAGACAGCATCAGTAAATTTTCATTTAAAATTTTTAGTGATTTAATTGTGTAGAAAATTTAATCTAAAAATGTTTGTTAAAAATGTATTAAATAATACAATTAAAAAAAAAGGTATATAATATTTAGTGACATGGTATATTATAGACATTTAGCCTAAATTTATTACTCTATCATTGTTAGAATTTAAGAATATTTTTTTTTAAATAAAACAAAACAGTTTATACCTCTCTATGAAATTATGATCCTCATCTGACATGTCCCCTTCACTATCACTATCCGAAAAATTCTCTGTATCCTCCTCCTCAATTCTTTCCAGTGATCTGTGCGGCTCAGAATTATCACTCAAGCACTCCTCACACTCCTGCTTCAACATTAACCACTGAGAAATTTGTTCCATTTCAGCCTTTTTAAGACATCCAGCTGATACCAGTTTTTGAAATAGTTCTTCAGCATTTGAAACAAGCTTCAACAATTGATTAGCAGCAAATTGAAGACCAAAGAGATCCAGATTTTCTGGAGAAGGCCTATTGTCGTACGTCATATAAGAATTTACCGTTACTAAATTCTTTATCATTTGGGCCCTTGAAGCTAATTGCAGAGTATATAAGGTTTCACCAAAATCGTTTATTAAAGGTGATATACAACAAAGTAATAATGTTTTAGCGCGACCACCAAATGAATCACGTAGTAAGGTTGTTAAAACTGATTGATTATATGGGACTTGATTAGTTCCAAAGTGATTGAGTCTCATACATTGTTCCGATAAAGTCATGATACATGCTTGTAAAGTTTGTAGTCCCAAGTCATTGGGAACAGTTTGTGCTAAACCATTACTATCATAAACAAGTAACTTTTCACAGCTAGCCAAATCAGCAAAGCTAGCTGTTGAAACTCTATGCTGGACATTTGCATCAACTAACCATTGTTGTTCCAAAGTTATTGTAAATAATGTATGGGCACATTTAGGAGCCAAGTTTGATAAACCTATTTGGATTAACTGAAAAGCATCTAGAATATCTTCTATCTCTACACTACCATTACCCAACAAATCTTGAACTGTATCGCCACATATTTGAGACCACGTAATATGTATAGACCATGAACGATCACGAAATTGCTTCAATTTTGACAGAATATCTCGGATAAATCGAGGAACCAAACCTTGTTCAGATTCACTAGCAGCATAATGAAGCCCAGGTCCATATAAGGTATACGTTTTACCAGTATGCGACTGACCTAAAGTAACAATACTCACATCGCACCCCTCTAAAAAATAATTCAAAAGGGGGCTCGCAGCCGTACAAAACACCGTATCTTGACTACAATTTAATGGTAAAGCATAGTTTACTGGATAAGTTTGGTTGGAGGAAATCTGTATAGTGTTGTTTATGGAACTGCTTTGAACGCACGTGATATTTTCAGTACTGGGTGGAATAGGACATATTCGGACCGCGGTTTCGACAAAAAATTCCATTTTTTTCCGTTTTGAAAACCGAATTCAAAAAATATTTACATTTTCTTTCGACAGATCGATCAATTTTTACATAACCTACAGTAAAACGATCACTGGTCATTGTTGCCAATCGTCAAAATTCATAATATTTAAAGCAGCGTTTACATCATATTCACGTGACCCAACGTGACCATACCAAAGATTTTTATTTTGTGTAGAAATCAAAGGTAGAAATCGAAATTTTAGACCATTTTAGACAGGACAGAATCGATAGAAAATATGCGTTTAAAAACAGATCCATCCTTCGTTTCATTAGGTTTATTACGTGTATTAAACCTAATGAAAATTAGATACATGATTAGATGGTAAAAATACCAAATTTCGGTAACCCAATTTTTATTATAGTTTATAGATATAATACAACTTTATTTACATTTCTAAATATCAACAGCATCTATATTACTATATTACCCTTGTATATGAATTTTAAACAGGGATATTACCTAATGATTACCTACTCTGTTAGTATTAGGGTTCCCGATACTGGGTTATGTAAAACTATATTGAACTATCCTATTACAATAACAAAACACAGTTAACTTTATTCACATATTTGATATATAAAACGCTACTTTTGTGACTCCTTTGGATTATTTTCATCCTTTTTGTCTAACAAAGTGCTACGAATACCAACTTTTTCTAATTCTTCAATAAGATCACCTGACTGATGCAGTTGCAGCATTATATCACAACCTCCTATAAATTCTCCATTTATAAAAATTTGAGGAATTGTTGGCCAATTTGAATATTCCTTGATTCCTAAAAAAATATCAAAATAAGTAAAACCATTTATGTTTTATGTCTATTAATATCGAAAGATTAGGAAACTGATCTATTATCTAAGCTTATTTGTACTATTAAATACCTTGTCTAAGGGATTCATCTTGTAGCACATTATGTGCATCATAATTAACACCGTGCATTCTTAATATTTGGACTACAGCGTTACTAAATCCACATTGGGGCTGTTCAGGTACACCTTTCATAAATACAACTACCTTATTATTTTTCACCAATTTTTTTATGACCTCTTGCGATTTAGTACTATTAAAACGAATTATATTTTTGGCGCAAGTAAAAATGGGGTTTTTTCTTGTTAAAACATTCATGATTTTAAATAATTTATATTTACAACAGAACTTTTGAAACGTTTTCAGTTTTCAGATGCTTTTGATCACAGCTTTTGATGTTTATATTTTGACTACATAACCTCTATTTTTTCGTTAGATTTTTTTCGATTCTGTTTAAAAATTGTACATTTGTACATTTGTACCAGTACATTTTTGTGAGATAAAAATAATTTTTCTACCATTGGCATACATTGGCTCAACATTGGCAGTACTACCACAATACATCCACAATAGGACAATGGTGCCACAACCCACAACCGAACACAACCAAATTTGGCATTTGTCATTAGTGTCATTTATTGATGGTGGATTGATATTTTAATCCAAACTATATTTTTAAATGTTCTTATAACTGATCACAAACAGGAGATTTTATCAAGAAAGTGAATATTTCCGATAGAGGTAACTACTAATCTTCAATTTTTAGAGAAACCAGGTTGGTTACATCATTGATTTGTCTTAAAAACAACAGCGGCATAGGGCGTCCAGCCAATGTGTTTCTTATTATTCTAGGTAATTAATTGGAAATTTTCTGTACTAGGGAGAAAGATATTGCAAAATTAAATATCCTTTTTATAGTTTTTAAACAGATAAAAGCCAATAGTAGGCGAAAATTTATATAAAAGCTAGTTGTGTAGGTGAGCAAGTATATTTTTGTAGCAAGCCCGACTCAATAAACATTAGGACAGAAGTAGTCTGTTTAACGAGCCGGGAATATTTCGACAGACTACGTCCAAGATATTATATGGCAAAAAATACAATTTACCTGTGTATTAAACTGACAGATGACTGTTCCTGTCATGTATCTCTTTGTTGTACCTATACAGACTACAGACATACCTTCTTTCACCAGTAGGAATAATTTTAAAGTAAATATAATAGAAAATAATAATAATTTGAAATCATTGACAGTCTTATTGTTATAACTATTCTTCCTAATTGAATGACAGTGACAACTGAATTTGTGGAGAATTGAAGATATCTTTTTTGATTATGAAACAGATTGGATAATTTAATTTGTATGATATACTATTTATTGATATAATTATTGATATTATGTTACTAAGCCACAGTTGTTGCAATTATGTTTCAAAGGCATTTCAGAGAGAGTTACAACTACCAACTTTATTGATTACCATTACCAATTACTAGTATGTTTGTTATAATTAATATTATATTGATTTAATTATCAATTAAAACCAAGAATAAATTAATAGTTTTGAAGTTACTATAGTCTGTCCTGTGACAGTGACAGCTGTCTGTCATTTTAAAAATTAAATTGAATTTTCTCTCATTTTTAGGGTTCCATACCCAAAGGGTAAAAATGGGAACCCTATTACTAAGACTTCGCTGTCGGTCCGTCCGTCTGTCACAAAGCTCTATCTTATGAACCGTTATAGCTAGACAGTTGAAATTTTTACAGATAAAATGTATCTATGTTGCCGCTATAAGAACAAATACTAAAAACAGAATTAAATAAATGTTTATAAATAAAAAAGTACTTTCACTAAACATTATCTTTTAAGTAAGAATTTTACATAGAATCTTTCAAGTGGCCGCCTGGTTAGGCGTTAGGACTTTACGCTGCTATGACGTTGGAGCCGTAGTAAGGCAGGTTCGAATCCTAGTCAAGGCGACTTTTTTTTAATCGTTTTTTTTTAATTTTTACATATTTATTTTTACTTTTTACATATTTATTATTGATTAATACAATTTTTAGTAATGCGTTTCTTCATTTTTTTTTAAATTACTTATACGCGCATTCAAAATTTCAGCTAATTCAGAAAAAAAGTTTATAATAATATAGGGTCTAATGTTGTATAGATAATGAATGGTACGGAACCCTTCGTGCGCGAGTCCGACTCGCACTTGACCAATTTTTTGGATGTCATGTTGAAATTTTCCCTGACTTGTTGGACAGATTTATACTTATATTATCAGTTTTTTATACACATATCAGAGGGGTAGAAATAAAGTAAATTATAAGTGGTCTATGCAAGAAGCAGTTGATAGCAATTACTTCAAGGCTTTATATCCTAAAGACACTGTTATGACAGTAGAATGTTTAATCGCTTGGCTTGCCCTTTTCGTACAACAGGAAGTAATCATTGCCCTGTTTATCTATGATGATATTGGTAGTGATCAAACTGAAGTTAAAACAGGATAAACAGAAAGAAACGGAAAGAAAAAGCAGAATGATGTAAAAACAATGTTTTGGCATATGTGCAGTTTGATCCCCAAATTAGTACCAGGTTAATTGCCAGAGACTTGGGCATTGTGTTTTTAACAATCTATTGTTATAAGTTACTTGCTTTTCTTCTCTCAAAGTCCTATGAACAGTAGTGCGGGCTGCTTAGATTAAATTTGGACTTGGCAGCGATATCAACCGCTTTTTCAAATAATAGAGGCATTTTTAGAAAAGCAATTCAATGATAAAAAACGCTGCTATTTTAAAAATTAAAATAATAATAAAAATAAAAATAGTTTTAAATTTTAAAGCATGTGCCCTATCTCTCGTGGGGAGATTCTTCAAAAATACGATTTATTTTTTATATCAACATAGGTCCGATTCTGCTTTGTTTTGTAGCGACAGGGGGTTAGTTTTAATTTTTTTTTTCAATTTACTCTGATTTTCTTCCAACGGCTTTTAGTGTTTTGAATAAAATTTTGGTGGTAAAAGTTACTAAAAGTGCTACATATTGTAATGCTAAAATTGTCTACAGATTCATCAGGGACGTGCATATGGGTTATCACTGGAATATTTTTGTAAAAACAAACTTGTGCGCCATTGGCTTTTTTTCTGTTGTTAGCAAAATTATGTAGGCCGTTTATTGCCGATTAACAGTTGTATCTTTGTAGATTGTCGATTTTGATCTCCTTGATGAGATCACGAAATGGTTCAAGAGAAGCAGTTTTATTAATCACAATTAATAAAATTTAAGTTAAATTAATAACTAAATATAATAAAATTAATTATTATTTATTATTATATAATTTTATTAATAACTTATTTATTTAATTTTTTTTCATATTTTTATAGAGTACTTATTTAACTTGTTGGTCAGTTAATGACATTACATTTTTTTAAATGTTATTAGACTTAGATTAAGACAATTAATAAAATTGCGTTTCTTTTTGTCAAGGAGTCCGAAATCAACAACATATCGAGACAAAGTTTGTAAAAAAAAAAATGACTGCAACAAAATGGGGACACTCTACTTTAAATTGGACCAATATTATTTATATTTTCAATTCCAGATGTCCTGGTCAGGGTGGCCCACACCCGGAACTGCACTTCCGGGTGTCGTATCGGCACCTCCAATTCAATCAGCGGTGTTGCCAGGTATTGCTCCGACTCAAATGATCGCACCTGCAGCTAGTACCGCTTTACATTACAACCAGGATCAGTGGGCTCAGATGCAGCAGCAGAATTGGCAGCAATGGGCTCAGTGGCAACAGCAATATCAACAATGGCATCAGCAATATGGAGCAGAGGTATTTGATCATATATGGTAGAGATATATAGACCAGAAATGTAATAAAATATGTAGCAAATCCTAGTAGGATATAGGCAAGTACTCACCTTTGTAAAAGGTCTGAAGATTGGTACTTGCAGTTATCATGCTTGTCGTTCTCTGTTTTGATTAGAATGAAAAAAGATACTGTTTTTTTGTACGTATCTTACTGTCCTTCTGGTGTTTAGAAAATGTCTCCACTGTAACTGTTTATTTTATAATGATTTTTGTTTGACGGCGCAAATGGTTTTTTCATTTTGAGACTGATCGATATCTGTCAACAGGGTGTTGACACGAAACTACGATACTATGAAATACCGTAGTGACGTCTACAGTCTGGTTTATGTCATTTTTACATGAAAGAATGAGCATGAGAATATATTCTGCGATGTAACATTGAACAATAGTTTTACAGACTTTACTTAGATATCAATTATTTTACGTTAGGTAACAAGTCGGACCACTGAGGTTTTGTTTAACAGACTATTTTAATTTGTACTTATCACTCTCACGTGTAGGCTGTGTTTACAGTTGTATCTTGATAATGAAATAGATAGAAGGGTTTATGATTCCTCCTCCTCTGCAAATGAATTTATTAGTTCACGTTCAGAACGTTGTGTTAGCAAAATAAATAAAGACAATGGAAGTTAGAAATTCTTTTAGTGTCAAAAAATAATCTAACACATTAGCCTATAATTCCGTCGTATTTAAACTTTAAGCAACTAAAATTTTTTTTGATAGTTGAACCGTTCACACCTAGTTTCTAAAAAACCTTTCTAAAAAGAGGGAACATCATAATTTCAATTTTCGTGTCAATTTCAAAGGTCGAAAAAAATTAAAATGAGTGCTCTAACCACAGAAATTATGCATTATTATTTATTATAGGTGTATAATCTTTAATGTATATTTTTGATAAATTTTGTGAATATTCTATTCCAGTATAACAAATCGATGAACGCGATGACTACTAATCCTCCCCCGCCTCTAATGGACACAAACACTTCTGTACCTCCACCTCCACCGAACGAAGCAAAGCCTCCTCCACCCCCACCACCAGAAGACTCCGTTCAGCGCCCTCAGCAACCCTCTGGCTACATGACAGTACCCCCACCAGCCCAACAATACACCACAGCCCCTCCCACTCATGCTCAGACCAAGCCGCAGTGGTCCAATACCAACAAAAGAACCTACAGTCAAACCCAAGGGTCTGAACAGCCTGAAACTGCTAAAAGACCTTTATTGGATAATCCAGCTCAATGGAATAAACCTGTTCCTGCTCCTGTACAACCTCCAGTTCAAACTCATGCGCAGAAAGTCGCTGTTAACTTGGAGGAACTTACAGAGGCGGAGAAAAAGTTCGATAAAGAGTTCGCAGCATGGGAGGCGCAGTTTAATAAATGGAAAGACCAAAACGCGAATCATCCTGATCAAACTCAGTTTATGGAGTATGAAAAGAAGTGGGAATCATGGAGAAACTCTCTTTTGGACAGGAGAGAACAAATGAGGAAGAAAAGACTAGCTTTACAGGCTTCTGTATCTCCCAAACCAACTTCAACGGCAATTCCTCAAGTTTTCAATGAACCACCTCCAACAAACTTGATGTCAAAGCCTCCACCTTCGATTCCATTGGCTCCAGATGTTTTTTCTAAACCTCCTCCAACTCAAAACAATGAACCTCTGGCTTTTAAAGCAAATAAAGGAGATTCTTTAATAATTGAAGGTGAAACTAAATCAAGCTTTTTACAACCTTCCTCACCTTCAGCAGAGGGAGGTATCCCTGGATTAGATCTAGTTAAAGAAGACATACCTGACGAGAAACCACCTTCACCAAAGAAACCTGACTTTGATGCAATTTCCAAAGGAATTAATACAATTTTAGGCGATCCTAAACTCATGAACATGCTATCTATGGTGTCTCAAAAAAAACCTTCGTCCGAAGAACAGCTACAGCCCAATAAAGCAGAGACTGTAAATAATTTTGACGATCAAACTCAGATGAGTTTCGCCAGCGATCAGGAGGGTTCAAGGTTTAGTGGAGGTTATGAGAAGTTTGGTGGTCAAAATGACAGGTTTAATCAACCTAGGAATTTTGAAAATGATAGATTTAGAGGTAATGAGAGGAATTTTGAACCTCACCCTCCTCCTAACCTCGGTAATGACAATAGGTTTAGGGGAAATGCAAATAGTTTTGATGGGAATCCTAATCAAGGATTTAGAGGTAATTTTAATCCAAATGATCGGTTTAGAGGAAACGGAATTAACCAGAACAACTTTAATGAGCCTCCTCCGAGTAATTTTAGATCCAATGAACCACCAAATCGTCTGTCAAACTTCGGAGATGACAGAAGGAGTCAGAATTTCGGTAGGAACAACAGTTTTGATAATAATCAGAAGTTTTCTAGAGATTTTGAAGGTAACAGGGGCGGTTTTAATCAGAGGGGGAGAGGTTATAATTATGACGAGCAGTATGACGAGTATAATGAAGGAAATTACTATGGAGCTGAACCTAGGGAAGACGAGAATTGGAATGAAGATGACGAATATGATAAGTACCATAATATGTTTGAGGAGGATGATAATAATCGGGGTTATGATGATAACAATCAAGGTTATGCTGATAATAATCAGGGTTATGATGATAATAATCAGGGTTATAATGATAACAACCAGGGTTATGATGATAATAATCAGGGTTATGATAATCCCGAACCTGTGAAGCCTGTGCAGGAAGAACCACCTCCGGTGGTTGAAGAAGAGCCATTATTTGTACCGCAACTTGTGGTGGACTACGAGCACAAACCTTTAAAAGAACGTAAGTAAATGTGTTTTTGAATTAAATTTATGTTATTTTTTAAGATTAATTTTTATAACAAGCTTTTACTTAACGTGTAATGTTCCATATGTAAGTTATAATTTTTAAAACGTATTGTCTAGGTGTACAGGGTTATCATTTTAGTTTGACACACTTTTAAAAGCTTATAACTTTTTTGTTTGTTGGGTTAAAGCATTCATTCAAAAAACATGTTGTAGCAGTTTCAGCCAAGTTTTTGCGAGTGTTGTCAAAACGACAGTAGGTGTCACGTCAGATTTTTAAAACTAAAAAAAAACTTTTTAAATGGGACACATTGTATATTAGTAGCGCATTAGGTAGTCCCCTTTTCTCCGAATTCAAAAATGTATCACACATGTGCATTCTTCTTCTTAATTTCATTCAAGATTGACAAAAGCATGTAAAAACAATTAATTAGAAGAATCAAGATAATTATAAATGGTTTTGTTTCCAAATTATGTTTGTTAGTTTGCCTTATCAATGAAGCACAACACATTAACGAACAAACAATTTTATTAATACTGACATAACAATAACAATAACTAGCTATAGAATTAAGAACAGTTATAGGTTAGTTAGTTAGTTGTTTTTACATGCTTTTGTCGATCTTGAAAGAAATTAAGAAGAATGCACATGTGTGATACATTTTTGAATTCGGAGAAAAGGGGACTATCTAATGCGCTACTAATATACAGGGTGTCCCATTTAAAAAGTTTTTTTTAGTTTTAAAAATCTGACATGTGACACCTACTGTCATTTTTGACAACACTCGCAAAAACTTGGCTGAAACTGCTACATGTTTTTTGAATGACTGCTTTAACCCAACAAACAAAAAAGTTATAAGCTTTTAAAAGTGTGTCAAACTAAAATGATAACCCTGTACATTAACGTTTACTATACAGGGTGTCTCAATATTTCGTGAACATAGAACTACTACATATTTTTGGAATCAAAATAAGTCCCTTGGACGCAAATTACCTCTATACAAAAGTGCTTCGTTTGTCCGCTAGAGGGCATCAAACTTTAAAAAAAATAAACACCACATGAAACACATTTTCTCAAACATTTTAAGAACCGTTATTCCTATTTGAATGAGATTTGGGGTGCCTATGTTTTGCTAAGTCCTTTAACGTGAGACTTCAAGACAAAAATCAAGAAAAAGTAAGGGAAGGGTGAAACTACCCCCACCCCTACATAAATTTTAGTATAAATATTTTCCAACTTAACTGGCTACCGATTTTTTTTTGTATAATTGTCCTTTGTAAAAAAACGCCACACCGATCGCAGGGGTATTATTTTTAATTGATATTCATAGGTATCCAGAAAAAAACATTATTAACAATTGTTTTGCCTATTTTAGCTGAGCCTGAAGTTATTCTGGAACCAATCCGGAAGTTCGACTACCGTCATAAAAACGTCAATCGCATCCCATATCCTCAGAGACCAACCTGGCTGTACGGTTCCTTGAGAAACATCAGACAGTTTGATCCTTTGGGGAATAATAGGTTCCCTGGTTCATTTGAAAGGGATTTCAACTACCCACCAAAAAATCCCGTTGACATTAGAGAGAGGGATACTAGAATTGACACACTAGAAAGACCTATTGGGGGAAACAGGCCAGGCAGAGAGGAACCGGAAAGATCTTTTAGTGGAAACAGACCAAACAGAGATGAGCCGGAAAGGTCTTTTAGTGGAAACAGGCCAAACAGGGATGAACCGGAACGGTCTTTTAGTGGAAACAGACCAAACAGGGATGAACCGGAAAGGTCTTTTAGTGGAAACAGGCCAAACAGGGATGAACCGGAAAGGTCTTTTAGTGGAAACAGGCTAAACAGGGATGAGCCGGAAAGGTCTTTTAGTGGAAACAGGCCAAACAGGGATGATTTTAATAGGAGGTATTCGGATAGTTCGAGGAATTCAACTCCATGGAACAGTAAAGAGAAGAAACCAATCAGTGATAATAATAGGTAAGGGTTGTAGATAATAGTAGTACTAGTTAGTGCGTAAAGTTTCCGACCTCGGAGTCATACAAAACATTTATTTTTTTAAATACAGTAATATCACAGATTATACAGATCATAAACTTATAGTCAAAAACATTGTTTTTCGTGGTTCCAATTTTCGGAGTCGCGCACTAGTTAGGTTACTAGTTTGCGCACATGGCCCGCCCACTTATGGCCTCTAAAATTGGGGATAGCGCCTGACTGGCCTTGTGGCCGGCCCAGTTATTACGCTGTTTAAACGCGAGTTTATTTTTGCGCACAGGAAATTTTACTCGTTTGCTCATCGTTATAAAAAACAATTTTCGTACCACGAATTAGGGACAAGATTTTTATCTGTATACTTATAGGATACCTAATCTGTGGTAATAGTCTCCTTTACGCCATCCCATCATTAGTAGTTTCGAAAAAACTGGATGTATTGTCAATATGGCATTTTACCGCCAAGATGACCTATATTCTTGTATAGTCTGTTTACAAAAGAACCAAATTAGTTTTAATACCGCGTAGTTGATATCACCAGTGGCGGCTCGTCGGGGTAGGCAAGGTAAGCTGCGCGTACTCTACAATTTTGTCAGAATTTAAGCGATACATAGCAGAGTTGGTAAGTAACAGTTTTTCGCTTTTTTCACATATAACGGTTTTTTGGGGTGTGTCAGTCGATCTCGGTTGTGTGGTTAGGCTCGAAATGGGTTCAAAAAATAACGGTCATAAATAAACAATAGAATGAGTCACTATCGAGCAACCATCTATAACAGAGATAGAAAGCACAGCATAGACTTAACATTTTTGAAACTTGTCAAACTCTTGTTAAAAAGGTTATTTTTTAGCCACCAGTAAAGTTTGTATACCCTCTCGTATATGGTACTAAAAACTGGAGTATTTGTGAAATAAAGACATCACACGATAGGTAAAATAATAATAGTTTTTAGTACTGTAGAGAGATAAGGTCAAAAGATGTTTAACACATCTTTGTTTATTTTCTATTAACACACAACCCTAAACTATTTTTCTATAAAAAAATAACTCAATTAGATTGTTTGAGGATTAATACAGTTTTTTATATTTTGAAGTAATCATTTATCACTAAAATTTCAAATATATTAATTTCCCGTTTTGCATTAAAACTGTACCAACTTATTTCTTTGTAAAATAAAATAAATTACTTTGCATAGATAAATGAAACAAGTTTAGATTGAAAAGTGCCCATAAGGACAATGTAAATACTATTTGGCGCTATTCTTGCAACGGTCGCGACCCAAAGTTTTTGAAAATTTCGGGGTGGTTCGGTTTTTCCCGGAATTATATCGCCAAAAATTATTTATTCAAATTTGTTATTATTTTCTTTTAATTTTATAAATAATATACAATGTGTTGCATACAACACACTTTATTTTATATAAGGACATGTATGAAATACCTATGAAACATTGGAAACCGACGTTATGCCACGATCCACGATGGTTTTTGCAGTTCACAGTTCACAGCACAGCTTTTTAAGTTTTTAATGCCACTTTTTCACAATTATCACGGGTTGGAGTAAATAAAACTTAAATTAAACTCGCAAGATAGCAATAATTACTGTGAAAATGTACGCTACAAACACTTTGGGATTTTTTTCAATGAGAGCGGTTTAGATTTTGAAAGATTTTATAATTTTTGAAGATTCTGACTTTGACAAAAGATATGGACAAGAGAAAATTATTTCTGTTTTTGTTTGCGGTTGTTCTTAGCAACCGCTATAGCAGCGCCAGATCGCGTACAACGGTCGCGACCCAAAACTTTGACGGGCTTTCCAATCTAAACTTGTTTCATTTATCTATGTTACTTTGATATTCAAATGCCAGACATATCTATCACTGTCAAGGCTTTTGTCAATGGATATAGACTATACAGAGATTTTGTTGCATGCATATACATGGCGAGGTCAGAAACTTCAGACTGTAGTAACTACTGATGCAAAGATTGTAGGAGTATCAAAAATATAAATTTATTGTAATCGTCGCTACAGAGCTCTGCGCTTCGAACCGCCTAGCTCGAAACCTCTGGATTTGGAAGAATTGTCTGATGACGAGTGGAATGACGAAACAAATAAGAATCAAGACTGGAATGACAAAAGAAGCAAGAATCCACCCTCTAGACCCTTTAGCAGCTCCCCCGAGAAAAAGATTGTGGAACCTCAGGCAGTAGCTCCTCGAAACACGACTTTGGAGGAGTTGATTAATATTCCAGGACGTTTCAACCGACCTTCAAAAATAGTTATAATATTGAGGGGTCCTCCGGGCAGTGGCAAGACTTATTTGGCCAAACTTATAAAGGATAGAGAGGTAATTTTAACTGATAAGCGTAATCCAGCGATTTTTCACTGCTTTTATTTTAATTCTGTCTTTCGTTCAATTTTTCTCTTAATTTGTAACAGCACTATGAAGATAGGTTACATTATATTTTTTTACACTTTGAGTATTGAATTAGCCACAAAATACCTTAAGTTTCGGTTTCCTACAAAGCGGCACCGCAAAAGGGCTGTTGTAAGTTGAGACTAGCTACTAACGGCGTAACGTGGCGTCAGTACAAGGGAATGTAATAAATAACTGCAATTAATATTTTACCAACACAATCAAGTTTTTTCTTTTTTTATTTAAAGTCTTCAATTCTGAAGTTACAAAAATAAAATATACAAAAATCTAACAGGTTAAACAAATAATTAAACCAATTTAGGTAAAAAACAAAGCTGTGAAGTATCTGTTAATATAAATAGTAGACAAGACCAACAAAAAAGTTTATTGTGTGTCTGACAACCTTCTTACAACTACATAGCCAGTGTTTACTTTTATAAATATTTTCCCTAAAATGAGGAATACACGATTTTAGTTTAGTATTAATATTCAGAAAAATTCGTTTTGGAGGTAAATTTTAATTTTTCTGTATACACCATAGAACTTGAAGGATGATTGCAAAATTATTTCTATTTTATAGCCGCATTCAGAATCGGCCATCGCGAGGTGCTGCGCTATTTTTATTTTATATTGCGATCGAGATGTGTTTAAAAAACCGCTTCAACCACCGATTAAAACAGCAAACGGAAGACGTAATCGCGGCCGGAAAGTTCGCTAACCTCGGCTCGCGTTCGGCGGCGTCCAAGATGTAACGAGGACAGTCGCATCATCGCGCTGTCGAGATTTTTTTATTTTTAGCGTTTAGCGTAGGCTTTAGCGTTTGGTTTGGTTTGGTTTGGTCTATAAAACTCGACCCATACACACATTAAATAATTGAAATTAATTTAAATATTTGAATACATTTACTGAGGATTTTAATTTATTATAGGAAATCTCAGTGACTTTTTTAAGTAAAAACGGACTACAATATTTTGAAGGGCTGCGACGCATCATCCACATCAATGGAAGTCTCGCCGCTGCTAGCTACATGGCAAAAAAACGTGTGTGGACTTGCAAACCGGGGTGTGTTCAAAAAATACACATCGTATTTTCTGAAGCGGCCGTTCTGTACTTGGGGATATTGCAAGCACGATTTTTGACGGTGCTCCAGTACAGTGATTCTAGTGTTTTATATTTGATCTGATCTGCTTCAAAGCGAAAAGCGGCAGTATTTTAACGCACCGTATTTAATATTTTATTAGAATAATATTCATTTTCAAAGCGGCTGTCCATCGTTGGCAAAAACGGCCGCTATTTTACGGCACGGTTTTGTAGGAAGAAGCGGTACAAAGCGTCGGCTTTTTTAAGTACTTTACATTTTTTAGACTTAAAATACGCATATTCGTGATTAAACTCCACTTTACAAGTTAAAAATACGTAGGTGGCGCCCCCTACAAATTACTATTGACATAAGATCTAAAATTGACATCGAAGTCAAATTTCTCATGTAAAAAAAAACCCAGGCACTAATTTTCATCCAAATATCGACTTTAGCATAAAGATCGAAATAAAAATGAAACTTTAAAAAAAACTTGCATTAGTTTAATTATCATTATTCAATTCGGACCACCCTGTATATTTTTTTAGCCAATCTCTAATACATATAGTTTTTGAGAAAAAAAAGAATACGTCTAAAATCATTAGCTTGAATGTGTATTGCAAAACGATAAATTTTTTTAACATGGAATATATGTTTATTAGGTTGAAAATGGTGGTTCCGCACCTAGAATTTTATCCCTAGATGATTATTTCATGGTAGAACACGAAAAAGATGTTATGCAAGATGGAAAAATAGTAAAAATCAAAGAGATGGTCTACGAATACGAGGCAGAAATGGAGGAAACGTACCGGATGTCTCTGATCAAATCCTTCAAGAAAACCATCACAGACGGTTACTTTAACTTTATAGTGGTGGATAACGTTAATCAAAAAGTGAAAAACTTTGGCGAGATGTGGAGTTTTGCTAAACAGAGCGGTTTTCAGGTAAGTGGTTGTTGAAGCAACTTCATTGTGTGATACACGATTGACGCAGTAAAATATGTTAAATTATACAGGGTGTTTCAAAAAGTGTGAGCATGTAGGTTAGGGTAACACTCTGTTGTATTTCATTTTTGGGTTCCTTCTTAATTACTTTACTTGGCCTTATGCTTTTTAATAGTTGCACAGAAATATAGTATATTTTGCAACCTATAGATTATACCAAATAAAGTTTTAGTCACGTGATTAAGCTTCACCGGCACAGCGTAGCTGACTTTTACATATTATCCTTTATCAGATTATTTTAGGAAACAAAAATTAATTTTTATTTAAAATTTAATTATAAATATGTACACATTTATTATTTATATCAACGAAACTCACCTCGCACCAGCACAAGGGCTACAGCATAAGGGACATAAAGGGCCATTATTATTGCGTTCCCGTTCAAAAAAAAGTGTATTTTGTACACTTCGGTATTTTGTACACTTCGCGCTATAAGCTGTTGTAAAAGGAACAATTTTCGACTACAAGATCTACTAGTAAATGTTTTTGACCTTAAAATATGACTTAAACCCAAAACTCGTAATTCAAAACTAAACTGTCAAAACGAATGAAAATATCAGAAAATAAATATGGCAACTTGACATTTTTACAGCACAGCTTCCACCTGAATCGCCAGCTGGAAACTTAAATACCAATTAGCCAGCCCGGCGCGGCGCGGCGCTGGTTGTTGGCAATAACTAATTTAATAATGGCGCCCTCGATGACGTAACTAAAAGTTTATTTGATATCGCTTGTATATGTTTTGCCTGATGTTAAAATTGTATCGTCAACGATTTGTGTAAGTGACGATATTGTAGAATCCATGTTTAGCAACATTTTCCTTTTTAAAAAGAGGAGTCTACGGAATTTTAGGTATATATCTGTGAACTGGACCTCGATCCTCAACTATGCTTCCGTCGTAACATCCATAACCGTAACGAGAAGGATATTGAGGATTGCATAGCCGGATGGGAACCAACTCCGCAACATCATCCCAGCATAGACCCTACCACATTCTTGGAGAGTTTCAGCGCCATTACGGAGGTAGAGATGGAGGAAGTTGAACAGGAGGACAATGGACGCGAGGAAGAGGTGGAGGTAAGCCCTAGGCCGACATAGGTGGAGAAACAATAACTTTTTTGCTATACATTTATGTAATCTCGAAAAATGAGGTGGTTTAATATTAACTTAAATATTTGTTTTATGTTATCCGAGTTATTTGTATGTGAAGAATTTACAAATATTGGTTGACAATTTTTCAAACTTATGCTTTATATAAGATGTTTTGTATACATGTTCGGTTTTGGTTTGGTTTGACACGCGACAGCACACTTAAATTATTTATTAAATAGCTAAACACTGCAATACACTACTTAAGAACACTAAAAATTACAAGTTACAATAACGACTATTTTCTTTACAACCACTTCCGATCCTTCGAAGTTTATTCAAAATGTCACTTTTTCCGCATGTACCCACAGATGGCACTTGTTTGTTCTGGAATTTCTTTGAATAAGAAGACTAATGAACGAGCATATCAAAAATCTTAGGTCCACCGCGATGGGACTCAAATATGGCCGACTTAAATTCCTGTTTATCAGTGCCGTTCTAATTTTATTTAAAAAACGAAAAACTATGATGTAGGGTAGACGTGGGGTAGACTCATTATTTTTTTTTATTTTACGTTGTGAATAAATGTTGGTAGTTATTAAAATTGTTATAAAAACATATTATTATAATAAAAATAGATAAGTTTTAATAATTATTTATTAACACAAACATCCGATACACTACTGAAGCAGGTAAGTCAAATTGACGTATCTAAATTCTTTGACATCTAATCTTTGACAAGTAGTAAATAAAAGCAAAAATGCAAGAAACCATATATAATTAGTTAATTTAAGTGAATTTCATAAATGATCGGTTTACTACACGTATGTGTATATTATATAGTTGTAACTAGCACTAGCGAAAAGTTGTTCCATTATTTCACTCGATTTTTGTCGACATCTACCGCACGCTACACAACCAACTATTTTAGAGTCTTTTTCGATAAATCGCGATAGTGTCACTGTTAATTTAAGTTCTGCCACAATTTCCATCTAGATTTACTACCTTTATACAACTATCAGTAGTAGAATACATGATAAATAACATAAAATAAGCTCCGTAAAGACTGACAAATCCACAAAATTTCAAATCAAATTCAAATGTGTCAAATGAATCGTTAAACAGAACTGTAAAGGATCCCCACCCTAGAGTCCTTTTTCCGCCCACCATGCATGAATGGATTATGCTCCTTCCTTAGTCTTCTTATTCAAAGTGGAATTTATACCATAGTGAGCCATCTCTAGATCCTCTTCACATCCGACATTAGGGTTTGGTCGTTTCCTGTATTATTGAGAGATGTCGCTAGTTACCTTTTACCTAGTTTTTCACACACATATAAACTATACCTCTGGCATATACCGAGTTGGTAATTTTAGTAGTGTGATCTGGATTTTAACGTGTAAGACAGTGAAGTAGGCAGCTTAATGGAAAATAAAATGTTTTAAAAGAGATAAAAGTTGTGTTGATACATTTCTTCTATGCGGTATTGCCGGATTTTGCATCAAAAACCGGCAATACCGCACATGTAGGCGTTTATGGAAAATGTTGCATCTAGGGTTGGAACCTTATTTTTCGCAATTAGTTACTGATTTTACTACAAATAGAATAAATTATATTTAGCTTAGATATATTATCTTCATTTCAGTAGTATACATGAAAGTTTTTAAAATAGTTTTTTTTCTTCACAAATTTTCCTACAAACGTGAAAACCGGCAACACTGTATGCCGCATTTGATTTTGTCTGTGTCTGTCAACTCTGTCTGTCATTTAAGCTTGGTTAAGTTTGACACGGGTAGTGAAGGACGATCGTGGCCCACACTTTGGTGGACCACGCCTCATGTCAACAGTAGATTCGCGAAAGAAGAATAGAAACGAATCATTACTAAAGACGCCACGATCGTGAATAAGCAAATCAAACGTGTTAGATATGTCACGAACCAAATATCAAATCGATAGTGAATAAGAAGTCGCAGAAGAAGTTGAGGTAAAAAAGGCATATTTTGCACTATTCTCACATTAGAAAATATTGATTGACTTCCGATTATAATCTTTGTTGCAAAAAAAGTTCGAATATTTAATTTTTACATTTTTTTAATATATTTTAGTATATGATTATAAAAATTAACTTCATATGCATAACAAAACCATAATTAAAATAAATAAATATAAATTCAATTTTTATATACAGTAATGACTCGGAAGTAAATTAGAAATGTCTGATGAAAAGACGTAAAATAGTAAATATTGGCAACTCTGTGAAGATATATTGGCATGAATACCACAATTAATTATTTTCATTCGTCTTTTAATGTCGTAATATTTGGCACATTAGTGTACAACCTTCCACGAAATGAACTTTATAAAAGACTGACACATTTGCCGTGTAAACAGCCTACGATCGCTGGACGATTTTTCTTTTTCACGAATGGCTTTTTGGTACTTTTGTAGCTCACGAAAGTGTGAGACACGATCGTGCTTCACTACCAGTGTCAACTTAGCTTTATATTATTCTCGGTCTTAAATCCAGACCACACTTCTAAAAAGACCAAATCGGTAGACATATGTAATTATGGAAATGAATTATAAGGTTCATATAACATCTCTGTGATGTGGCAAAATTCACCGGATTTTTCCTTTTTTTCAATATTTTGACACACAACTTGTTTTAGAAAGGAACAACCATTAGAAGATAATATTACGTATAATAACTTGACAAACTAAAAGAAGAAATCGCAGCAAAATAGTCATATCTGCAGAAGAAGAAACTTTGGTTTTACAAAGTTTTTTCTTACCTTTGCTGTTATGCCAAACTAGGAAGCATGTTAAGTAACATGCTTGCCAACATGTTGATTAATCAACACACACCATACTTGTTGATTACCCCATTTGTCAACACGTTGCCCAACTTACTTCCTAGTCAGTGGCGTACTAAAGTTGGATTGCTGCAGATTCGACATATTTAGCACCCAGTGACGTTTTTTATTCCCAGTGTTAAAGCTTGTGTTTGGAGGACCAAGTTTTCCGTCAAACAACTATTTTGCTAACTACTATTTGTACGGGTTGATAGATCATTGGAAGTAGTGGGTGGCTTTTCGAAATTATATAGAAAAATCAATATAACTTTTCAAATGTGTGTAATCATATATATAAACATCACACATATAAACATCTTATACCGGGATCGGTATAAGTCAGGCAACGCTCTCGAAAAATCAGCATAATATGTCCGGCAACGCTCATAAGTCTGGCAACGCCCACTAAGCATGTTCGTGCGTCAGACAGTTGTTTCTGTGTCATAATATGTAAGATAACACTTGCTTGTCCAATAGACGCGTTTTCAGAATGAATAACCTGATGAATGGTTGCCTGACTTATGCCGACCTCGGTATAAAGAAAACATTGTCAACCTTTACAATTTTATAAAATTGTATCTCCATGTATGGGTTAATGATATTGTGCTGAATTCATAAATGAACTAATGATTTTTGCCCCCTAGCAAACAGGTACATAAAAACGTAAAAGATATAATTTATAAAATTGATTGCATTGATCGTTTTGCGATATATTGCTAAAAATTCAGTCTTCACAGGACCATATTAGAAGCAAATGGGACACTTTCGACTGTTCTATAAACAACCTTGGTAAGTTCCTTCTTATAAAACGGAAGTAAACACTTTATTACGGGAGTTTTTAACGTCTATCACTAGGAATTTTGATATTAATTGAAATATTTTTGTCAACATATTATGATAACACATGATTTTTGTTGGACATAGTATCAAGATCCTCATTTACCAATTTTAAGAGGCGTTATTATATTTGTGAATATTGTATTGGTATACATATACACTGTTTATATCATTACAATCTGTAATATAATATAATAACTCCATTAGTATATTGATAATTTACGACTTACATGAGCAATAAGAGCAAGTAGTAGAAGAAATAAAAAATACGGTTAGAGTGGAATAACCCATAATTTTTGATGTCGTATCAATGTTTAACAAGAACTTAAGCAAACGTCTATATCTCTGTGTGGCGGATTCATCTCTCCAAAAAGTCCTATGGATATTTCTCCACTCTAAGAAAATCTATACTAATATATAAAATCCTTAAGTGACTGACATACTGATTAATCACGATCCTGCTCAAACCACTCAACATAAGAAGCTCAATTTTGGCATACAGGTTGATTCTAGGGTGTAGAGGTTCGATAAGAAGGGATTTTTCGAAATTCCAGTTCTAAGGGGGTGAAACCACCCCTCAAATATTACAATATTTTTTATTTTAAAAACGGTCAAGTTTCCGAAAAAACGCTTAAACACGATATTTTGTTTTGTTTTTTTACATATTTTAAGATTTTTTAAAAATGTATACAGGGTGTTTCGAAAAATCTGGTCATTGATTAATCACGATCCTGCTTAAAACGCTTGACGTAAAAGCTGATTTTTGGAAAACAGATTGACTTTAGGGTGTAGAGGTTCGATAAGAAGGGATTTTTCGAAACTCGAATTCTAAGGGGGTGAAACTATCCCTCAAATATTAAAATATTTTTTATTTAAAAACCGGTGAGTTTTTCGGAAAAACTCTTAAAAACGTATATTTTATTTTGCTGTTTTACATATTTTAAGATTTTTTATTAATTTATACAGGGTGTTTAATAAAATATGACCATTGAGTAATCACGATTCTGCTTAAACTGCTTGACGTTTAAAGCTGATTTTTGGCAAATGAATTGACTGTGGGGTGTAGATTTCGATAAGGAGGGGTTTCTCGAATCTCAAATTCCAAGAGGGTGAAAACGCCCCTCAAATATTACAATATTTGTTATTTAAAAAACGGTTAGTCTTTCGGGAAAACGCTTGGACAAGCATAATTTATTTGTTTTTTTTTACAAATTTTGAATTTTTTTAAAAAATCATACAGGCTGTTCCAAAAAGTTGGGTTATTGATTAACCACGATTCTGCTTAAACTGCTTGACGTAAAAAGCTTATTTTTGGTAAACGGATTTTTCGAAAGTCAAATTCCAACGAGATGAAACTGCCCCTCAAATATTACCAAGTTATATAATAATATCGCCATATTGTTTTTTCTCATGCTGACATAAATGTGAGAAAATTTTATCCAGTTTGTATGTTAATGGAAATTCTTGCTTTGCTTTAACATCACCATTACAAATGATTAATTCGACGCGAACGAAGTCGCTGGTAAACGCTAGTCTAGAAAATAAAACAGTTATTACAGTGGCGAAACACCTATAGGTATTTTTTGGATAGAAGAACTTAAGACACGCTACCACTCTGAAAAACTTCAGCGATAGTTATAGTAAAGATTGACCTTGCAATGTAAGTGGTAGAAATATCTTTTTGAACTGACATAGTCTTTATTTTTTAAGTTTTACACAGCGTTGTAGTCAGATATAATATCAATGACTGTTATCTAACTATAACTTAAATCCTAAAACTACTGAGTTTATACAGGGTGTCCCAGAAATAAGTGCAAATATTTTAACTGGTAGTATATTTCGGCATCAGAAACATGCCTATGAGGTTTTATTTGCGAAAAAAATTGAAAATTTGGAATTTTTTGAAAAAAATGTTGGAAATTTTTTAGTTTTAAGTTAAAAAACATAATTTCTTGATAATATCGCAACATAGGTTGTAGATTAAATTTACATGAAAGAAAATACCGAAAAGATCAAGCCGTTCTCAAAATTTAAGCAAATTAAATTTTCAAAGTAAAATAACTCGGTTGTTTTGGAGTTATTTGAAAAACGGCAAAGAGAAAAAATGTTTCTTTTGACCAGATCTACCACCCCTTAAAATACTTGCACTTATTTCTGGGACACCCTGTATACTAGGGCATTTGTCCGTGACAGAGTTGGGTGTAGTTAAGCGTGAGATTGTCAAACTGGGACGATTTTTATGTAATTTCACAGTTGAATCATTCTCATGCAATCAAAATAGAAATAGTCAAAACATTATGTAATCAAGCAAACATCATGGGCAGTAAATCTGAACTGAATAATCTAGGTGAATGGCTTGCTTTAGTATACAGGGTGTCCCAGGCTGAGCGTGCATTAGAAGTTTCTAGAGAACCACAATATCTAGATCGGAGATTTTTTGCACATCATTGTTTTACAACGAGATCTATCGATTAAAATATTTTCAATATGGCGGCACTTCCGGAAATACCGGAAGTTGACAGCAACTTTCTTATTTTAAATAGGTGCCCCCATTTTTTATTACATACTTAAATTCTCTGTAAAATTCTATGAATATTGATTTTAAACACTCTATATCTTACATTAACCCTTTTTGAGAAAAAAAATATTTAAAATTTTTGGACGAAAAAAACTACCTGTCAAAAAAATTTGTATAGCCTAAAAGTCAAATTTAATGATTACCACAGCCACTGTGACAAAGAGAAGACATGTGGCTATCTATTTCAAAAATTAAATTGTTCAAATGTCATATAATAATGGCGGTAGCTGTCATGGAAATGAGCGATTAAAAAATTATCATAAATCATTTTTTTCAAATGGAAATCCACTTTTTTTATTTTACTAATGAAACGGTTTTTTAATTCGTTACTTTTTAACTATACATGTTCCTATATCTAAAATAAATCGTTTTTAAGTTATTTAAGATTTAGTTTGAAAACGTATATTTTTCTTCATTTTATCTAGCTTCCTTTGACATTAAGTGTCAAACGGTCAGACAATTTAGTTCCATCTGTCAGAAAACGAATTATTTGAATTTCCTATAGTATAAATACTGCCTGCTTAAGAATTTAAAAAGTGTATTTATAAAAATATATCTCGTATTTTCGCTCTTTAGTCGTATTATATCTAATATATGTATAGTTGATATTATCAATAATATTCCGTATGATCGAAAAAAAAACAGCGCAAAGTTAGCTCGAAAATGATGCTGCTTTTTGAACAAAGCGTTTCAATATGACATGGCCAGATCTATTATTTTACATCACTTGATGTTTAAAGTCATAGGCTACTGGTTAAAATCAAGAAAAATATACGCTTTAAAACGAAATCTTAAATAACTTAAAAGCGATTCATTTTAGGTATAGGAACATGTATAATTAAAAAGTCAGGAATTGAAAAGCCTTTCCACTAGCGAAATAAAAAAGTGGGTTTCCATTTGAAAAAAATGATTTATGATAATTTTTTATTCGCTCAATTCTATGACAGCTCCGGCCATTATTATATGACATTCGAACAATTTAATTTTTGAAATAGATAGCCACATCTTTTCTCTTTATGGCATAGTGGCTCTGGTAATCACTAAATTTGACGTTTAGGCTATACACATATTTTTGACAGGCAGTTTTTTTCGTTCAAAAAATTTAAATATTTTTTTTCTCAAAAACAGTCACTGTTAGATATAGAGTGTTTAATATCAATATTCATAAAATTTTACAGAGAATTTAAGTACATAATAAAAAGTGGGGGCACCCATTTAAAATAAGAAAGTTGCTGCCACCGTCCGGTATTTCCGGAAGTGCAGCCATATTGAAAATATTTTTAATCGATAGATCTCATTGTGAAACTATGATGTACAAAAAATCTATGAGCTAGCTGTTGTAGTTCTCTAGAAACTTCTAATGCACGCTCAGCCTGGGACACCCTGTATAAGCTGAGTAGTTTTAGGATTTAGTTTACACTTGATAACGTCAGTGATAAATCTGACTGAAACGTGTAAAATGTCTAATTATGAAGATATTTTTATTCCTTAATTCATTATTGGTCTACCACTTTTAAATAAACGTTGCATGATTGATTAACAAGTTTTTTAGCTCTACTTCTCTGTGGGAATTTTTTATTAATTTTGTCAAAAAAAAATAAATTTAATAAAAAAACGTGACTATTTCATGGAAAACAATTTCTTTGTTTTTCACGAAAAAGAAAATTTCAAAAAAAGATTTTCCACTCATTTCGTTTGTGGTCATTTTAGTACCATTTTGGAGTGATATTTTTACATTGAAAGGTCGATATACCTCATCGTAAATACAGTTTTTAGTCAACGGTCGCATATTGTTATGTTGCAGCCCGACTTGACGGCGTCAGCAAACCCATACGCTCCTCAAAGTCCATGGAGGAGTACCTTCAGCTCGACGACGAATGGACAGAACCCACCAAACCGCTCAAACCAGGACAGAAAAGGGTATATACAGTTGTTTATGATCGTCAAATTTACAGTTTTCTAAATTTATGAAATAATTCAGGATGTTCTTTTTGTGTTTGTTACCCATAGATTAAATAAAAATATACCGATCTGTTTATCGAAACTGGACGAATGGATTTTAACGTGTTAGACAGTGATGTAGACAGCTTAAATCAAATGAATTAAAAAGAGATAAAAGTTAGGTTGATACTTCTATCCGGTATTGTCGGATTTTGTATCAAAATTTCTAACCGCACAAGTAGGTGTTTACGAAAAATGTTGCATCTAGGGCTAGAACTTTATTTTTCACAATTAGTTACTTATTTTACTACTTTGCTATATATTCTTAAAGAACTGTCTAACACAAATGAGGATTATTGAATAGCTTATTTATATTATTATGTATTATTTTATTTCTCGTACGAACCGACAAGACTGTATGCCGCTCTTCATTTTGTCTCTCTGTCTGTCAACTGGTCGTATGCATTAAAGTACAGACCACGGAAATAAAGTGAGCAGTGCTAGTATGTGTAGATTCGTGACTGCAATGGGCAGAGTTGGGCTAAAACGAGAAATCGCATTAACATGTATACCTGTGTCCGTGATTTTTTATTTGGCGCAAAATTAATTCGTTAACGTGAATTATACTGTTAACGTTAATTTTTAGGTTAGGGTTATGCTGTTTTCATAATTGCGCGGTAAACCTGTCCGATATATTTATTTAGTGCTACTTTTTTACTTCGACCGCCATTACACTATGGATCTTTTTCATATCACAACTAGTTTGTGATGCCGACCGTTGCGGAACACCACCGTATAGCGACTGGCTAAGCCCTTATCATATCATAAAAAAATAATGAAATTATTTATTTATAATAAAAGTACAATGTGATCTACTATTTTCCCTTCCATTAATAAGCCTCTTAGAGGTGGGAATTCTAGTTTATTCTGAGGAACTAGTTCCTTAGTTCTAGTTTCTCCAGAGAAATAGTTCCTTGAACTAGATCTTTAGTTCACATTAGTTCCTGACTAACTTTGACATCCCCGTTGCTTGCTTATGGGTTTTGTTATAAGTCGGAACTATTCATAGTATGGTCTGTATAATTTTATAATGTACGAAATATTACCAGACGTGTAGGGATCATTTCCAAAAAATGTTCAAAGAATAAACTAAAAATTATAAATAGTACCCACGACAATTTTCTGTGGTAATTACGCCGACCGCGGCCATAGACAAGACCGGATCGGTGAACTAGCGAACTATTGTGAACTAGTCTTTTAATTAGTTCCTTTCGGTTCCGGACCGATAACATACGGCTAGCCCTCTCCATTTCCGCCTAGCATCGGTCTACGATCGCGCTGGCCAATCCATCCGTGAACTAGTCTTTTATTTAGTTCCTCTAGTTCCTTTCGGCCCGGGAGCGATAACATACGGCTGGTACTCCCCATTCTTGTCTAGTATCGAGCTACGATGGCGCTAGCCGATCCGTCGCCGTCGCATATTATTGTATCTCTGTCACACTCGGTTCTCGGAATAGGTCTTGAGGAACTAGTCTTTTAAAAAACCGAGAACTACTTCCTTTCGTTCCGGGGTCGGAATAGTTCATTGGAACTAGTTCGTTCACTAACTACGCACCTCTAAAGCCTCTTATAATACAGGTGGAAACGTCCAGTTTCCAACTCAACATGACACGGCCTAAACTCGAAAGACTTTCGTTCCACGTAAGTTATTGAATAAATTCTAACTTGGCGATTTCTTTAGGTACGATGGGCCGACCTGGAGGAACAGAAACAACAGAAGAAGATGAAAGCGCTTGGTTTCGTTGTCGGCCACACAGACTGGAACAGGATGATGGATCCTACGAATGGCGAGAGCGCCCTCATCCAGACGAAGTATATCGAGCGCGTGCGCAAATACTGAACACAACCTAGTTTTTATTCTTCGGAGTTGGTTTATTCTTCGCTAGAGAACTCGTTAAGTAAGATTAATAAATTATAATTTTTATTATTATTTAACTGTCGCTTTTTATATTGAATCTGAGATTGGGGTTGGTCTGGATCAGAAGTTGACGTTTATGAATCATTATGTTTTAGAAATTTGAAAAGTTTCAAGCTTAAGAAAAAGGGATTTTCTTGTGTTGAATTGGCTAAATATATGCACGGTTACTCAGTGATAGAACAAAATTCATTATCTGAATTGTCGTAAGAGCTACAAAAAGTATAATAATTTTAGAGAATGGTAAGGTACCCTTCAAATAAATAAGAAAATTAATTTTGTTCTACCAATGATTCACCCTATACAGTGGCGTTAATATTATTGCTTAAATGTTAATTTATTTTATCACGTGGTAATTTCTCTGTATTATGGTCAGAGGATAAGTCTGATATTTTTGAAGGTTTAGAAATAAATAATGTGAATCAATTATAAGTTATTACTGGATGAATTTGATGATTTTGTATATTGTAATTGAATTTGATCTGTGAAAAATAAAGTGATGATAAACGAACTTGAAATTCAATATAGAGTTTTTTTAAATATATACAGGGTGGTCCGAACTGTATTTCGGAAACTTCGGCAGCATATTCTGTGGATAAAAATACATAAAAAAGTTCTTATAAATGTATGTCCTAAAATGCTTAGTTTTGGAGGTACAGGGTGTAGAAGTTTCATTTTTATTTCATTTTTTTCTAAATAATTTCTGAAGTAAAGTTAATATTTGGATGTAAATTGGTGTCTGGGAGTTTTTTGACATGAGAAATTTTATTTTGATGTTAGTATGACTCCTACTTGTAGAGGGCGCCACCTAGATATTTTTAACTGGTTTGAAAAGTAATACTTTTCGTCCGTATCTGTATAAAACTACTGAGTAAAAAAATATACATTGACGACGTCTTTCTCGAGATATTTGGAATCGAAATTATCAATACCTGTCATCATTATAAATTAAACATGTTGACTAAATAGTTATTAGAATAAAATCATAAATTTCAAATGATTTTGTGCCAAAAGTTCAACAGAAACTGTTTTATCATCATTTTTTTGCAGAAAAAATTATGATTCATTTAAAAAAATAAAAATTTCACAAATTTATTATTTCAGTCAAATAACTACCTACTCAACGTGTTTAATTTTTGTCAATAATGACATGTAATGACTATTTCCATTCTAAATATCTTGATAACGGTTGCTCGTAGCGATTTTTACCAAGAGTACATTTTTTACGTGAAGAATCCCGGAAATGTATATTTTTTACTCAGTAGGGTACGAACGAAAATTTGTTATTCTTCAAAACAGTTAAAAGGCATGGAAGTGTAATCAAAATCAAAGTCAAATTTCTCATGTCAAAAAACTCCCAGACACTCATTTTCATCTAAATATTGACCTTACTTCAGAAATTATTTGGAAAAAATCGAAATAAAAATGAAACTCTCTCCGAAACTAAGCATTTTAGGACACAATTATATGAACTTTTTTACTTATTTTTATTAGTAAAATATGCTCCCGAAGTTTCCAGAATACAGTTCGGACCACCCTGTATAGTGTGCAGTTATGAAAACTACATAATATATTAGTTTTAAAACAATGGTTAGTTTGAATCCTAGTATTTTCCTTTTTTATATCAATATCAAAAAAAATATATTGTATAAGGTTTTTTAAATCAATTAATAATATTTGTTTTTTTAATGTGATAATTCAGTTTGGTTCATTAAAATATGTTACTTTAATTTATTATTACTTTCTTAATATTTAATCAATTAGACAAATATATTATACAACTACATTATTTTATTATAGTGCATCATATACACCCATTGATAAGTTTGACAGTTTTTTAAACATAACCTCATCGTATTCATATAGATCAGTGTTTTAGATGGTCATATGATGTTTTTTGTAATATTTCGATATTTCTATTGGTATTTAATTATAGGTGTATAGAAATAAAACTCGTTGTCTATGCTAAAAATAGTTTTATTCTTTCAAACACTCTTAAAAACACACTTAAACATTTATTTTATGTAATGTGTGATTTGTGAAAGTCAAAAATATGTTCCTGCATATAGTCATGGTTATAAATAATAATCTAATAAAACGGTTTGACACATACAGAGAGGGTATTCAAAACGCAATAGGCAAGATTATAACTATATTTCATATCATTACAAACTTCTATTTTTGTTTAGGAAACTTTTTTCAATTTTTAATAAAGGCCAAAACTACTTTGAGTAAATCACCTTTAAAAATGATACACAGTGTACACGATTTTTGAGGTTATTAAGTTTAAAATTGAGGTAACTTCTCATTTTTATGCGCATTATTTGTGAAAGTTGCAACGTAATATACGACAGATACGTTTCTGTAGATAGTATATTTTATATGTCATGTAATTTTGTGATATATGTCTGTTAACGTAGTTCATAAATGATTTTCCGTAAATAGAGATACTTATTTATTTAATACTCTTTTTATGTTTATATGAAGAACAATATATATATTGGATCAAAGATGTCAAATCTCGAAAAAAGGAATATATTTAGTCTATGGTCATATAAACCAGTAAATAGAAAAATGCTTTGTTTATATTTTGCTACTATATGTTGGTTCCAAAATATTTTATACATGTACTTTAATACAGATATTATTTTATTATGAATTTTGACCAATCCAAACAAAAGTTTGCAATGATATTAATCCGTCTTATGGATTATTTCTCTTAATTTTTTTAAGTGTTTTCACTTTTACAACCCTGTATAAAATTTCTTAAAAACGACATAAATAAGATGGTAAAAAATTAATACATTTTGACTCACTAATTTAACACAGATATGTGATGTTCCTATTTCGTTATCAATAAAAAACTTCATCAAAAAAATAGTCTTATAAATTAACATAAAATATTTCTTAATGGTAAAAAAACATCTAAATTCTGCAACAACACCGTATAAACGTATTTTTAAATTCTCCTAACAATAATTCCGATTCTTTGGTTAACACTTTCTTTACAAATCTACTTAACACAGCACTTATCATCGTCCTATGTGAGACTTCACTATTCTACCAATGTAACCCAACGCCCTAAAGGTTTTGTTAGGGGTAAGTCGTTGTTTGAGTAGGTAATATGACCCGCCCCTAAATATAACGTAGGCAACCACCAGAGCAACTATATCCACCCACAATATAGTGTTTTCAATGCCCATGTCTACCATGAAGTTCTCCAAATCGGTCCAAATGCAGAAATCGGCGTCTTCTGGACATTTTAGCTTATCTCTGCCGATCAGCATGGTGTGAATCAGAGCCTCTAGGGAGTATCGGAGGTAACTAAAGTACATGGCTATCTTGATTAGGGTGGGGATGCTGCTGTAGCCGCTGCCGAAACCGTATACGGCTAGGAGCATGAGGGGTACGGCTAGGACTGGACCCACAAACATACTGTTCTGTTTAAAATAGGAAAAAATATAATAATATAGGGTTACCCAACGTATAAGCGATACCAATTAAACTTTAAGTGACGTAAGCGAGAGCGCGACTTTTAAATTCATTGTTGCTAACAATGGACATATTCGGCGACGGGCTGACTAACTGGAATTTAAATTTCGTGCTGGGGATTCAGGTGGTAGCTCTGCTGTAAAAAATGTCAAGTTGCCACATTTATTTATTCCCTGGCATTGTCATTCGTTCTGACACTTTAGTTTTGTATTACGAATTTTTGGTTTAAATGAATAATTGTGCTGTAATACTTTAAGCTTAAAAATGTAGCCCTTGCAGTCAAAACATCGTTCTTTTTAGAACCTCTTTTAGTGCGAAGTGTACAAGATTGATAGCCGTTGCAAAAAACTCATGGCAACCTTTTTAGAATATTTTGAACGGGAAAGCGGTAGTAATGGCCCTTTATGTCCCTTAAGTGCTGCGAAGGAGGTTAGTTTTGTTGATGTAAATAATAACTGTTTATATATTTACAATTAATTTATTTTTGTTTCTTAAAATATTTTGATTAAAAGAAAGTACGTAAAAGTGGGTAACGCTGTGCCGGTCAAGCTTAATCACGTGACTAAAAGTTTCTTTGGTATAATCTATATTACTGGTTTGATTTTGACATCAATGTTTCTTATAAAATATGCGAGTGATTCGAATTATTTACAAACTAAAATTACAACATATCGGCAAGAGACGGGTCGGTAATTACATGTCTAGGAGTGAATCGCTATGGCGATTTTATAAGCCGGAGAGAGAAACATGCGAAACGTTAATTACATAATAATTTAATCAGACGCAATATTTTATGAGCATGGAAAAATGCCTGTTCCTCTTTCTTTGTACAGTACATCTTTATGTACTAAGGGTATTTGTTTATTTTTTGTATCGAGGGCACACAAAAATCGGTACCCAAAGCTAGACCATGCCGACTCTGTCTATATTCAAAATATAATTTCATAATATTACACCGAGTGGCTTTTGGAATATGAACATATTTAAACTAAATTTGAATTTTCTTTAAATCCTTTCAAAATTTTAAATTCGAAAATTTTTGATATTTTTTAACCAAAGGTATTTTGTGTTATGACATTTATGAATGTGTAGAAAATTTAATCTAAAAATATTTTATGATTCAAAAATAACTGACTATAGGATAAGCCATTTTGGATAAATTGAGTGAAAACCTCAAACCAGAGAAAGTATATTTATATTTTTTTCCTCTCTTATACTTTATTCAGGACCTCGAAATTAATGCAACAAATTAGTGGTTTCAATTATATTTTATGTTTATCAGTTTACGATCATTCACAATGTCTAAAAAATACAATTAAAATTAACAGAATATCCTAGCAACAGCTTGCAGTAGTCAGTTGTTTCCATAGAGAATGCCTAATAATTAGCAGGTTATAAAACAATAAACTTTTCATTTCTAACCACTACAATTTCTCTGGACGGATGATAATTAACGACCACAATGAAGGCCACCCGCTAATTATGAAGAATAACTAGTGGCAAAGTCAAAAGTCTGATAACATTTTCTACTAATTGAAAATTACTACCACTAATTATGAGACGTTCCGAACGCTTACATTGAATTTAAAGTAACAAAGTTCTATGTTAATTAAAACCACTAATTTATTCCCCTAATTTCGAAGTTCTAAACGAAGCTTTATAAAACTAATTTTATAAAGCTTCGTTTAGTAATAATATATAATAATAATAATAGCTTCCGTATATAGCGTTTAACGCCTTGGGAGTAGCAAGGTACAGCTTGCCATACTAGAGCCGTTCGGTATACAAGGAAGGTAATGTGGCTAGCACTACGCTTCAATCGCCTATTATTACCTCAGGATTGTGAATCCCAAGTACTCATTTAAGGCTGAGTCGACCTAGGTACCCAAACTATTTTTATTTTAAATAAAAATAGTCGGCTGATGCAATATGCCAATGGTGTGGGATTCGAACCCACTACCTTGAGATCGGTAGACGAGAGCTTGTACCTCTACGCCACCGGGCACCTAATATATTATAGTAATAATATACTTACCACTAAACTAAGATGAGACGCTATCAACAATCCAAAACTTTCAGATATGACTCCCGTTAGCATGCAGATCAAGTAAAAATGCGTCAACCTGTCAAATTCCATAGGCTGATCGGACAGGGTGTAGACCAGAATAACGTAGACCGACCCCAGGCCTAGTTGAATGGGTAACGTTGAGGTGGTAAGTGCGGCAAAATATGCGCTTAGTCTATACCATTTGTTGAAGTATTCGCGTTTTATTAGTTGAAATTCTTTGGGAACTACAAAGAAAATAACAATCGTCTTAAGTATAAATATAGAAAAATACAGGGTGGTCCGGTAATAAAGCATGTTTGGTACATTCGGAATTTCTCTTTTTTTTGGTAATTTCGGTACTAGCTATTTTTATTCAATAATGGGCCAGAGTTTGTCAATCAGCAAGCAAGGTATGCTTTAAGTAAAATCGATAAAAAAATGAGTTTTTTAATGAAAATAACCATCAATTAATTAATCAGTCATGAGAAAAACATGAACACAAACACGTACACAAGCGAAGAAAAAAACATAAGAAATTTGAAAAAAAGGCTTACGTTATGATTAAAGAAAAAAAAAACGGCGTCAAAGACGGCTGGGGAATGATAGTCAATGACAATTTTTGCGAGGTTAATCTCTATAGCTTGTTAATTTATACTTACATTGTAACAATACTGGCATCATAGGAATATACATGAAGAATATAAGGCACGTGAAATAAAACCCAAAATTGAAAATGGTTTTTGAACCGTCCCTGCCCATTCCAAGGTAGAGGTTGCCTATAAGGCTACCGATTAGTATGTACAACAAGGTTCGGAGGACGAGGTAACTCTGAAAATGAAAGTGTATGATCGGAATATTAATTGAATTCAATAATAATAAATTGAATGCAAGTGTGTATATGGTGTCGATAATGCATCTGGTCGTGTCATAGGAAATTACTATTCATGAAATTTTTAACTTGTATAAATATGTATATATGAGGTAATTTGAAAGTTTTTGATTTAGTATACAGGGTGGTCCGAATTGTATTCGGGAAACTTCGGCAGCATAAATATATTCTGGTGGTAAAAATAAGTAAAAAAGTGCGTATATATTTCTGTCGTAAAATTTTAGGTTAGTTTTGGAGATACACTGCCCAAGTTTCCCGAATACAATTAGAACCACCCTGTAAATATTTTTTATGTCTACCAAACATTTTGCCTCTTTAGAAAAATCAAATTGACCATCTAATATGAAATTATAATAGTAAAAATAATATATATATAAAAATAGTAGAGTCAGAACTAGACTACTATATTTTTTTAAGTAATATTTGTAAAATTTCCTAACGAAAAAAAATATATTAAATGTTTAGGTTGAATGATTAAATGAATTAATATATAAAAATAGATTTATTTACTTTATCTCTTAGCATCTGCTTCCACATTCGTAACAATAATATTTTATATTGTGTAAACCAGTCCGATTTTTCATTAAAACTATAATCGGGCTCCACTATCTGGAAATGGTCACTTGTAGTATTTTCAACATTTTTTGGCGTTTCTGTTGTTGCTTTCTTAACTAAGTCTGTGGAATAGGTAATTTTACCATTGTCAATCGAGGACGTAAGTCTGTCTTGGAAATTTCCGTATTCCTGGCAAGCTACTTCGATCACTGAAAATAATATACAAAAATTAATAATTTAGGCTTGGTGTATTTCAGTTGATTTTAAAAATTCCGACTGCAGTGCTCGATACGGCAGCAATGAGAACTTCTTTTGCTCTGAATTTCACGCAGTTCCGATGTTTATCGCATTGCAATAATATTATAATCGTGGCTTTGTCATAATATTTAAGTATTTTAGTTTTTAATAGTGCAGTTATTGAAACTACAAAACACTCATGTACGAGGTTTGTGTGATGTAACGCTGTTTCGGGTAGTAAAAATTAAGAAAGAACCCGAACTGGGCGTCTCTTTCTGTTGTGACAATTTCAACTGTTAATAAAATAGTCGAAAAAATATTAACACGTAAAGGAGGGCGTAATTACGTGGTTGTTGGGTGTTTCTGAGAATGTGAATTCACGTGTTAGCCCAACTCTAAATAATGAAACCTAGATACCTACTTACCAAAATCTGCAGGATTGAAATGCTTAGGACACTCCAAACCAATATTGGCTAAATACGGTACAATATTAGGTCCGTATCCTTGGTATATACATTGTCCAGCTGAAATAATGTAGACTTTGTCGAAAATAGAGAACATTTTGGCACTTGGCGTGTGTATCGAACATATGATCGTTCTTCCACCTTCCGAGATTTGTTTGAGTAGATTTACGCACTGCATACATGACAAATCGTCTAAACCTCTGAAAAGAAAAGGGTAACATAGGGTAACATAAAAAAATTATTACACCTAAAAATTTATATCAGAACAATTCAAGAATCAATTTTTAATTAACATTTTGATAATAAAGTCCGTGATGATGGCAGTTGCAAGCAGTTTTTGAATTTTCTGCCATTTTTTGGATGTCGTCGGTCGAAATCTTCCCTGACTAGATGGATAGATCTTAAATTGACTTACGTGGTAGGTTCATCCAAGAACAACACAGGTGGGTTATTTAGCAGTTCCAAAGCAATAGACAAACGCTTCTTTTCACCACCTGACAGCATTGTCGTTCTGGTACTGAAGGTATGCTGAAGATTTAGTTGCAATAGTACTTCATCTATCTGAAAAAAAGAAATATTTTATCTCAAGATCCAGAAATTAAAAAATAAGGATTTTTGAAAATATGTTTTGATTTTTTCTCCACCCAAAGGTGTGATTTCTTGTGACGTCTGGCGTCTGTTGACCGCTGCATATTGGCTCGTTCTCATGAACGTACCCTATCTCTAGCAGAAGATTAAAAAAATGCTTAGTCCTGCATATTCCTGCCATAACAAGAATCAGTTCCAATGTTGTCCTCAGGATAAATTATACGATAAGGCCTGCTTATTATTTAATAAGTGGCCGCCCAATAATCAACACGAGTAGGGAATGCAATCCCGCACCAAAATCTCAATCCCGCAAACCCGCGGGATTAAAGCAATCAATCCCGCGGATCCGCAAAATTGCGGGACTGTAAACAATAGTCACACATTTGGTCCTAAATGGTACAAAAGGCATTGTACATTTTGCATAGGCCCACAATATATTGATATAGCGTGTATCTTAAACTAGCTGTACAGAAATTTGGACCGATTTATACAGGGTGTTCAAAAAATATATTTAATATTAAATAAACTTACTTATTATAATTTATCTACTTATTTTATAAATAAAAATATTATTCTGATGTTGAAGTTTTTTTTAACTTGTGTTAGTTATCTGCTTTTAGATACACTCTATCTCTATATCAATAATTTTTTGGCATATGCAGAATGTACAAAGCTTTTTGTACCACTTAGGACCGACTAAAAAAACTTGACTAAAAATGCATATTTTTCGAAAAAAGTCAATTTTCCTTAAAACAAAAAAAAAATAAAAAACCGATCAAATTGTTTTTTCTAATTTCAGTACAGATTAGTCGTACTTGGTAAAAATTTCGATTTTTTAAAAAACTCGTAAATATGCGGTAAAAAAGATTCTTGACCGAATTTTCACTCTCTTATAAAACACCCTGTATACGAGAATTCGCTAAATATATTTTCGAAAACCACATAGCATCTTAATCACAATAGATGCATCTAAAGCCTGGTCCAAACCGCATCCCAAAATCTTTTTTAGTTCAAGAGATATTTAACTTTAAATTTACCCTAAAATTTTGCTTGTCCCGATAATTATGTCTGGCAGTTTATTTGACGAAATTGTCCACAAGTACTAGTTAAACGGGTCCCCCGGGTTCCGAGCGTCGACTCATCGGCCCGGAACGAAGGGGTTTGACCTTGATCGAGATCGATTCGGTTTCCCAGTAGTAATGTGTCAATCCCGCGGATTCCGCACGATAAATCTCGCAACTTCAATCCCGCGGAATCTCAGAGGGATCCAGCATTTGCGGGATCGCATTCCCTAAACACGAGGCGTGATTTTAGTGTTAAATTTCTTAAAAGGTAAGGGCTAAAGATCTATTGTGTCCCTTTTTTGAGTTATAACTCATCATACAGTCTGTAACTGATCATACATGTTTTTTTTCTGTTGTAAGGGGGTAGGGTATTTCCCATCCTCCTCCGACAACAGATGTTCTTCCTCCGAGGAGTGGACATCTACCTCCTACGAGAGTATACACCCTTCCGCGGTTGGGGTTTGGCCCTCTGTGTCCTTCACAGTCGGAGAGTTTGCCTCCGGCTAAGGTACCCGTCAGGTGGAAGCTGGAGGATCTTTCTCCATTTTCTCTACCTCTTTAACTTGGTCTTTCCTTAGATACCGGTATTATCCCGAATCTATAATAGATTATATATATATATCTCTTTCTCTATTGCTTCCTTGGATTTGAGGGCAATTGCTATTAAGGCCTGACCATGGCCCTCCTCCCTCAAGTTAATGACTCGCCAACTCGATGTCCTTTTATTGGAGTTCTGAGCCTGGATAAGGCTCAGCAGGTAGGTGGTGTCTTTCGCTTTGCTTCTCGACAGAAAGACCGTGATGGTCACCTCTTTAGGGATGTTTTCAACTCAGGGATGGGTTTTCAACTTAGGGATGTTTTCAATAGTAAAAAAAAAAGATTATACAGGGATCTATGCAGTTTATTCAAAGATTTACTAAAACCTTTGACTAAAACTGTAGAAAATGCGATAAATCTTTATTTTAAAAAAATAACTTTTGCATAACTTGTATTTTGAAACGGACAACTTACATACGGATATAAATTCTTTTTAAAATAAGAATTTTTATAGTCTATCAAATCGAGGAATGATGCTAGAGTATCTACCGAAACCAGACTTTGTTTTTTAACATGTTAATTTTAACTCATGCATAATTCATCCAATTATCATAAAAATAAAAAAAGTCTACTAATAAATAATGTTCACAATTCATTTGAAAACAAGAACTATAAAGATTGTTAAAAAAACATCTAAAATTTATTACCTTTTCGAGATGAGCTTTTTTTAATGGGTACCTGTCTGGCACTTTTTTTTACAAAAAATATGAAAAACGAACCTCTCTAATGGATTAGCTATCGAAGCGAAGGTCATATCACACTTCTATTAATTTTTGAATATTTTTAACTGTCTTAAAGGTAGATACAGTCAAGCAGAAGTTAACGTATTTGGCGATAAAAAGTGAATTATACCTTGTCAATAAAAATAATATACCCTATGATCGAAAAAACACGGCGACCATCTAAACAAACCTAAAATGGCCGACTTAAAATTCCGGTCCGATAAACCGGAGTGGTACCGATGCCACTCAAATTATATTCAAAAGTTACTTACGTTGTCAGTAAACGTTAGTGTGTAGTTATATTAAAATTGTTATAAAAATATATAATTCTAACAAAAATTGTTATACTCGATAACAATTAAACTTTAGTTATGTAATCGAGGGCGCGATTTTTAAATTCATTGTCGCCAACCATGGACATATACGGCGCCGGGCTGACTAACTGGAATTTAAATTTCCCGCTGGGGATTCAGATAGTAGCTCTGGTGTAAAAAATGTCAAGTTGCCACATTTATTTATTTATTTCCTGATATTGTCATTCGTTTGACACTATAGTTTTGTATTACGAGTTTTTGGTTTAAATGAATTATGTTGTGATACTTTTTTAAGTTTAAAAAATTTTACTACCAGACCTTGCATTCGAACATCGTTCTTTTTAGAACCTCTTTTAGTGCGAATTGTACAAGATAGCTTAATAGCCGTAAAAAAACTCATTGCAACTTTATTAGAATATTTTGAACGGGAAAGCGGTAGTAATGGCCCTTTATGTCCCTTAAGTGCTGTTAAGGGGGTGAGTTTGGTTGATGTAAATAATAACTGTTTATATATTTATAATTAACTTATTTCTGTTTCCGGCCAAGCTTAATTACGTGACTGAAAGTTTATTTGATATGAACTATAGGAACGTATACCGGGTGTGTCTCAAAAGTGGCTCACCCCTATAACTTTTTTATTTTTTCAGATAAAAAAAACGAGGTTTGGTATGGTAGTATATGACATAAATTATGATTGATTGACGTAATCAATCGTTTTTGATCACATCCTGTTTCACCGGAAATGACTACAACTTTTGATTTTTAAATGGCACCTTCGGTATTTTTTTACTTTATTCGATAGAAAATAACACTGAATAGAATTACATATCATATGGCAACTTTTGACATATTCGCTCAAAAACAAATTGTATTTTAAATTTCAATCTAGAATGGCATGGCTGTGTTAAAAACACTAATTTTTCATCAAGGAGCCTTGGAAAAATAGATTTGATAGTCTAATATTTTTAGTGTCTTGTCCTGGCCAGTTAAAAGATGCTCAAATCGTATTTTTAAATCATATCTCAATTTTTTCAAATGGAACGAGGATGGCTCATTAGCATATTTGGAACAAGCATTTTTTTACGAATAATTTGATACCACACGCTTGGTATTTCGAGTCAAATTGTCGTTATGAACAGCATTTTATAATTTCAAATAAATCATATGCGAAAATGTCAAAAGTTGACATATGACATATGATATGTCATTCTATTCAGATTGACATTATCAATCGAATAAAGTAAAAATATACCGAGGGTGCCATTTAAAAATCAGAAGTTGTAGTCATTTCCGTTGAAACCGAAAGTGACCGAAAACAATTGAATATGTCAATCAATCCTAATTTATGTCATATATTAACATACCAAATCTTGATGTTTTATCTGAAAAAATTAAAAAGCTATAGGGGTGAACCACTTTTAAGACGCACCCGGTATAATAATTTTTAATAACACTAACATCAGATACGACAGTCATACCAGAGTCGATAGCTTTTAAAAACTGAGCTTCATTGAAGAATCCGACTTGTTACGTAAAATAAAGTGAGCGAATATCTACGTAGTCACGCGAGTTCCATCTAAATGATCGTTAAGTCGACTGGCTGTCTAACGAATAAGCTGTGATTAAAGTGTTTTTTTAACAATTATTTATTTAATTCATTATAATAATATTGATTTAGGTTTTCTAACGGGTTTTATGGTCGCATTAAACCACTATGAGTTTTATGAATGTGGTTAGTAAACAAGTTTATTACTATTAATTTAGGTCCTAAGTGAAATAAATAAAAATCTTAATTTAGTTTCAGTTATACGAACTAGAAATTTTTAATATGCCTCTGATGCTGGTCGTTGAAAGTCGTTAAACAGTACTACCTATATATTTAGCTCATCAATCAAATAGTAAAACAGTGGTTCTCTTCCAAGCCACTTTCACATAATGAGTACCGTAAAAAAGTAATTAAGAGTACCCAGATAAAAAATGAGATGGAATATTTTTTATTTCAAGGATAATTTAAAAATTTATAATTTATAAATTTTAAACTACCTGCAAATATTAGTTGATTTATTATTTTAAAATAATGTAAATATTACACGTCGTAATTTTTCGAAAATGTTTTTTCATTTATTTACATTTTAATAATTTTCTTCTTTGGTTAAAAAGAAGTACAAACTACTTGAATTTTTGCTTTTGATCAAATCAATGCTATAAAGCTGGGAAGATGTAAAATATTGTTCCGGGAGAGTAATATCCTTATATATAAGGGTTATATTAAATGT